GTTTTAAGATTAAGAGATAATAAATTTATTGTAATAAATGTGTCGTAGGGAGTAGTAATAATGACAGTTATTGAATGTTAATAATAAAAATAACTGTCAAAAATGAAGGCTATTTATATATTATTGCATCAATGTTTTACTCGTGAGAATTGAAGTATATATTGTAATGTGAATCATTACAAGTAACCTAGTATCCGTAGTTTTGTTTTTGTTGTAGCAATTGTGATGCTGGCAAAAATATGGTAGCTAGAGCAGTATAATAGTAGCATGTAGTAGTATTTAGTATGTTGGCGAGCAATGAATGAGCAACACATGCTCATTGTAAGCGTTACTGCTACTTGTGAAATAGGTAGGTGTGGTACATCAAGTTTGATGCTGGTTGATGTCATGGGAAACGTCCCACTACTGATTGTCATACTAATACCATAGTGCTTCAAGATAGCAGGCAATTATCAAACAGTTTTGTTTGATGAATATTCGATTCAGAAGGTCGTTGATGGTGATGGATCGAGCAAGTATATGTATCTGCATGGCAATTGAAAGGATGCTATGACTATGATTTATGTTCCCAACGACTTGACAATCTGCTTTTGAATAGACGTAATGCGAAACCTTGCTGTAACATTCGATCAAACAATCACCACCTGCAGAAAATATATTTAGTGCTTGACAACAAGCTGCTTGCTGTGATGAAAGTATTTATACCACATAAGTTTATTCGGGCCTAGCTTTCTTACTACCTCATCGTTGATAGCCGCCTGTTATATTATATGTGATTTCCCTAAGCTTGTCATGAGATACAAAGATGTAACGTTTTTCAATAAAAAAAGGTGTGGTAAACTTTGGGCTTTCTTTGTGAGGTATGTCTACAATTGTATTTTGTATTTGAGAAATGCGATAATCTATATACTAGTGCACAAGAGGAGAGCCATAGTCGTAAGTTTTGGTGTATAACTTCAAAACCTTCATACCATTAGAGCAACTTTTCCAATGATAAGCTGTATCATCATATCTTATATCATAAACTCTGTGCGCTGAAATAATAATATATTTGCATAATGTTGGAAAAGGCTTTATCACTGTGTCAAATCAAAGCAGATAGTTACGATACCTATATCGAGTGTATCTTTTGTACGGAATTCCTACTTCCAGGTCACTCCACATATTTTAAGCATTCATAACAAGCAGCATCTATAGGATTTTCCTACGAGTATTTTTGATTAAACCGTTACTGTAACAAAATTGACACCCATAAATCACAAGCCATCTTCAAAAAAGTGTATGATGTTATAGGTCAAGAAATAGATAGAGAGAGCTCTTCACTTTCCAAGCTTCTAGCAAATTATTATTCATGAAACCCCATGTCAACATCTTACTAAACGCTTAAATACACAAAATATATACACCCCCAATGTAACATTCCAAGAAGTACAAACTAATCAAAATCGAACTAGCGAGAACATTGTTTGCCATTACTCATGCGTATATAAGACGAGTTGGTATCCGATCAGTAAAACAAAGCATTCGGTTATTATGCGAAGATGGTGCAATGCTGTACGATGTCTACAGACATGGGAAACCTTTTTGTCTTGCAAATGATTGCCAAAGGTGTGATTTTATAGCTATAAATCAATGAACATCGTAGCTTGGTTGCATTTTTTTGTAGTGTGAAGTGTTTCCTTGTTCTTCTTTTGAGCCAACACACTCACACATACAATACAAAGAACGTCAAGAATAACTGGTGAACACAGATTCACCATGCTTGTCCTATTAACCCTTTCACTGGTATTTTACTTTATTCCCAATTTAGTGAGATTTGTGCTCACAATATCATCGAAATTTAGTTTTTTCATTCAAATAGATGTTATTGTTGTACGAAATCTTCATTGCTAAATTTAATGCTCAATATTTACTCTTTTAATCATGTTCCGAGCCCCTCTCTAAAGGTGTTTGACAAACGAATCAGTCTCTGTTTCTTTTGTGCCTCTTTTTTTTTAAAAAAAAAATAAATACGTTAAAATATGGTTGTTGGAGGCTTTGTGTATATAATTTTTCTACATGTCGCACCCCGGATTGCCTCAACAAGAAATTACGTTTAGATCAAAGTAGAAAGCAGCAATTCTCCCTGCTTTTTTTTGTGGGATTATTTTATTATCAATAAAACAAAGATAAAGAATAAGGAATAACATCGAAAGTTTGATTACAGAAATTACAGATGGCATGTAACATTAAACTGCACCAATCCCTCCGCTATCATGATTACAGTAACCTTCAACCATCATTATCTTGTCTGCCTTTCAAGTAGGATGGTTATATCATTAATCAGCACGTTGTGCTTCTATATTAATACGAAGCCAATTGATAGCACAAAGCTGTGATACGCTACCGTCCATCCATGTATCAATACTCATATGGTGTTCAGTTACATGACAAGTCCGGATCAAAATCATACGATGTAAGAGTCAAGACAGTATCTATTTAGTTTACTTACGAGGCCATTGTATTTGAAGAGATTCATATCAAATGTCACTAGTTGTGTGATAGAAGTCGTTTTTAATGGATCAACTCGCCCATTTGTGTAACTCTGATGCCTACCCATTAAACTGTTGCTCCATAATCATTGGGTACAATTGCCTTTGTTTATCGCATTGCATTAAGAATACATGGAAAATGGGGGGGGGGAGACAATTGGACATGTGAAACTCTCTAATTTCACCAAATTGTCCTTTATAAACAGAGCATATATTCACACTTGATGCAATCGTACGCGTGATGGCATGTCACAGACTTGTACATTGATGGTTGATAGGATTTAAGACCTCACCTACAAAGATACACTTTGCTACATTTATCTGTTTCTTTTCCATTGTCCAGTTCTTCCGAAATGACACAATAATGGAATCCAAATTCGAAATCAACATCATGGTACAACCGTATCAGGCACAAAGCTCACAGCTTCATTGATACCCCGAAGAAAGATTAGGGTCTGTGCAACGTCTTATCGCAACAACAAATGTGGACCAACAAGAAGAGAAACGATCTTCATTAAGGTTTCGATAATAATTCACACACAATAGTTATATTTGGAAATAGAACAATATATTTTGTCACATGTAGCCTTTTGAAAACATCTCGAACGAGTTAGAACTATTTGTCGAAAACTGCTTAAACAAAAAGATGAGCAAGAGGAGCCAAAAGCCGTGCATTCTATTCTTTAGAACAGAGATAAAGTCAGTTATTAGAAATACACGTCAAATAGACATTTTGGAGCTGTTTCTACGCTGGATCAGGTAAAAAAATGCTTGTGTGGCTTTGCGAGATAATCTAATGCTATTCCTAATCGAATCATAAATACTAAATCAGGTCGAAAACTAGTTCAAAATCATGCAAATTGGAGGCTAGTGTCCTTTTTATTGTCTCTCTTAAAAACCAAGATAATCAACAAAGGTTGATGAATACAGCACTGTGATTAAGAGACTCATATGTTGGTATGACATGGAATTTATTATGAAAAACCATTTAAAATGTAGTATGATATTTCAACTCTAGGGGTTTTTCTTCCCCTTTTTCTTCCTGACATTCTTTTCTACGCAGACAAACATAGATAGAGAGATCATACTATTTCTAGTAAATAATACCACGTTATAAAGCTCTAGACATAAACTTGCATCTGCTGTTCGTTACTATAATTTTATGTAATTTAGCCACTGCGACTGAACGCGAGTTTCCTTTGCGATGCATAAACATACATGCAAACACCTTTTTGTAGCGTTTTTGTAGAGCTATTTTCAAGGGATACTTGTAGAATCGCACATGACAGCATCTCTTGGGCGATTTTGTAGCAAGACGAAATGCTGTTACTCAAAGAAACACGACGATGCTCTAATTTTACAGAGAAGCACGTATTTTGAGTTTCGACTTCTTTTCAATACATGAAGTCTACATGATGATCAGCCATCTGCAATCTGCAACTAACCAATGATTGCATGTCATACTTGATAGTTACCAACAGCAGTTTACATTCAGGCACATTTTCACCTGAATAGCATGAGACGGGTATTCAATTTGAACGAAATAATATCGAGCCATGTTTGATAACAAACTGATTTTCATCTTCAAACAAGTACGATCAGTGTACATACAGTAACTGTATCTTTTGTATATCTTGATCCATCTTCAGTTTTAAAGTTTAGGTTAATGATCCCCTATCAAAGCAGATTTTAGGGTTTAAACGGAGAAAGAGAGGTCGACGGAATCAGCACGAACATCAATGCATGTTTTTATCAATCATTAACGAGTCAGACAAGCCAAAAAATTGTAGCCTGACTTGAATTACTGCAAATGTTGATGCCATTTGACATTTCGTTAGTTCTGACTGCACCCGCAAAAACTTACTTGATTAGTCTTTTTCCGCTTCATCATCACAGTAACGTAGCACTTGACGCTTCTCATGAACTGTATACCCAACTACATGCGTCCACTCAGACATGGTCAATGAATCTCATTTCAACTCAAGCCAAGCGATATAAGGTTCCCACGAAAAATGAATCAGTGATTTGTACAACACGATTGCTTTAAAAAAAAAAAGATTGGATAGTGATACAGCATCTCTATTCTTGATTAGAAGTGCACATGACAAAAGTAAAGAGTTAACAAACTGCCAAATGCAGGTTTCCCTCACTCGCTGTTTCTTCATAGAAAGAACCTTCAGAATGATTTGGCTCCAAAACCCCTTTCATCATTGAATACATGTAGTGTCACAAAGTCATACCTTCTTTACTATTATTCCCTCTATTAACGAGGTGTCACCCAAAGTTCAATTTGGGGGAGAGACAGTGAGAGTGAGAGCAGAAGATTTGATCTGACTGATCAGAGTCAAGCACAAAATAGATAAACAGTGGCGCTCCCCTTCTTGAGATGGTATAAATTAAACTCTGTATTCCATCATTCATCTCTTTTTTTTTTGTCTTTTTCTTACATTTTACAGTTTATACAAAATCATGTCAGACGAAAAAACTGAGCATATTGTAACAACTACAGAAACAACCACTACCACCTCTCACGAGAAAGGTGGTGTATTCCAAGCTGTTACTGCAAGATACGCCAAGGTTGATCCTCACTCATACTTGCGTAGAGAAGGCGAAACTGGTAAGTCCTACTGGTTCCGTCGTCTTGGTCAAATCAAGCCTGTCGAATTGTTGTGGGGAGATGCCGAAAACTCTGAATTGAGACGTGCCTTGTCCGCTTTCCAACTGATATTTGTGGGTATTGGTGCTATTATTGGTACTGGTATCTTTGTGCTCTCTGGTTTAGCTGCTGCCAAAAACGCTGGTCCTGCTGTTACAATCTCGTTTGTTGTTGCTGCCGTTGCTGCTGGTAAGTGTATCATGGTTAATACAGTGTACGAATCAACTAACCTTTCACATACAGCCTTTGCCGCACTTAGTTACTCTGAAATGGCTTCCATGATCCCTGTAGCTGGTTCCGCATATACCTACGCTTATGCTACTATGGGTGAATTTGTTGCTTGGACTATTGGATGGGATTTGATTCTTGAATACATGGTAGGTGCTGCCACTGTTGGTGTTGGGTGGTCTGGTTACTTTGTCAAGTTTTTTGCTGTTGCCTCTGGCGGTAAAATTCATTTTGCTGAAAGTTGGACTACACCTACTCTTACCTGGACAGAAAACCCTGCTTCGATCTCTTACGAGCAAGGCCATTACTTTAATGTACCTGGTTTCGTTATCATCATGATTGTTACGATCATTTTGGTCATCGGTATCCGTCAATCTGCTTTCTTCAACTTGATTGTTGTCTCCATCAAGTTGCTTGTGATCCTTATCTTTATCTTTGCTCTCTGTGGCTTCATGTACAAACCCAACTATGATCCTTACATTCCTCCCAACACCACTGGCGACTGGCATTTCTTTGGTGTGCCAGGTATTTTTGCTGCTGCTACTACTGTCTTCTTCAGGTAAGCTTGTATATAAAGCATCCATTGTAACCATAGCAACTAACTCTTCATTTCATAGTTACATTGGTTTCGATGCTGTTACCACTGCTGCTCTTGAGGCCAAGAACCCTCAACGTGATCTTCCCATCGGTATCATTGGTAGTTTGACCATCAGTACTGTTCTCTATCTCGCTTTCTGTACCATCATGACCGGCGCTGCTAAGTACACAGATTTCCTCAACTCTCCTACACCTGCCTCTGTTGCTGTTGAAGCTGTCATGCAGCGTACTGGCAAGAACTTTGAATGGCTCAACATTCTCGTCGCCATCGGTGCTGTCTGTGGTTTGACCTCTGTCTTGCTCATCAACTTGCTCGGTCAATCTCGTGTATTCTATGCCATGGCCCAAGATGGTCTCTTGCCTCCCATGTTTGCAAAAATTCATCCCAAATTCAAGACTCCTTGGATTGCTACTCTCACCATTGGTTTCATCACCGCTATTCTCTCTGCTATCCTGCCTGTCGATTTGCTCGGCAACATGACTTCAGTTGGTACTTTGTTGGCTTTCTTTGTCGTACATCTCGGTGTCATTGTATTGAGATTTACTCGCCCTGAAGTTGAGCGTCGTTTCAGAATCCCTGGTGGAAAGTACCTTTCTTTGATCTTCCCTATCATTGGTATGGGTATCTCTGTTGCATTGATTGCAGTGGCTGAAGTTACAACTATCTGGCGTTTGTTCATCTGGATGGCTATTGGTTGGGTGATCTACTTTTTCTATAGTATTCGTCATTCCAGATTCAACAGAGATCCCCTTGCTCGTTTCGCTGAAGGTGAGAGCAAGATCCCCGCTAATGCTGAGCACGATAATACTGGCTATCAAGTGCAAGAATACGAATATGTCCCTGATACTCATCAAGCAGACCCCAACACTCACCGTATTTAATATGCTTTAAGCACTCATTTCTTTTTATTTACACACATATATTCGCTAATTATTTCTACTTGCTATGAATATCAACCTTCTCTTCCGCTTATGTAATTTTCAATATCACATTTCACCTGCTATACTTATATTTTTGATTCATACGTAAAGATGAATACAATAAAACTCATTTCTTTTTCTTTAAGAAATCAACTCTAATAGTTTATGATGGTTGATTCAAATCTAACATCTATGATATTGTGCTCCTAAGAGTATCACTATGTGGCAGCGTTCTCTGTTTCAATAGAAAGTATTAGTGAACCATGGGCTCAATTGTTTATTTTCTCGAATTCAAGTAGAGTCAAAACCAGATTCACACATCAAAAAAGGCCCAACACATTTCCCTCCTCATCCAAATCAACATCAAAGAAGCAAGGGCGAGTAGGCAATCCAGGCTACATGGAAGCGGTTAGAATCAACAAAAAAAAAAAGACATCAATAAAGACTTACCATAGTTTGCATCTCTCCTACCAGAGGATAAAGGAACCCAGCGCCTACTGAGGCCCTGATATCGCGAATAGGCACAGTAAAACCAGAAGGAGCACCCTTCAACAAAGGATCATGGCTGAAACTATACTGTGTTTTGGCCATACAGATAGGAAGCGCTGCAAATCCTTGGCGAGTGTATGTAGCAATCTTTTCTTTAGCCAATTCACTGTATTCAACAGCCTCTGCACCATAAATCTCTTTGCAGATGGTTTCAATCTTTGTGTCAATAGGAAGATCAAGATCATACAAGAATTTAAAGCTCTTGGTAGGTTCGTCGCAGGCAGCAATTACGGCTTTACCGAGATCAATGGCTCCAGCGCCACCTTCTGCCCAATGGTTGCAGGAAACAGCATCACTGGCACCAGCTTTTAATGAAATGTGGCGGATGAGATCAATTTCAGCATCTGTATCATTGCTGTTTTCCATGATTTGTTAGTTTCTCCAATCCAACAGCATATCAGACTAACTTACGTGAAGCGATTGACTGCAACAACAACTGGGATGCCATATTTCTTTGCATTTTCGATATGTTTGACCAAATTCGAGCATCCTTCTCGCAACAATTCCAGATTTTCTTGATTGTAAACGTCGGGGAGAGGTTTACCAGCGACAATAGCAGGGCCATTGCCATGTGTCTTCAGTGCGCGGACAGTAGCCACCAGCACGACAGCATCAGGCACCAAGCCAGAGACACGGCATTTGATATCAAAGAACTTTTCCATGCCCATATCAGCACCAAAACCTGCTTCAGTTACTACGTAGCCAGGCTCCATATCCTCACATCCATCTGTACCAGCCAGTTTCAGAGCGATCTTGTCTGCTAAAATGGAAGAGTTGCCATGCGCAATGTTGGCAAAGGGGCCAGCATGAACAATAGTAGGGGTGCCTTCCAGAGTTTGCATCAAATTGGGCTTGATGGCATCTTTCATCAAGACAGTGAGTGCGCCACCAATACCCAAATCATCCGCAGTGACAGGATCTCCAGCTTTGGAGCTAGCAACAACCATGGCGCCTAGACGTTCTCTCATGTCTTTGAGATCAGTTGCTAAGGCAAGGACAGCCATGACCTCACTTGCTACACAGATATCGAATCCAGTAGTACGTTCTTGTCCCTTCTCTGTAGGGCTTTGGCCAATGGTGATCTTTCGCAAGAAGCGGTCATTGGTATCTAAACCACGTTGCCAAGTGATGGTGGCTGGGTCAATGTCTAGACGAGCAAATTTGCTCGCCTCTTCTGGTGTGAGATCGTTAGGGTTTGTCTTGTCAATGCCCAATTTCTGCTGCCAATGTTAACATGAATATAGACTTCTTCACTGGAGATTTACCTTTAGTCGCTTCATCATGACGGGAGCAAAAGTACGGACACCCTTCTTGGCAGGGCATAGTCGATTGAATAAGGCCTGTGTAAAACTGGGCAATAAGAAAAACAAGCAATGAAGCACTGGGGTGCTGTGCATCAACAACGTACCTTATCTGTTTGGGTATTTTCATGGAACATTCGTGCGTCAATGGCAGCAGCTATAAATGGGAATAGTTAATAACGCTATTTTTGATGAAATTTAAGGGTTGCATGTACCTAACAAGTTGTTGGCAGCAGTAACAGCATGCAGATCACCCGTCAAATGCAAGTTGAATTCATCCATAGGGATGACTTGGGAATAGCCACCACCAGCAGCACCACCCTTGATACCGAAAGTAGGGCCCTGAGAAGGCTGACGCACACAGGCAAAAGCAACCTTGTTCAAATGTGCCCCCAGTGCTTGCACCAAGCCAATGGTAGTGGTTGATTTACCTTCGCCTAATGGAGTGGGCGTGATGCTGTATATTGAATGAGTATGAGGCGGTGCCAGGTTATTCAGATACCTACCCAGTAACAACGACATAACGTCCATCTTGACGATGTCCCAAACGCTTCAAGACATCCAAGCTGATCTTTGCTTTAGCAGTGCCATACAATTCGATCTCACTTGGTGACAGCCCCAACTCCTGGCACAAATCTGCAATGTTCTTGGGTGTTTGTGATCTTGCAATTTCAATATCCTGAGGCACAGGTGATTTGATCTCCAAGGGAAGCGGAACAATGCGTCTTTGGCGACTGTTATCCAGCCAACGTTTAGCACTCAATTGTGTATTTTCCATCAACATAGCTACGGTCATGGGTCCAACGCCTCCAGGAACAGGTGTAATAGCGCTGGCAACTGCTAAGGCCTTTTCATATTCAACATCGCCTACAAGTCGTGAGCCTGATTTTTTGCTTGCATCTAAATGTTTATATCTATGTATCAGCAGTTGTTTCACAAACATTTAAGTGTATGAAAATACATACCTGCAATAGGATTAGTGCCCACATCAATCACTACGGCACCAGGTTTGACCCATTCGCCTTTTACAAACTCGGGATTTCCAATAGCAACGACCAAGATGTCTGCTTCCTTAATCTGAGGGGCATTTCATATGTGGTGAATATCAGGCGTGCGCTTCCGAGATGGTACATACTTACAAAGGATTCAATGTTCTTGGTGCGAGAATGGCAAATGGTGACTGTAGCGTGTTCAGCAGTGAGCAGGGAGGCAACCGGCGTGCCCTGTTGGTCGTATCCTTAGTATGCATGCATGCGTTTTCTGTAACTCTGATTTACCACAATATCGCTTCTTCCAACCACAACAGCTCTCTTTCCTGCAATAGCTATGCCTAAATTCACATGCCATGTTACATTACAGCTCATCACATCATCATACAACAAATAATACCTGTAGAATGCAACAAATGAATAACGCCCTTGGGTGTGCAGGGCAAGAATAATGGGGTAGTTGCTTTTTTGGCCATGTTTCCAATATTGAACGCATGAAAACTACTCGGATTAGAAGGCAGGGCACAGCAAGCATAAACACACAAATCACTTACCCATCTACATCTTTTCTGGGGTCAATGGTTTCAATCACAAGGCCTTCGTCAATATGCGATGGCAGGGGCATCTGAACAAGGATACCATGCACAGTACTATCGTCGTTCAACTGCTTTACCTTGCGAAGCAACTCTGACTGAGAGATATCTTGGCCCAGCTTGACATGCTCAAATTCAATGCCTACTTCCTGAGCAGCTTTTGCCTTCATGCGGACATAAACCGAGGAGTCCTCTCTAGCGCCTACTTGGACCACGACCAAGCGAGGAGCATAGTGCGCATGCTTAGACTTGATCAGAGCAATTTCTTGCTTAACTTTGTTTCGAATATCCCTGAGCTACTCGTTAGAGGGTTCATTTCAGTAGCAAAGAAAAGCTAATTTAACTTACAATGCTTGAACCTTCCCATCGATAATGTTAGAAACTGTCATAATGTGTAGCTAAAAAGATAAATTAAAGCAAAAGAAAATGTTCCTGATAAGAGAATTTAAGATTCACTATTTTAAAGAATTGTTGCGGGAAGCCTGAGAAAGTTTTGTTTGCAATATCGATGCGTACGACATGCATACAGAGATGGTGTAACTTAATTTTAATGTGCGTGCGCGCATCCCTAATGCTCAAATCACGCCTTTTGTAATAGTATCGCTTGATTTGAAGATGGCAACGATGCTATAAATCTCATCAAAAAGTCGACAGCCATTACTTTATTCATGGCTTAGCAGAAGCTTTGTTGTCTTTATAACGTGTCAGCTCAACCATCCTCTTCTCATTCACAGCTTTTTTTGTCCTTTCCTGTTAGATGTAATAGTGCCTGGCCTAGTCACATTGATGCAATGATGAAGGTGTTTCTCTTCACGGGAAATGCCGCCTTATTTCACAGTGCCCTGAACTAGATCAAAGCCCAAAGTAAACGCAAGCCTCTGTCTGAGCATGGCTTTTTTCAGGCTTTACAAAAATTGCAACTTGGAGTTGATGGGGGGGGGGGGAGGGGGTCCATTAGGAGAACCAGATGCTATACCACTTTTTTTTTTTTTTTTTTTTTTTTTTTTTTTTTTGGAATGAGATAGGCTTCCACCGCTTGTGGTTGATTCTGATGATTGGAGGTCAAATGCTCTTTCACTTTGAAACCTAAGAAAAGTCTGGATTCTAGTATTGCAATTCATCTTAAGAATTCCATAAAGAGTTTTTGATACTGTTCAATTTGCCTCCTGAGTATTTCAAAATTGATTACACATGAAAGGAAAAGCAAAGGGCTCTTCTGGCTATGTGTATCTATGAAAGAAGCCTACTATATAAATCATTTCCAAAAATATGTCTTGGTTTTTTCCCCGAAAATCATCAATAACATCCTTGTCCTGATGTTGTATCAACAGATGCAATGTTAACAAATTAAGATAGATATTAGAAGGAAAACTTTCAAAGTAACCAGATAAGAAAAACTAATGATTTATTAATTGATTCAAGCACACCTTATTTATACTAACTTACTATCACTAAATCAATCAATCTATCTTATTGTTTAAATTGAGTCAATCCATTGAGTTCTGTATATCCAATACCAATCATTGTTATTCGCAACCACGAACTTTCATAGCCAACCATATATAGTTCACTTCTTGTTGAACCTTGCGTCACAACCTAGACAGTGAGCAACAATGCAGATCATGATCCGACTACCACTGAGTTACTGAGCTCCCGCAGCTTCTACAAACTCAACATTTAACAAACCATCCTGGATGCTTTTGATTTTCTTTGACTTTGTTTTATTTGAGATGAATACAGATTCAAGCTTGGAGAGATCATTTGAGAGCATTGAAATGGCTGGTCCCTTTGTAATCGTGGGGTCTGATTGCGCAAGTTGGCTGAGGAATTCAATTGCGTTCCAGTTACTGCCTGCAGTTGTATGCCAGTAATCTAGATGATCGAGAAACCGTTACTGATGCCAATAGATATTCGATGCAAATCTAAAAACTTACTGTAATACTGAAGCTTTTCTTCAATAGATAACCAGACACTATCGTCAAAGTTTTGAGACATTTGAGATGATGGTAAAGAAATAGAAATGCGTGTTTTGCGAAAAGAGAGGAGGTGATATGGGCTTGCTAGAGCTTAAGTTTTACAAAATCCAACCTACGAACATGTGATAGAATTCACGGTTATTACACATAAAGCATGAAACACATTCTTTTTTAGCACTTGGTGATTGATACGCTACAAATCTTAATTACCAGAAGCAAGCTTCATAAAACGAACTTGTTTTTTCTGTCTAAGCTGACACTTGCTCTATTCAATCCGCTTCATCCGATGCTTTCAACTGCACTCTGTCTCGAGTCATATCCATCTTATTGCCACATAGAGCTTTTTTGTCATATTTACATGAAAAGAGTTCCCCTATTTCTTCATACGTGTAATCAATAGAAATAATTTCATAGACTCATTCACATCAAAAGTAAACAAAAATATATCATTTCATACTGAAACAATTGTAACTGATTGCTTGATTTGGTAGTGTTTTCATACCTCTCTCCCTATTTTCTTCCTAAAATCATCTGTTTATTGGATCCGCCTCTCTTTATTACCAAAAATGTGATTCATGCCTTGCAAATAAAAGCTATACAGCACAAACATAACCAAATTTCACGGCTTTCAAGCCTTCGTATCTTGACATGTAGACCTTTCTGAGCCACTGGAATAACGCCAAACAATTGTACTTGAATAGTAGTAACGTCCTGACACCTTTGCTCAACTTTTTGGGCCTAAAAAAAAACATGGCCAAAAATCGACCAAAAAGCATGAGTGGTACCTCATGGTTTTCATCGAAAATCAAACAATCGCGTTTTTGAACTTAATAATGAAGACTTTTATTATGGTATATATCAAATCAAAATGTTTCTCTCGATCCAAAGCAACCTCTGAAACCTTGTTTGTGAGGCCTTGATATGTAAAATCTCTACATTTTGACCAAAATAGCTATTTTATATTTTTAAGCATTTCTCCATAAGTTTGTTCAAAAAAACTCTCTTGAATAGCACCATTGGATGCGCCTTGAAAAGTACTCCAAGAAAGATTAAGGAAGCATGGAATGATCATGACGACTTATAGAGTCCACTTTGGCAAAATAGACTATCGAAATCAATTCTAGAACAAAAATTTGCTATTTCGAGTAGAGAAAAATAGTCGGAGATACAAGTAGGATTGGCAGCTGGCAATAGTAACGATGGTCCTCTTGCTTTTGAACAGAATAAAAAAGGTTATTGCGACGTAAGAATTATTGGAGCTTAACCTTGCTACTTTGGCTTTGCTTTTGATGCACTAATTTATGACTGGCAGGTTTATTTGTTGCGGATTGCTTATTAAAATGTGCAATGCATGCGAGTTTTAGCTCTCATCTAGTTTATTTGAATAAAAATGATGGAGGTAGAAGCGAGCACAGAGATTAAGTAATCCTAACATTTTAAAGCTGCCTTAATCGTAGCTCTTGGATTTTTTTTGTCATTTGGCTCAGCTGTTCCCAAATTTGACGCACAATTTTGCCTATACAATCAGCATGCATTTGCACTCGAAGGATCTTCAGGGGAGCAGTTTTATTGTTTGGGCAATGGCGAGAATATGCCTCATAGTGAAATAAAGGAGATGAGGTAATATTTTTTTTTGTTTCAATTCACGTCAAAATTAAACACTAGAATGGTGTCAAATACCATATTGAAAGCATTTAAATTATCATGTACCATAAGCAAGACAACTGTTGGGATTGGTGCAGATTGGTGAGGATAACATTAGAAATGATGAAAACGAGAGCGCTCTAGCAATGCAGATCATAATATCGACACGTTTGTCTGAGAGTGGTCGTAATTACGAAAGTCAAGCTGTATTAAAATAGGGATGGAAACCGCGATGGATTCAAGTTGATGCTACCAAAACCGACCCGCCGATAGTATCATCAACAGTCAAGAAATGTGATGCTATTACGGACCACAATAAACAATTTATTATGTATGTCAAATAGATTTATATGTATGCTGTAATAAATATGAATGATATCAAATGTCAAAATGAAATATTAAGGAGACAAGAGGACAAAAAATAAGGGGTGTTAAGAGATAGAGAAAAGGGGGTAGTAGTATGTTAGGAGATTGTTTGGAGTCATGAACGTGAGATGGGCTAATGTTTTGAATCACTCAATAAGATGGGTGTAGATGTACAATAATCGCCATAAACAGGTGGATTGTAGTTTTCTTGCATTGGCAAAAATGAAGGAGGTCGGATCGTGCTGGGTCGCTGAGGCACGGACGATGGCAGAAAGGGTGGCGAAGAAATGTTTCGAGATCCATAGATTTTCTCAAGCAGAGACTCACGTTTTGGCAATTTCTTTTGGGGTGTCATAATGACTAAAGGTGCTGCTGCTTTGGTTTGCTGGATGATTTGGTGGCCTTGTTTGATCATAGCGGGCTGATACATGTCGATCTCTTTCTTTTGAAGTGATAATTGTCTTTCTTGTTCTTGCAGACGTTGCTCCAAGTCAAACAGCTCTCGTCTTCTGTTGCTTGCTTTGTTCATGAGCACATAGATGCCAATAATAGCCAGCGAGAATAGGATGGAAATAATGGCAATGAACAGAATTTGATTTGTATTTGGCATGTTTTCTTTGGATTTAGAGAAAAAGAGGATGAAAAACAAGAATGGTGCGAACCATTTATACATTTATTCAATGTCATTCTTGTACAAATAAAGAGAACTACATCGTGGATATGTTGATATTTTAAGGGAGAACATTTTACAATTCATTATGTGGTAAGGGATTCAATTCTAAATATTCTGCGGTAAAGGTACGAAAAATGACGGCCAAGTTTTCAACTACAGCTTGATCTATACAGTCTGCATTATCCTAACAATGATAATATATTAAGAGTATAAGTCTCGAAGTCTATAAGCCCATCAACGACATCACCAACTTACTAGTCTATTGTGCCATACATTGGGAAATGGGTATGGTATCATGTGCAAGATATTCACGCCACGGATCAAGAATGGAACATGATCATCTCCTATCGCTTCTCCTCTGTATGTCAAGGCAGAATATGGATTAAATAGAGATATTAAGGCTTCACCCGTCTTTGCTGAAACAGTTTTGAGAACTGACTGGTTATTTAATCTGTGTTCCAGGTTCATCAATTTCTCATACAACCAGCTTGTCGAGCGATAAAAGTTGGGGAATTGTGAGTTGGTTGCTCCTAATAAATCCAGCAAGACCATCACTTCAATTTGATCTAATTTGTTCTTGAATACTTTCTTTGGATGGCTAACTAATGCTGATTCCCAATGCTGTGCTAAATGCCTTGCTCCGTAGATGGAATCCGTAGGACTCCATTGTTGAAATGCCTCTTCTCCATCGAAAAATATCATCTGAACCGTCTTTTCTGTATTGTAGTAGCTGGACGATAGATATTCGTTCAGAGTCTCTGCAATGTTCATGAGAATGCCGCAAGGAACGGCGCTGTCAGTTGCTCCAATAAACTCGAAATCGGGCGAATACATGGAATCATAATGTGCTGCTAATACAAGTCGAGTAGGCTTGTTCACATCGTGAGTGACAATAACGTTGGCAAATGATTTTACTCCAAATGGTGTCATGTCTTCAAATTCGTCGATTTCTACATGCCAATCCAGCTTCTTGAAGTGATCTATGATATACTGACGTACTTGTTCATTTGCCAATGTGCCCGATACTCTTTCAACCAACAGTGGCCTCAACAAACTGCCGTTGACAGAAAGCCGTTCTTCATCGTTCAGCTTGGACAAATGTCTGAGAGATTCATTTGTTAGCGGTCTATAGCAATGCAACAACTGCAGGAGCAATAAGAGTATCAACAAGATGGCACTCTTCATAATGTGAGAGGAAATATTTGAAAGAGAAAGGGTAGAAAAAGAAGAAGAAAAAGCTCAATAGCTAACGTTGTGCTTTCAAGTTCAGTTTTTATAGTTTTGTGTATGTGTCTGTGTGTGAGACAAAGCCATGGTTCATATTACCATGCATACTTGTATGATATCTGTAGTATATGTTAGGTCTATAAAAGATGGACAGGAGAAATTTTTATTGCATTTTTTTTTTCTTTCTTTTTTTTTTTTTTTTTTTTTTTTTTCGTCAAGAAAAATGAGGGTATGAATTAGCAATGATAAAGTTGAGTGTGATTAGACAAGTTGCCTTGCGAATGAAATCGTCGTTGACATATCGAGCATCTCAAGGAATTTGATAGAGATTGTCGACGAATGGTAGAATTTAGTTGGAATAATGCACGATCAGAGAAATACGATGCTGTCGGTGATATGCTATCGACATCCTCCTCTTCCACAGTGTCATCGTCGTCCGAATACTCTTCGTCAAGGACTGGAGACAATACTTGCTGTTGAGACAATGCATTCATGATACGCTTTTCTTGATATTCTTGGAGCGGCCATTCTTGTTGTAGATTGGCGAGTGATAATGCTGGTGGAAATGTGGTAGATGATGGCATGGATGGGGGTTTCATTTTTGTGTCTTGCTGTGGAGTAGATGGGATGGAATGTTGGTTGTACATGTTGGGGGAAGTGGTAGCTAAAGTGGCTGAAGTATGCAGAGGAAACATAATGGATGAGAGGGAGAATATTAAGAAGTTAAAGAAGAGGAAAAAAAAAAAAAAAACAAGTGAGGCTGAGCGATGGGAGCCGTATTTTATAGTTGTTCGTCTGGCATAAAGATTCTTTCCATGAATTGTTCATAACTCCTATATGTAGTGCAATTAGCTTCATTTGCCTTTATGTCCCCACATGCCAAAAAGGAAAACACTCTTTACCAATTTGCTACTCTATGCCTGTTGGTGATGGTTCTCACATCATTGGATCTCTGTGCATAGACGCACTTGTAGAATGAATACAAGTTTGTATGCACAGATGCTCGGAATGCATCAATGGCTGTTGATCTGACCAGAGATCCTAGAATGGACTGCGACACAATCATTCGATCAAATAATGGTCCAAAGTACGGAATCTAAGTTTTTCTCTTCTTGTTAATGACTGAAACACAACACTACAAAAATATGCCTCAACACACCTTTGAATCACGGTAGACTTGGATAGAGTACAGGCTGTCAGGTAATGGCGTAACTATGATCTGAGCATTACCAAAGTCACCACCAATCGTATCAATCTTGTAGTCTCGGTCATGCTCGTTCCAAATTACATGTATGTGATCATTACCTATATGTCGTTTCTGATGATAAATAGCATGAGAAACTGAACCAATCTTGACCGTTATACAAGGACACAAACCTTTTTCAACTGCTTGGGATCCGACACGTCGGTAGGCATTTTGGTCACATCATGGAAGATCATTTCAATGCTGGATGAGCAGTAGTAGGATGCTCTGGTGCCGTTGGTGAGGTTCCTCTCCAGTCCACCCAGATAGCCTGTGTGTGTGGCAATGTCGATCTCCCAGCCTAGACTGTTGACAAAGGCATTGTACTTGTCAGAGCCTCGGCTATTTTGTAGAATGCTCTGCTCGTCCTCTTGGCCGTGGGCCACATAAATCAAGCCGATTTTCATGGTTTCACGCCTGATATTTTGTCTTGGTCAGTAACTTCAAGCCAAAAAGGAACTTTCTGCCATATAGAACTTACCCGTGCTTTCTATCCAACCCTCTCAAATCTCGATACAGTGCTGGCGTCTTGTTGAGCATCTGGAAGGAGCCATTTTTCAGCTGATTATAGTGCATGAACCCCATATGACTCATGAGCAATCTGCTCTGTTGAAACGGCACGTGAGGCCTCTCGACTTCAGTGGGAAATGCTGGCAAAAAGTCCTTTCTAGAACTAAAATTAGCCATCAGATGTGCTTGCATGGACTCGCCACGTTTCAGAACACCATCTTCCGTCTCTGTTTTCCTCAGCATGTTCATTTTGGAATACCAAAGTTGACTGCATGAAAATGTGAATGATTCGGTGTATTGCATGGAAAGAAAGAAAACTTACACATCGGATTCCTGCTGCTGGTTATTGTGCGCTTCTTTTCGCAAGTAATCATCGAGTTGCGTCCCGAGATTTCCAACCATTTCAGTCTGTAATAGAGTTTCATTACTCGGCACATTCAATGGCAAACTCGGGTCTAGCAAGCAATCTGGGTGCAAATCCCCAATCCTAAATGAATAGAGTTTAATACCTAGACACTGGACATGTATATCGATACGTTACTTTTTCAATAAGCTGCCCATTGGATCTTGTGATGCTTGTCTTGTCTGAATATCCTGCGGGCTATTCAAGCTTATTTTAGCTTCATCATTGTATCAAACAGACAAACACACTTACACTTCATCGCCTATTGTCTGAATGCACACATCTTGCCTCAAGACAAACTTGTTCTCTATGGAAACATGAGTTTCAGATAGACCAAGCTTGGGTTCCAGCTGCGTATCCCAGACATATCGGCCAGTCAGATCCCGGATAATCATCCTCGCCTGCGCAGACTTCCTTGTTTGACTCCTTGGCAGTTCCACAAATGCCACAATAGTGGTATCGTTGAATGAAAAGTACTGATATTGATGGTATTCAGCATCATCTTGAGAGACGCCTGGTCCAATGATCGTGCTGTGAATGGTGGCTGGTCCGTAAGGAGGTGCAAAATTGTTGAAGTGATGCAGCAAATGCAATAACACAGCCTCGGCTGATTCCTTGACATAGCCTCGGTCATTTTCAGGGACATCAGGGCCCACCACCTCCTCTTGTTGATGAAATGCTGGTCGTTTCTCGGAGGATTTGAACTTGAATGAGACCTCCTTCATTTTGTTCTGCGGTGACGCTCGATTACCATTGGTTGTGTTGTTGGCGGCAGTAGGTGGATGCGGCAGTAGCTTATCGCTGCTGTCCAGTGTCACATGCAGCGCAAGTTCAATCACATCAAACACCAGCTGGCAGAGATCCGTCTCTGTGAGGATCATAGGCTCAATCGACATGATCCACTCTAGCAAGCAGCTGAATAGCTTGGAAATGATGAACCCTCTGCCGCCCTTGGAGCTCTTTCCGTAGTATTTAAGATGAATATTCAGAGAATCAATGACCCGTGTGAGGATTTCTTGCACCAAGATCTACACATGCAGGCGTTGTTGTCAATATCCAAATAGGAGCAATTTAATTCATTAACGAGACTTACCCCCTCAGGATCCAATTTATCCTTATATACTTGAGCTATTGTGTTTAGGCAATCGCACACTGTATTCACAATAGAAATGTTGCACCAGTACAAGTGATTCACCAAAGAGAGCACACATTCATGCACAATGTCATGCTGTGGTGTGTCGCAGCTTAACAGTTCGTCCAGAATCAAGGCACATAAGGCTCCAAGCAGCATACAATGTGTGTCTGTGTCTTGCTCAAGTTGAGGCACATGGCCCACGTTGACCAGTTGGATAAATACATTCTTGAGCCATACTTTGACATCTGCAAATGAGAAGGACTTCCCTTGATGGAACCCCTGTACCCAGGACATGTTCAATTCATCCGTCTGAATAGCAACATTGCTCAGATGGTTCGAAATGGACACCAATGACCCCAGTATAGTGATGCAGCTCTTTCTGACATTGCAAGGGACAATCTCGCGAGGCGAATCATGCAAAAGCTACGTAAAGTTAGAGTTTATACGTAGTAGGGACCAACAGCTTACCAGTTTCTCAATAGCACCAATGAATGAAGGAATCAGGATATGGACACCTGGCAATGATGATCCAAATAATCGCTCCGAGTTGAGTATAATAGCCTGGATGATGGTAGTGTCGTTGGATGCCAATCCCTAATACAAACTGTTGGCATACACGTTGATACATAATAAATCTACATAGTTGCCTTTAAAATACACTTGTAAAATGCTGCGAAATAGCCCTCAGGAACCGTTTCCTCGGGCCTTTGAGACATGAGTCGACACAAGCTTCCATAGGCAGCTGCTTTTCCAGCATCAAATGCACTATGCATGGTTAGTTCATTTTTTTGCGTCTCAACTGACATGACCCACTTACGAAGGCAACTCTGTTGCTTGGAAAAACCACGGTGCTGCTTCAAACATGGCAGGTATCGGTATATCGCGGTAAGGCTGTTGTGCCCTCACAAGTCGCAAGGTATCCCAAATCTCTACAACGCAATGCATGGCAATAGCATGATTCTGAGGCCCTTCGATTTGATTGATATTACCAATCGTCAAAAGCATGTTCTTCCAAATAGATAACACTTGCTGTCCATCATAAGGCAAATTGCTGAGTACCAGGAATTCTGAGCTTTTGAATGCTCCTAAACTTGTGGGCAACTTTTCTGTGACAGAGGCAGGGTTTGTCATCATGGAAAGGGTTTCGCCTGCAGGCCAAGCAGATGATGAGGATGTACGATTAGACTATAAACGATCGTTAGACCACATTGGCTTGAGTTATTTTTTTTTACTGCTTTTTTTTTTTTTTACCTTGGTAGACATCTCTTCAATGGAGCTTCCACTGGCGTAATCCCAATCAATCACCCCCTTTTTTTCCTCATCCCTGGACCCTGCCTTGGAAGAGCTGATCTGAGGGCTGGCATTGACATCTCCATGATGCACAAAGTTCAAGAGCTTAGAACCTGAATCTTGCCACAATGTATCCAGTTGCTGAATACTGATAGCACGACGACCCACGCTTTTTTCTCCTGCCCCGCTGCTGCTACCGGTGCCTCCTCCAGCAGCACTGCTACTGTGTCCACCTCCAAGACTGGTTCCTGAGCCACCACCAGCACCGCCATTACCACTGCCTGTCAAGCTATTACCGCTGTTGTTCGTGTTGCTTCGTTTTCCAATCGAGGTACTTGAAGGCTGTATGTTGCTCGAGCTGTGAATACTGCTGGAAGGTGTATTGGAAAAGGAAGCAGATGGCATAATGTTCTTTTTGATGCCAAATTTGATGCTTTGTTTTGAGTGCTCGTGGTTCTCTTCTTCTTCGCCTTCCTCATCCACGACTGAAGCTGTCAAATTGGTTGATTTGCGGTCGGTTTTAAAGGTGTTGGCAATGTCTGATAATGACGCACTGCTGAGATTTCGTAGGATGGTGGAGACGCTGCCTTCAGGGATAGGTTGTTGTTCTTGAGACTCTACGTGTTGCTGTTTCTCTGGTGTTTTCATGTCAGTTAGTTGTCCTTCACTATCACACGCTGATAAGGGCCTTCCAGAGGCGCCTCGTTTCAGGCTGCCCCCTCCATGACGCGGATTACCTTGCATACTCAAATGTCGAGATCTCACTTTGGCCCTTGGATTCCCCCCAACAACGCCTGAAAGCGCTCTTCCACTGATGGTGTTGTTTCCCGCATTACTATTGTTGTTATTGCTGCTTGTACTGTTCATGGTATTGCCACCGCTATTGCTGCTGAAATGGGTAGAATAACGATTGCTGCTGTTGTTGGCGGACGATGGGAACTCCTCAATCAGTCGATACTTTGTTTCGGGATATAAGTCGTATTCGACTTTGTACAATCGAGAGGACAATAATCGAGTCAATTTTTGCATAATTCTCTGTAGATGGACATTAATTGGTGTGTATACACACATATTCTCTTGATAACATACCACCCACTGATTCAGTGCTTGCACCCATCGCATGGAACTAACCATGTGTATCTTGAGGTTGTGCCATAATTCCGCGTGTGTGATCTTGGCTCGAATGAAGGCGTGTAAAAGTGTCTACAGGTCAATTTTCAGTGAGCAGCTTATACGAAAAAAAAAATCAGCACCTCTCTGTTTACCTCCCATATATAATCAGCCAACTCCTCGGCTAACGATTGTACTGGAATTCGACTGTACTTTTCTGGTTGGCTCATAAACCACTGCTGAATGTCCAGCAAGCACTGCAACAACAGCTCCCAACTCTCCCATTCAATCTCAATACCACCTTTGGACACGGCAATAGCACGGTATACATTGATGGCGTCCTTGTACAGTGTCACCAGTCCTTCCCAATCTGTCACTTGTTGCACATTAGCCACCATCATGTCTCTGCTTCCACCACTCTTTCGAGGTGTACGATCTTCAAATATCAGCTTGATCATCAGCAGGTATCGTCGTAGAAACGTGTTGGCGTCCGAGTACTCTTCTTCGTTGGCTGTTTTCGCGGATGCTGTGGGTTGTGGTAGAGACGGCAGAGGAGGTTCTTCATTGATGGGCGATGTGGACATGACTTTGGATGGGGAGATGATGGATATGTTGTCTGTGGAATTGGACACAGAGGCTGTGCTACTGGAGCGAGTTACTGCACTGCCACTACCGCCAGACCGTCTCAGGAACGAAGGTCGCTCCTCCTCACTGCCCAGGATCCAAACACCCAAGATATGAATGGCGCCTCGTGTAATGTCTCTGTACTGCGAATTGGAGCAAGGCAAGATCAATGACTGGCGGATGATTTCGTGCAGCATTTCTCGGGTTTCGTGTGATGACAAGACGATGGACTTCAAGATGGGTGTTGCTGGTGAGGAAGAAGGCGTTGTTGCTGCTAGTGTATGTGACAAATGTGGCCAATGCGTATTCGACTGATGGCTATTGTTATCGAGACAATAGCCGATTAAAAATCGCAACAATGATCTCAAAATGCTGGGAGGACATGAGGGAAATCCACATACTAGAGTATATATATATATATATATATTAGCATACCTTGTATCCAGTTCAACTACTGCCTTACCTCCTGCTTTGGACGTGCCCTCTACGTGAAGTGATTTTGATATAAGAGGAACAAATTTCGTCATGTAATGTGTCTTGAAGATCTTGAACAAAAATTTGGCACTGGCAGTCGCTGCATCGATACCAACGCCTGTCGCAATACCGTCGTCTGGCTCAAAATGATCACCTGGTGGATAATCGTACTCGTCTGGGGGTGGCGGTGAACCTGCAGCTACAAATGCCAAACGCACGAGATTGGATATAAAGATGTGTATCAATGCAATTGAGTCATTAAATGTAGGTTGCACAGGGTTGGGAAACAGAGGTTGAGTGTCATCTCCCAAGATCAGGCGCTGGCGTAATTCAATAGGGCTCGATCTGATCTTGTCATCACGCTGCAAGCCGTGGTTGATCTGCTTATCGGCATGGCTTTCTCTCAGCTTCTTGACAAACTGCAGTCCACTGGAGTGCAGTTTGCTGGAGGTGGGGGGCTCTTCTACGTCTTGAATGTTGGTGGGTGATGTCAAATGCGTGGTGGCATGCATTGGTGTTGGAATAACGGGCGTGGTGTGTGTGGTGTGGCTATTGGCGCTATTAGAGGAAGTATTGTAGTATTGTATCTCGTCCAAGACAAACAGATCCAGTGAAATGGCATTGGCAAACAAGTTCATACATTCAGGGTATTCTACAACTTGGTCATTGAGCCATAATAAAAGCAGTTGGAATCCAAGTGCTCGCAGTCTGGGATGGTTTCCGTGATCCAGAACGTAGGTGAGGATAATTGCAATGTTGTGTCGTTGCCAACCATTGCGCATCAATTCGGGCACGTAGAGAAATATCTTTCGAAGCAGCAGCAGTGTCTTTTGGAGGCTGACGAGTTCTTTGCTGTTCCAAGAGGTGGGTCTCTCTGATTTATCTAGTAAAGGCAGTGTCATGTCAATAGTCAAGGCTCTACATGAAATAAGTAAAGTAGCTCTCATTACGCTTGATTTTCTCTATTTGATGGATGCAAGTCTCGAAAACGACTTGAAAGACTTGCTCTGCGTGTTCTTGAAAGAATCTTGCCTGGTCAAACGTATTGGTAGCATCTGCTCACTTGTATTAGCATAAACGATGCGCCAACTCCTAGTGAAGTGCTTACCTATGAAACTCCATAAACTTTGAGCTCTGCTCTTGGTCTTTTGCCTCTCATCCAAAAAGTTCTTTGCCTTCTTTTTGAGCTTTTCAGGCTTATCGTCTTTACCACTGGAGAGCGTAAACGTAGACGTAGAAGGCAAAATAGGAACGTCCAAACCAAGGGTATTAGTATCCATAGTGTCGCTGAGGATGGATTTGGGCTTTTCAGGCAGAGGTGGTGCTGCTGCAGACGATGAGGGCGGCGCAAATCCCTTCTTGGACGTTGAAGAAGAAGGCGCTGCTTTTCTCATAGTGAATGATGAGAGCTATAATGCAACAAAATAATAGAAAGAGAGAGCAAAAAGTAAAATTAAACGGAAATTCACAGCCAACGGCAAAAAAGATTCGTATCACACTACTTGCTCAACTGCAACACAGTTTCTCTCCTGAATTAAAATAGGCAATATCATGTACAGTGTATGCAGCTAGACTATTATTTGGCTCAAGTGTCTCCTGAACCAGTAGTACCATTACATTGTTTCCATCCTGCTCTAATTTCGCGTTTCTGTATTGCTCCCATCCACACTGAAATATGGCGGATGATGCAGCAGATGTTTCAATAGGCGCATTTAACAAAAAATCAAGCACACGGTTGGCAATTGGCAAGGCGTTGTCATCGTACGGTCTATATAGCAAAGTAAAAAAAAAAAAAAAAAAAAAAAAAGTGATGCCAAATCAATATCACATAGTACGGTATAATAGTCCACTAGATCTTAAGGCTCTCTTAAAACTAGCATCTGTTTGTTGCTTCATTAACTAGATGCCAGGGCAGTTTAGTCGACGCTTTTATGTTGATCGTCATCCTTGTACTGGAAATATCATACTTGGCTGATCATTGAAAATCTTCTTGCAACTGCTGATCTCATTGACTACATGAATCTTCAGATGATATTGGGCTGTGTAATGTCAGCAAAGCCAATTAATATAGTTTACATCTTTGTGATCTCCTTTGAAAAGTAAAGCGAGTAGTAGCTAGACATGCATATGAAGTTTGTTGTTCAACGAACCATCTTATAACAGACATTTCTAAATAGATTCTAAGCGCAAAACTTTTACAAATCAGCATTGATAGCCTTTAATCGGGTATACCACACTACTCTCTTTTAATAGTATGCATGTGTTGTATTATGGTATGCTAGATGGTACCTGCTGATTTATTCAAAATGTATATATATATATATATAAATCTAAATTTACGCAGAGGCATCAGCAAGAACCTCTCGAAGCTGCTCTAATGCGCTGTTTGCCCGATCACGAACATCTCGGCTTGTGTCGTTTTCCATGGTCTTTAGCTTTTCCTCGATACCGAGCTCTTTTAAACGTTGACAGCGCTTGACCAAGTCTATTCAATTCAAACAAGTTAATTGATTCATTCACTGCACTATTGTATAAATGCCAAGTACCTTCTGAATTCTCTTCTGAATTAGCCCATGTCCAATTGATCATACACCAAGCAGCAGCAACTCTCACTAGAGGATCCTCATGTCCCAAATGATGAATGACACTATTGACAATATTTGGGCGGCTAACAAGAGCCATTTTTGGGCCCTCGGCATTACTAGACATATTGACTACAATGTAGAGTGCTGGCACCAAGGTCTATCATATATCAAATCTCTGTTAGTTGGTTACAGTTCATTTGGATTGCTGGCAGTCTTACAGAGGCAGTGGTTTCTTCTTCATCTGACACACCCATATTCGATGTCACCTGTAATTTACTTTCCAGTACATCCAGTAAATCGTCCTTTCCAATGCCTTGAATGACCCAGTCTGTATCCTCCTGTTTACCAAACACTAAATTACGCACAATCTCCAGGGCTTGTTCTTGTATAGCGAGACTGGAGTCATGCAACAATTCGATCAACGCATTGTAAGTCAAAACATCCATGACGGATTTCTTTGCCTGAAGATCAGCTCTAAATAGCAAATTGTTTAATGCCCAAACACCATTGAGTTGGAGGGTAGAATCGCTGGAACGAGAGTATTCTACAAATCGAGCAATGGCGCCAGCTTCAATCACGCTTTTCTTCATGGGTGAGAACTCGAGCACAAGATTGCACAGGGCACCACAAGCAGCAGCCTGAACAACAAGCGATTCATCATACAGCAACTACAGCATTACAGTGAGCACACTATCCAACACCGTTCAAATAGACGCATTTACCTTGATAAGGGGTAGTGCCACACCAGCGTCGACAAGACTGGTTCTCAGATGACTGACACTGCGAGACAACGATTTAGCGGCTTGACAGGCAGCTAAGCGAACATGTTGCTGCTTGCTTGTCAGACCAGAGATGACATGAGGCAAGACTTTTGCTTCAATGGCCTGTGTACGACATTCTTCCTTCAACAAAGTAGCTGCAGCAATAGCAATCAGCGAGTTTTCCTTGATCTTCTCCTTTCTCTTTGCTACACTTCCCATGCCAGGTACTCCTAATTGTGCAGTTTCGTCTTCATCAGCATCCTTGGATGACACACTGGCCAAGAGCTCAGCCAAACGAGAGATGGCGTCCGCATCAAAAGCCGCCTTTTGCATTTCCTCGCTGTCCTTTATCAGGTCTGCCAATACAAGGGGTGCCCTTTCTTGTACGTCGTCTGTTGTGTCCTGTAATAACTTTACAAGCGCTGGCAATACAACAAGTGTGATTTCACTGAACGGCTCCTTAAAGACACCAGTGCGATACAGGTTGGTCAAACTATGTAGGCCCATGTCAGTTCATCTCCTTGCTATAGCGCCATATCCCAACTTACCATGTGGCAGCAATCAATCTCATGTTGGGGTTTTTATCCCTCACGAAATCAAGAATGGTATTTGTAGTCAATTGGTTCGAGTTGAGGGCTACCAGTGCTAATTAGCCATCTCATTGCTTGTCAGATCAGTAACTACTTACTTTTTGATTTAATGATATATTCACCCAACACTTTGTTTTCACGGCATAAAGTGGCAATGGCATCGAGCGAGGCCTCCTGTGCTTTGATACAACCGGAATGCAGCAGATTGACTAGAGGCTGAATGGCCCCAGCTGTTTCCAATTGCAATTGCTGTAATGGCGTGTCGCAGCATTTTGCAATAATGGCAGCTGTGAACTCTGCAATCATAGCGTACGATAATCCTTCCGATGATACGTTGCCTTGAGGCTCGCTTGTCAAAAAGCTGGAGGTGGTGTCCAACAGCGTGACTAAATCATGAATGTGCTTATCCTATGCAGTCAGGTAACGTGTTTAGTCGCTGACTGGTTTCGACGGCTGTCTGTCTACTCACTGTGAAAGTATCATATTTTACTGTTCTTGATGATGCGAAAATAGCCTTCAACGCTCTTGTAGCGGCCTCAATCAGTTTTCTTCTTTCTTGAATAGCTTCCAGAATAGGCTTGTTGTCTGGCAATTCAAGTGTATCTAATAAAGGAATCACAGCACCAGATGCCACCACGGCAGACACATTTTCGTCTTTTCCTGCAAACAAACCCGTGTCAATGTTGGGTATGCGCATAAATTCAGGTTGAATGCTACAAACCATAAGCTATGCTGCCGAGAATGGTAGCTGCCTGTGTCTTTAGATTGTAAGACGAGCTATCATCTGGCAGCGACAAGTATTCCACAAGTCTACGTATGCTTTTATTAGATTTCAAAGGGTCGTATCTGGGTCAGTTGCTTGAATGTTACCTTTGAACAACGCCAAGCTTAATGTACAATTCCTTCTTTGTCTTGTTTCCAATGACTGAATTCTTGATAAATCGAAGTGCTTTCAATCGTTTAGCGTCGTCTTGAGATGCAAGCTCTTTGATGGATTCTTCGTATTTGGATGTAGTCATTTCTTTTCGAATGAATATAATCTATGTGGAAAAAAAAAAGGAAGGATTTTTCTGTTGGCCGTGGTTCCCGTTTGCATTTCTATTTTTTCCCTTTTGACTCACAGCTCAAATGGAAAATTGGCCTCGGTTTGTGTAGGACAGAATCAGAGGGAGAAAGAAAGAGAGGAAGAGCATTGTCTTATACTTTAGGGCAGATGATTGGCCTTGGTTATGAAATGTTTGTTACATTTAGAGTCAAAGCAACAAACATTGATCAATAGACATAGAGTATTTGGATGTATCTAGTGAGGGGAATCCATCTCTTATTCTCGCACACTTCGTATATGCTTAGCATCCAATCCCAAGTTCAATCAGAATAGTCATTTGAAGAGGAGGTGGGCGGAATGTGTGCTAATAGGTTGACACTTGCAGTGTTCCTATAAGCGATCTGTAAGATGTTCAACAGAAGAAATATTCTTCAAGGAAGGCAACATTGTTGTTGAGTGGCTGCCATGTATCTATGAAACACACATCTCGTCAATAGCTGTCATAACGGCAATGGCCAAACAAACGACACAGCATTCTAAACGAATACCATAAAAGGTACGCTGTGCTGATCGTATCAGTGGATGATGCAAATGCATTGGATGAGTCACTCCTGCCAGAAGGATTGAAGCCTGTAATAAAGGAAAAGTGAAACCATCTGTATCAAGTCTCATGTTTCGCATTATCTACAAGATCTAATGCTATTAATATAGAGTGCTTGAGCAGAAACTGAGCATATAAATGTGGGAGACTGTGTATACTCGGTATTGGCTCTGATTTACTATTAAACATACCAATACTGGGATCGATTTCAGTACTCTGCCATTTATCTACCATGTTTTAATGTGTCGTATTAGAGATAATCAGCACCTGTTCTACAATTTTCAGTGTATCAAAGGTCTCGTTACAGACGCTGATTGTTGTACTATGAGTCATTTCCATTGAAAACGATATCCACTGAGACCCAGAATTAAAATACAAGTGCATTGATGTTGCAAGTGTTCTTTGCTTTTCATTAGCTCAATATGACGGGGCCGCCCTAAACCACAGACGGGTCAGATGCTTTCGAGGGCAGCGGTCAAAACATTTAAATGGTATGGAATACATTTACCCGACTCGTTTCGTTCCTGTTTGGTCAATTTTAGTCTAAAAGAGTTAATGCTACAGTAGTAGTTTATTCAAAAGAACAACATCATGACACAGTTGATGCGACATTTCATTGGATTATACAAAATCAAGTTTGGTCACGATCAATGACAGGACGAAGCACTGTAAATACAGTTTCTCGTCGATCTCATCATCCAACGATCCAGAGCCTGAGCCTTGTAAAGCTATGAATCCTTCTTCAACGCTTAGGCTACAATGATTTGTGTATTGTATTTGATGAATTCTTTCTTGATTTGAAGGTCAGAGATCAAACAGCTGGCAATCAGATTTCATATCCGTCAAGCCAACCAAAAGCCATAAAGATGAGATAGGATCCTTTTTTTCACTATAAAAATGGGGTTTCCTGATATCCCTTGAATTCCTTTTTTTTTTTTTACTCTTTCAAATCTCTTTGACTTCATTTTCCGATTTATCTACTATGGCATCAATCGTTTTAGGCAGTAGAGATGATCGCTCTCCATCTACTACCGAGAAAGATCATCCCTCCTTGACAAGAGATCTTTCAGATACCGAAAAATTATCCATCGCTTCTAATGAGGCTTACATTACACCCCCTGATGGAGGCAGAGGATGGTTAGTCGTAGTCGCCTGTTTTATGGTATGACATTCAGAGACAAAATGAATGGATTTGTATGACATTCTGACATTTAATTCGATTTGAATCAAATTTTTACATTAGGGCTTGTTCTCCATGTAAGTTGATTGCGAGTATTGATGGACAGACGATCTCGATTGACTGACTGACAGTATTTGCATAGCTTTGGTTACAATTACAGTTGGGGTGTGTTTTTGAATTACTACAAGACCAATGTCTATGTGGGTCAAATGAGTACTCTTTCTTGGGTGGGCTCCATTTGCGTAGCCTTGTTTTTCATTACAGGTCCCTTCAATCAGCTGCTCATTGAAAAGATGGGCTTCAAGTACATGCTGGCTACGGGAACTGTCTTGTGCTCTGCTGCCTTGATCTTGGCTAGTTTTGCTACTCAAGTTTGGCACATCTTTTTGACTCAGGGTGTCATGTTTGGCCTGGGTGCTTCGTTTGTCAGTTTGCCATGTATCGGCGCCCCACAACAATGGTTTTCAGAAAGAAGAGGTTTGGCCATTGGGTTAGCTATGTCTGGTTCAGGTATTGGCGGTCTTTGTGTAGCTAATATCAGCATGGCTGCTATTGAGCATGTTGGCTACCGCTGGGCTCTCCGTATTGATGGTATTCTGGTCTTTGTGCTCTTGTCATTTGCCACTTGCTTTGTGCGTCCGTTTGGAGATGTCAAAAAGACAGGTGGTGGACGCAAGATCTTCAACTGGTACCTGTTCAAGAACCCCATGTTCACCGTTATGTTCATGCATGGTTTGATCACTACATTTGGCTACATGACACCTTTCTTTTTGCTTCCTTCTCACGCCAATGCGCTGGGGTTGGATCCCTGGGTAGGCGCTAACCTCTCTGCCATCATGTCTGCCGTCAATGCGGTTGCGAGAGTGTTTACAGGCTATATGGGCGACAGGCTAGGTCGCTTCAACAGTCTGTTCATCTGTACCTTTTTGTGTGGTGTCATGTGTCTTGTGATTTGGATCAATGTTCACAACGAAGCAACTCTCTGGGTCTTTGCCATTTTGTATGGCTTCTTTGGTGGCGGCTACATTGCTCTATTCCCCACAGTTCAGCCTCAAATTGTGGGTCTGGAGCACATTGGTCCTGCTATTGGTCTGCTCTATACAACCAACATCTTTGGTTATATGTTTGGTACGCCCATTGCCTCTGTATTGATCAATCTGTCAAAACCTGCTAACTACGTCAATGGTGCTATTTGGGCGGGTTGTACTATCATTGTTGGTTCACTTTTCGCAGGCTGGGTCCGTGTGATGAAAGGTGGATGGACATTAGCCAAAATTTAAAACATTTTATTCGCATTCTTATATTGTATTTTTCATTCTAATTTTTCAACATGTCATACCATTTCTTATCACTTATTAAGTACAATAAACTACCTCTTTCAAGCGGTACAGTACAGGTCAAAATGCGGCGATGCCTCTTTACATGATATGGCTGCAACAATGTGTAAGATAAAAGGTGGTTTATCAATCTTCACTATATATATACTGAAAAACTATGTTAAAAAAAAATAGACATTCTTTCAAATAAAATTCTAAATAATTGAGAGCTGGACGAAGGTGAATAAAAACCACAGGAGAAGCTGACAATGGGGAGGGGATTTGGGAGGGAAGGGGGGTTTACCGTAGCGAAGCAAAAAAGGTGCAAAACCGTAGTATTCAAGCAGCAAATTCGGGTTTTCATTTCCATTGTTAATAAGCTTACCAGCAACATAACGCATCAAAATCTGCATGAATTAGCTTTACCAAAATCAATATGCCTCCAATTCGAATTAAAAACTGTCCAAGCTACAGAACTGTCTTTCTAGTAAATTGCAGCTACCAAAGATGTAATTTATGCCGTGTAAATAAACTATAATATAAAGCAATGCAACATAACCAAATTGGACAGCTTTTAAGCCTTCATATCTTGACATGTAGGCATTTCTGAGCCACTGGAATAAAGCCGAACAATTGTACTTGAGTAGTAGTAACGTCCTGACACCTTGGCTCAACTTTTTGGGCCTAAAAAAAACATGGCCAAAAATCGACCAAAAAGCATGAGGGGTACCTCATGGCTTTCTTCGAAAATCAAACGATCGCATTTTTCACCTTGAAAATGAACACCTTTACTATGGTATATATCAAATCAAAATGTTTCTCTCGATCCAAAGCAACCTCTGAAACCACTCTTATGAGACTTTCATATGTAAAATATGTTTATTTTCGCTAAAAACCTCATTTCATATTTTATTAGACTGCTCAATAAGTTCAGTCAAAACATTTATTACAATTAGCACCATTGGAAGCGCCTCGAAAAGTACTTCAAGAATGTGTTAGGAAATTTTTTTTTGTAGTTAATATTTTATTTTATTCAAATATTATTTTTTGAGGGACACATCGCGGAGTGGTGGACCTCGAACAACGAACTGACTATCTAATAAACGATTATGTGTTGGTCGGAAGCAGTTTGTCAATAAGACAAACTGTCCTGGAAGGAAAGCGCTCAATTGAGGCAGCGGAGAGGGGTGAAGGATTTTGGCTACCGTGGAGCCAGTATAGATTCCACATCTGCCAGAAAATGGTAGAAATGACGGCAATATACTTGGATCGATCTTTGATAAAGTGAGGGAGATGCAAATAACGCACTGTGCCATAGATGATTTCAGATGTCAGAGGAAAGTTGGAGTAGTACTGAGACAGGACGGTTTGCCATAGTTGCCATTTGACAGGACAGTCGACAATAAAATGCCTCAATGTATCAATGCCTTGGGCACAAAAGGGACAGATGGGGGTTTCCACAGAGCCAATGGTGCGCAGATAGGTCTTATGTGGGATGCATCGCGACAGTGCCCGATAAAGAACCGTTCTGGCAGCAGGGTGGGCAGGGGAGGACCACAGTGCTTTGACCATGACATTGGTAAACCGATGTTCTGATGGGACCAGCTGTTGTTGCTGTTGGCGATATGTGCTGGGGTGATACAGCTTCCACTTATCGGTGATGCCCAGAGTACCAAAGAAGTCAAAGTTTGTCCAGTCCAAGCTGGAGTGGGAGGGGGGGTGCAGGATGTGGGGCCAGACACCAGGAACCAGATGAACTGTTTTGAGTACTAGGATTTCTTGGTACAGGGAGGCACAAAGATGCCGGTAGACAGGATATTCAGACGCAACACGGAGACGTAACCGTTGTTGATGGCTATCGAAGAGCAGGAACTTGTTGGCGGGGAACTTGGGGTGACGTTTGAGCCAGTGATCATCGTTAAGCCCAGTGAGGAGTTTGTGCAGAGGCAATCGCATGATGGTCTGTAGTGGAATGACCTCAACCTGGCGAAGGTCAGGGAACTCGAAGTAATCATACGATGCGAAGATGGAATGCCAAATGGAAAGATCCTTATGTAGCAGAGAGGACTTGCGGCATTCAGCATCGAGGAAAGCCATGTAGGGGAAGTCTGAGGACCCTGGGAGCAGTGACAGATGTGAGATCAAGAAAGGTAGCAGGAAAGACGGATACTTCTGCGGTTCGACGAGATAATTGAGCCAGCGTTTTTGGAGTATATGCTGTTGGAGAGAAGGGTCGAGAACGGCAAGACCACCCCTAGATTTAGGCAGGAAGATGAGATCCTTGCGTATTAACGGCCGCTTCTTTTTCCAGACAAACTGGTAGACACACGACTTGACCTTCTCTAAGAACCTTTTGGTCGGCCTGAGCATTCGAAGGCTGTACCATATTTTGGATAGAATCAGACTGTTGACAATGGTAACGCGACCCATGATAGACAATTGGCGTTGACTGTAGATGGCACATTGAGTTTGAACAGAGTTGAGCAGCATTTCTTCCGTTTGGGCCCGTTGCGCTTGGTTGTATGCAAAATACAGACCCAAGTACCGAAAAGCCGCAGTGGAGCCTTGGTGGTGGTAGGTGTGAACGTTGATTTCTTCGAAGGCCCTCACCCATGCCAGCGACCGACGACCAGACAGCGAAAAGGCCTCCGATTTGTCTTCGTTGAACTTGGCATTGGACACGGCGGCATAGTTGGCCATATGTTGCTGGAGACGATACAGATCTAATTCATCGCGAAGGAGGACACAGACATCATCCGCGTACGCAAGGCATTTGATCGCCGGAATGTGTTAGGAAACGTAGGGTGATCATCACAATTTACATAGTCGAATATCATAAAATAGAAGAAAGAAGTCGAAAAAGAACGAAATCTGTCCAATCTTGAGCAGAAAAAAAACAACTGAGTCTGAATCAATTTTGGCGGCGGCGGCTTGCTGCTGCTGACCTGAATGCCTTTCTGTTGATGACAATCATGATTGCGATGCTGATTAAATAGTATCATGGAAGTGAAAAGACAATTGCTTGGCTCAGATACCTTTTTAGGGAGTTTTGTCTCATAAAGGTGTCTTTTGCAATGACAATATCACAAAAAAGTCGCTGTAGATCTTACACAAACTCTGTCTTCACTTATGACCAGCTTCATGTCGCCATCTTATCAAGAGCATCAGCAGCAGCGAAAGGGGCAACAGCTCTACCATCAGAAAATGGAGATTGTGGTGTACAAATTCTACATAAAACTTGACTTTTCTTTCACAGCGTCTCAATAATAGGCTTCGTATGATATCAGTGTAAGCAAAAAGTGTACCGAGGGAGATACTTCCTCTCCTCCTCCTGGCTCTAATATAACTTTTCTTTTACTAACTAATAATTGGCTGTTTAAAATATACTTGATATACCAAAATGTTATAATATCTGATTTAAAATGTCTTTGGTGAGAGCCCACAGGGCGACGCCGAAATCGAGCATAGCGTGATAGATCGGCTAATATCCAATATATAGTATCATAGAAACCAAAAATCATTATCTTCAGTATTGCTGAAACCCTGTTTTCTCAGACTGTGATGATCGAGTAAAAGTAGGGCTTATCTAATACACAACAAATGCGAATATAAGTGTATCATTGTGATACATAAATATCAATCGTGCTTCCCCAGAAGCGATAACCATTAAGCTTTGTTTTTTGACCTGGCACACTCTTCTTCACGCCCTCTCTTCGAGCCTTCTTATTAGATGCCGGCTTACTTATTTCAAGGAAAGGTTTAAGATCGGCAGCCAAGTCTCTTTTATGCAGAATAGTAGCAGCAGGCTACTCCAATTGCTTGTCTAAATCAAAGGCAAGGTTAACACTAGAAGCAGTAAGATAACAATTCGTTCTTTTACTCTAAAAGAGAGTGGCTTAAGCATTGGCAAGAAGGGCATCGAAAAAGAAAAGACGGATGTAAAAGCTTGCTTGCACGTCAAAATAAGGTTAAGACGAAGAAGAACGATGAAGAAGAATCCGCGCCTTATATATACCGAAATAACATTTAGTCTGCAATGCATGTAGCTTGAAAATCTGTTGTTCTGTTTATCACGTAGAAGACCTCCAAAAGCAATTTATAGTCATGGATCTGACTCTTTATAAATGCTTCATGTCTGTATCAATGAATGCAATTCGTATGTGAGCATAAGCCTCGCTTATATTACCTCTAACTACTCGACAGTATGCAAAACGCAGCAAAAATTGGGTGAATTTGAGTATGTATTTCTCGTGCTAAACGCCGTTTTAGACCGCCAGAATTGCAACAAACAATTGCTTTCAACTAGCACTAACTTGCTGACACCTTTGCTCAACTTTATCGAAACCAAAAAAAAACATCGATAAAAATCATCCAAAAAGCATGAAGGGTACCTCATGCTTTTCAATGAAAATCAAACGATCGCGTTTTTTACCCCAGAAATGAAGACTTTTGCTATGGCGTATATTAAACCAAAATGCTTCCCTTGAACCAAAGTAACCGCTGAAACATTGTTTGAGGGATCTTTATATACAGAATCTCGACATTTTGGGCAAAAACCTTATCTCATATTTTCTGTTATTACTCAATAAGCTTGTTAATAACACGTCTCATAATTAATACCATTGGATACGCCTTGAAAAGTACTCCAGGAAAGCGTAAGGGTATTGGGATGATCACCACCATTTATATAGTCGATTCTGTCAAAATAAGTCGAACAATGTCCAAAAAGATCCAAAATCAACGAATCGGGCAGGAACATGGCAATCGAAGATTTAATCAATTTTGGCTGCGAAATGCCTCCGGTGGTGAACGTAATCAATAAAATGGGAAGTGCGACTTGAAGAGTACTACTATAGCTTAGGTGTCTATGTATTTGTTAGATTCGATAGCTGCTAATGACTACTGACCAACCGAAGACTAGACAATCATCCTCATTCCATATAAAAGATGCTGTGGTCCACACACAAAAACACTGCAAACGTAGTAAGCATCAACGTCATGTCTTGCTCAAAGGATTTAGGTATATTAGAGCCCTGTTGCATACTAACTTCAGACCACTTTGGTAATGCGCTTCACATGTGTCCAGTCACTACAAAAGGTATGCTGATAATATCAGAGCAAAACAAATTTTAATGGTATTGGATGAGCTTTTCTGATTTCTATCCACAACTTTGTATTAAGAACAGCCAAGGATACAATATAACAATCTGGTATTCTGCCATACAACTGCCAGCCAAATCAATGGCATAATTTTCACAATGTATCCAGTGTCAATGAGCATAGCGAATTCAATACGACACCTGCTCTCAAGGACAGGCAGCCGTAGCATTCTTCGAAAGTGGAAGGAAGAGATCTTTGCATTTGATATGAATTGCAGGAATTGAACAAGAACTCAAGTTGGCTATTGACACAAAATTCATTCGTATTACCTTTCTGGACACTGCACAAGGCGTTATATTCGCTCGAGAAGTTCAAGGACCAACATTTGGCTCATCGGAAGAGTGTAGTAGATTGCATAGCTTTAAATATTTATAGTCATCTATCCATAGCGAGAAAAAATATGAGTATTTATGTACAGCTTATCACAAACAGATACGCTTACCTCTAATACCATTGCTCGCGTGCAAAAAGCTCAAGAAAATGCTAGATATGCAATTTGGTGGTGTAGATCTCGTAGACTCCAATCTGCCACAATGCTCTTCTTTTGCGATATATATATATATATATATGTGTGTGTGTGTGTGTGTGTGTGTTTTTGCTATGGAGATTTTCATCTTCTTCAGCGTAAATGCAGTAAGTAGCATTTGTGGTGCCTGCATGTATGAAGCAGAGTGCATATACTACTGCAGACTCAAAGTTCTTGAATGGTTTATCCGAAAACAGGATGGCGACTTTCAAACGCGTCGCAAAAAAAACAAATTGAAATTCCAGAAACTGAATTTCGCATTTTTGTTCTTTCCTACCCATCTTTTTCTAATTGACTTTATTGCCATGAATGGCTCAATTCAAAACAACAGACTTAAAAAAGAAATAAGTAGGTCTGATAGCATTACGGCTCTGTGCAAACCATTGATCAATCGTTTTTTTTTTACGCAGTGGACTTAGATAGGGATCCACCTCCAGGTATTACTTGCTATCCCAAAGATGACAATATAACCAAACTGGAAGCCTGTAAGTCTATGAAACTACGATTGAATTGATAGCAAATTACTCATAGCCAGACATCAAAGACATCAAGGGCCCACCAGACACACCCTATGCAAAAGGCCTGTTCAAACTGGACGTGCTAATGCCAAACAATTACCCGTTTGATCCACCTCAAATTCGCTTTGTTACTCGTATATACCACCCTAACATCGATGACGCTGGCCGCATCTGTGCAGATATTTTGAAAAAGGGCGAAAAAGGCAGATGGAACCCTGCATTGAACCTGAGAACAACATTATTACTGCTAGCGCAATTATTAGCTGAACCCAACCCAGACGACCCACTCGATGCTCAAATCGCCAAGGAATATCAAATAGACAAACCCACATTCGATCAAAAAGCCCTAGAGTATACTCTCAAGTTTGCGAATGAGGAAGCTGTCATGTCAGAGAATCAGGATCAGGTAAGAGGGAAAATGGGCTTTTTGAAGGATCAGCTCTGACAGAGTGTCATGCTCGCATAGGAAGGAAATGCCAAATCTGAAGAAAATGTGGAATTGAAAAGCGAGTGTATGGAGAGCAGAGAGGAGGAGGAGGAGAAGCAAGTAGCAACAGAGACAAAGCATAAACTGTCATTATCACTGTCAAAAAAGAAGAACAATACAGGATCATCTCAATCGTCCACACAACGTTCATCTCAGTCTACTCAATCCAGCCTTGCTAGTGCTAGCTCACTCAGTCGAAAGAAAAAGCAATCAAGCCCAGAAAATACTGCACCATCTCAAATGCATAAATCTACCACCTCATTCAAAGTACGTGAATCATCCCTGTCCGTTCATACGCCTGATTCAACTGTACCACCCATATCGCAAGTGTCCATTACGAACAAAACCGAATCACCCGAGACATCTGTAGCCCAGATCAAGGAACCTAAAACAACGAAAAAGGCAAATGTGGATAGCGAAGACAAGGACAAAGTAGAAGAGCAGCAGACAGAGCGTGAGTGTTTAGTAAAGAAACCAGAGGACAGTGTCATTATGAGAAAAGCAAAGGCAAAAGATATCAAGGTAGAGAGTAGCTATATCGCATCAGGCAAAGCCAAAGCAACAAAGTCTGTACCATTAAATGAGCAGAAACCGATCAAAGAAGCACACGTGAATGTGCCAAAGCAAACATTGACAAATGATACCCAACAGCAACAGCAGAATATGAAAAAGAGACATGGCAGTGACATTATTGTTCTCTCAGATGATGAGGATGGCAGAGGCGTGGTGCATAGTTTGCGATTATCCAAAAAATTGAAACGAAGCACACTTTCACTGAGCAGGCAACGTAGATAGAAGCACGATCAATCCGAATCATTGATTCGTGTAACAGTTTTAGCACGCATTTGTATAAAATTCACCGTAATAGCACATAGAGTACACTAGAATAAACAACATGTTTAAACAGTAAGCATGTCAGGGCAGCGTTTGTGGGGTAAAAAACACCCACCCGAGAGTCTACTGAGTCAGCAAAAACAGTATTCCAGTCACTATAATTCCCAGGCTTCATACTATTTGTATACCAAATGCTGCTGGCAAGGTACATCTTTCTTGGGTCTCTTCTTCTTCATACTTTTTTTTTATACTAAAAATATATACCATGGCATCTTCTATTCCTTTGCTTGAGACGCTTGCCATTACTCTTTCAGGCACCGGCGTTGCTGAACTGGCATTCAACAGACCCACAAGATACAATGCATTGTCACCCTTGGCCTACAGAGTAAATGTCAAGCACGGACAGCCTTTATAGCATACTAACATGCCTGTCATTTAGGACTGGCTTGCTGCTATTCAATGGGCAGCGACGTGTGATGCTGTCAAAGTTGTTGTCTTGACTGGCCGTGGCAAATACTACACATCAGGTCAAGAATTGCAAGAACCCGACAACAGCCCCGAAGGCAAAGAATTTGTCAAGAAGAGAAGAGCAGTTACCAAGTAAGAAATACAAGCGCTGATCCATTGAATGGCCTGCTTACATGTGTATACTAGGACTTTGGTTGATGAATTGATCAATTTCCCCAAGCTTCTGATTGCTGGTGTCAATGGTACAGATTGAATATAGAAAATAGAAGTTTATTCAAAGCTAAATCAACAGAATAGGACCCGCAATTGGGTTTGGTGTCACCACTCTTGCATTATGCGATGTTGTTTATTCTGTTCCTGAAGCCACTTTTAATACCCCATTCATGAAATTAGCTTTCTGCGCTGAAGGATGTTCCTCTCTGTTGTTCCCTAGAATCATGGGCGTTTCCAAAGCAAATGAGATGCTGGTAAGTGTCCTATACACAGCCTATCTTCATGATAGCTCACATTAACGCAAACCACTAGCTGCTGGGACGCACATTCACTGCTCCTGAACTCGTTGAATGCGGTTTCATCAGTCGCCTTTTACCACTGGAAGGCTTCCACAAGCAAGTGCTTGCATTCGCTGAAGAAGCTGCTAAATTCTCTGCTGATGCTCTTGCTGTTACCAAGAAGTTGATTCGTGATGTTGATCGTCAAGAATTGCTCAAGGTGAATGAGGTAGAGATGATTAAATTGACTGAGCGTATGAAGGCACAAGACTCTCAAGATGCCATCAATGCATTCGTTGAGCAAGCCAAGAGAAAGAAGGCAGCTAAGCTTGCAAAGCAAGGCAAGAGCAGCAGACTATAATCCTTTTATCAACGAACCTTGTAACTATATAATGTAGCAATAAACTTTGATTTGTGATGAAGATTTACAGAGGCACTAGTTGTAGTCATATAATGTTTCAAAGTATAATGTTGCAATATATAGGCACAGACAACTTTTACTCAGTTCTGCCTACTCTTTTGATTCTATATAGAGCTTTTACTGCTATAAATCAACTGCGCACTCATGCCAAGCATCTCTTTCTAGCAAAACGATTCATCAAGGACGAATCCAAACACACTATATACAGTGCAAAGACAAAATATAATATGTATAAAGCTTCAATGTCAAGAGACCCAGAGTATTCTAGTCCTGATGTCCAAACTCCTGCAAGTCTGTATTCCATAGTTCAGGTATACAACCGATATATGGGTGCCTAGATCACTCAAGTCTACAGCCATATTTCAACCTTTGGTTCTCAAATAGTCATTTATCAATCGCACGAATAGGATCTATGTAAGCGTTACTGTTTGAGAAAAAAAAACATCGGAATGCACCATTCCATTGCTACCGCCAGACATCGTCTCGAGATCAAAGGGTGTCCAGTAACAAGCATCAAGTGTAATCGACATTTAGTCTGACGGAATGAAATCTAATGATAATACAACCTTTTAAAAGATCAACGCATGGCTCAAGCTAGACCTGAGCGTCGAAAAAGAATTTTTTCCTGGTTGATGACAGTCAGAGATTATCTAGTTTCTATTGGATATGTTGCCATTAGCCTTTAGCTACAACAAACAAAATTTCTAAACACAACGCACTCCACTCTAGACCCTCCATTGTTTTTCGTTTTTCTTTTCTTTTTCTCTTTCTTTTTTTTTTTCCTTCTTGTTAAATCATATTTATTCTAGACATCAAGCATGGATTCTCAACCATCATGTAAATATACAGCTATAACGAGATGAGCCAAATCACTAACATTTCCCATGTAGCATCCGGTGTAGATATCAAAAACAAGAACGGCAATCTTACTGCCCCTACACCCCAAAACACACCCATCAACCCTGCTCCTATTACTTCTAGCTACCGTCCCTCTATTCCCGCCATTTCAGAAGACATGGAGACCATCACAACTCAAGGTAATTGATCAGTAAAAATTTTTCGTAAGGGAGATTATTGAAACGCGAGGATTAGGCGCAGCTGACAATGGTGCTTCTGCTTCAGCCATCGCTGGTGCTTTCACCGGCAACCCTGCCCTCTTGAGCATGCTTCAAGGTAAATTAGGCACTTTGGTCGGTCGTCCCTCTGGCTACATTGATCAATTACCTGCATCTGTGAAGCGTCGTCTCAATGGTCTCAAGTATCTTCAATCCAAACATGCTGAACTTGAAAACAAGTTTCAAGAGGAAGTGTTGGCCTTAGAAAAGAAATACCTTCAATTGTATCAACCCTTGTACGATCAACGTGCTCAAGTGGTCAGCGGTACCTATGAGCCTACAGACGAAGAAGTGGCTTTAGGCGAAAAGGTCGATGAAGAAGAAGAAAGCGACGAAGAAGAGGACAAAAATGCACAAGATGATGAGGACAAGGACGAGAAAGACACACAATCATCAGACGCACAAGTCAAGGGTATTCCTGAATTCTGGCTCACTCTCTTGAAGAACCACCCCCAAATCGTTGAAACCATTACCGAAGAGGATGAAGGTGCTTTGAAACATTTGATTGATGTTCGCATGTCTTATATGGAACAACCTGGCTTCAAACTTGATTTCGAGTTCTCTGAAAACGACTACTTTACCAACAAGGTGCTCACAAAGACTTATTACTACCAAGACCATGCTTATGGTGGTGATTTCGTGTATGACCATGCCGAGGGTTGCGCCATCGATTGGAAGGAAGGTAAAGATTTGACCGTTACTATCGAAACAAAAAAGCAACGCCACAAGGGCACCAACAAGACCCGTGTTGTCAAGCGTACCGTTCCATCAAATTCCTTCTTTTACTTCTTCAGTCCACCCGCCATTCCTGACGAGGAAGAAGAAATCGATGAAGAGGAGGCTGAGGGTTTAGACGCCAAGCTTGAAGCTGATTATGAGATGGGTGAAGAGTTCAAGGATAAGATCATTCCTCATGCTGTTGACTACTTTACTGGCAAAGCACTTCAATATGGAGACTACGATGACGAGGAAGATTTTGATGTAAGTTGCATTTGTGTCCATGGCCTCATGATCTGTATATTCATGCGTTCTTGTATAGGACGAATACTATGAGGATGAAGACGATGATGAGGATGACGATGACGAAGAAGATGATGAGGACGATGACGATGATGATTCCGCCGTAAGTTGAATGTTGGCAACCTTTTGAATGTGTGCTAATTCTAATCATAGCCTGCCAAGGGTGAGAATGCTCCTGAATGCAAGCAATCTTAAACTGTTCATTATCTACGACCATCTTTATACTTTTAATCCAACATTACAATAAAATGCAATCATTAATCTAACCAGACGTTTTCGAATAGCACTAGAATGCATTGGAATATAGGTTGTACTAGCATCTTTTAACATGAAATGTTATCTCAACTTGGAGATCTATCTAAAGTGAAGGATATCTCAAATGGACCATCAGATATTGCATACGGAATACTTCATCAGCTCAATTTAAAGACAGAGCGATCTGTTTCTAGTGTATCGTAACTAAATGGGAAACATCACATGGTTTATACGAATACAAGATCACACGCATTATTAAAAATACAAGTTATTCATGTAGAGTGTATACATGTAATTAGATGATAGTAGGGGTTTTACAGATCATGTTGTAGATGAACGATGGTGGAGATCTAAGCTGACTTGGGCTGTCTGTTTCGGCTGTGAAGACCGCGTTTACCTAACGACAAATGAACGATGAACAACACAATAGTGATTACATGAGCATACCAATACACGCTGTTATGAGCCTGCACACCTCTGGAGAATGTGAGTAAATCAAAGCCGACCATAGCATAGGTGAGACAGGTTGTAGCTGTCATCCAGGCAAGTGCCTTCCAACAGTAAAATAGATATCGGTTTTGATCTATCAAGGGCTTGACAAAGGGAAAGTAGAATCTGGCTCGCAGAATACGCTCGACAAAGATGAATGCAAACTCCAAGAAGAAGGTTTCAAAATAGCCAAAGTGGAAGCCATGCCAGATGGCGAGGAACACCAGAGCGCCGAGCTGCGATAGATCCTTGTTTCCTAGAAAGCGAAGTCGCTTGAATACGTACTGTTTGACCCACAAATTTGTATTGATGTTGAATGTTGGAACCAAATGCTCGACAGAGGTCATCAATTCAAATTCTAGAGGTTTGGAATTAGCGAGACCCGAAAAACTGGGTTCACCTGTCTTGTCGTTTCCTTGGTATGTGATGCCAAAATACGTGCTAGCACCTAGTCCCAATGTATTTCATCAGTGGATCATATAACCACATACCGCCTTGTGCTTACCCTCTGTCAGTAACCACACACCAACGTATTTAACATATACCATTTTTCCGCACAACCAATAGTTGACATTGCGCTGCAGCAATGATTGAGCAGCATACTCTTTGGTGAGTATATAGGAAGTGGGATAGTATGCACCCAGTGTCTGCAGCACAATAATGTAGGCAATACCGATGGATACACAGCGCAGAACATAAGTAAGCTGAGCCTTTTCCACATGCTCTATGTTGCTGATATTCACGCCATTGTAGGGCCCAGACAAGAATCGACTATACAGTGAGAACGAGAATTGTGGTCCGATCAAGAAAGCAGATGGAAAATAGCAATATCCTAAAAACTCGTGCCATTTTGGCAAGTGTTGCAAAGGCGAATCAAACGCAAATGAATGAGGTCCGGTTAATCCTTGCTTGCCCTCACTGATAATAGCGCCGTCCAAGAAGTCCATACTGAATCCCATCAAACGCAAGCATAGCACACATTGAGATGTGGTCCAATTGATATCATATCCATCAGAGGCAGTATAGTAATAGCCTAGCAAAAGGTAAATCAGGTTGAATATCCAGACGGCGGCCGTGCCAGCACGACGGTTGTGGAATTGGTCGCCCAGATAGCATACATAGTAACTGATGGTGATGGTGACCAGTGAATGTATAATGTGGAAGCCAGCAAAGAAGAAGGCGAGCGCAAACCCGGTGCCTAGAATGTAGATGTTTCGAGTGGATCGGCTGGCATTGGGATGTCTTGTAACGTATAATTGATGGTATTTGTAGCCAATAGGATATGCAATCATCAGCGTCAGAAAGAGACGAATGCTAGACTCTGGGACGCCTATCAGCCATGAGATAGGCTCTGTGATGATACTGTACATTGTTCAAGGGGATGACAAGATGAAAGAAAGAGGGGAGCCATTTGAAATATGAGAAACATTTATACCTGAATGAAATGTGGCATGTCTCACATCTTTTAGCCGTGGATCTTGCAATGTATAGCACATTCAATTGTGATCTATTCGATAAACAGCCTCATCAGCTCGTTGAATACCGTTCTTGTTTGATCTGATAGTGTAACAATGCTTCGCATCGCTTTGATTTCATCAGAAGGATCCAATGTAACATTGATGACGTCCACGGACAACTCAAACTTGAAGCATTTAAGGTCCTCTAAACAACTCTCGACTCCAACGAAAAAATCTTGAGAGGTGTGCGCATTTCCCTTACATCAAACGTTTTCTTTTCTCTCTTGTTGCCAAAGCTTCGATAACTTCTTTACCTTTGTAACGTTTATATCATCCACACACTCTAGAAAATGTCTGATTCTGAAGTCTACTGTCCAAACTATGCTCCCTTCTTTGGGTTTGCTGGTGTATTTTGCGCTGTAAAGTATCATAGACATCACGCTTTAGATAAAAGCACCAAGCAACATGAATACAGTGCAACTAACACACCTTGTTTTATTATCCTGTCGATGTTTTAGATGGCATTTAGTAGTAAGTCTTGACCACACGACATCTAAGCGAAATACGTGTACTGATAATGTGAAACGATTTCACTCCTTATTGCAATAGCTATTGGTGCTGCTTATGGTACCTCAAAAGCTGGTATCGGTATTGCCGGTATTGGTTCCTTCAAGCCTGAGTTGGTCATGAAGGTACGGAAAAAGAAGCATGCATTTTGACTGATAGACAACACATCGTATTGACTGAAAGCGCGACCTCAATAGTCATTGATTCCAGTTGTTATGAGTGGTATCATTGCAGTTTACGGTCTAGTAGTTGCAGTGCTCTTGGCAGGCCAATGTAAGTGTCAGCACATATAGGAATACACAGATAAGATGCTCATCAAGTTTCGCCTTTGATACAGTATCACCTACGAGTGGATACTCTTTGTTCTCGTAAGTTCCTATTCAGATCGTACTAAACATGTCGTCTCACATCTATTCTGTTTAGCGGTTTCATCGCTTTGGCTGCAGGTTTATCTGTAGGTATGGGTGGTTTAGCTGCTGGTTATGCTATTGGTATTGTTGGTGATTATGTAAGTCTTGTCCGTCTTTATGTTTGTATTGTAAACTCATAGTGACATGTCCATAGTGTGTTCGTGGATATGTTAGAGAGAGCCGTTTGTTTGTCACTATGGTTTTGATTTTGATTTTCGCTGAGGTTCTTGGTCTTTACGGTTTGATTGTTGCACTCATTTTGAACGCCAAAGCAGACAACGGTGCTTGTTCTGCTTAAGCACTGTAGACAAGGAGAAACTCATGGAGATCATTTAAATGTATATAATCGTTCATCATAGTTCTATCTTTATTCATCGCTACCAAAACATCAACATACAGAACAATAAACTACTTTTTGATACCATGAACAATGTTGATTAATGCAATTTGCCTGATCCAAAGACAAAGCTGGTTTGCATGGCGAGAGATAAATGCTTAGAATCGATCAAACAAACTCTAGTGTCGCAATATTTATTCAACATTTATACTCGAATCCTTGAATCATCAAAGAATAATCGTAGTTTTACAAGCATATGAAGACATTTAATGTAATGCAAACCTCTAAACATATCAAAATGCCAAATTTGAACGATGTTTTTATTAAATGAAATAACAAAGAAGCGTATTTCTGTTAGTTCTCATGATTCATGTCAACCATGATTAGCAGAATCAACCAACGAGCAGGTCGAAATACATCTGATTCCATCCCCAGACCCCAACTTGTGAACTCTCTTCCCAACATCTTGACCTACAAGATCAGGCCTTTGCCAACCAGTTGCACGCAAAAGCCATCACATAGCAGGGGCAGCAAAGCCTTTTGTCGATACTTGCCCTCGGAATCTACCAGCCAAAAGTCTTCTAACACTCCATACTTGGTAACTGGGAACCAGTGGCCAGCAAGTAGCCGCACCTTTGCATGGCAGAGTGCTTTCAGTATTCCAGAACTTTATACAAGTCAGAACCAATTGCCTTCATGTACATGCATCTCGTTAAGCAATAAGCAAGGTGGACTTCTAGCCTAAGATACCTCCTCGCGAGCTTGGTGAGAGTAGTCACGATTTTCTTTTAGTGAGGCTATGACCTTATAGCAACACGTCATTCAAACACAGGTTAGGGTACAACAGAGGTGCAGCAACGCTTCCCGACGCAGGTGAAAATATGATTTACCATACCATATCCTCCATACTTACCCCGTTCGTCGTATATCTTTAACGGACCGTGGTAAAGATAGCTCTTCCAAGGGAACAGCAACCAACAAACTGTAGACTTGCTAAAGGCGCCCTGGCTAACTTGAAACTGTGCAGAATCCTTTCAGATTGCCAAGGCAAATAGAAAGTGTGCTAGTGGCAAAGAAAACCCCTAAGGAAGACCCCAAATGCCATGTCTCCCAAGGTTAATCAGACCCAATATGCAAAGATATCAACATGTACATAAAGACTTGGTTAGAGCTCAACTTGTTAAGAACTGACAAGAGTAGGAAAAGAGATAAAGAAAGAGAAAAAAAAAAATACAATTCTGCGGCATAATGTCGCGTTTTATGGCTACACACCGCAACAGTCCCATCATGCAAAATGGCATTGTATGAGCAAAAGCTATATACAGTATGTTGTGCGTTGCTGCCTATAAAGATTATTCTCATCCCAATGACCTCCTCATAACAACTTGTATCAGAACCTTTCATCAGCGCACTATGTTTGTGAACTGTAAATAATCATCATTTGAGGCTCAAATGCTGAAATTACGCAATATTTTATTCATCGATTCCTACTTTAAATCAGAGGCGTGTTTGCAATGTTGGTATTGGAGGCATTGTTGTTATGAGAGTTTGTTTTAGCAAGCGATAAATCAGTTTCGGCATACAGTTGCAGCAGTAATTGCCATTCATTAGCTAGTTTAGCCACAGATGCTCGCTGACTCCAAGGCTTTAGTTGCTCTCGTTTGTTCGCAGCCATCCAAGGCAGAGCAGGCTTGAATCCCATTGCAATTTGAACATGCACAATAGAAGTAATTGACTCAGCATGAAGCACATGGAGCACGGTAGATGTGGAGTTGTCTCGATTCATGCTGTTGAACAACATTTGACCAGGCACCGAGATGAAAGAGGAAGGTCTGCTCTTGGTTTGTTGCTTTGGTGAATGAAGACTACTATGGCCGCCTCCTACAGCACCAGAAGGCACACTGCCATCAACATCCGAGAATTCTGAAGCAAGATGCATAGACAATGAAGGTGATCCAGGTACAGGCGGAACATGCTGCGATGATATGTTGGAGGAACTGCTGAAACTAGGCTTACCAGGCATATACAAACCTAATCCGTTTGTGGGCGATGTGTCAGGCATCTGTATGCTCAGGGCATCTGTATCCTGGACATTGAGTTGTGGAATGATACCAATAGACGATGACTGATTTGTCGTGCTTCCTCTCTGTGGTTGAGACAAAGACGAACCACCACCCCAACTCTTCCATCGAGCACTGCTGGTGTCTTTTGCAAATGTTGGAGGCGAATAAGCACTACTGCCGTTGCCAAAGTTCATGCTGACACGAGGACTTGGGCTAGGCGGTGCATAAATGGACGATCTGCTGTTGCCGCTTCCTCCTCCCATGTCCAACAGTTTCTCATGAATAAAGTCCTTCAGAAAGACGTGAAGAGGACAGCGATAGCAGGTGACAAACTCCAGGAAACGCCATGTGGTAAAATCGTAGATGGTGCCAGTACTCAAAGGTGCAGTGAACGAGAAGGCAGTTTTACCATCAGGCGACGGGTTGGTCCAATTGGCAATGCCAGGCGACAGTACGCCACTCAATGGGCCACCCGGAGACAAGCTGCCTGTAACTGGTGTTGTGGGCATGTTGGGTGTAGATCGACCCGACTTGGGCTTGAGGAACTTGAGTGTCTGGCCAAACACCAGAGCACTCTTGATGAAGAAGGCAACTTGCACCCAAGACCCCTTGAGCTTGTTGAACGAGTTAGTGCCACGCACCAAGATGATCTTCATGGCAACAAAGCTGAGAGAGAACAGCAAGGCCACAGATTGAGGCGTCTGCTTTCCATCCTTGATGTCCGGGAAATCAGCAGCATCAATGCCATCTTGATTGGTGGTTTGGCCCATGCTTTGCGTCAGATGAGACAGCGAGAAACCAGACGTTTTGCTCTTCATTAACGAAGCTTGACTGCAAGCGCGAGAAATATAGTTGAGCAGACGCGTCCAGTTGCCAGTGGGATCAGGCCTGAATTTGCCCGACATGGAGGAGGAGCTCGCGTAATCCCACTGCAAGTTGTATTGCAGGCAGATGGGGATGATGATGTGAGCAATCAGTCCAGGTGTGGGTGCCAGTTGTTCAATTTCGCCCAAGACATCCTGTGTCGAGTTCTCCATGACAGCAATGATCAATCGTACCAGCGAGTTGCAGAAGCGATTGAAGCCCTTGGTGTCATTCTCCCAGTTGAAGCGAGTGGCAACCGTCAATCCAAAGAGGACAAACTTTTCATTCATGGTACCAGCAATGTCATGCATATTGACAGGTTTTCCTTGACCCTGCTCTAGTAAAATAGCCAAGCCCTCATAGAGATCAGACGCATCCATCGTCTTCCATTGCGAGCGGTATTGCGAGTTGATTTGGTTCAGCAGCTTCTTGAAGGATTTAGTGTAATTTCGGGTATCCGCCATGGAGTGCAAGCAGTCAATCAAATAGTCCTTGAGCCAGTCTGTCTTGAAGGTGATGCCCTTGATGTTGCCATAATCACGCATCACTGTACGAATGATGAAGGCCATCTTTTCATGGCACACTTCAGACAAGACACCATCGTATTTCAAGTATTCGTGCACCAGCAACACGAACTCCATCCTCACCGTCAGCTTGTCATTCTGCTGCCATTGCTTACCGTACGCATGTTGAGCAGATTCAGTACGCGATCCACTGCCCGGTACGCGGGTGTCATTATCGATGCCTGATGAGACGCCTTGATAGCCCAAGTTGGATGCGGTGGGATTAGCAGTACCCAGAGCAACCTTGGCATGCTTGCTAAACTTGGCAAACACATCAATCAGCGCAGCCATGCCTTCATCCACCAGATCTTTGAGTAGTGGTAATTTGTGAAAACGGGACATCATGTGGCGGAACAGCTTGACAAACTGCTCTGCACGCAGCGACCCAGCATCGTATGCGATGATGGTCAAAAACAGCTTGACAAAATTTCCCAGTTCAAACGACCTGTTGTTGTAGTTGTTGATGTCGAGTGGCGCAATGGGTGTGGTGACGCTTCTAGCCAAGGGTTTCAAGATGGCAGTCGACAGCGGAATTGCCATTGGATTGCTGGCTGCATCAATGCGCTCCTGAATGCTGCGTTCATGGTCATCCAATTCCACTTGCAGTTGCAGACCAAGCACATCAGACGTAGCGCCCAGATGAGGGGGATCGTGCATGGCTTGCATCAGCATAAACAGGTTATCCACCATCCAGGAGCCCAGTTCATTTGACTTGCCAAAGGCACTCAAAATGGTAGGCACTAGTGTCCCCAGCATTTGAAACACAAACGATTCTTCATGCACAGCGTAGAAGCGACACCACGCAAAGATGATGGCAGACCTTACCTGAGGAAAGCAATCCACTTCACAAAACACCTTGAACAGGGCAGGCAAAAAGGTGGTGTAGCCTCGGTTGGAGATGAACAGACGCTTGAATCGGGTTACTACACGCGTGTACAAGATCAGTGCCTGTCCAATGATGCCAAAATCACGGTCGTGTTCAGTGATAATCATATTGATGCCTTGCAAAATACGCTCCAGCTCATCGCGATCATTGTAATTCTTGTTTAAGCCATTTAGCAAGTTGTCCACAAAGCGTAGCCAGATACGAGCACGCAGCGCAGAGAGAGTCTCGGTGTCTATCTTTTGCTGGCTGGACTGTCGAATGGCTTCCTTGGTGTAGTCATCGTCGTCGCCTCGATCCGCCACAGTAGGGCCATTATAAACTGTCTCTCCATCGCCCTTGTAAATGTACGAGTTGGTTTCACGACGCTTGCGTCTATAAATGTCAGGATAATACGTCTCTTCTGTGGCCCATTTGGGCTCCTTCTTGGTCCCTGGAATAGGCGTCGGTTCGTAGTCTTGCAGTGTCTTTTTGACAGCATACACTTCACGAGGATAACGAGCCAAGTAGTTGGTTAGAAACTGGATATGACTGATACGCAACATGGCAACGGAAAAGATCTCGGGTGGGATATCCAGCACTGTGAAGGGCGTCTTGTTGTTGGACAGATAGCGAGGGAACAGGTCAGCAGGCTGCTCATGCGTGAACCAAAAGCGACCGGTACTAACAAGCAAGTGCTCAATCTTGTTCTTTCTCAAATCACGGATAGAGAGGTCGTTTGTGGAGAGCGTAAGTTCTGCCAGGATGGGATGGATCAGTGTCATCAATATGAGCCCGTCCTTCTTCTTGTTCTCTCGCATCAGCCATTTCAGCATACCAGCCAAGTAGTTGAACAGGATGTGCGTGAACCCAGGAGGCAGTTTGTGTTGCATACTGACCAAGTAGCGTACACGAGTCAACATGTCCTTGTGTCTGTCCAGCTTGAATTTACCCAAATCACTAAGAAACGCGCGCAGAAACAAGGCTGGATCATCACGCAAAAAATACTCGAGCAGTTCTCTCAAGGCATTAGAGGCACCACCGTAATCATCGTTCAGCAAATCCACCATACTGAGAAAAGAAATAGTCAAAGACTGGATAGTCGTAGCCCGCTTTCGACGTGTGATGATTTTACTGATATCAATCGCTTTACCGTTCTGTCTAGCTGCCACAAGTCCCGGGGTTTCATCTTCGTTCATGCGCTCCTCCTCCTCCTCCAAGAACAGCGATGGCAGCAAGGCCAGAGGAGTCAGCACCTTTTTGAGTGCTTCGTGCTCTTCGCCATTATCGTCATCGTCCCAACCCAATTCTTGGATTTGGCGCTTGAGTTCAATAGGGAAATTGCTGGCATTCTTGAGTTTAGCCATCCATCGAGGTTCATCCAACGTGAATTGGTTACTGCCGAGGTCTGTGGGGACAAAGGGCGTTGAAAAGGCACCACCATCACCCCGAAAAGGCCTTTTTCTGTTGGAGATGGGGATGTATTCTTGGCTAAGCACGTTGAATCTGAAGGCACTGAGGGAGGAGTGCTTCTGGATCACTGCTAATCGGCGCAATGGATCGCCACTGTGTATGTAGTGCATTAGAGTATGATCATCACAGCCTCTTCTAGTACGCTTACCTGTAGAAATCATGTGTACACACCTCAATCATGGTCTTGGGGATCTTCTCACCGCATTCCATCAATAGAAACACAGCTGGTATAAAGGATTGAGGCTTGCGATCATCCATATGACGCTCCCAAAGAGGCCTGACAAGACGGCTAAACTCGTTGGATGACAGTGTAGTAAAGACTGCCGCTAGTAATGAGAACACAGACCCGAAAGGATGCTGGTTGATTTCCTCCATATTCTCAAACTTGTATCTTGCCAATTTGAGAGCAGGTCCCTCTGCAGGCAGAGTATCTTGGCTGCTTCCGTTCGATGTTATTGGCGCAGTGGTTGAGGGAGGATCCAAGTCCAGCGACAGAGCAGCAGATCTGCTGATGGGATACATGGATTGGATTACTTGTTGACGCTTATGGCGAGGTACTTCTACAGAGCGCGTATCATCACTATCACCATCAGCCGTTTGTTGCAATACAGTGCCAGTTTTGAGTAGGGAACCACCGTAATCCTGCGTGTCATTGGTCTCAAATTGGAGCTGCTCCACTACATTCAGATAGACATTGTGTAGCCGCTGAAACATGTATGCTATATCTGACAGGTGTCCCGTATGTAAGAGTGGCATGGTGCTTTCAATATGCGGATTGTTGGGCGAAGGCGATTCATCTGGGTTGATGGTGGGCAAGATGTGATGATAGGCATGTTCAGGCGTGGAAACAACCGGTTGGACAGCCCAATCAATGACACGCGTCAGCCATCCAGGACGATGCGTGGTGTTGCAAAAGAACCTAATGTCGAAAAAGATGTTGCAAAGGATCACGCGCAATGGCATGGGCACTGTTGTCGTCTTTTCTTTGGCTGTCAAAAACACTGCTAAACGCCGTTCGAGATCAATCAGGAACTTTTTGGCAATCTCGTCTTCCTCCATGTTGCGATGAGGGTCTCGTTGCTTCATCCTCAGCTCCTTGACAGCCCACATGAATTCGGTTGCGATGGTGCATTGTCCCAAGTTGGTGCTTCCCCACTGAGCATCTTGTGGTGTATCGTTGACTTTAAGTTGCGGTGTGCCTGACCGAGAGCTAGCAGCAGCAGAGGAGGCTGCTTCTCGTTGTTGTTTCTTGGACACACCCACATCACTCAACAAGAGCACATTGATCATTTCAGCGTCCTGCATCCAAAACTGCACACCCGAGAGATAGCGACGCAATACAGTCATCAGTGTCAGGAGCTGTGATACTTTGTCCTCGTCATCCGATGCCACACAAGACACCACTGGCTTGAAAAAGAAGGATCTAAAGCGCTTTGACAATGCGTACAGCATATTACAAAGAGCAGGCAGTGCAGGTGGATAGGTGTCTACCAGTCGCTTAAATAAGCTGGGCAATGTCTTTTTGGCAATCTCCTCTCCCATGGCTGGATCAATGTGAAATACAAGGTTCTGATAGGCTCTTGCCACACGTTCGCCTGTCGCATCCTGATGCATGGATTCTGTGCCTGTCAAGATGAAATCCTTGTATCCTGATTTCCAAAACTCTTCGATATAACCCTTCAGTGTCATGAGTGTTTTCCGCATAGCAGCATCGTTGGAGTTGTTGACATTGAAGCTGTTGATGCTCTGTGCGTCATGTTGAGAGTCGATGATGGACAAGTTCATATTGTCGCTGTTGAAATCAGGCACAGAAGGTCGCGGGCTCAAGTTGGGTGATGAAATGTTGCTACTGCTGGTTTGAGGTGGAATGGGTTGTTCCTCCAAGCTGCAAATAGACAACAGGGCTAATAACATGACAATGACATTGGATGTCACCATCTTTTGTGTCTCATCCGTGTGTCGATTCGCCAGGTAGTTTTGAAGCTTGGCAGGTGATAGTTTGTCGACCACGAGTGGCAGTAGTAGCGATACAGTTGATGTCTTGATTTTGAGATCCTCCACACTAGCCATCAGAAATGTTTCGCACGCAAGTTCACTGATCAAAAAGATGATTTTGAAATAAGCGGGCTGTGCATCCAATTCAGGTTCAATCCAATATCGCTGCAGCAAGTCTTGCAACACCAGGATATCTCGAGCTCTTTCAATCAAATCAGCTCTAGATGCTTCGTGTGTGCCCTGATAGGGATCGCTTTGACTGCAAACGCCGACCATGGTGCATTTCAGCAGCCCTTCCACTACGCACAGTTGAGCAATGGAAACGGGTATAGAGTCTTTGGTGTGGTATTGAGCCCATGCGGGCCCAATGGGTGGTATAAGGGTGCCAGTGGCTAATGTATCCATGATGTGCAAAATGCCAGATCGTATCTCGTCTTGCTGATCCAAGTGCATAATATCAATGCTGCTCTCGTTGACGTCGCTTTCTCGGATATCGCTGTGTGTATGCGTTTCTGTTGATGTTGTTTGAATTGAAAGTTGAGCCAATGCATTGGTGAGGGTATAAACAAGTGAATGGTAAGCAGGTGGTGTAGAGGGTAAAAAGCTGGGAAGTTCCTTGCAAGGTAAAAGTTGTTGATTTAATACATTCAGCACTCGTTTCTGTTAGAATCCTGTCATGTCAGCAAACATGCTTTTCGATGGTGAGATCACTCCTATAGTCACCTTTAGTTTCATGTCTCCATGGCCGAGCAATCGACAACAAAACGTGAGTTGCTCAAAGCGTTCCTAAATATGCTGCCTTCAGCATTGATCTCATCCAAGTCAAATCAAAACTTACTGTTGAATCCAGTTGTGTGAATCTGCCTCTGATGTATTCAAAAATATCCAATGCTTGATGACAGTCATTCACTAAAAAAATAACAACAGTAAGATACGGCAATCAAGTACTGACATGATGAACAAGTACCTATCAATGGAATCCTGTCAAACGGTGCTGCCAATACAGCCAAAATCTCGCCCGTGAGTGGCAATCTGGTAGCTGATTTATGCTTTTTGATGGATTCCAAGATGGATGTCATGACAAACGATAATCGGGTCACTTCCTGTCGAAGCGGTTCCTTGATAGGCGTCATGGTGTCTGAATGCGGCGTGGATGATCCAGAGAACATGTCTGCTACTGACTGTCGCTGGAACACCGACTTCTTACCAAAGGTAGTAGCAGGCGTGCTGCTGCTGCTGCTGCTTTGGCTGCCATCTGCTGCTACTGTGGTGGATACCAGTGTGGATGCTGACTCTGCAAAACTGGCATGCTGTGATCTGGCATGCAACTGTATCAGTATCTTATCCAGATCACGTTCCAGACGGTATATGTCTTGTTGTACAGCGGTGGATGTGGCATAAATGACACCATTGTGATGTCTGGCAGGTCTGAAGTTGCGAGTAAAGTTGGTCATGCCAGCAGCTTGTGCAGCTACCAACGTCGTGTTGGCCAAAGTGATGTTGGGTCGACTCTCGCTGCTGGTATTGCTTCCGTTCATGTAGTTGTCGAATGTGGATGATCGCATAAATGGATTCAAGGATTTGTTCTTGGGTGGAGGTATGGCGCTGGGTTGGTATAGTTTTGGCGTACTGGAACGAGATGAACTGGGCGAGGAGTTGTTGGAAGAAGAAGGTGAAGCGACAAACGCACCATTGTGGTCGTTGCCATTGTGAAACTCACTCACATTTTCACGCAGCTTATCCCAAGCAGACAAGGGACTCTTTTTCTTTTTATCGCTCAAGCTCTTTTCAAGTATAGCATGTCGTAGATCTGCTGCTGCTGCTGTTGCTGCTGCTGGCTGTTTGGATGGCGGTTGTTCATGTGTGTAGTTGTCGTTCGACATGATATGTTATACACTGAAAAAGTAAGTGATTGCAAGAAGAAAATAATTTAGTCGGAACATGGAAACCGTAAATCAAAAAGGGCCAGGCCCTTTCAACTGATATATTGACACTTGAAACATTGTTAGAAGATTAAACGCCACCTCGTTTGACGCTAAAGAAACGCTTGACAACATGTACTTGCAAGCATGCCATGGCTACAATAGCACAACTCTCCAAAGAGGCAAACCAAAAGATGCGACTCTCTGTAGATGTCACTGTAGCAAAATCACGATTCTCTCTTGTACGCAAGTACTTTTGCTTGCGAATAATCTTGGTCACCGAACTGGCAATCCTTGCCAGCGATTTCTCAATTTCAGTTACCTTGGCTGGCTTGTCTTTATCGTTGCTGCTCGCTTGATAGTGTACAAATGCCTGCTCATTTTCTATGCTAATTTCCAAATCAAGCAATTTGTCTGCCCATGTAGACATGGTGTTGGAGAAACAAAATGAGTACTCGCCGACGAGGCCCGCAGAAAACACATAGTCGCCTTGCTTTTCTTCTTGTCCTTTCAAAACGGATTCTCCTTTGGGATCGAGAATATCGAAATCAATGTCGAATGCGCCACCTTGTTGTACCTTCCACCATCATTAGCTGATGTGTGTAACCTCACTGTCTACCAAAACTTACTGCAAAATAGAAGCCTACTTTCTTGCCTGGCTTGTCATTCCATACATAGAAGCATGCTTTTTCTTTGGAGCCAACCTTATAGGTCAATGCCGTTGCTTGTGCCGCTTGAGGTAGAAATGAAAGAGCCAGGATGAAGCTTAATACCGTGATACCTACCACTGTTGTCAATGGAAATCTCGCCATAGATGTATTTTTTGACACGTTGCAGAAGGAAAAAGAAAGCGCCTGAAATGCCAGAGTCTCGGATATCTAAACTCGCGCAACCGAAACATGTTAATGTGTGTCGAGATGAGCATTTGAAACTGTAGAGTTTATAGCCTGAGAAGAGCAATGGTGCTTATCAGTATTTGATGGCAAAGTATAATGTGTAATTGTCGAACTCGGCTATATATATATACAGTCTATTGACTATATGAGTGTTAATATAGATGATGACCTATGAGTAAATACCCAATCATATAGTGGAGACACACACACCAGTATGCGAGACGTCTATGTGATCATGCTAACCATTCTCCTTTTGTACGCATAACAGATTCAGTATGAAATGTCGACGACTATGACCCCGGTAGCTACCAAGAATAATGGTAAGTCTGCTTGTAACACGAAAAAGGTCAACCATTTACTATGCTTTCCAATCATCATTGCTGAGACTACCATCAATATGACCATTACTATTACAATCAACAAGATTCTTCCTGCCTTACATCTGGCTAGTATTTTTTGCTCATTAGTTGCGTTACCAACAGACTAAAGGCTTTCGATAGCTTGGTCAGTTTTATCTAAAAAGCTTTTTCTCAATCGAGACCTTTTCCTTCAGCCAATAAAGAACATTTCTGACATCGCTCTGGTGGCCCACATTCATGAGTTGGCAATATTTGATACAGCCAACGCAGTAGCATTCCAGTGTCGATAATCATATTTATTACCTTGGCCAACATCTGGCGATGTCATTTCTGCACTGTCTTCGATGGCAACCCATCACCACTACAGATGTACTGGCCTGTATCCGACTCAATATTTTAACACGCAACGATATCAGGCCCACCAAGTACTGTGATCACGCTGCATGCAAGCGCTCCAGTGAGCTATCCTTATTTTCCGTATATTCATCACTAGCTAATCGATCTCGAGCTCTCGCCGAAAGCATTTCAAATCAGAGATATAAAAACCTGGTATATCAACTAGATTTTAATCAATAGTAAAAGAAAGATTATACCAGAATCCGGAGGAGGTATTCCCCCTTTGCCTATACACTGATATCAAACGGCACCTATTATTGAGACAATGTGAAAGAGAGTTCAAGTTTTATGCAGCATTTGTATACGACATTCCCTTTCGTGTCACATTTTCTGGTAGTAGAATTGTTATGCCATTTGCTGGTGTTGCTCTTGAGATAGCGACATAAAGCTGACCATGCGTATACAGGACTTGTGTAAGATCCACATCTACTTTTTTGAGATATTGTCATTGCAAAATATACTTTTACAGGGAAAGATACTAAGAAAAACAAAGTATTCGGGCTAAGCAATTGCCCTTTCAGCTCCATTGTCCCTATTTAATCAGTACTGTCATTATCAGAAAGGTATTGGGATCAGCCAGCAGCAATGCCGCCGCCAAATTTGATTCAAACTCAGTTTACTTTTTCTGTTCAGGATTGGACAGATTTCGTCTTTTTCGACTTATTTCTTCTATTTTATGCCATTCGACTATATAAATTGTGATGATCACCCTATGCCTCCTAATACGTCCCTGGTGGTAGGGCGAAGTGGTAGAACTCCCGTATGCCAACGGGAGGATCCCCGGTTCAAATCCTGGTGAACGCAAGTTGTTTGATTTTTTTGACGTAGTACTGATGTCCTCGTTTGGTGATTTGTACTCTTATCCATGACCTATATTTTGACGATTTCCGCAAGACTGTACTGGCTCTAGGAGTCGCACCTTATTAGTAGTAGATTTCTTTCCCAACTTAGTTCAAAATTTCTTATTCCCCTTCTTTGCAGACATTGGGTCCACCAACAGTCTTTTCTATCCCTCAGTATGACATTTAAAGGACTTTAAATAAAACCTGGAGCTCGACTCCCCTACAAAAAAAAAATGCCTCCTAATACAGTGCGCGAAAAAAACGTTCCAGTGTTTTGCCAAATTGCACTTATAGCCAGTTTTCTCTGCAAATATCGAAGCTACTAGGGTTTGCTTAGTTTCATAAATAGCCTAAGTAGTTGGCTATCAGATGATATATTATGCACTTTATTCACGTAATTAGAAAAAGAATGGTAGCGTCATGAAAAGTGAAAAGTCGAATTTATAAAATTTTATAAAAAAGCTCAATATTTAGTTGGACCACCTTTACTCTTGATAACCGCTTTGATTCGGCGTGGCATGCTGCCTATGTATTTAAGACAGTCTTCTTTTATGAATTTATACCATTCCTGTTCAATTCTGTCTTCTAGCTCAGAAAGGCTGGTGGCCCTAGTAGGGTACTTGTTTAAACGACGTTTAGTTGATGCCAGACATGTTCAATGAGGTTTAGGTCAGGGCTTTGGGGGGGGGGGCCAATCAAGGACACTTTGCACAGAGAATCCGTGATGCGTGAACCATTTTTTAATGGGACCAGAAGTATGTGGTCTTGCGTTATCTTGCTGGAATCTAAACGTTTTCTTGTCCAGCCCATGGTACTCGATAGTATCTAGCAAAGATGAATCCAGAATTTCAGCATAAACTTCTGAGCTAACAGTTCCTTCGTTAGCGGTGGAGCCATAGCTGGGTTCCTCCGCTGTTATCATGCCCCAGAAAACAACGCCACCACCATCTCCCTGAACTTGAGCCTCAGTTTGATGAGTTGTTGTAACTGTCTGAAATACGTGAGAATGGATATGTCTTTTTATTTTCAGTAAAATCAGATAGATAGAAAAGGGAAGGGTGAATGTCTACTGCTATTTATATGTATGATTTATGGATTGCTTACATACCCGTCTAGAATGGTGTTCTCATGCTAAGTTTTAGTGTCAATCCTCACTTATGCTGAATGGTAATTATTTCAGATATAGATGATCAGTCTAAATATCTTTAGTAGCTCTTGGCAACGTTAATTACTTACATTCCTTATCTGCTATCTTTTGACATATAGAGAATAGCTTATCGAAACTTAGCTTATGTGAATATCATGATTATCGTTTACATGTTGAACAGCTTATTTACATATGCTCCATATGTGCATAGTTTATTGCTCAATTCAATCTACGACATTATGATTCAGGAACAGTTATATGTGTGAATACAACATGAGGCATCAACTCAGCGGGCCTGTCAGTCCAGTAGAAAGATTCGCCGTCAGATCCCCACATGTTGACCATGGTTTCATCGGAAAATCCCCATCTACGCCAATCGTCCGCAGTCAAATGTCGATGTCTCTTGGTTTACACAAGACGCTTTTTTCCGGTTCTCCGCAGACACGAAATTGGTCTTTATCTTTCTTTTAGCCTTGAACAACCCTTTGCGCTTGAGTATATACTGTATATTCCTCAAAGTCGTCTGAACTCCCATATGAGCAAGGTAGCACTGCACACCCTTGGGGCCGTCTAAATTACCATTGCGGACATTCCTCTCAATGTAGTTCATATTCTGCGTAGTGATTTTGCTGCGTCTTCCGGGTTTGGCATGTTTTGAATGACCAAGAAACTTCTTCCTGTAGCGAGAAAGTACACTGACGGACAAATCTGGGAAGATTTTTTGAATGGCACGGAGGGAACAATCTTGGTTGAAAAGAGCCTTGACAGATCCTTGAACCTCCTGAGGAATGGGACGTGTCATGTTAAAATAAGCGATGAAGTAAAGATGGTAAAATATAATGAGGGGAAAGACCAAAATCTCACGCTTCTTTATACTTTTTTAAGCATTCTTCGGATAACTAACATTTTAAACATAAATGATATAAAAAATTACGGCTCTCGGATCATTCTCGTGGAATGTATACAAACAATAAGGTCATCAAGCGATATTTCCAATTTTACAAAATCGAGATTTTTTACTTTACGTCAGTTGCACTAGCTCAATATCTACTGTATCAACTGTGGAATTTGAGGCTTTATAGACTAAAATTCACGGAAAAAAAAGAATAAAAAAAACAGTAATGTCAACTTGATAAAGGTATGTTTTATTATCAAACTGACAGGTGTAAAGTAAACTGAAGTCTCTCTACTGGCCAGGTAGATGATCCTTCTTATATACTATAACAATGGATAAAAGTTCTATTAATTAGATTGACAAATAAGTCAACTCAGATCAACTAATGTCTAATCATGCTAAAAGACAACTCCAGCAAGCTAATCATGATTTAGCTCTGTCTGGATGAATAATTAGACTCTCATCCGAAGTACCCTGATCTATCCTTTCCATAAGGATAATTAATATCGATCTAGTAGCATGTATCCGATAGGTACAGTCTTCTTAGTCTATATTAATAGTACATATCTGAGTGTATATCGCTAAGCATACATCTTTAGCATGTATCTGGATATATGGCATGTCTATAGCATATCGTATGCATGTCTATAGCATGTCTCATATATAGTACAAGTCTGTAGTACATAAAGTATCTGTAGCTAGTATCACGGATATAAGCATGTGTCTTATAGCGTGGATCATAAAGTGCACATCTGAAGCAACAAGCTCATATTGCATTAATCTTGATGCCTATCCAGATATGGTAAACATCCGTAGTCAATGTCGGAATACAAGTATAAGTCTATAGTGCCATCCATGTCCGTGGCGCCATCTATAGCCTATATCTTATATAGTATGAATCTTATAGTACTAGCGTATCTGAAGTCCATATCTTCTAATAGTATAAATCGATATCGTACATCTAATCCAGCGTACATACAGTTTATATCTAAATCTAGTAACTGGATGAACTGTCGGAATGCAGATCATAGTGGATGTATTCCACATCAACAATTACTTTAGTAGCTCATTTTGTGGCTAAAAACCCAAGCTTTTGTAGTCTTACTTTAGTTTTAAAACTGGAGAAAAATTGACAGAGCTGTAAGTATAAAACTACGAATTGGCAAAACACTGGAACGTTTTTTTCGCGCACTGTAGTACGAACCTTGTAGTACACTCCTGTATCTTAAACTTATATTATTCCTATAGTATAAATTTGTGTCGCACATCTAATCCAATGCACATAAAGTTTATATATATCTCCATCTGGGAACTGAATGAACTCTCAGAATGCAGACTAGATTGGATATAGAATAAGAATAAAGTGTCTATCACTTTGAATTTTGCTCCGTACAATGCAGAATATCCGGATTTACAGGCAGAATCGTAATTCACTTACTTGTATAGCAACACGACCCACTAATAAGCCTAATGTTTGGGCCGTATCCGGTCAAATATAGTCATTTTCAAGCACGAATAACTCATGCCACAAAGCGTTTTGAGCACTTGGAATAGCACCACACGCCTCCTCTTGGCCACGCTTTACCTCCTGATGCTTTATCTCATTTTTTTTGGGTCGCTGCAAATTCATGAAAATCATCGTTTTTCCATGAGTGTTAGCAAGGGAAAATTCTTGAAAAACAAATGATCGTGTTTTTCACCCCAAAAAATGAAGACTTTTTCTATGATACATATTAGATCAAATTAATCGTAAAGATGAAACGCAACATTGGAAACTCTTTCTATGAGACTTGCATATGCTAAATTTTGATATACTCACAGAAAACCTGCTTTCATATTTTTGCAAATTACTGATTATTTTCTGTCTAAAAGTTGCATATAATCAGCACCATTCGATGCGGCTTTTTTAGTTCTCTAGAGATGTATTAGAAAGTTGAGTGTGATAACGACAGTTTTCATAGTCAAATTTAGCAAAAACGTTTGAAGGATGTGAAATCAAGTCAAGTTTAAACACGAAAATACCACTGCACAATTTCAAATTAAATTGCCGCAACTACCGTTGCTATGGTGTAAGACTGATACCAAATCTACTAGCCGTGACGTCGGATAGGACGCCCTCTCATTCTTCCATACTTCTATTTTTTTTCCCTTTTTTGCAAAACGCGTTTAGTATCAAACCATGGCTGCTTTGGAAACCGTTTGATTGGTATTAACAATCTAACTTCTAATAGCACTATCTGGCGCTGTTAGAAGAGCCTGATACTGATTCTTTGAAGTGGAATACATCAGGTACCATGCGATAACGAGCACTGGAAGGCGTTGAATTTACACTACTAACTGTATTTGTTTATTATTAGCTTTTGGACAACATTATTATTCTTTTGCCTGTTTGACGTGGATGCTGCTGCCGTGACTCCTCTACTATTGTTTATGTTATCTGCTCCTTTGGTTTATCAACTGTGGTGGTTGCTTCTTTGGTCCATCTCTAGAGATTGCTCATTTGACTTTTCTCTGCTGTCTGTTTACGTTTGATTTTTGGTTCTTCTATGGTGTTATTGTTGCTGCTGCTGTTGTTGTTGCTGTAGTGGCTAATCTCGACTTCCAAGGCCTACTTTCTTTGTTGTATGCTTGTTCTCTGGTTTATCTCTGGTGATTGCGTGTTATTCTGTGGTCCATCTGTGGTCCATCTGTGATCTGTCTCTGGTGATTGCGTATCCTATGGTGTATCTGTAGCTGTGGTAAGTGGTAAGTATCTTCTTTCTTCTGGTGGCAATAATATAAAACTTCTTTGAACGTTTATATTATTGTTTCTTTTCTCGTGATAATGCATTCATGATGTTTGCCTTGTTGCGCTTTTTTTCATCTTTTTCTTTTGTTGGTAGTGTTTCCTCTGTAGTTTTTCATGAAACAACATTAGTCATTATGTTGTATTGCAAACTTATAATACCACTGTTGCTTTTGCAGTTGTGTGTATTTTGTGCCTTGTTGCTTTACACCCGACTATTACTACCATGCACGTTGTTCATGTATGCATTGTTATTGCAACAACAACGAGCTTTTTTGAACATCTTTGATGTTGCGTTTGTTATACTTTTCTTTGAATCACTTTGTGTGAGTCTTCCTTTTTTGCCTACATACTACTATACTTCTATAGTACAGTAGTATGCTCTTTTCTTCTTTCTTTTATTACTATGATGTTTCTTTGAAGCATACCTTTTTTTACGTTGTGTGGATGTGCCTATCCCTGAAGCTCAACAAGACTTTATCCGAGGCTAGGAGGTGGATAGGCTGCCTCCACTTGGTTATCACTACTTACTTTAGTGATGATTGAGAGTCTCAACGCCAGAATCTAAAGCTAGGTGGTGTAAGTAAGGCATGCTCTAGCACCTGCGGGAAATTTGATGATAGTTACAGCTATATTGCTATATATAGCGGAGCTTAAAATTTTGCCTCACATCAAAACAGGAGGAAACCCTCGCAAATTTTTTTTAGGTCAGCGGAGTTTTCAAGCAATCTGATTGGCTAAGAGGTTGAAGCAGCAAAGGGTTACAACTACTTGATCTCTTATTGATCTGTCATTTATCATGCTATAGTTTTTGTAATAAAAGGGTATCCAAATAATTAAAATTTATATCCTTCTTTATTCAAAAGTATGATAAGGCGCATTCACTTGCTTTAGTACCTACCAAACAGTTGTATAATAAGAGTGATGCTCTTTAAATTCATTATATGGTGTGGGGGGGGGGAGAGAAAGTTATGTAATCATAATAGGAGGTGCTACAGCAATATACTAGTTACTGCCAAGCACTCTCTCAGTACATAATGCTCCACCAAATATGCATTCTGTTTAGCATTGATTTCCAACATACTTTAATTTTATGCGGTTCTATCTTCTACCTGATTAGAATAATGAAATGAAGACAGAAGAGATGAAATTATTTGAACTGAAAATTTGTACTAATTATATTTTTCCACGATTAGTTGAGGATTAAAATTAATGTAGATTTTGAAGTTACTTATAGATATTTGATAGTGCCGCAGCAATAGACCTTGATCGTGAATATAGGATAGTTGTATAAGCCTTGAACCAGTTAAGGAAGATGTGCTGCGTGAAAGCTCATGGGATTCCATTCAGGAACGAGCAACAATGAGGATCCAGTATAGGATCCTCATAGTAGATTTGATGAAAGAGCGTTTATTAGAATTGAACCTGCCTTTATTAGTGGCAAACGGTCATAGGCTACCACATTTCATGAACCAGGATATAGATTAGCCATTTGGCGGCACTACTCATATTCCTTTGCGTTGTTAAATGAGCAGATCTCAATAATATACCACGGATCTCTGCTCCTGCTATATCCTGAACATTAGCGACTTAAATTCGTTGATTTATATAGAAACCCCTCAAAATAGGCTTATAATCATTCTGATATGAATTATCCAACATCAACTTAGGGCGTGGAATAGCTGTTCCCCCTTTCTTATGAAATGCGCATCACAGCCTTAAACATGTGCCACACCAGAATGAGGCAAGATATCATCGAGCGTTTTTCAATACAACGTTTTCCAACATCTAATCCATCGATCCATGGCCCGTAATTAGCAGGTTCTTATATATAGCTCGTTATTCAAAATTGGCGTATTTCAAATATCATTTGTTTCACAATAGCAACGCTTCCAATCTAAAATACAATTACACCACCGTTTTTCTCGCAAAATTTCATCATGGGAACATGCAACGTTTAAAGCTCTTCTAACATCAATATTTCAAATTTGATTTTAGATAGCTCAGAATAGTATGGCGTATAGTCTCTGAATTGGATGTCTAAATGCGAGGAAACACTCAGTTCAAGCATAAATAGGATCAGATCATGAAACATAGACACGGAAGGGCTACATTTACTTACTGATATATTTAAAACGTTAGGTTTTGGCAAATTGTAATTACATCTAGCCGAATTAAAGTGAGTAAACTGTATTATAGTAGGCTTAGATCAAGAATAAAGCGGAAAAGTAGAGGTGAGCAGTACCAGATGGAAAGTAGCAATTTTAATATTATCTATTATTGTTGCTGTTGCCAATTGTATGTAATTGATCAACGAGTTACTAGGACTAGAAGGGAAATCTCAATTAGAATATTCAATGGTGTATACGGTTACAGAATCGTGTATAGGCTAGTAATTTAAACTGTTGGCAGGTATTCTATTATGTTGGTATGGTGCAGGCACAAAGCCCAATGAGTTTCCTTGCATGATAGGCGCTGAAATACTCTCTGCGAATACGGCATGTTGTTTTAAAGCCTGCTCTTCTTGCTTTTGCTTGCGTTTACGGTAAATTCGAATGCCAACAACAGTGGCTGCCGCATAGACACATACACCAACGCCTAGGCAGATGCCAATAATGCCACCTTTTGGCAAGCGTCCTCCATTACCACTTCCATTGTCTTCATTATTTGATTGGTTTGCATTTTCATCAGCATCGCTGTTATTGGGATCTGAAATTGTTGCGGTTCCATGTCCATTTCCTGTATTGATAGCTTATAAAACGACAAAGATTAACTTTCCAATATATGCACTGCTTTCTAAAAGTGGTTCACCTACCTGTTGTACCAGTGATTGGGTAACTGCGATCAATAAAACTTGGAAGCTGGCCGTTATTGCTATCATACAATGGGCTACTGGTGTTTGATACGAGTGCTTGCAATTCGATCACTTCAGTCTTGGGAATGGCAATTGATACCATGATACCACTGTTGCTACTAACATCTGACCGTTTCCTTGGACTGGTTGTAGTTGACTGTGCAATGGATACTACAATCACATTATCAGCGCTCGTATCCAATGCGCTGCCGAGCAACACGGGTAACTCTTGAACTAATTGGGCTGTCATTAAAGCATCTGACACCAATGTAGCATAGGAAATGCTGTTGAATTTCAAATACGTAATTTGGCTTGTATCTATTATATGATTTGTTAGTGATTGCATTGAAATAGATACACCTTTAGTGATTTTACCTGGAATAATAGCATTGAGGTTGGGTGTAATATACTGCGGCAAGTCTTTTTCAGAACTGCTCGATGCATCATCCGTTGAGGTGGTAGATGTAGAAGAACTTGAGGTAGTAGCTGGTGCTTTGGTTTTGGTTGATTTTGATGTCGTTACTTTTGTTGTGCCATCATCATTGTGTGATGAATTGGTTCCTGTAGGGGTTTCTGTAGCGCTTTGGTCCTCGGTGGCAGTGGTGGACGTTATGGTTGTAGTTGTTGTAGTAGGGGTAGAGGTATAATATACAAAAGGTTCTGAAAGCCAAGATAGGGTTTCGTATTTATAGGTCGATTTAAGTATATCTGTTGCAGCGGCTGTCTCAGTTTTTGTAATAGTCAAAGTCTCATGCGTCGCAGTCGGGGTGGACTCATCTGTGGTAGACGAGCTTGTAGTAGTTGAAGTTGTACTGGTAGTGGTAGTGGTAGTGGTAGTGGTAGTGGTAGTGGTAGTGGTAGTGGTGGTAGATGAAGATGTAGTAGACGTTAGAGGCGAGATGGTAGATGATGGAGACGCTTTGGTACTTGTGGAGGTAACAGTAGTTGCAGTGTTTGTTTTTGTCTCAACGGTAGACGATTCAGTGGAAGCAGTATTAGAAATCGAAAATGAGGATTCAGTTGAAGAATCGCTTCCAGACGGTGTTGGCTCGGTTAAATATGTGCTGGATGCTGTTGAACTGCTAGTATCTGTGCTTCTGCTGGTATTTTCGCTGCTAATTGACAGTGAAGGCGTTTCGCTAATTTTTGAAGTTATAGTTGAGTGGCCTGTTACAACTGTTGGATGCTCAGTAGTAAGAATTGTGGAAGTATTTTCTCTGGGTTTCGTTTCAGTTGCTGATGCTGCATATGTTGAAGTTGAACTATGCGTCCTTGTCGATTCTACATGCGTTTCAGTGCTGTCCGTAATCGCGCTGGAATGATGAGAATGGTTTGATTTACCACTCGATGGACTTGGACTGGTGGTAGATGCAGTGCTTGATTCGGTCGGTTTGGCTGCTGAAGTTAATCTACTTGAACTAAAAGTAGATCTGATGGATGGCACTTTTGATTTCGCTGACGAGGAAGATACGCTACCCGTGGATTTTGGTTCCAACGAGGTAGACGACGAAGCACCATCGGTTGCAGTAGAGATAAATGACGAAAGGATGCTGGAATTATCTGTTCTAGTCGAATGGCGCGTCGTTGATGTAGTAGACTGAGATGCTGAGCTCGATGATGTGTCCAATGCTTTAGAAATAGTATTGGTGCTTTTGCTGTCTTTTTTTGATGTTGTAGAGCCTAAAGATAAGGCCGAGCTTTGAAAATCAGTTGTCACTGTAATGCTGTTGCTACCGGTTGCGGTTGCAGTAGATGAGGTGTTAGTAGGCTGAGTAGACGACTCCTTCGGGCTAGTGCGAGTAATACTCTTACTCAGAGTATTTGTTACAGTGATTGATTCATGTGTAGTAGGAGTGTGGCTGCTCGCACTTGACGATTTGTTAGAGGAGCGTATGCCTGTAGCGGTGGGAAGTCCAGTAAATTTACCAGTGCTTAGGGTAGATTCATTTTGTGTGGGTGAGGAATGACCAGAAGTAGCTGCAGACGTCAATCCACTAAGTGTCTTGCTGCTGGTGGATTGCTCTGTCTTGGTGATTGACTTTATATTCTGTGTACTGGAACTACTAACAGTTGTTGGAGTTGCAATAGTACTGGAACCTGTTGTGACATGTGGCTTACTCTCTGATGTCGTGCCAGAGTGCTTGGCTGTGGTTTTGGTCTGTATGCCAGATGTGAAGGAATCTGCAATACTGTCTGATTTTACTGTGAATGTTTCTGTTTCCCTGCTTTTGAAGGTGGTTTTAGTTTTGGTAGAGAGAGTATACCTGCTACTGCTCGTTGATCTTGTTGTTGTCACGCTTTTGCTTTGAGCCTGTGGGGTAGTTTTACTGTCAAAGCTTACTGTAGACCTGCTACTGCTTGCTGCTGGTTTTGTTAATGTCCTGCCATCAACAATGGTTTTGATTGTAGAAATAATGCTGGATAACGGAGTATGGCTTGTGGAAACTGGTAGTGCTTTCGAAATGGTGCTTGATTTCGTATGCTTTGTAGAAACAGCTGATGGAGACGTAATGGTATGGGTGCTCTTCGATTTGCTATAGATTGTTTCTATTGTAGCATCAGCGCTTTTGGTGCTTGAACTTGATTCCGTTGCGGTTATGGATTGTTCCGTTGCGCTACTACTCATGCGCGAGCTTTTACTTTTACTTGAAGTCTCATCAGATGAGGAGGTTATGGTGAGCGGTTTTGTGTATCCAGATGTTGTAGAATCAGTCGATGCTGCAGTTTTAGTAGACGAGGTTCTAGATGCACTGCTCGTTTTAGTTGCAATAGACTTTGTGCTACTATGAGATGTCATGACAGTACGGGTCTCTTTATCGGAAGCCAAGGAAGTGTGATCATTCTGCCCTGAATTGGTGCCCAAATTTTTGTGTGAGGTACCTGAGTCGATTTATTTTAGTTAAATGCAATCTTCATTAAATGAATTAGTGAAAGTAAAATGCCCGCTGCTTACCAGAAGAACTAAAACTAGTAGATTGCTTGCTTTTGCTCGTCGCAGTTGCTATTGTGGATTTTGATCTTTCTGTTGTTGTTCCGTGCTGTGCGGTGATCGACGTGGATGATCTACTACTGCTCTTTTGAGTCTTGGTTGATGTCTCTTTTGCAGTGGTATGCTCAACTGATTTGGTTGAATGTGTTGCTTTTAGATATGATGTTGTTACATGCGATTGTGTGATAGTGGTAGTTTCTGTAGGATGACGAGACGTGGTAGCCTTGGTCGATCTATCTGCTTTAAATTGATGGTTAGATAACTTTGTAGCGGTGTTTTTACAATTTGAAAGTGTACCTGAACTAGATGTGGATGAATGGGCTGATTTGGTAGTGATGGTGCTACGATGCGCCTTTTCTTTGCTTGTTATAGATTGCGTTTTGCTACTTTTAGTGGTGGTCGGATCATGCTTTTTCTCATTAACGGAAGAAACGGGTGTCGTTACACTTGATTTTGTAGAAGAGTGATGCTTACTTTTGACAGATGTGGGTTTCTCGACGTTCTTTTCATCAGTGGAGACTCCCTTATCCTTATTCTTTGATTCTGTGTCTTCTTCTGCTTTCAAAGAGGTTGAGATTTCCTTTCTTTTTTCAATAATCTGGTTGCCAAGATGATGCGCACTGTTAAACGTAATTAAAGGAGATTCAATCAGGTCATTCTTCTGCTGGATCAGCTACAGGATTGGAACTTCAATTAGCAAACAAGGACAGCTTTGAGAACAATACATTTAAACTTTACATTGACTGACACGACACATGTTATTGCAATCAAAATCACTATAGATGCAGAAATCGATATTTTGCTATTGAATGCTGACATTGATACTTTTCGCATTTATACTAGCACATGTAAAAGCAAAGGAGAGAAAAGAAAATAAAACAAAGAAATCTTGTGAAGAAAAAGAGGGAAAGAAAGGGACATGTATCATTATAAAAATCAATATTAATTGATTAATGACAGTTTAAAATAAATGCCTAAAATAATGTGTGTTACCTTAGAAATGACTATAGAAAGAAATATGTTCACGGATTCCTTTTCTCTTTTCTACCTGTTTAAATATAAAGTTTGCATTGAATGTTTACAATCTTGTCGTCAGATAAACAAACAGCATGCAGTTTTCATCATTAATTTAAACTGACTTTGATACGTCTATTTTTATATCCAAATGTAGCTCTGTCCAAGACATGTAAGCAGGCATTCAAGCACTCAAACTGTCTTCTTTAGGCAGAACTGTTAAATGCCGGTTGCCAGGTTACCAAAAAAAAAAAAAAAAAAAAAAAAAAAACTCAACAAGATGTTGCCATTGCATTAGAATCGCTAAAGAAGTTCATCAGTTGTTAAAGTTACATGTGACGTTCTCGCGATAATATTTATGGGATTCTCCATTGATCACACACACTCCAAATGTATCGCAAAATGAGATGCGCATACACAAAGAATATATTTTAGCTTCTTTCTTTTTCAATTTCTACATAAACCAGCATAATGACGGTAGAACAAGAGGAAAGTTCGTATGATTATGTCTTCAAATTAGTCGTGGTGGGTGATTCCGGTGTTGGTAAGACCAACTTGCTTGGTAGATCTGTTCACGATACTTTTGATTTCGCCTCGAAAAGCACAATTGGTTTGGATTTGACCATCAAAAATATGGAAATCAAAGGAAAGCGAGTACGTGCTCAGATCTGGGACACAGCGGGTCAAGAGCGATATCGATCTATTACCAAGAGGTGAGACGGCATTGCAACAATTTCATATATCCTCGAGAATTTACAACTTGCATAGATATTATCGAGGTTCAGTAGGTGCCCTCCTTGTTTACGATATTACAAAACGGGAATCCTTTGATAATTTGGGTCGGTGGTTGAACGAATTGAGGATCAATGAAGCACATCCAGACAGTTTGGTGATGCTTGTGGGCAATAAATCAGATTTGGATTCACAGAGAGCCGTAACTCAAGAAGAGGCAATGACCTATGCTGAGAAAAATGAACTCATGTTTATGGAAACCAGTGCTTTAGAGAGCATCAATGTGGGAAAGGCCTTTGAATCATTGATCCACAACATTTTTGACAAATTATCAGGGAAATTAGCGACTATGGATGACAAGAAAGCAGAGATCATGAAAGGACAAGCGATTCAAATCAGCGCACCACTTGACAGTAGTAGCAAAAATAACCATAGCAATACGTGTGCATGTTAAATACCCCTGATTATATATCCTTTATTAAATTACATTCACTCTACAGTATTCTATAAAGTTGCATTGTGTCTTGAGCTCCATGACTTTTCGGAATTGATCTATAGGACAATGTATGCTTTGGCACCCTGACAATAAGATAGGCTTCTCATTGTCTAATAGGCGTACGTAGAATCTACCTTCTTTTGACAATAACTGGATGGCCATGTTGTTTGCAAAATACCCAAAATCTGATAGTTTGAATTGTCGATCCTCAATTTCTTGATTTGAAGAATTAGGGGACAAGTGCCCTTGGTAGAGCCCCAGGAGAGTACGCAGAGGCAATAATGTCTCTGAATGACCAAATTTGATGTCCAATTTATAGGCTTCCTCCTTTTTATCCATCATTGCATTGATGCTTGCCATGATGTATTTGCCCAAATCACACGCCATGTACTCATTCAATTCAGGCAATCCATACGAGTACTTGTAGTAATGCTTCAGATCATCTAGATACTCTAACGCTACAATATCTTGCCTTGTAAATAGCCTACAAAATGTGTCAATGGTATGATGCATGGACACTTCGGATGTGCAAGCGTCATGAAAGTCTTGCACATCTGTTACTGTAATAGAAATACTCAGTTCTTGTGCGAGTCTAGAAGCAATAGGGCTTACAAGACGTTGAATTACAGGTTCCAGAATTTGATTTGTAAGGAGTTTTGCCTCCTTTTGCCACCGAGGACAGGATTTATGAAACACAATCAGTGAATCATTGTTCTCCTTGAAACTAAAGACAGGTACCGTCATGAGATTTGCGGGACCCAATGTTCCCAAGCCTTCAAAAGCCCCTACACAGAATGCTTGTGCGGATTGCAGTGTTCTGCTTGACCAGGATGAAGAGACTCTCAACCACTGAGAGATGATTGTGGAATCACTGTCAATCAAGCTACGAATAAATTGAGGATATGTCTTGGCAAATCGACGGCCAATGAAATACTCTTCTTGTTGCCCGTTCGCATCTAATTGTCCTGTGCGACTGAACAGGTATTCATTCTGGTAGCCGTTTAACCAGCCCATCAATTCCAAGTTGCTGCTTTGGCTCAATGTAAGAAGCGCGTTATTGATGGACTCCATACCACTGCTCACTGGATAGCGGGTGCCATGACGGATAATGAGTTGAATCTGCTCTATCGTGTAGCCATCCATTGCGTAATCAGATTTGTAGTTATCCAACTTGTAGTTTGGATAGTTGCCCCTGGATCCCATGTGTTGAATCATCCAATCCATGGTCAGTGATCCTTTGTCAGCGTTGTGCAAGTCATTTTTATCAGGCAGTAGATAGAGTATTGAGATGGTGCTTTTGAGAATATCTTTCAAGAAGGCTTTTATTTGCATCTGTAGAGTGTAAAAATCCAATGAAATCAAGTGAGATACACCTTATTTCAATGGAACGAACATGTGAGCCGTTTTAAAGCTCCTTTTTAGATTGAGTTCGTGGTGCATGAATGCTGATAGTTTTGCCAAACTTTTGAATGTCTGCTAAAAGTACATCTGGGACCTCCAAGCTAGGGAAATGGCCGCCCTACATGCAGATGTTGAGTTTGATGTAATTGATATAGACTGTGTCTTACCTTGTCGTATAATTTGAACTGAATCAAATTTGAGCTAGTCTCTATCCAATCTCGAGGGAACTGCAACTGGGTTACCATCTTGGGAGATGCATGCGCACCCTATCTATAGACTTACCTTGCTAGGCTCAGCTTCGAAATAGGAAACACCTGTAGGCACTTTGCTGTACTTTCTCAAGCGACTAGACTCATCTTTGCTATGGTTGTATAAAGCTTCATAATAAATACGAGTGGATGCTGACATGGTGTTTGTCATCCAATAGATGGTTACTTGCGTCAAGAATTCGTCGACGGAAATCGTCTCTGGGAGTGCTACTCTGGCAGACAGTTCTTCTGAGGGAAAATGGGTCCAGGTGTGATAAGGATCCAGCATCCAAGCTAATAGACCCACAGGACTATCGGACAAGCCAAATGCCAAAGTGTAGGGACGAGTACTTTGAATGGCGCGATAACCAGACGATCTGTCCTTTTCAACATTGGCATAGGCCAAATTCTTCAATCCCTTGACCTCCTTCCTGCCATAGATTCTTTCCAGCCCAAATACGATACACAATACAAACAAGATGACTCTGATGGGATGAAAGATCAGATTTCTGAATGTTGGATAGGGAGGTTCAGGAAATGGCATTGTTGTGAGGTAGCCCAAGCATTTGTCTGGTTGGCTTCTAATCATGAATGTAGCTACTGAAGCACCCCAATCGCCGCCAAAGATCACTAAGTACATGTGCACATGAGTTGACCGCTTGATACATCATAAAATGTCCCATTTACTGTATTTCTGGTATCCGAGTTCTGACATGAGCTTTTGGAAGGTATCTGCAATCTTTGGAGATCCCCAGCCTTCCTCCTTTGGTGCTTCTGAAAAGCCATAGCCGGGTAAACTGGGCACAATGACATGGAACGCCTAGCGCGTAGTCAAGCAATTAGAACATGCTGCTTATTTTTGTTGCTGCTTTAATGAGGGGATATATTCTACCTGCGATGAATTCTGTCCATCTCGCAACGGATTGATCAATTTGTGAAATTCGTAAAATGTCGAGGGCCAGCCGTGCAGCAAGAGGAGAGGAATAGCACCATCAACTTTGGACACCTCATGGATAAAGTGAATGTTGAGTCCATTGATGTCTGTTCGATAATGGTGCCATTGATTCATCTCTGCGCGCTTCTCTTCCCAGCTAAACGTTGTCTTCCATGCTTGAACGAAATCCTTGACGGCCCAGCTTGGTGCTCCATATTTCCAACCTGAAGCTGCTTCGTTTTCGTATTCGTGAGGGTATTTGACTCGAGACAATCTGTCGTGCAAATCTTGCTCGTCAAAGCTGGGTATGGTGAATTTTTCAATCATTTGATGTTTATGAGAAACAAAAGGTTGTTTAGATTTGGAAGGGAGCTGCAAGCTTTTATAGGGAGCAACGTTCATGCTGCGGTAAACCCTATGCAACCATAGTGTAACAATGATCCTGCGCTTTTGATGGCAGTATCCATGCGGAAGAAAGCGGAAAATGCTTTGCTGGAATGAGCCTGGGATACTCTTAACATCACAGAGGATATCTTCTTGCTCTACCTTGTATAGCGCATTATCTTGTAGGGCGGTCTTTTTGGTGGAGTTGGCATCAGCTCATGCAGCTATTTGATCTGATCTCAATATCGCACCAAGTAGGTGATTTCTCAAATGCTTCGACACTGCTACGCATGTTGGTTCAGCATTCCAATCTGCGTTGCTGCATAGCATTCAATGTTCAGTGATATTGAAGCTCTACTGACACAAGATCTTTCATCTGCTTCACCAAATATAACATGGAATCATGCAATGCATGCCTAGTAACCGAGAGGGCTTTTTGTCGAGTTATCACAATTCCGTCAAAAATCAGCCAAAACCTTATGAATGAGCCAAACAAAAAGAGCGGTGAGAAATCATTTACTGTTTATTTAGACGTACTTTGTACTACCAATGGCTCGGTGATGTTTGGAAGAGAATAGCCTTCTGTTTTGCATCGCCTGATCTCATCAATCCAGCGACATCATCATCTAACACTTCTTATGACAACATTTTATTTATAAAATCTATTTATAAAGCATTGAGCCAAAGCACTTAGCGACTATAAAAGGTCGGCTTCATCACCAACTTGTAAAATGATTGACTCTATCTTCAATGAGAGTAAACAGCAACTTTCTCAGCGCCATCACTGCTTGCCTTGTAGTAGCGCTCGCTCATATACCGTGTCTAGTCACTGCCCGCCATCTTGACGCGATATACCATCCAAAATATATTCATTCTCCTGTCAAATGCCTACAAGGTCGATACCTGATAGAACTAGCAACCAAGACGGATGTAGATAACATGCTGCATTGGATGGCTGGACAGAAGCTCGGTGTCAAAGTACACAAGACATTCAGGCACAAGTTTTTCAGTGGATTGTCGATAGAGATACAGGATCACGACAGCATTGGACCGTTGCTGGATGAAGCTAGCGTTATCTCCATGTCTGCCAACCGAATGATTCAGAGAGCATCACCTATTCCACCTATAACAAGGGCAGAGCCGGACTCAAATTCGATATTTACCCCTGAAACGATTAGATCATTGATGCCTCACAACACATCTCAAGTCCGCAGAGCTCGACAGGAGCTTCATTTGACTGGGCAAGGTGTATTTGTCGGTATTATTGATTCTGGTAACGTATGCTTAGCCATTGAAGCGTGGGATAGACACTAATCTGAAGGGGTAGGCATCGACTATACGCTCAAGGCTTTGGGTGGAGGTTTTGGGCCTGGTTTCAAAGTGATTGCAGGCTATGATTTGGTGGGTGATGAATACAATAGTACAGATTCTTTGTCCATGGTGAAAGCTGATAATGATCCATTGGACAGCTGTGGAAAGAACTCTGCTACTGATGGTACAATACAACTACTGTCAATTGTTCTCGGATTTGTACATTAACATCCTTTATCAACGCATGTCGCTGGAATCATTGCAGGATACGACCCAGAAAACGTAAGCTTTGCCTGAATGCAATGATTGCAGATTATTGACGACAGGTCATATAGAACTTTGAAGGAGTTGCTCCAGGTGCTTCTCTTGGAATGTGGAGAGTATTCAGCTGTGATGGCGAAAGCACCACAGATGACGTTCTTTTGGATGCACTGATTATGGCGTACAAAGCCGGTGTCCATATTATTAGCATGAGCATTGGAAGCACGCTACCATTTTCAGATGATTCTGTACCTTTAGTAAAGGTAGTCAACCGAATTACAGCAGCGGGTGTGAGTGGTGAGAGGTTCGTATCAGTGCTTTGTGTGATATTGTTACTTAACAATGCCTCTACTACAGTTGTTGTGGCGGCAGGAAACGAGGGTAGTAATGGTGTGTACAGTGTATCTGCTCCATCCACTGCACTGTCAGCTCTAGCCGTGGCTTCTGTGGTGAATCAAGTCTACAACCCACCGTACAAACTGAATATGACTGGAATAAACGAACCTATTGGTAGGGTATAGAGCATTGCAACAACATTTTCTGCATTAACACGGTTTGCCAGATGCTTATCCTCCTGGCGATGACACTAAAGCGTTCATCAATGGGTCTTTGGCTATTGCCAACTCAAACAGTACGGCTTTGGCTGAGGATGCTTGTGATAAAAGGCTTGTATCTGCGTCTGTGAAAGGCAAAATTGCACTTGTCAAGCGAGGAACATGTCCATTCTCTACCAAAGTCAAGAATGTTGAATCAGCTGGCGCACTGGGTGTTATTTTTTATAATGATGTTGACCAAGAATTAGACTCGGTCAACGCCGAAGGCTCAATTCCAGTTGTATCTATCTCTTTGCAAAATGGTCTCAAGCTGCTGAATTTGTTCGCTGATATCACAAGAGACATTGAGGTCATTGCTATCAAGATTGATGGCTACATTGCGAATCCCAAGGCCAACACCATTTCATCATTCTCTAGCATTGGACCAACAGCAGAAATGTATTTCAAGCCAAACATTGCTGCTGTTGGCCAAACAGTCTTTTCCACTTTGCCAAAGTATCTTGGAGGGTATGGTATTAGAGATGGCACATCAATGGCATGTCCTTATATTGCTGGCTCACTCGCTCTCTATTTACAGTATCATGGAACAAACCAAACAGATGCAGCCGCAATGCGAACTAAATTCAAAAACTATGCGCTTCCTCTACATGTTGGTAATGCTGCTAGTGATATAATTGAGAATCCCATTCGACAAGGAGCTGGGCTGGTGCAAGGTGAGTATCAAATATCTTTCCCTTATTTTATGTTGACATTGCTTTCTATGTTCCTACAGTATATGATGCTATCATTCAACCAGTGCACATAAGCCCGCCTGAAATAGGCTTTAATGATACAAGCTCGCCTAATTATATCACACACAACTTGACAATCACAAATGGCGCCACATACCCAGTTTCCTATTCAATCAGCAGCAAAATAACCACAGGAATCAAGACCTACAATCAAACAGGTTCAACGTACAACTCTCTCAATCAACCATCTGTTAACCAAGATGCCACATCGGCAATACAGTTCCCAAAAATTGAGATACATCTGAATCCAGGAGAAAGTCAAATAGTAACAGTTACAGTAGCTCCTCCCAGCACTGATCCACAGAATCACATCATGTATGGAGGCTTTATACAGTTCAGTCCCTTGAATAATACCAGCACACTTAGAGCACTTCACGTGCCCTATATAGGCGTTGCAGGTAATCAACGAGACCTTCCTGTCTTTGCAGAGAACATACAATCATACTACAGCAATGAAACAGCCATTATTCAGACGGCAGACCAAGTAACATACAAATTCAACAGCTCCAGAAGCTATTTCAAGACAGATTACTTTGTTCTCGTTAAGTTTGGTTTGATAAACCCAACAAAATTGGTTAAAGCAGAACTCGTGAGGCATCTTGACAAGCATGTGTTAGGCCATGTCATGCTTCCTGCAACAAATGTACCTGCAACTCCAAAAGACAACGACATGTACATTGGATGGAATGGCTATTATTTTAATGATACTGCTGCAAGTTTGGAACCTGATAAAGTAGATGGAAGATATGCTATACCAACCACTAATGGCAACTACTTGATTCAATTGAGTGCACTCAAGTTACTTGGTGATCCACAGAATGAAGCCGACTGGGAGTCATGGAAATCAGGGATTATAAATATAGACAGAATGAATTGATAGGAGTAAAAGAGTATGCATTGCTGGCATTCTTCAAGTGCTTTGCTGTCCAACATACCAAACGCTGGATTCTCAGGCTACATGGCAAATATGCGTACAACTCCAGCCTATCTTTTTGTATGATAACTAAGTATGCCTTTTAAGAAGCACATAAGGCAAATCAGTTGATCAGATGATTTGTAGTGTTTCCACAGAAGAACTATCCGCAAGTAAGAACAATTACTATCCTGCTAAAAGAACAACAGGTGTGCATTGCTTGCAGGAGAGCACATGTACATTGCTGGCACTTTTCAAATTGGGATTTTGTGTATACTCTTTACTAGCTAATCTATCTCGCTATGCTCGATGGCGGCGCCGCCCTACGGATTAGAAGATGCGTAACGCGTAATCGTATCGAGTGCATCATTTTTAGGGAGCTCGATACATCGAAGATATTCTATAAATCGATGTCTTGTGCATAGTCGTCATGAGCAGAACTACAGATCTTCAAGCTACATGGCACATTTGCATACATTGCAGTCTGACTTGCCTTAGGATAGGGTTGCAGATCTCCCTTAAGAGCATATAAGAGTAAGTAATGTGATGCACAGTCGTATCACGCTGAAATTATGCATTATTGTATAATGCATAAATCGTACTCTTTATTTGTTAAACTGAATGCAAGGTTTTCAAGCTACATGATGTATTGGCATACGAATCCAGTCTGTATGTTCGTAACGCAAGTATTCTGTAGGATGCATATCTTTGTCAAAAGTATATAAGGTGCAAACTTTTTCTCTGTCATACCACCACTATAGTATTCAAGCCAAACTTTACATCTGCCTCTTTTTTGTTGCCCTTCTTGGTGGTATTCAAGCTGCTCCTTTTAAAGATAAAGACACGAATTTCCATATCATCGCAAAAGCATACGCTTACATTTACATCAGCTTTATCAAGCACTAGAACGAGAGGACAGAGGTCGAGAGAAGGGGAGTACGGTAGTCAATTTCTAGGACCTGTCTTGGGACCTTTCTCTTCATTAGCTGGTCCTGCCAGTGCGATCAGTAATGGACTTCCAAAAATTCTTAATTCTTCCCTTGGAATATTTAATAGCTTAGTGAATATAAGTTATCATGTTTGATAGGCATCGGAAATCCACTATTCAATTGATAAGAGTATAGTGACCATATCTGTGGAATAAAGTCTGCGTTCTACTGTGTATTATATATGCTTCGAGCTCGTATCCTTATTCTAAACATATTTCACGACATGAAAAAAAAAGGGTTTATTGTTATGAATGGTAGATTATAAATAGTACGGCATGATCAGTGAAATAGTGCTAAATTTTTGGCTAATATCCATCCACCCTTCATCACACGTACCTAGCCAGCGAAAAGTGGACCGACAACGATAGTGCAGCCCACAAGTAGCACCATTGACGTAAGCAGCCCAGTTTATTGCCCATGTAGCCATTAAACACTCTTCAGACAGCATTGACGGCAGACCTGATGACCGAGAGATTGTTTCCTTCCAAAGGTCCAACCCACCGAGTAAGTGTGAGAATAAAGCAAGAAAATAGGTGTAATATAACCAAATGTGACAATCAAACCATGCATAAATTGTCAGCGAGATCAAGCTTGTTTGATGTATTCAAAAGGTTGTCACTACAAGGTCACATAAGTTTTTTTCTTGGACATGTAGACAGTTTCTGTATCCAATTACAGCATATTTCTTTCGACTAGTTTATCTTCAACTCAACATGGTTCAAGTTCAACTAAATAAGCCTGGAGAAGCATCTATCAAGCCAGAGTGCGTATACTTTTACCAAAAAATGAAAGCAGCAAAAACTAACACAATTCACATTTGGATCCATTAAGGTACCGCAAGGACCGTTGGTTTGACGATGATAGAGCAGAGCAAATCGCTGAAGCACCCATCAATGACGATGCTGCTGAAGGTGGACCCTCAGAAAAGCAAAACGGCAAGAAATCCAAGGTAAAAAAAAAAAAAAAAAAAAAAGCAGCTATGTACGCAATGTTCATGCAGAGCTCCTCCTCATGCCATAACATTGTATCTTAGAATGTCCGTGGTGCTAATAAGGGTCAACGAGGAAAGAAGAGAATCGAGGACAGCTTAAAGGTATACAGATGCTTGATTGATCTGAATAAATACCAACTTTTACTAATCAATTGCTGCTTTTTCAGCTCTGCAAAGCTACATCCCGCGGTGAGGAGTGTGTATTTGGCGAAAAGTAGGATTTGACAGCGACTGTAGTTGGAGGAGTGTGTGCTGACCCCGTTGTAGTTGTAGATTCACCCATGATTTGGATGCTTATTTGAAGATCAAAGGGGAAGACCTTGGTGATAGATGTGTCCAGTTTGACCTTTTTGGAAAGTAAGACAAATTCATGCATTTAGCTCTGTAGACATCCATGTTCAACACACGTGAAATAGGTGTTCCTACGGTTATAAATGTCGATTCCTCAAGGCACATGTTGATAAAGACAACAAATTGATCGTTGATGAAGCCAAGGTTGCCGAGAACCCTGTATATACTGTCAATGGTATCAGCAGTGATGTGCAAACCAAGCTTCTCAAAAACAGAGTAAGACATCAACCTCAGGGTCCATTTGCATAACGATATTCAACCAAGTTTTGCTAGTACGAGTTCCCCAGATCAGAAGCGTATCTGTTGCAAGTTCAGAAAGAGATTGAAGAGGAGCAAAGCATGAAGGATTCAAACACTTTAAAGAGAAAACAATTAGATGACCCCGAGCTGCTTGCTGCGCCATCTGATAAGAAATCTAAGCCTGAAGAAAGCGACAGTGAAAATGAGGAATTTTTCGATGCTGCCAATGAGTTTACCAATGTTCAAAAGGAGTCTGCTGCTCCTGCACCTGTCGAAAAGCCAATTGGTCCTATCGACACTGGCTACAAGAAGGTTTGTTTTCAGGCTCGATGAGATAATACTGTATTATGATACTAAAGTGCTTGTTTTAGATTATCGACTTTAGAAACAAGACTTACCTTGCACCATTAACCACTGTTGGTAATCTGCCTTTCCGTAGAGTGTGTAAGGAATTTGGTGTCGATATCACTTGCGGTGAAATGGCATTAGCAGCTAATTTATTGAGAGGTCAACAATCCGAGTGGGCATTGACAAAGCGCCATAAGTCAGAGGATATTTTTGGTATCCAAATCTGTGGTTCTAAAGTGGATCAAGTAACCAAAGCTTGTGAAGTTTTGAACAAGGAGGCTGATGTCGATTTTATTGATTTAAACATGGGCTGTCCCATCGATCTTGTCTTTAAACAGGTGAATAAGCCATTGAGTTGGTGTAGTATGTGAGCTAAACAGTTATTTTCCTGTCGTATTCAGGGCGCTGGTTCAGCTTTGTTGGAAGCGAGAGGCCGTATGTACAAGATCTTGAAGGGTATGAAGACTGTCACCGATATTCCTATCACTGCCAAATACAGAATGGGTATCAAGGACGCCTATCCTGTTGCTGATCGTATTGTGCCTCGTCTCGACGAAATAGGTATTGCATTGAGTACTGTAAGTAGAGTAACATCCGCCTCGTTGAGAAATGCCCTAATATCGATGGCTAGATCCACGGTCGCTCTCGTACTCAAAGATACACTAGAAAAGCAGATTGGGACTATATTGGCAAGATGAAAAACTTGACACATACAATGCCTCTCTACGGTAATGGTGATATTATGAGTTTTGAGGATTACAACCACGATATTCAAGTCAGTGGTGTGGATGGCGTCATGATTGGTAGAGGTGCTTTGATCAAGCCATGGATATTTGATGAGATCAAAAACCAACGCCATTGGGATATCTCTGCTAATGAGCGTCTTGATATGATGAAGCGTTTCTGTGATTATGGTTTAGAACACTGGGGCACAGATAGTCAAGGTTTGAACACAACGAGACGTTTCCTCTGTGAATGGCAATCCTTCCTGTATAGATATATTCCTGTCGGTATTTTGGAGCATCCTCCTCAACATATGAATGAAAGGCCTCCTCCTTATCAAGGTCGTAATGATCTTGAAACGTTGATGGCTAGTCCTCTAGCTTCAGATTGGGTCAAGATTAGTGAACTATTGTTGGGTCCTGCTCCTGACGATTTCGTCTTTTTGCCAAAACACAAGGCCAATTCTTTCGAGAAGATCGAGGTAGAGTAGCATTTTTTTTTACATTTTCTATTATTGCTATTTATTAATTCATATATAGGGTTGAAAAAGGGCGGATTAGTCAAAGAATATGTTACTGTATATTTCAAGATATACATTTCTAGTGCTACAAATACAATTTATACATATTTTCAATAAAAAAAGAGGGTTCGAGTAATTAATGATTTTTACAGCAAAATTCTATATCTACAATTTCTTTAGGTGAAGTGGCAGTGAGAACATACGGTTCGTCTTTTCCAACGACAACATTGTCTTCAATACGGATACCAATGCCTTGGTATTTACTAGGAAATTTATCATCAAATGGCACATAGATTCCGGGCTCGATTGTAACCACCATGTTCTTTTTCAATTTGCGAGATCTATCTAAATCGTGCAAGTCGTGAACATCCAGACCCAAGTAGTGGCCCACATGGTGAGGGTAAAGAATGCGCTCGAGATCCCACGTATTGACATTGAATCCAATGTTCTGCAATTCCTGCTTCATCAGCTTGACTGAATGTGAGTGAATGCCGTGCAATGAGATGCTGTTTGATTCTGTGCACATTTTGATACACGCCTTATTGACATTTAAGACTGCCTGGTATAACTCCTTTTGGGCATCGCTGAATTTGCCATTGACAGGCCATGTACGGGTAATATCACTAGCATATCCATTGTACTCTCCTCCACAATCTACTAGAACCAAATCTCCGTTCCTGTGTAGCGCAGATCCATCAATACTTGGCCCGACATAAACCAACCAAACCACTTACTTTAACTCCATATCATTGCGAACATAGTGCATAGAGAGTGCATTGGGTCCACCAGCAATTACAGGTACATACGCTAGAATAGTAGATCCTCGCACTCTTGTCTCAAAGTCAAACTTGGCCCACAATTGCCCCTCTGTAGTGCCTGGCTCTGTCCACTTCATTGCCTCGATGAATGCCTTGGAGCTAATCATGCCTGACTTCTTCATAATCTCAATTTCACTTGGACTCTTGATCATGCGAAGCTCTTGAATAATCTTACTCAGCGGCAAGATGGTTTGTAATTTCAAGCCTAGTAGGACACAAAATGTCAGTTATTTCCCACATTCTCATTTCAAATTCCAAGACGCTAGTGAATAATCCCGAACAACACACACACCCTTTGAAGACATAATCAAACGTCTGTTATCCCAAGAAGCCGGTTTAAAAAAAGAACTCAACGTACCAGTTTCAATCAGCTTCTTGGTGCTATCCGCTGTGATGAGAGAAGGCATTGTACCAGGGCTGTCCATGAAAATGTGCTTGGATGAGCTTAAAACCTTCTTGAAATAGGATGAAAATTTAGCATTGTCATAAGCTTCGTCTGCTCCGAATAGTTCCTTGACTCCTTCAACACCCGTTCGAGGTCCATCCCATAATTCCGCACTGGCACTCTTTGGCAGAACAAACATGGTTTGCTTGTATCCGCGCTCTGAGTCGTCCTTTTCTACACTTTGGAATCAGTATGAGGTGTCGAGTCTGTGGCATGACGATCAAGAATACCTAGAATCATGGCGGCATCAGGCTCATTGAATCCACACAAATACCAAAAGTCAGTGTTTTGATGAAATGGGTAAAAGATGTTGTTGGTCATATATCGAGTGCTGTATCCCACGCTGACAACTGTACTTCCTTCAGGCAACGACTTGATGAGATTGGAGCGTCTGGTTTCAAATTCGCTAGCAGATAAGCCAGGTGTCACTGTAGCCATGTTCTTTTGTCAGTGAACTTTCCCTTTGCTACCCCCCAAGCTCCATCTTACCTTCGCCCTTCTTCATAATGTTGGGGTGGGTTGTTGGTGTAGGCTGGCCAAAGGATCTAACATGTGTCTCAGGCACACGATCAGAAGTAGTAAAAAACCTTTGACAAGCAGGCAATGAGGAAATAGCGAGTCGATTTTTATAAACTAGACGATTGGTTTGAAGAGCAGCTCTTTGCGCAACTAGATTCATGCATGTTGAGCCATTGACATGGTATATTGATTTCTAGAAGAAACAAACCTGCAATTGTGGAGAGCCTGAGTAAACGAGAGTGTAACATTTTGCTTGAAAAAGAGACAAGAAAAAATGAAGGTTGGAAAAATGCGGGGCAGAAAGGGACTTGCTGACACCTTTTATATTGGACTTCAAATGGCCATCACGTGAAGTCAAGCATTTCGCATCTTGGACTCTTGTTGTCATTACTTGCATTTCATGCTGTAGTCCTAAAGGCATATGCATGAGAAAATATAACTGATACAAAAACCAATTGACATGGCTTTTTGCTTTTTGAGAAGTGGGGAGCAGATGACACGAAAAAGATACACACGCACAAGAAAAACGACTGTTATCTTATCACACATTTGGCTCAAATGAATCAAAAGGCAAATCAGTTTGCGTTACACAGGAGCATCACAATCCAGATTTCACATAATGCAAATGCTCCAACGTAATGGTGTTTGTTACTTTATCGGATGGATGGCTACAAATGACGCAGTGTTAAATGATAGAATAGGCCTAATAAATGCAATGGAAAGGCTTCCATGAGAAGCTCATCACAGATTGTACAACTATTCCAGCTGGATAAACCTGGGAAGCCAATATACCATCGGCGACTTCTGGCACCGATCGCTTTGGTAAGGACAAGGGCTTTAGCCAACAGGGTAACAGTGTTCTTGAAAAATGTGATTCAGGCACAGCATAAATCATCATTGGCATGGCAGCAATTTTGTTATGGATCTCGTAAGCGGCCATGTACATGTACGAGACAGGGCTCATTGCTACATCGTTCGCGACGGCTTACAGAATAATAAAACTGTCAGCTTTATGTAGTAATTTAGAGATCAAATTTGAGGCTGCATCTTGAGCACAAAATCCCTGCTACAATTCAATGACTATCAACAACAAATGCTCGCCTACAAGCAATGCATACATGCTTTTATACCAATAGGATGATAAAACGGCTTTTTTATAGTGTGCTTCCTGGTAAATTAGTGTAAACTTCTTCGCCAGCTGGGGATTGAGAAGAACAGCTTTGCTACTCGAAGTCAGTCTCGCACAATTTTACTTTAGCCTTCTATTGCTACGTGAGAAGCCTCCATAAACAACCAGAAGCTATGCAATTGCCTTTTCAACGATGCTGAATATTTTTATCAATGTAAACAATTCATATATAGGCCAACAGCGCACTTGGGTTATCCTTTATTACTCAAAAGTAGGCAAAACACAGCCAAACTTAGATAGATTCAGGCCGTGTTTTCTCGTGTTAAAAGCCGTTTTAGGACGCCGGAATAGCACCAAACAGTTTCTCTGATCTAGCACTTACTTACTGATACTTTTATTCAACTTTTTCAGGATCATCGAAAATTGGTCAAAATCCATAAGTCACCACTCATGATTTCCATCGAAAATTAAACGATCGCGTTTTTGACCCCAAAAATGAAAGTGTTTACTCTGCCACATATTAAGTCAAAATGTTCCTTTCGATCCAGCGCATCCCCAGAAAACACTTTTGCGAGACTTTGATACGCAAAATCTCTACATTTTCGCCAAAAACCTCAAATCATATTTTTAAAATTTGCTCATTAAGCTTGTTTAAAACACCTTTTATAGCATCATCAGATGCGCGTTAAAAAGTACGTTACAAATGGATTAGTACGTATGGGATGATCATGACAGTTTATATAGTCGAATTTCGCAAAATAGATTGATCAAGTCGCAACTTGATCCAAAAATGTACAATTCAGGCGAAAATTTTTTTTGTCGGACCTTAAACCGATTTTGGCTGGCAACAACAATGCCAATGTCATCCTGAGCGTACTCCATGCTTTTGGAAGCTATTAAGAAGGGGATTGTGGGATGAAACGTGCTATAGTTTCTGCTGATTGCCTCAGAGTTTAATATATCCACTGCCTGAAAAAGGAAAATGTATGCAAAGTAAGGTATAGGGCAGACAATGTTATGAAATAGACGCTTATGCACCTAAATGTCACCATATTGTTTGTGGATTGTAGGTTTGGGGTGGTGCTCTAAACTTTGAGTTGATAAGGTCCAGTCGCAAACTATTTGTATAGCGAAGCTTATCATGCAATACTAACCTGTTCGTCAGACATTGTCTCTACGATCTGCGCTGTAAATTATCTCAATGACAACTGAATATGCTATATATTATTGACATTTGGAGCATCAATCGCGTTTAACTCTGGTCTGTGCGTTGCTTGGTGAGCCAAATACTGTGCAGTTCATAAGAAGATGCTTCGTGGAAGAAATGGCACGTATACTAATATGGTGCTTGAGAAGGAACTAGGCCGAGCATTTGACATATGAAAATTTGTCATGCTATTCTTTGATACAACAGGTTTAATTGCAAACTCCAGTCTACTAAATTTTGTAATAATATTTGCCTGACTAGTAAAAGATAAGATCAAGATGGCAGCAAGCTCGCTTTATTTCCCTTCCCCAACTGTTGGATCCAAACAATTCATGCCACTTGAGTTGATTGACACATGACCAGGGGGGGGGGGAGACCCAACGGCTACATCATTCACTCAGCTTTTATTACACTGTATCACACAGGGCGAAATTATTTGCTTTAAAAAGCAGCAAAGTTTTGAGCAACGTACTCCTTTTCTTCTTTACCTTGTATCAAGTAAAGTTATAAAAATGCCTTCTGCCGTAAGTACCATTTCTGGAGAGGATTGTCTGTAAGTGCGCATGAAAATTGACATGCTTTACCCAGGAATTCAACACTGCTGCTGAGGAAGTCAAGAACCTCTCCAACAAGCCTTCTGATAGCCAACTTTTGGAACTCTATGGTCTCTTTAAGCAAGCTACTGTTGGTGATAACAACACCTGTAAGTACAAACAGAATCTATTGAGTAGCACACGTATATTGATACAAAATACCAAACAATAGCCAAGCCTACTTTTGATATCAGAGGTCGCTACAAATGGGATGCTTGGACCAAGCTCAAGGGTAAGTTACTATCATCGAGATTTCGTTCATGTAGAGGGTGGGAAATATTTACGTGTCTTTTACTTCAGGTACTTCTCAAGAAGATGCTGAGAAGCAATACATTGCTCTCGTTGAGTCCCTCAAGGCTGCCCAATAAGTGCACTGACATCTATCCCATTTAACTGACTATTATACCGAAATTTTACAACGATTTATATCTTGATTTGATTGCAAATAAAGAGTATAACCATACGAGCTGAATTTTCATGTGTTTGTGATTGCTAAGGTTACCAGAGGGTGGATTTTAAAATATTAGGCCTGTCCAGGCGGTGGTTTCTTACTAAACCATGAGTAGAATCATTTGTTAAGGGCACGTTTCTGCCTGAATATCTACAAGTTTCTATCAGAGATTCATCAAACAAATCCTCCATGTTGTTATCTCGTAATATATAAAGACATTTGTGTTTGCATGTTATACTTGCTCATGTATTTGCACGTTGTGAAATTGCTTTTTGAGAATAAGAATGGTGGTGGTCTTGCGAATCAAGCTTGACAAAGGCCTTTAGATGTGATCACACCAAGCACTACAGTAAACCAATTGAAATGGCTTGATCGGCAGCCAAAGGGTCCACATCATCGTTCATTCTGCTGAAAGGTATATCCCTGCGTGATTACGCATCCTTTCTACTAATTTGCTTGCCATTGTCATGAAATATAAGAGATATAAGCTTATAAGCGATATATTGCGGCGAGTACATCTGCAGTGATGCCTCTGTAGATCTTTGCTGCTCCTGGGTATGATGTAGATAGATCCCATATATCCGCTACATGATCAGCGTCATATCAGCATTTCAGTAATATAATGTTACAAGTAGTTCATTCCATCAAAAGGATGAGTAGGGTAAATAGCAGCCACTACTGCTAAATGCCAAATCACACGTCTACATTGGCATTCATCAAGTTGGATTAGGCTCCCAAACTTGGCAAGTAATATCCACATCAGCAAACGGACACAGCTTGTTGCGGAGCATGGATGTTTGCACGAGACCAAAACGCTGTTATGGCTCTCTTGGCTCTGATCACAATGAAGATCCATCTGGGCATCATGCCTAGACAGCTCCTTTTGAATAATATAGCACCAAGTTGCACATTTGGATCCCTCATTTTATACGTCATTTAGAGAATGATTACTTGTGACTATACAAAAGTCTATGGAATATGATGCTATTCTTGTGTTCTCCTACTTGAATACTCTCTTCTGTTTCTCTTTCCCTTTTTTTTTCGTTACTTGGCCCCCCTCTCCTTTTTCTTCTTATATATCCACACCCAACATACACCTGAAATGAAACAAACATCAGAGACAAAAGAAGACGCAGGAGTCGATGATTTGCTAGAGGAATTTGATGAAAAGGCAAAAATATCGTCCCAAATGGAAGACGAAGATGAGGACAGACTTGTGGAAGACAAGGACGACGATGAAAGCAAAGAGAAAGAGTAGGAGACATCCCCACCTATTTATGTAAGCTTTTATTCACCGTTTTCATGTGTAACAACAGTGATTTCAAAGACAAAATTCCTGAGGTCTCCACGCCCATTCACCACACGGAAGAGATGGATCATATATTCAACCAATTTAATGGTAAGTACACAGAGACTGAAGAGCATCGTGGTATGCATAGCATTCATGCGCGGTTTTTTTTTTAATCCAGACAAAACACCCACCGCGCCCACATCCAACACAACAACAACCGACGTGAGACGTCCCTCACTGAACTCGAGCGAAATGCAGATCGTACCTGATACCCCTCCTCAACAAGAGATACCCTTTGACTTTAACCGATTTTTGGAGCAGATGAGAAGTCGAAACGCAAAGCCTATTACTCGCTATTTTAAGAGGTAGGCCTGCATCCCTACTTGTATTAACACATGTTTGACTCAACTACTACGGAGACATCAGTTTTTTGCAGGCATTTGATCGCAGACCATGGACAGTGAATGAGCAAATCAAAATTATCCAAGACTTTCTTGATGTAAGTGCGCACATTTGATCTTGGCTGAAAGTTATGTTGACGGCAAATCAGTTTATCTTTGTGAAAATGAGAGAATGCGATGTGTGGAGAGACATGTCTGAGCAAGAGTTTGGAAATGCAAAGGAAGGAATGGAGAAGTTGGTCATGAATCGATTATACCATGTGTGAGTACATGCTACTTTTGCTCGATCTTGTGGCACAACAACTAACAGCAACCTACACAACAGAACATTCTGCCCAACGACAATGGACGACAAGGAGAGAGACGAGATATTGCACCAGAAGATCAGCATCTTTCGATGGATCCGCGAAAAGCACTTGGATATACCAGAAACTGAGCATAACGAATCGTTTTTATCGTTTGCCGAATCAGGTACTTTTTTACACTATTTAATGAAATGTTGTGCGACATTAACCCGTTTTGCTAGAAATACTGAAGATTAATAACTACAAAGCACCAAGAGATAAGCTCATTTGTATTTTAAATTGCTGTAAAGTGATCTTTGGTATGTATTTATCCGACAAGGCCGTGGGCCGTGCTCTCATTGAATTCAATCTAGGTTTAATCAAGCATGTGGAGGGGGATGCAGGTGCAGATAAATTCTTGCCAATCTTGATCTACGTCGTCATTAGAGCGAATCCACCGAAATTGGTCTCGAATGTTCAGTACGTGGCAGTGAAACGGAGACAGTTTGCCGAATATTAATGGGATCTACCTAGATACATTTATCGTTTTAGAAATCCAGAGCAATTGCAAGCGGAAGCAGGATATTACCTGACCAACTTGGTATGTGTATCATTCAGGACACCCATTCGAGCCCCAAACTAACCACCAGCAAAAGATGGGCGCCATTTCTTTTATTGAAACCATGGAGGCAAAATCATTGTCGATCACTAAGGAGGATTTCGACAGTAATATTGAACGCACAATGACCGAGTTGCAGCACGAGCGTCCTTCTGTCGCATTGGATAGACAGCAGATCAGCTATGAGAATGCCTTGCATCCATCACGCTCATCATCCGCACGATCTCAAGCACAGCCACTATTAGATCCCGCAAAAGCAGCTGCCTTGTTGGAGAGAGGAAGTCAATTTGCACAAAAAACCATGCAAAAACCAATCAGTTTTGTGGGCAAGATATTTCAGGGATTGAGTGACACCTCTGCAACAAGTAGTAGAACTGTAAGTCCAGATGAAGAAGAACGGTATCATCAGCAACAGCAGCAGTTTTATCAGCAGCAGCAATACTACTACCAACAACAACAGCAGCAGCAGCAACAACAACAACAACAACAACAACTGACAGACCAACAGCAACAGCCTCCTTTACCTCCTAGACCGCATCCGGATCAGATAGTGATGCAACAAAGACAGCAGTTTGACGCACACTTGGAGACACTAAAGAGCATGTTCCCCAATGTGGACAGCAGTGTATGTTATCTCATTTTGCATGCCAATGGAGGGGATTTGTCTAAATCCATTGACCAGTAAGTTTTTTTTTTTTTTTTTTTTTTTTTTTTTTTTTTTTTTTTTTAGTTGTTGTGTGATGTTGACATACTAATGAATGGCTGTAGTTTACTAGACATTTCTGGGGACGACCAGGGCAGCAATGCAATAACAAATGACACACCCTACACAGCTCAGAGTACACCCGCAGACACTTTTGCTAATATCCAACCCACACCAACTGGCGTGCCATCCAACGATACACATTAAAGCTATAACATCAATGCCATTCCATATATTTATTCACCTTCGCCTTTTTCATAAACTATACGGCTGATAATGCACGTATCATTCAAAATATATGCCCCCTTCTCATTCGAGAACACACCCAAGCAATGTGAAGATGTCCTGTGATGCAAACGACAAAAAGTCGGATCCTAATCGCATCTTCATGAACATCTTTAAAGAAACTTCTAGTGTTGTACAGAGGCAGCAGCGCTATCAGGGCATTACGCCATCATTTGTATCAGTGCAGCTGTTGAGCACCATACGAAGCTCTGGGTATTATTACGATACGCCTATGCATGTAATGTGTCCTCTATAGTTTTGACTGATTGTCCTTCATGCTATACATGTGCATTAACTTGCAAAGCAACACTGCTCAAGAATGGTACATGAGACAATGGCGCCAGTGACCCTTTGCTGAGCAACTCTACCTTGCCAAGACGACTCCACTGTGCGCTTTTAAGACTCCATTGCAACTGAGACAGGCAATTGTCATCTAAACATCATTTTGCACCGATAAAGTTAAAGTTAAAGCCATGCAGTCGTCATTGATTAAGGAGCATGCTTCTCGTGTTGCCTTGGCAATGGATGAATTCTGCTCAATTAAAGGCTTTACGAGCATGTCAAAATGGATGTGGCGTTACTCTATTTATTGTAGCATGCATCACTACTATGTAGAATTAAAGTTTAGTTGCATGTACATAATACGGTGACACATTTTAGCCGATTCTTTCGAATGAGATGCTCGTAATAGGGATTCACGGACCATGGTGCTATGTTTGTAAATAAGAGGCATGCGTATTAGTAGCACCATGGCTAGGGCACCTTGGCACGACACTTTACATAGTCTTCAGTAAGCTTCTCGGTCGCATTGATTGCAAGTTGCTACTGTTATACGCCACAGCATTGCCCTAAAAGATCAAGAGAAATTAGACATTTGCACATGCATTTTGTAAAATTGAAATTGAGCCTGGTATTCAAGCGATGCACAGACAAAGAAGGGTGGATGCCACATGATAATTCAGACCTAAAGACGGATAAACAAGTAAGTTTACCCTTTAGGCGGCTTATCAGTTGATGTAAGATGAGACTAGATATGTTTATGCCAAGAAGGTTCAAGAGGATATGGGTGAGCTGCCTTCATTTGGATCATCTAATTGCCAGATAATGGCTTTGGCGTTGGGCTTTTGAGGGCGACTTTCATGACTGATGAACAGTATCGTTTGGAAAACACACTAATCTTGTTTCTGACAAAAGGGTTGCTTTGATGAGATGATTCACTCGTCATACACAATTGTATAGCTTTCTCTCGCATTCATCATCATAAGATCTACAGCATCTTTGCTCACTGGTCTTTTAACGACAAGGTGGCCCCAATGTTCATGGCATTCCTGGTATTGCTGGCGAGCATGATGGCCAGCATCTCAAGATACATCAACACAATTCGAAACGTCCATTTAAAGTGACGTAATGGTAACCGTTGAGCAGGAAAAAGGAGATTGTAATATGCAAGTACAAAATCAGATTATTCTCAATCCATCTCTTCTTGCTTTTCTTTTCTCTTCATTGATATAATAACCAAAATATGTCTACTCCCGATAACGACGAAGTGAACAACGTTGACAAGATTCCCACTGAGCAAAAGGGCGCTTTCCACCAGTTCCTCAAGTCCTTGGCTTCCTTCTCTGGTGATCTTTCTTCATTGACTTGCCCTGCCTTTCTGCTTGCTCCTGTGTCTTTGATTGAATACTCGTAAGTATACCTGTTTATAATTGGGTTCTACGCGGAGGAGAGGCGGCGGAGAAGCTGTGTGGAATGTGAGGAGACATGCTACAAGGAGTGCAGCGTATACTCGATAGGCTAACCATGATTTGTCAGTGAATACTGGACACAGCAACCGGACCTCTTTACAGATATCACTAAATCTGATGACGAGGTGGAGCGTATGATTGCCTTTGTGAAATGGTTCATCTCTTCCTTGAATGCTTCGTATTCTCGTCGTGTACCCAAGGGCGAATGGGAAAAGAAGCCTTACAATCCTGTGCTGGGTGAGCAATTCAAGATGCAATGGGGCGACTTGCAAGGATCTGGTGAAACGGATGTCCTTGTTGAGCAAGTATCCCATCATCCCCCCGTGACCGGATTCCACATCAAGAATGAGAAGCATGGCCTCACGTTGAATGGCCACACGGGTCAAAAGACTCGCTTCTCGGGCACTTCGCTGATTGTCGATCAGGTTGGTCAAAGTATAGTGACTCTGAAGAATCGCAGCAACGAAAGCTACATGTACTCTTGTCCTTCCATCACTGTAAACGGTATTTGGTATGCTGGTAATGTATATCTATTTTATGCTGTGTGGGCAAATGCATTAAACATTGTTTGTTTTGCTCATAGCCCCCTATGTCGAATTACTCGGTACATCCTATATTCAATCAACATCTGGCTTGTACTGCTCCATCGAATATACCTCACGTGGTTGGATTTCGGGTGAACGAAACCACTTTAAATGCTATCTTCGTCGCAATGGAGGAAGCTCAAAGGAATACATCTGCAAAATGGAAGGCCAATGGAGCGGCAAGTCGACACTGACTAAATATGGATCAAAGACATCTGAGCCCTTCCTGGATGTTACTGCATTGACACCTGCTCCCATGCACGTCAAGGAGACCGCAGAACAAGACGACATGGAGAGTCGCAAAATCTGGCAAAAGGTATCTGACGCTATTCGTGCAAATGACACGAACCTGGCTGGTATCGAAAAGAATAAGATTGAGACACAGAAGAGAGAGGAGAGAGCTGCCCGTCAAGAAGCTGGTGAGGAGTGGCAGCCTAAATACTTCAAGTGGGAGGAGGAGGAGCCTACAGTGATCACACTCCAGCGCATGCTGACATCCACTGTCAAGTCCAAGTACGCCCCTGCTACACACGGTAATTGGGTTTATAAGGGTGATTTGTAGACGTGCTTTTGTATTAGTTTTTTCCCTGCCATTTCATTATTCTATATCTTGTTTAATTCAATAAAACCCTACATCTACAAGAAAAGAGAGGACGGTAAATGGCGGTAAAAGAGTTTATGCATCAATCACCAAGGCGCCTCAGGTTGCAGTGTGATACACTATCAATTTAATCAATCTATTGTTACGCAGGAAACTGCAAGCTGTTTCTGAGCTTCCTTTTTGCTAATCTTGGATTATCTCTAGATAATGCCCGTCTAGAAAAGAGGATGGAAAACTTTTTTTTCTCTACTGTCTTTGGCGGTATAAATCACTTTGTCAGAGCAATAGTCATTGGCCCAGCCAAAGCCCGTATTGTTCAAAAGGAAAGGAAAGTCTATCTTCGGAGGATGTTGGAAATCCCAATCCACACGCTATTCCGTAATAAAAACGCCTCGTTTCCTTTTAATTTTCCCATTTCTTCTTCTTCTTTTACTTTTCCCTTTATTTCATCTCATACAACAACATGTCGCAACCTCGCAGATCCTTCTCCTCTGGCCCTACCACTGGCTCTGATGCTCAAATTGAAGCCATTGAAGAATTAAGACACCATTTCAAGCTGTCTACCGACGAATTAAAGCAGTTTCGTGATGACTTGCGTCGCGAAATGGACATTGGCCTCAAGTCTGATGAGTCCAACATGGCCATGCTGCCCTCTTGGATCTTTAAGCATCCCACTGGTCAAGAAACTGGCGAATACCTTGGTTTGGAATTGAGTGGTAAGTACGAGGCGAGAGGGAGCAAATGCGAATTACTGCTAGACCATTGACGTAATATGTGTAACTACCAGGCTCCAATATCCGTATCTATCTTGTCACTTTGCATGGTCAAGGTCGCATCAGCACCCGTCAACAAAAGTTCGTGATCAGTGAACATCTCAAGAAGGGCTCCATCAACTCGATGATTGATTTCTTGGTGGAGAGCGTGGATAACTTTTTGTCATTTGTCGGTAAATATGAACTCAAGCAAGCCTTGAGCCTTGGTTTTGTCCTGTCCTTCCCTCTTGAACAACATGCTTTGAACAAGGCTGTCGTTATCCAATGGACCAAGGACTTTGAAATCACTGGTGCCGACGGTAAGAACATTGCCGAGCTCTTACAGATTGGTTTCAGACGTCGTCATATCAATATCAACGTGGAAGCTGTTATTAACGGTGCTGTTGGCTGTCTTTTGGCTCATAGTTACCGTAGTTTGGATACCTTGGTTGCCTGTACTATCAGTACAGGTACCAACGCTGCTTATTGGGAAAAGGTAGAGGCTATCATCAAGAACCAAAAGGAGCTCCCTCCCAATGCTGACGGTGATATGATTATCAACACTGAATGGGGATCTTTTGGTGACAAGAATCCTGGCCTCTTGCCTCGTACCTTTTACGATAACCGTGTCAACCGCCAATCTGTCAATCCCGGTGTCCATGTCTTTGAGAAGATGGTGTCTGGCCTCTATCTAGGTGAGATTGCTCGTATCATCATGGTGGATTTCCTTGATCGCCGTCTTCTTTTTGACGGCCAGTATACTCCAGAACTGAACACGCCTTATCTCTTTGAAGCCTCTTACATGAGCGCAATTGGCTCTGACGATACACCTGATTTGGAAGCCACCAAGCACATTCTGGAAGCCATCATGAACTTGCCATCCACCACACTCTCTGATCGTCAAATTGTCAGAACCATCTGTGAGCTTGTCTCTCAACGTGCTGCTCGTTTGGTTGCTGCTGCTATGAGCGCTATTATTGACAAGAGAAATGCCCTCGAGGAAGGTTTAACTATCAGTAAGTTTTGAGCGTGATATGATTCTATAGAATGGGTTTATTGATTTTGCTTGTGGTATTCTAGGTATGGAAGGTGCAGTCTATGAACATTTCCCCAACTTCCCTAGACGTGTCAATGATGCTTTGAGAGGTATCTACGGCGAGCGTGTTGATCACATCAATGTTGGTATCACTCGTGATGGAAATGGCATTGGTGCTGCTTTGGCTGCTATGATTGCCATTACTCAAAAGCAAGCATAAACATTTTTGCATAATCTCATTTCTTCTGCCATCCAACTACAATCTCCTATCAACTTTTCCCGCATTAATTAAGAATTGTATCTTCCCGAATCTTACCTTGCTTTCCCAAAAAAAAATGAATTGCAGACCCTTACTTTAAATTTGTTACAAATCACCCCACATTGAAGTGAATTTTGGCTGGTTTGTATAGTCAGAATTATGGCATCCAGTTGAGATTGACTGAATGAAAATGCTTATATGCATTTAGCCCTGAATTATCATCCCGTAACAGCAATGTTCGCATAAAATGTTGGCTGCACACATTGAAAGATCGAGATTTCAGTTCATATATTTGACGTGTATTTCGAAATTACATTACCAGTTTGTGAGGATTTATTGCAAAATGTCAGAGACAATATAATAATAGACTATGAGTTAGATGTTAAAGTGGATAATATAGAATGGGGGTATACTAAGACTAGGTCTATTCTGCCATCCAATTTTTGGCAGAAAGACGATCATCATACGAGGCGGACAAGGATATCTTGGCCGAATCGTCTCTTGCGGCAGCATGACTACCTACTACGGCCACTGCCTCCATATTGCTGCTGCTATTCTCTGGATTTGTGTCTGTCGCTGCATTTCGGGTAGTAGGTAATGAAGCAGAAGACTTGAGGGGTTTCTTCAAATCCTTATGGTGCTTGCATTGGTGTGTTTGCTGTTGCTGTTGTCGCTTCTTTTTTTGCTGTCTTGCATTTTTCGACGACGATGCTACAGAGGACGACGATGAATCAAATACAGACTGTGAGGGCGATACTGAGTAATTGAATGGTACTTTGACTACAGGCTGTTGCATATCCTGCAGCGTTTTCTCCAAATTGCTGAGCTTGAGTTTCTCGTATCGAATACTGAGATCCACATAGTCCTTGATTGACTTTTTCAGATCTTTGCTCTTCTGCCTCTCAAACAGCTTGATTTCCTTCTTGATCTGTTCTTGATATTCGTCGAAATCTTTCTTATTCTTTTCCAATTCCTCAGAAGCCTGAGATTCGGCATTGTTAATAACCCATGACATCAAACTATCTGCTAGCAATTTGCTGTTACCTCTATCTCCTCTGCAATCACTTCTCGCACCTCCGGGTGGTTGATACCTAACCTCAATTTCAATTTATCGGATCTATCACGCTTTTTGTTTCGAAATTTCAGCTGATCCACATAATCCATTAGTTTCACTGTTCTTGCGTTGAAGATGACCTTTAACGGGTCGAGCGAGTTTTTGTATTCAATCATCACATCACCGAATTTCATGGATTCCTCCTTTCCCTGCCTTGTGAACACAAAGCCCAATTCATCCATCAACAATCCCAACATTTGCATTTTCCTATCCAAGTTTCTCTGCGTCTCCCTCGAGTCCAGCTTGAGTCCTGTTCCCAGTCTGTATTTGCTTTGGGTTGTTTCGATAATCAAATCGCCCATGTGTATCATCACATCTCCTAATCCTTCTCTCGTCTGGATAAGCTGATTCAGCGACTCTGCAATGAAACCATAGTACGACTCTTGCAAAAGGATGTAGATTTGATGTTTGTGAAAGATGTCTTGATCATTTCCATCAATAACCTCGGATGGTTTAAATGACTTGAAGCCTCGATCTGTGCTTGGCTTGATCACCCTATTGAATTTTAAAAACGACAGTACGCCAGTGTTGGAGGGTCCAACTTCAGTAGGAGACTACTCGTTCCATCAGCCTTCACACTGTATCTCAACAGTCGATATCAACGTACCATGTCAGTAGACAGAAAATGAATGAAATCATCGTTGCTTGTTAATTCAGAGCGACTCATTATCTTGTCGAAAAAACGTTCCACTTGAAGTCTTTTTCTCTCCACATAATCTTGGTCGTCAATGAGCGAAGAAATAGGTGGGTCGGGCAGTGGAGGTAATACGATTTTCGGGTAGCTTTTCTTTAGTTTGTGGTAGATCCAGCTTATTTGTTGAAAAGTACGGAACGATGTAGGCAGCACCTTTTCAAATTCGCCCTGGAACTGTTGATTTGCCGTTTCAGCTACAAAAGCGATCTTGCCGTAAATGATTCTATATACTTACGTCTCCTTCCAGAGCCAGCTTGAACTGTATTGTATCTGGTGTAGCGGCTGCTTCTGGAACTGTAAGCGTAATGTTCATTGTTCCAAATCAAATATGAGAAAAAAGGGAGGAAAGAAATGTTTGTATGCTGGAGAAAAAGAGGCACCCGAAATGCACAATTAAATTGTGTGTGTTGTTCCTTCAGAACTGAACACGTATCAAATGCAGCAAACAGGGCGGTTATACGATTTACCGTTTCTGCATCTCGAGTAGACACATGTATTCATTTGAACATTTTTGTAAACACTAGTGGCCGTTGTCATTGATTTGAAGAATCAATATACACAAACACATTAATAATTAATACATTAAATTATTGCGTGGAAAGGAGGTTTCCAATCAAATACTACAAATATGAAGGGGATGTCTCCCTAAAATCAGTTTGTGTGCGTCAATGGCTTCTTGCGATTATATATAAAATTACTTTCCTCCTTTCGAAACATTGTATATAAATACCTTTTGCTTTAAATTTGTTTTTGTCTCGGCCCTGACACAAACACAAACACACACACACACACACACACACAAAGATAAAGAAACATCAACATGAGTTTATATGAAATGCACTATGTTTCAAATGCGTCCGAGAAATCTCGGGTAAAAGCACAACAAGCGATATTACAAAAAGCATTGCAAGAGCTATCTATCAAAAGCAAATTGGAGCAGCAAAGTGAGCATGAAAAGCTATTATCAAAGCAGCATGTAAGAGCCGTTTCAGGAAAACACACTGCCGCCAACTTTGATCTGTGGCTACATTCAACAAACTACACAGTAGTGACAAACGAATGCAGACCTTACTCTCCTTACTGTTCTGGAGATACCATCATCTCAGATGCAGCTTCAACTTCTACCCGTCGCTCAAACAGACAGAGAACACCGTCGATGGTGTCAGTCTCCTCGTCATACATGTCAGACAATACAGCAAGCAGCTGCTATAGCAGAGAAGATGGCAGTAGCTATTCTACTCCAACATATACTTTAACTGAAAGGTAATATTGGCCTTAATGACACCTAGACATAGCTTACTCATGATATAGCTATAGAGACATTTATGGGTTCAAAAGACCAACGCAATGGATCAAAGCATCCAAATTAATCGAATTTGTGCAGCGTTATAAACTGATACAAGAAAAGCAAACTAAAAGTTGGAACAAATTGCTTGCCAACAACGAACAGCAGTGGCCAGACTTGTGTCCACAATGTAAGTTGCTTGAACTCCTTGTATGTCCTTGCCTGTACAAAACTAACTGAATATAGTAAGTCGTTATGTCAGAAAGGGAATCCCACACGCGATGAGAGCCAAAGTCTGGATGCATTACAGTGGCGCCAACAAGAAATTACAAGAAAATTCAGGCCGATACTCATTATTCTTGGAAATCGTGGAGAGCGATGATGCCAACAACGAATACGCAGATGCCATCAGCAAGGATCTCCACCGCACGTTTCCTGACAATTCGAATTTTGCCTGTGATATTCAGCATCCAGATGGATCGACAACAGTGGAGCCACGCTCAAATGAAAAAATCCAACAACTACGTCGAGTTTTGCTTGCTTTCAGCGCTCATTCGCCAAACATAGGCTACTGTCAATCACTCAACTTTTTGGCGGGATTCTTACTCTTGTTTTTGAGTGAGGAAGAGACATTTTGGATGCTGGTCACCATTGTGCATGACATTTTCCCTCAGAATATGTTTGATACTACCATGGCAGGAGCCAATATTGAACAGACGGTGCTCATGATGATGGTCTATGAGAAAATGCCGGGTGTTTGGGCCAAGATTGGCAGTAAAAGATGCTTCTGGGAATGCGAACAGAATGACGAACTGCCTCCCATCACCCTGATGACCAGCCATTGGTTCTTGACGCTCTTTATCAACATTCTTCCTGTAGAAACCGTGCTTCGTATCTGGGATTGCTTCTTCGTGTAAGTAGTTGGATTAACATGGAGTGTAACGTGTGTACTCATTCTGTGTTTTGTAGTGGAGAAGGTTGCAAGATGCTATACAAAGCAGCATTGACCATCTTGAAACTGAATGAGCAGCGCATTCGGAATGCAGAAGATTCAGTAGATACATTTCAGCTTCTTCAGAACATGCCCAAGAGGCTGATTGACTGTGATCAATTCTTAAAGGTAATACAATTATACGGCTGCGGTCATGCTTCAAAGCGAACTAACATCGCTTTCTTGCACAGTGTGTCTTTTCTCCTGAAAACGATGTTGCTCAGTTATCCGACGAGGATATCGACAGTAAGAGAACCTTGTTCAAGAGTCGTAAAATCCAGAGAGAGCTGAATCTCAGGGTTTAATTATCCAGCTCTTCCAATTGTTAATGTAAAATGTAATGTGTCAAACTTAAGCCGTGCTACCAAAATTTCATCTACCATCAGACTTAATAAATCAACTAACAATAGAACTTTTTTGACAAGAGTACTATGTATGTACTTTACTTGAACGCTGTATGACATATAATACATTCAAACATTATAAAAAAGCGTCCCAGTAAACAATTAGAGGCAATTAAGATTTAAAACATTAAGCACTGAACAAGGCCCAAAACGCCTTTGTTTGTATTTACAAGCATGCTCATGAGATCCTGCGTGAAGAAGAAGACCGACAAGTCTAAGAGCATATCAACGCGGATGCCCACATTCGACTCAACTCTCAAATGAGATTGGAGAAGAAGACAGGCGCACTCAAAATCGTCCAGCTCTCAACGAGATTGCAGCCATTATTCCAAATGAACATACTGATACAAGTTTTAAAGCTATTCTTATCACATATCAAAGTAGCTTTTGAAACAGTGACAGTAGTCTCTTTTAAATGAATCAATGAAACGCATACTGCCTACATGCCATGTTGAAATGCTGAAAATCATTATTAGGAACCAGCGGTTACATATATTTAGTGATGAGCCAGGCTGATTGGCGTTGTCAGATGTGAAAATACTGCACCCAACTAAAACAAACAAAAGGGCTCAAGCTAAACGGTAGTCCTTTAGAATTCATGATCCTCATTTAATTGGCATCCCAATCATCATTGACATCATCAAAGAGGCATTTTGGCCAAGCAACAGCACCAAATCTAATTCAAACTTAGAGTTCAAGATTGGACAAATGTTGTTCTTTTTCGACTTGATTGAACTATTTTGCAAGGTTCGACTATATAAATTGTGATGATCATCCTATGCTTCCTTAAGCGCCCATGGTGGTAGGGCGAAGTGGTTAAGCATCCAACATGCCATCTGGATGATCCCGGTTCAAATCTCAGTGAATGCATTTTGGTGATTATTTTGACGTAGTACTGATGTTCTCGTTTGGTGTTTTGTGTTCTTATCCAGTATCCCTATTTTGACGATTCGCATGATTGTATTAGCTCTAGATGTCGCATCTGATTAGTAGTAGATTTCTTTCCCAACTTAGTTTATTATATATCTTATTCCCCATCATTGCAGACATTGGATCCACCAACAGTCTTTTCTTTCCCTCAGTATGACATTTTAAGGACTTTAAATAAAACCTGGAACTCGACTCCCCTACAAAAAAAAACAATGCTTCCTTAAGCTTTCTAAAAGTACTTTTCATGACGCATCCAATGGTGCCAAGTAGGATACATGTTTTGAATAAACTTATTGAACAATTTTGGAAAATACAAAGTTAGGTTTTTGGCAAAAATGTCAAAAAAACTACATATAAAAACCTTAAAAACAAAGCTTCAGGGGTTGCCTTGGATTGAGAGAAATATGCCGATATAATATATACCATAGCAAAAGTCTTCATTTTTGAGGGCAAAAATACGATCGTTTGATTTTCGATGAAAACTATGAGGTACCCCTCATGGTTTTTGATCGATTTTTGGCCATGTTTTTTGGGTCCTCAAAAAGTTGAGCAAAGGTATCAGGAAGTTACTGCCACTCGAGTACAACTGTTTGGCGCCATTCCGGTGGCTCAAAAAGGTCTATATGCCAAAATATTAAAGCTCAAAAACGGATGTGCTTCATACATTTGCTTGTATATACTGTATCTCGTTAACAGCCAAGCAGGATACAACTTAAAGCGCGATCTGCCTATACTGCATTCCGCCTTTGATGCTCCTCTAGCCCTCCAGCAACAATTTGTGTATGTTGCATAATTAACAGCTCACATATTCCTTCTATTCATTACACCCTTATATGAAGAAAATCGCTCGCGCCTTCTTGAACTATGTTAGTTGCAATATTTGAATGTTATAAATGTGAAATTGCATTCACATACACACATGAAGTAATGTATTGCAAACAACGAAGAAATAATTTGCAATCTCGCTTGCGCTTTGTCACTTTGTGATTATCGAAACAGGCTGTAACTTGTCGAGTATGATAATACTCATCAGAGTAACATATTTTCTTTCGTGTGATTTATTTTTTGAGGAAAATTATTATATTCATAATATTCTTTGCTAAAATGATCGCAGGCAACTTTTGCTGTGTTAGCAATGCACTGCATAGTATTATCAAGACAGTTTACCGGTTGAAGTGCCAGGTCTTCGATCATCTGCACTGCCTCAAAGAACAATCTCGATGCTATGAAAGATACAATCAGTATCCCTGCATTCACCCCATAAAGCTGGCATGCATCTACAGATTCACATACTTCTGCATATAAGATGCTATATAGCAGCACAGGAAAGAGATGCCATTTATATATTACATCCTACTGATAGCACTCTTTTCTTTCTTTCTCTTTTCTCCAATTAAACATAAGCATATTATGAGAGCTACATTTCTCTTTGCCATTGTCATTGTCCCAATAATGGCGACAAACATTTCCAAGGTATCTGCAGCTGCTTTAGGTGCGAAAAACCGCAACGAATCACAAGCAGATAGCATACGTTTTAATGATGTCGGTGCAGGTGCTGGTGCAAGTGCAAGCGCCGCCACCGGTGGCAGAGGGCTTGTAAACGATGTGGTGAGCACCATAAAGGGGGTGACGGACTTCATTGGACTTTGATATGTTTCTGGTGGCTATAGACGAGTAAAGTAAAGGCATTGCAGTCTTTTTCAATTTTGATCATCACTATCATAGTTTTGATGATGATATTCTTTCAAAAAGCTTTCGCCGTATTTAAGGAAGTCTAAAAGACCAAATGCTCTGGTTGAACATGTTGTGGGCGCTAGTGATGATGTTGACGCTGCGTTCTTCAAGTGCAAACACACAAAAGAGTGACCACAAAGCGGCATTAGTTTTTCTGAAGGAGCTTATTCTGGTGGAGGGTCGCGTTTACCACGACAGTAGCTCTTGATACCACCAACTGCCTTTTTCTATTGTCTTTCGACATGGCAAATCATTTGCAAACGTATGATATCAGCTTGGATGAAATAATAATCTGATCACTGCAAGGCACCAAAAAAAAAGTCGCAACTTGCTATATAAAAAGTACGATTTATACGCATTTTATTATAATTTGCCTTGAAGGATATATTCTATACTACTATTGATGAAATCCTTTTTGAAGTTCATATCGAATTCAAAGATATCAGACAGCTGCTCACGAACTAGTAGAAGTTGATGTTAGTATAATGCTTAAAAGGATAATCAATAATCTACAAACCTTGTTTCTTCGTAATACTCATCAAATTAGCTGTTGCTAAAATGGTACGAATCTCGCTCAAAATCTCCTCATCTGTAGGGAAGCCAGCTGGAATCATGGGCGGCAATACAGACATCTGACTCACATTACCCATGGCGGGTGTATCCATTTCACTCTGTGTGTGTCCAAACAGCTGAGAACCACCTGTTGATGGATCAAAGGTAGAATTAGTGCGAGGGCGATTATTGAAGGCAGGCGAAGGGGCACCTCCCATAGCGCTGGGATCAAATGCCGGTTGAGACATGAGAGGCAACTGGGTATTGTAGAGACTTGGGCTTTGCATGTCATGTGGGTAGTTTGGATCCATCATCATGGGCTGCATCGGTGGCATCGGTGTCATAGTATTTATGGGCTGCATTTGGCTCATGAAATCCGGATGAGCAGAGCTTGCAAAGGACATGGGTCTCATTGGCATACCAGGAGGTGGTGTAGTCATCATATTACGGTTATACTCTTGCATAGGGATCATACCGCCAGGTGTAGGAGCGCTTCCACCGTAGTCAGAACCCACAGCAGAACCTGATGTACTAAAGGCATACGACTGCCTATTTCTTGGCTTATCGTTCACCTTGGTATCGCGATAATAGTCATACTCGCCAGCAGGGCTGCTGATGCCGCTATAAACACTGCGATTGTAGCCCGGAGGCACCATACCATAGCTGTTGTACGAGTTTCCAGTCAAGCCAGACTCTCCAGAGCGATGCGATTGCATCTCCCACAGCTCCTGTTCATAGACACTCCACTTCTTCATGGGAATCATCTTTTCGTCAAACTTTTCTTCATCTGTAACAATGATCTTTCTCTGACTGTCACCTACGACAACACGCGTATTACCCCACGAAAAATCATCGAAATGCCAGAAAGAGTAGATGGGCAGCGCGAATGAGTAGACAGGAAGAGCAAATAGATAAAATATCATCCAGCCAATGTGTTGCCATTGGCGTTTGAGGATAAAGATAATGACTTGAAGTGCGTACAAACCAGCCAACATACCAATAGCCAGTGTAGGGAAGGGACCAGCGTGAGCTGCCATAACGTAGATCAGGTAAACGAGGTAAGCAAACGATACTGGCAGTGTCAAGGTACCAATCAGATCCACCAGCACGACAAAACGCATAGAGAAACAACAGAAACCACAGAGATCAGGCAGCAGAGCAACTTCCATCAAATTGTGAATGGTAGAGTTAATCCAGCGACGACGCTGAGACAGTAGCACCTTCCATTTATCAGGGGCGACAGTACGACACATGGCATAGGGCGTAAACTTCATCTTGTACTGAGGAAAGTGCTTCATCATCAGTGTGGTCAGGTATCGATCTTCACCTAGCGACAGCAAATTCTTCTTGTGCAGCGTATCCACATGGTTTTCAGCATAGTCGTGGACCACAGAAGGTGAGATAATGAGGGGCTCGTTCTTGACAGGCGTGCGAATACGGTACATACAGAAACAACCAGGCAGACAGGTGACAGAGCCAAACAGAGACTCAAATGCCTTGGCGAGATAATGCGAAATGTAGTATTCATACACCTGAATCATGGTAGTCCACGATTGCTTCTCGTTGGCCAGAGCCGTTTCACCACAGATGCCCATAATACGCGCATCGTGCAGCATGGCCGAGATAAGATGATTCAGCGAGTAGTCCATAACCTCCGTGTCAGAATCCACCATGAGAATGTACTCGTAAAAAGAAGGATTCACGCCAATGACATTCTTGATCTGATGGTACATCTCCAATTCCATGGGCGTCATTTCGCTGTCGAAATGGACACGGTTCAAAAAGTTCATGCAGATCATTTGAGAATCACGTTTACCACGATTACCAGGCTTGGCGCGTTCAGAGGCTTTACCCACCTTGGCGACCACGAGATACGGCACAACATGGCCCTCGCATTCATACAGGCCAGAGTAAATTTTGCCGTAATTCAGCTGCTTGGCACCCTCGCCTACAGACTTGAACATGAGAGGCTCAGGGTCCTGCTTGGTGTCGTAGCCCAGGATATCCAACACAATGCGAGGCGTGGGGCGATCATTGCCACTACCCATGACCATGCCGTCAGCAATGATGAACAGCAGCTTGCGCTTATCGTCATACTTCATCACGGTGAGCGAATCAATCGTTTTTTTAAGAGACTCTTCGTCTTCAGTGTAACAAGGAATTTGGCAAATTACAAACTTGTCATGGTCTTCAGGTGTAGGTCTACTGCCAAATTGAAGCGCGGCAAGGAACTTAACCAAGATGACCAGACACATGAGACAAGCACAGGCAAGCAGCAGGTAGTTTGTAAACAAACAGCGCGCAGTTTCACGGGGGTCTACATAGCCGATTAGAAAGTAGTTGTTCAAGCAGTTCATATTCATCTCCTGCTCTTCCACGCTCATTTTCCCCTTGTATTGTTCCCATTTAGATGTGGCATCTGTTCCCTTGAACAGACTAAAGAGATCTTCCACGGTGCCAGATAAGAAGCTGTAATTACCGTTGGCAGTACCATAGGTATCCATGGTTGTAAAGTAGTCGTTGAGATCATACACATTGTTGTTGATGGCCAAGGCGTAGCGGCCCCAGCTTTCAGCATCTGCCTTTAGATTTTTGATCAAATGGACCAACGTGCCTTTTTTGTAGTCTTGAATAGTAGGCAGAAAGGTCTTCCAGTACCAGTAAGGGTCCTTGGTATCTTCAAGCGTTGGGATCTGTACCTGATCACCAGAGTAATGGATAAAGGAAGCCTGTGCATTGACACTTGTATTGGCAAGGATCCTGATGTTGCTGTCCGTGACAAGGCCAGAACAGGCCACTGTCAGTGGAGGAGGAATAGAGGAGGACACGTCCATACCAGCCAGGGCATCCATGGCGTCTTGCGTTGCCGTGTAAGCAGATGTACCGTGTGTCGCCTTGGAGAACTGAGTCATATCATACACGGTGCCCCGGACACTCATGTAGTTGTCGTTGGCAGAGTTGTGGTTGCTGACAGTGGATGTCGAATACATGGTAGACGTGCCTGGACACACCACTTCACCGAGACCGACGATAAAGAACAGGATGACTGCAGAGAACCAAAAGATGATCATGCAGAGTGTCACCTTTTCACGCCATGCCATTTGAATGTCTGAGCGCTTCATTTTACCCAGTTTGCTTAGTAGAAAAGACGGGATCCAGAAGGTGTTGAGCCATACAAAACGAACCCACCAACGACGCACATTGGTAATGGGAACCTCTTCAATGTTTTCAATCTTGGGTGCTTGAATGTCTTCAATCATTTTGCTCATGTCCATGTTGGGGCCAAATCTAAAGAAAGAAAAATAACAGTGAGTACTATGTTTGATATACACTATTGAAGTAGTTACCCTTCTGCAAGCCCAGTAATACCCCATTCAGATTCTTCGCCCCATTGACTTGGCTTTCCTTCACTGTAGACGTAGCTCCCGTTGTCTGCATAGTCTTGTTCAGGGGAGTCGACATAGTGTTGGTTGATATCATCATCATAACTGTATGGATTTGTCAAGAGACGATCACCTTGCTGAGCAGCATATCCTCCTCCGTCTTCCTCAGAGGCAGGCAGGCTCATGTTGTTGTTCAAGGCTGCGCTGCTCTCCAGTTCCATCTTGGCACGGTTTCTCTCCTCCTTTTCAGCAGCACGCAGGCCATCTTCCAGCTCTTTCCACACCTCATAATTGAGCCACACCATTTCTCGGCCCACAAAGACAGTCTGCTGGTTCCAATTCATTAGTGCACAAGCACGCTCAATGGCCTCTCTATCAGAGCCGCTTGCTTCCAACTGCAATGAGTCCATAAAGACATGGTACCGCTCCGTAAACTCTTGGAATGTGTAGTCGTTTGCAAAATCAAAGTGGTGGCGGACAATGAGATCAGGGATCAGAAAGGCACGAATTTGTGAGCGAATTCGGTTGTGATCAAATTCAGGCGCTTGAATGTCGTTGGGCCTGATGTGGATGATGTTGTAAATTCTGGTATCTGACATGGAAAAGGTGATGTCTCGCAGTGTAATGTAAAGCTGGTCTGTCACTGTCATTTCTTGCATGTCTTGATATGCTTCTTCCGCTTGCTTGATCTGTTGGTCAAGCTCCGTATTGTCTGTGTTGGCTGCATTCTCTGGAGAACTTGGACTATCATTATTGGCTACTTTTTCAGGTCTGCGTTTGGTGGCTCTTCTTCTCATGGTAGGCGCACGCGTGGGCTTGCTGGAGAGCTGTGCCTTGACAATGGTGCGTGCGTCTTTGGGATGCGACTCGGTGGCCATGGCTGTGCCCTGGAACAAGTTGGATAAAAATGTGTTGGAGCTGCTGTCTCGCAGCATGTTGACAAAATCAGGTGAAAGATCATCCAAGTTTCTTTCAATAAACATGTCGACAGAGTAGTGCACTGTGCCAGAAAAGTGGTTGATACCAAAAGCGTACGTCTGTGAGCCGCGAGACAATGCAGGATGACTAGAGAATTGGCGCTGTAATGAAGCTAAAAAGTTGGCATTGCTGGCATCGGTGGCGCCAGACTGGAGTCGAGCCGTATCTCTGTCCATCAGACCAGTGATGCCGCCTAGACCCAGGGAAGACGACTTGCTCAGAGCCTCTTTTTTGCTGCGAGCATCCTCAATCAGTTGCCGCTTGTCTTTGCCCAACAGCAGCTCTAAACAAGCCGAGTTATCAATGACCTTGGGCATGGGCAAGGGGACGCCATCCTGCACCATGGCAGCATTTCTGCCATGCTCATTGTTAAAGTGTTCGTTGACCAAAAAGTGGTGCATGCGTTCATTAGCCAGGTTGACGCAGAACTCCTGGAATCCGTTGGTTGCAAAATTTTGAAAGCCAAACTGATCCATGATACCAATGACATTACAGGGCTCTTGAACACCCGAGTAGCAGATCTTTCGATTCACAGATTCAATGATCCACATAAACAGAACGTTGTACAAGGCGCTGGCGAGTTCATCACGCTGCTCCATGGCAGCTTGAGGGTTTAGAAAGATGGTGCACACTTCCTTGCCAATCAGCTTGAGTTTGTAGGTCAAACAGGTCTCCAACTTGGTAGGCGGCACGCCCAGCATGACAGCCACAATGTCCAGAATATCTGTGTTCTTGACAATACATGCTTCTTGCGCCAGAGCGTCTGTGTTTTCTTGAAACTGCAAGTTGCCAATGTGCAAGATGGCAGCCAGCAGCTGGAATATCTGAGTCACTGTCTTTGCCTTGAATCCACACATTTTCAAAGCACTTTTGAGATCACTGAATTCGATTTCATCGTTCCAATCGGACGTGGCGATGCAGCCTGATTGATTCAGGTAGTGGAAATAGTCTGGCTTAAAGTTGATATGAAGCGCATTCTTCTCATCCACGGTGGTACCAGCCAAAAGCGAGTAAAAGACATGGTATGTGCGTTCGTTGGGTGGTACTTGAGTTACTCGCGATTTGTCAAATTGGTAGGTCAAGGTCTTTGTACCCAGAATGCGGCCCCGCTCGTTAAATTGGACTTCCTGAAACATACCAAACTTGGATGCCGAGACATTTTGTGTTGTACGAGCATGCCCAAAGGCTTCAATCACTACCAGCGCATTTTGTATCTGAGAGCCTAGCTTGTTTTCTCGTTTGTTGTGTGTAGAGAGCTGCAGTAGTTCACAGAGAAAGTGCGTGCGTGTGGTGCTTTTACCAGAGCCAGTGATGCCGCTGCAAAAGCAGAGTTAATTTGACATGCTGCGATTATTTTACTACACGTACCTCAAAATGATGCTCTGGTCCTCTCCTGTGCGTCTCATGTTGAAATACACCTTGGTCGCTAGTTCGTAGACATGCGGCTGTAGCGCAGGCTTCTTTTCAGATAGATCCTTGTATCCAATATCAGCATACGATCGCAATGTGGCATCATTGAGTAGCTCCAATGGTTGATAGGGATTAACGACTACAAGGCTAGTGTAGCCTAGTTGGGTATATGGGAGATTGCGTTTGTATCTGCTGGCTAGTAGATTGTAGATGGCTTCTTCACTGGGCGGTTGTCCGCCTAGCTGATAGAGGGACACTAGATCAGTGCGAGAATCTTCTTGCATTTAAATATTAGAGAAAATGAAAGAGAAGGGAAAAATGACAGTTATCTTGTATCATACTGGTTTATATATTATCATGTTGACGAGGAGTGTGAATCAACCTATTTATATAACAATTCAACATTCTGGGTTAACATGATATGGCCAAAAGTTGCATCCTCCAATGACATGGATTGTGGGAGGGATTGCAATGAGTACAGTTTATATGAGATAGGAATCCAGGGTGCATTTTGATACAGGCACATCGCTCTTGGCACACAGCCGTGCCTTCAAGTCTAGCTATCGTGTCAATACCCTTGCGCTCGTCATGCTTAAAATATCCCACACGATGGAAACCACGGTACACGAGCCAACATGTCAACATTTTTCTATTCTCTGCAATATCTCCAAAATTGTGTAATACCCAAATTGGACCTCCCCTCAAATACGTGCTGCAATCGACTGTACGGTATGTCAGTTCCACAATGGATTTAATATAAATAAATGGATGCCCAGAGATGTATCCTCAAGAGAAAGGCAGAACTTCAGTTGCACAAACAAGCACAATCTCTGGGCATTTTAATATACATACATACAGCGTTTTAAGAGCCTAATTGCTTCAACAGTGATCGTCCCCTTTCTTCAAATAGCTGCTATTAAATCCCAGTGATACATGTTTATTCATTTCGATTTGTTTTGTTTCCAACTACTACTGACAAAAGGGGTGTTGCTTGTTTGCCGGATCATTTCTTTTTTTTTTTTTTTTTTTTTTTTTTTACAGAGGAAAAAGTCTATTTATTTACAAAATTCAATGCTTCCCCATCACGTTATTCTCCATCATCACTGTCTTCGATCAAAAAGTCCTTGATTTGGCTTAATAACCTGCTGTCTCTGCTTTGGTCGCAGACATTTTCAGCAACGTAGGGTGGCAAAGATGCAACAGACTCTTCATTGTAATCTTTAAGGTTGACTTGACAGCTGTAGCACAGAAACTGGTTCATGTCGATGCGAGGCTCTTTATCAGTGCTTTCGCTACTGCAACACCCACCATCAGGGTTGGAGCAATCTCCACAATCAGCAGACTGTTGTTTTGTCTTTGATTCATCAGCATCTAAAACATCTGCCACAGTAATGTGTTGTCTCCATGCGCCAATATCGGCTTCAAATGGCATCAAACAGATAGCACAGGTCTTGGTCAGGTCCATGTTGGCAGAGGGCGTTAATTTCATGACTGTACGGCAGATGGTGCTGACAGTAGATGGGAATTCTCGCTCGATGCTCACAATAAACTCTTCGGTCAATCGATCAATCGATGTCTTTCCAGGCATCATGGTGCTGAAGTTATAGGGCAATGTCTCAAATTGAGTTATGTTGGCAAAGTGGTTGTAAAATCCAATCTCCTTTGACAGCATGTCCTTCATGGGACGCATAATGCAAAGATCCTTGAAGCTTTGTGTGTTGTCTACGCTGACGTCCAATGCCACACTGTATCCACGGCCCTTGCTGGTCATGGAAATCATCTTGATGGCTTGACGAGTAGCCGAATCGGCCATGAAGATATAAGGACAACTAGAAACAGTCAATCAGTATAAGGCTACATGCTGATGAACCCGAGATTTACCCTTCACGTCTTGCCACAGTTACAAGCATCTCCATCTTGATGTTCCAAAGCAAATCTTCCTTGGCGGTTGTCTTTTTAATATTGGTGAATAATTGCTTGAGTTGCTCGGCTTGAGATTTGTTGGAGTTACTTTGTACACACTTGACATAATGCTCTACAAGGGTGATATGAGCCTTCCTACATTCGTATGTTTTCGTCGTTTAAGGCCGCCTTACCGTATCCTTCATTCTCGACACCACCTGAAGTAGACTTGAGGATCTTGTCGAATGTGTTGCTTTTGGTGAATTCAGGCCCAAACACTTCTTCCAAACGATAGCTGAAATACTCGAATTCAGAATAGTGTTGCTTGAAATCTTGAGCTAATTTCTCGGATGACTTGGCCTATGTGTTACAATTGAATACCTTGCTTTGATGCAGCGAGTAGCTTGTTTTACTTACTGTTGATTCAAATAGAGTGCTTTCATCGATATGACAAACGATGGCTTCAGGTATAAGTTGTACTTTTTTCTTTTCAGAAGGCACCACACGCATGAAATTCTTGGTCAAATTCACCATGGCACTGTTTCCATTAGTCATCGCATCCCAATTGCTCTCTTTCGCAGCATAACACACACTTACATGGATGAAGGACCACCTGAGCATGCCAACAGAACCTTCCCATTCTTTCTGTCATTGTTTCTTAAACGTAAAAGAATTGATCTGTATTTACCAATGAACACAAACATAAAGCAAGACCTGCCATCAAAAAGAGCATTGTGTTGGTCATTGATAGGATTTTTTTGACATTTAACGCAAGATACTTACTGGCAGTAATATGCTTGACGGATCAATAAGGTAGCATTCTCGGTTTTACACTTGCAACAGGGCTTCTCGGTGGATTTAGTAGTATTTGTGCTGGTTACCATTGTATGAGTTGTGTTGAAAAGAGTGGGATGAAAAGGGCAATATTTTTTTCTTGATTTCGATATTTATTTGTTCTCAGTCCAAAAGCCACCCTTCAGAGGCTGCGTAGTAGTACTCAATGTCTGTAAGATGTAGATACTTACTATCAGGAAATCATACTTTTCATGCACTGCCTTCCAAACAAAGAAGCCGCTAATGGGCCATTCATTCTATGATTGAGCATTCTTGGCATGTTGTCTTCAACATACGCATCGTACACAATTTAAGTAAAATGAACAGGTTAGCATTTGGCATTGGGGTTCACATTTGGATAAGTAGTTTCGCCCAACCAATGAGTTTTTCAAATACTCAAAAGCGGATAAAGTAATAGAAGACAGCAAGATTAAGCTATAGTAGTTTACGATTCGCAATCCTCTTCTTTCGAGCCTTTAAAAGGCATCTATTACCTGTGGCATCAATTTTGCCAGCCAAAATTGGTTGTAAGTCCGCACGAGATTTTTCTTTGTCTGGTTTGTTCGTTTTCGATCAAATTGCGACTTGATTAATTTTTTTTTTTTTCAAAATTCGACTATGTAAACTGTGATGATCATCCCATACTTTCTAATACATTCCTAAAGTACTTTTTAACGCGCATTTGGTGATGCCAACTATAAAGAGAAGTATGAATGAACTTATTGAGAGATTTTAGATTATATGAAATGTAGTTTTTGGCGAAAAGGTCGATATTTTGCTTATGAAGATGTCATAAAATGAAGTTTCAGAGGTTGCATTGGATCGAGAGAAACATTTTGGCGTAACGTATATCATAGTAAAAGTCATGGTTTTTGGCCATGTTTTTCAGGTCCTAAAAAAGTTGAGCAAAGGTGTCAATAAGTAAGTGCTGATTGAGAGCAATTGTTTGGTGCTATTCTGGCGGCTTAAAACGGTTTCCAACACAAGAAAAGACAATTCAAATGTGTCCAAATTTTGCTGTATTTTGCATAATTTGAGTAATATGAGGGTAATGTAAGTATGCTGGCTACCCGTATATGCATTGTTCTCATTAATATAAGCATGTGGCAGCCTAGAGGAGTCAAACCTATAGGTTTGGAGGCTTCTCGCATCGGTAGGTCCATAAGGAAAATCCCTGTACACAATAGGAGAATCAAGTCTTCAAATCATGTTTCTGTTCTTGCTTCTCTTTTCAAGACGCTTTAAAGTTACAGACGGGTCAAAAGAAGAACAAGGAATGGTATTTGCTGTTGCTGATTATGTAAGTAATGCTCCTGTAAACATATTTGGAAATCAATTTCCCAAGTAAACTTCTTGCATAATTCTGCTTCGCCAGCGATCATAAATGTGTTCATCCGTTTGTTGACAACGGCTCCATTGTAGCTTTCTATGATACATTGGTGCTTGTAACAATTTATATAATTATGACATTTCACATGAGAAACATGCATCATCTCAAGGAAGAGCATCTGCAAAGTGAGGGTGGATTGCGCGAGCGGTTTGACGCTGGTATTTTAAGAATTTTCGCTTATCTAATGTATCTTATAAAGGCATCCTATAATATGACCGCATTCATCCAATGGCTCCAATGCCTTTATTAAATTTTGTCAACTACCATGTACTATGGGTTTTCTTTCTTCTGGTGCCATTCAAGACCATTGGATCCAAACCGTTGTTTACTAACAAGATATTAGCAACATGTAGAAATATACAACACATATCTGGCATGTGTGTGCAACATGCTTAGCGATGGTGATGTGCAACGGGCCATTGACTTTGATGAAAATCTAATTAATTGCTTCTTGGCATTGATTTCATTTTACAAGTAGGCTATTGAAAGCTGAAGGCAAGCACTCGGGGAAAACTCTCTTCTGTGCCTCCATTAGTACATATATTTATAGCCATATAAATCGGAACGGTTTCATAATAGTAAAACCTGCCAATATATTCTCCAGAGAGATTTTTCTCAACATTCATAATGCCTGATGAGCGATTTATATAACACCCGATATGTAAAACTGCCCAGATTCTTTTCCTTTTCATTCATTTTCTACTATATAATACTATCATGGGCGAAAGATTAGAACGCAAGAGCCTGAAAGAGATGGTTAGGCACTTTACACCATCCTGGTTTAGTGTTATCATGGGAACAGGTATTCTGTCAATTCTGCTGCACAACTTTCCCTTCCAATTCCAAGGATTACAGACAATTGCACTGGTGATATACATTATGAACGTTGTCATGTTCTGTATATTCCTCATCATTACCATTGCAAGATACGCCATCTGGCCGTCTATTATTCGACTGGTGCTGGAGCATTCAAACCAAAGTTTATTTATTGGAACCATGCCAATGGGTCTCACCACCATCACCAATTTCACAGTTATTGCAGTAGCGGATAAATACGCCTGGGGACTCGATCTAGCGTTTGTGCTGTGGATCATTGAGTATGTACTGACTATTCTGACGGTTCTGGTTGTGCCGTACTTTGTTATCGTGCATCACAATCATGCACTGGAGACTATGAACGGCACTTGGCTTTTACCTATTGTCCCTTGCGTGGTTGCTTCTGCTTCGGGTGGTTTACTGGCTCAGTATCTGGATCAAGATCGTGCTTTGGTTGTCTTAATCATATCTATCATCACGATGGGAATGGGCCTACTGTTAGCCTTTTCTGTCATTGTGATCTATTTCTATCGATTAATAGTAAACAAATTGCCGCCCAAAGAAGTGATCATCAGTTCCTTTTTACCGTTAGGTCCGCTGGGACAAGGTGCGTATGGTGTGATCCAGCTAGGCATTGCAAGTAAAACAGTGTTGGCCGATCGATTCATTGTAGGTTTGGGCGATGTTGCTTATTCTGTGGGGTTCCTGACAGCCCTGTTTCTATGGGGTTATGGTGTTTGGTATTTCGCAGTAGCTACCTTCTCTGTGGGTATAACTACAAAACAAGGCATTCCCTTCAATATGGGCTGGTGGGCTTTGACCTTCCCATTGGGCGTATTCACCACAGCAACGTTGAGTATTGGCAACATCCTCAACTCCATGTTCTTTTGGGTATTGGGTGCTATCTTCACATGTGTATTAGTTTTGCTGTGGTTGGCTGTCATGGCAAAAACGCTGAAAGGAATATTCACTGGTGAAATGTTTTATGCACCTTGCTTATCTCCTGTAATTATGAGCTCGTAATATTTATTATATAATAAACGTCATCCTCTCTGTATATTAACAACATCCACCACCTGCAGCCTTCTCTTGTGCATTGCCGCCACTTCTAGGAGATCCTCCTGCTGCCGATTGATCCTGGCTTGATGTAGGGGGAGAAAGCTTAATTGTGTTTTGGCCAGGAGCATTGACGTTGTTGTTCTCGGCAGTTTTTACTGATTTGGGCATATGTTCATAGATGCGTTCGAACACAGTCTTGAATGCGGAATCGACATTGGTTGCGTCCAAGGCACTAGTTTCGAAAAACAACATTTCTGAATCCTCTGCGTACTGTGCTGCTTCTTCCGTGCTGACTGCACGTGAATCTACCAAATCCACCTTGTTTCCAACCAACATTAAGGATATCTTATCATCAGAGTGGTCGCGAAGCTCCTTTAACCAATGATCTATGTTTTGAAATGATGATTGACGAGTGATGTCTGTGTATTGTTGTCAGTACAACGTGTGCTTGAAGTATAATAGACTCGTTACCGTAAACCAAAAGAGCACCAACAGCGCCACGGTAGTATCTAATCATTAGACACTACTTTAGTATGCCATCATTCTAGCCAAAATTACTCCTATACTTTACGCTCCAGTAATTGCTCTATAACGCTCTTGTCCGCTGGTATCCCAAATTTGTGCTTTGATGGTATGCTCGCCCTGTGTTTTCCATGGCGATTAAAACATCCCTTCCGTCTCTTAATCAGTCTTGACGTTACTTACAATTTTGATGTTCTTGGTGGCAAACTCAACACCTAACAAAACATGAGTTCTCTGATGCCTTGAGAGTGGCTGCATACAGCTACTTACCAATAGTGCTCTTAGACTCGAGGTTAAACTCGTCGTTCTGGATTGTGTATCAGTCATTGTCATCAATCCCCATCTCAAAAGACCAGTAACTTACAGTGAACCGAGACAATAAATTTGATTTGCCTACACTTGAATCGCCAATAATAACAATTTTGAATAGATAGTCGTAATCGTCTTCAGACATTTTATGTGTGTATGAATAAAAGAAAGAGAAAAAGAAAAAAAAAACAAAATAGAAAACGGGCTGATGAGGTTAATTTTAGATTGTCTGAAAAGGGGCCCAATTTGCGTAACTATCAAATTACCTTTTGCGATTGAAAGATCTTATTTCATTCGTCAAATAAACGGAGTGCGTACACCTTTGATCAGATATTTGATTTATTACATACTACAGACAAAATGTGTATAGTATGGGTAGCCATGGTCAAGCTGTTCACGAAAAAGAACCTTATGAAAAGCTTCAGGATGCTATGCCGAAGGGTCTTGCTGGTCTTTTTCCTAATGATTCAAGGTTCCAAGCTGTACCATTTAATGAATTAATGTTTCAAATCATAACATAATAAATGCTTAGTCCCTAGACGCTTTTACAACCCTACTATGGAAACTGGATTGCCAGGCATCTGTCAGGCAAGGCTTTTGTCAGCACATAATAAATGTTCAGTCCCTAGACACTTTTAAAGCCTCAAAAAGGAAAGAAGTTGCTCTAACAAGTATTTTGGTAGACTGGCGCTATTAAATATAGAATGCAAGAAGAATAGCATGACTAACAATAGCTCTATGTAATTAGCCATCTACTTTTCATACCCTTTAAAAACATGTATTACTGTATTGCTTTCATGATTAGAAGGGCATGAGTTTGCCTGCCAGCCCCACCTGCCAATATCAATTCAACCCCAGACTCGTAGTCTGTTCCAGATTGGTCAAATCTTGATAATTTTGAACTCGATTAAGCTATTTTTTGCAGATTCGACTATATAAAATATGGTAATCATCGTATGCCTCTTAAGCTTTCTTGGAGTGCTTTTCAAGGCGCATCCAATGATACCAAGTAATATAAATGTTTTTAATAAACTTATGGAGTAATTCATGAAAATGTAAAAAGAGGTTTCTGGCCAAAAAGTCGAAATTTTACATATCAAAGTCCCACAAAGATGATGTCAAGGGCTACGTTGGATCGATAGAAACATTTTGATTCAATATATACCATAATAAAAGCCTTCGTTATCAAGGTCAAAAACGGGATCGTTTGATTTTCAATGAAAAGCATGAGGGGTACCTCATGCTTTTCGGTCGAATTTCATCCATGTTTTTTTGATCTCTAAAAAGTTGAGCAAAGGCGCCAGAAAGTAACTGCCGGATGAGAGCAATTTTTTGGTACTATTCTGATTATTCAAAACGGCCTTTAACGCGAGAAAACACAGCTCAAATGCGCCCAGATTTTGCTGTATTAGGCACACTCTTGACTAAAAAGGGATAATATCTGTATGATACTTGCCCGTATATGAAATAGCTCCGTGTATATGGATGTAGAGCATCACATAAGAATCAGATCCACAGATAATATGAAGGGTTTTTATGTGTAAGTAGAGGGTCAACATAAAAGTAGTAGTATTCTGATAAAATACGCAAGGGCAATCGGTAGCGCGAGCTGCCGCTACGCAAGTTAATTCTCCCCCAAGCTAAGCAAAGGTAGAGAGCCATCCAAAGCGCAAACACTCGTATACTATAATGAAGCTAATTCTCTCAAACGAGGACGCTTGACTATCAACAGACATCTGCTGTATAATAACGTATTTATACTGGTATCGCCAAATGAAGCCAACAGAAGCCAAATATCTCTCCCAGGAACATTCCTTTATTCCAATCAGAGGGATTTGATGTCGCCTTGATTTCGACCGTGGAGTGACATTCTGTCCCTGTAATCAAATATTCAATGAACATGTCGGCCAACCGTATAGTGCGAATGATTTGTTTCAATTGTCAAACCATCTTTTCGTATCAGGAGCAAGTGTAGGTTACAACTAATCGACTCGAATATTATCTCAAAGCATGTCTCGCATAGTATCAGCCTTGCAAAGTACCACGCTGTCATGAAACATTTTTATATGAGCATTAGTTGGAAACATATCAAGCATAAACACTATATCTTTTTGACGGATTGCATAGTGTATAAAGGCATCAACATTTCAATTTATATCACTATATTCTTTTTCATACCAAACAATGATATTATAGACTACTGTGTAGGTGCCGTGGCTTTTCATATGCTATCCAGTTGTCTTTGGGTATACCCTTCAAAAAGATGCTGAAGAGAATGATAGCATTTTGACATTGGCTAGATAGCAAAGGTTTTAACATGATAGTTAAAGATTCAAGGAGACGTATGTAGATCAAGATTTGTTACAATGGTATTTATCAGGCTATTTTTCGAAAAAATGAGCAAGATGGTTGTTGCTCTGGACGGAAGCAGTATGCGCTGACTGTGCCGTATCAACAACCATCATGGAAAACACTGTGGTAACCTATGTAACGTGGTGCAACATTCATAGAGAACCCTTCAACCAACAGTTTGCTAGTGTTTGGTTACACCTGACACGAATACATTTAATTTTACGGTGATGAAGTAGATACAACCTAATGCTCACATTTGAACAGAAAGCTGAATTTGCTTCCTTGGCCATATACAAATGCTGCATGCAATGTATATGCTTGACACTCTTGTGTAGCGCATTGTAGTAAACAAACAACAGGAACGGATGTAGTAAATGTATGATACGAGATCACATTCTACTACATATTCAAGTGGAGATTATGACACAGAATAGCATTGTATATATAAAATAAGAAATCAAGCTTGCCTTAGGCTGATTCTTTGCTAATGATTAATACAGAGGAATATGGTCTTATCGATTTCATGGTTTGTTATTGAAATGACAAGCTTGCACGGACCTGTAATCAAAAAACACAAAATAGCGTGGCAACACAGAATTGCATGTGAAATTTAAAAACAAAGATTAGCTTTTTCCTTATGATTAATACCCACTACATTTCATGTGTCGGCACATGTTGACCTCTGTTCAATCAGATCAAGACGAAGAAGGGTCTTCTTTACCCTTTTGGATGTTGTCTGGTGCTGCTTTCAACGGCGTTGTATTTGAAAGCCCGTGGTCTCCCCCCTAGTAGTGCTCTAAATTTACCAATACAAGGTAATACAAATAACCATAAAATCATCCTCTTTTTTTAGTTTCAAAAAAAAAATGATATATAAATACGTTCCATCATTCAGGCCTTTATCTCTCTTTTCATTTCATCGATTTTATAATAAACGATTTTATACCACAACTCTTGACAAAATGACCAAAGAACGTGTTTGTGTGATTGGCTCTGGCAACTGGTAAGTTTCTAAATTTCCATTTTACTGGCAAGGTTTTGAATCAATATATTGAAAACAAAATCAGGGGTTCAGCTGTTGGAAAGATTATCGCTGAAAATGTACTGAAGCATTCGGAAATCTTTGAAGCTGAAGTTCGTCAATGGGTATTTGAAGAGGATTTCAAAGGAGAAAAGCTGACAGACGTAATCAACCGAGAGAGAGAGAATCCCAAGTATTTACCTGGTATCAAATTTACACCCAATATCAAAGCAGTGCCAGACTTGGTGGATGCTAGCCGTGATGCCAGTGTTCTGGTCTTTGTTCTGCCTCATCAGTTTGTTCGTGGCGTCTGTGAAAAGATGAAGGGAGCTATTGCGCCAAATGCAAAGGCCATCTCCCTCATCAAGGGTCTCGAAATCAAGCCTGAAGGTGTTACCTTGTTCTCTGAGGAAATCTCTCGCAAATTGGGTATCAACGTAGCAGCTTTGAGTGGTGCCAACATTGCTGATGAAGTCGCTCTCGAACGCTTTTGTGAAACAACCATTGGTAGTCGTTCTGAAGAGGATGGTGAGTTATTCTTTAAGCTGTTCAACACCAACTACTTCCACGTAAACGTTATTCGTGATTATGTTGGGGTTGAACTCTGTGGTGCCTTGAAAAATGTGGTGGCTGTTGGAGCAGGCATTTCTGATGGCTTAGGGTAAGTCCTTTTTTCTTTTCTGATCTGTTGGTTGGGGTAAACAAATCAACTGACGTATGCATTACACACACACACAAACACACAGTTACGGAAGCAATACAAAGGCTGCTATCATTCGTTTGGGATTAATGGAGATGCGCAAATTTGGTCAGACCTTTTTTGGCACAGTGGAGGACACTACTTTCTTTGAATCATGTGGCGTTGCAGATTTAATCACAACATGTTCTGGCGGTCGTAACAGAAAGGTAGCCGAGGCATTTGCAAAGACGGGCAAGCCAATTGATGTGTTGGAGAAGCAAATGCTCAATGGACAAAAATTGCAAGGCACATTGACAGCTCAAGAGGTCCACCAATTCCTCTCTGCTCGTAAGTTAACCAGCGAATTCCCCTTGTTTGAAACTGTTTATCGTATCATCTACGAAAATGCCCCCTTAGAATCTATTGTTCGTGATATTTAAATTTGTACATATTCTTTTATTAAATCCTTTTAGTCAATCCAAATAATCTTGATGATATTCTGAATAGTATTGGTGGTAAAGAATTTGAGAGACTTTAAAGTGTGTTTTGCATTGAGTTGCTGGTCATGCTGCTTCGACTGCTGCTGCTGCTGCTGCTGCTGCTGCTGCTGTGGTTGCTGGATGGTATTTTGATGGCTCTCGTTCTGCTGTTGTGTTTGCGAAGGAGGGTTTTGTTGCTGATGTAGGAATTTAGGGTTCAATATCACAAAATGAGTGTTTGGGTAGCCTGCAGTGGTATATGAGATTTGATTCAAGCTGGTATTTACAGTAAAAGCGAGTTGAACGATAGGCTGGCTTGATATTTGGCTGTATTCAATGAGCAGATCATACATCCCAGGTTGATCGTCTACTCTTCTGATGGGTATTAAATGCTTATCATTCATCCAAACTTGTGGTTGCACACTGGACCAGTTGGATAAGCCTTTTGAGTTTCTAGTTTGCACAGTAAAGTTAAAGTCTGGCTTCACTTGGAATTCGACGGTCCATCGCGTTGATCTGTACTTGTTGATGGTGAATGAGCAAGCCACAACAATCAGCATGATGACAACGGTTGCCTTGATGAACTGATAGTGATCAAAGTACCAGTATGTTTGTGTCGATTGCGTAGTGGCTGCTGCTGGTGTGGTGATGGTGGAAGTAGAATTGCTGGTAGATGTGCTATCGCTTTGTTCTTTATCCAACTCTGAATCCTGTTGTCGCAGCATGACTTGCTCCTTCATGATCTTTAGCATTTGTTGCCGCTCTCTTGTTCTTTTGAGTAACTCAAATATTGACTTGTTTTCGATAGCACAGAACTGATCAACTGCCAATATTTGATAAGTTGCCACCCGAGGCACATTCAATTGTGTGCATTCCATAACCTGCAAGCGTCCAACTTGATCATATTGTGTTACATTTTGCTGTCGTTTCTGGAAACTAGGTTCTTGTCCAACTTCCAGGTTTCCGAGATCAAGGCACCGTACTTTGTATTCTGTCAACATGTCAGCGAAATGACTCTTTTGCCGTTCATCGCGACTTAGTGTCAATGGCAGTACATAGATACCCAGTTTGCGAAGCGAGCACAGCAGATTTAAGTCGCATTTAGTCTTTTCATCGTCTTGACCATCGTAGAAATAGACGCAAAGGTCAATTCCATTGGGCGTGGCTTCTGGATACATGAAACCTGTAAATTTATGATCTCTTATCTTATCCTCCATCCAGGCAGCAGGCAGTTCTCTTGGATTTGGGCATTGATCCCAAGCATATTTGAACAGAAGGTTATCAGGGTCGTTTGAAAACCGTATTGCGTTGGAATTCCATGTGAAATCTGCTTCAATCATGGATACGCCAACATCCTCGCAGGTTTCTGACAGCAATTCTGGTGCATCATCATCGCTCAACAGTATAATGTTGTGCTTTATCTCTTTGAAGGGAGTAATTGGCTGTTCAAACATGTTATTTGTACTACTGCTATGGATATCACTAGTAGCAATATGATGAGCGTGGTGGTTGTTACTGCGGTGATGCTGTAGAACATGTACAAATCCTTGGCTTAATTTTTTGAATATCTCTTTCTTTTTCTCCTCACTAGTTGATCCCATGAATAACACTCTGTATAGAGCAGGGTGCTCAAAATAATCACTTTTGAAAGCAGAGGTGCAGATGGAAGAAGTACTAATCTCTTTTTCGACATTTTCAATACGTTCAATCAAGTGTGATTGATCATAGATTTCGTCCGCTTCGCTTGGTGATATTTCAATCGAGTCTTCGCCATACATTGAATTGATGGCAATCCCGTTATTTGCTCTCCAAGATACTATTAAATACAATATATGTTACTTTTAAATTGGCTGCGGTTTTTCAGTATCTTTCACCTTCTTGCTGTTTCACCAAATTATGCATAACAATTGCAATATGGAATCAATCAAGGGTTTACAAATAAAGTGGCGCAGTTGTTGTAGTAGCGTTGGTGGTAGATGTTGTGGTAGATGTTGTGGTACTTCTGGCAGTAACGAAATGCCAATGAATGTAGGTAAAAAAGGGGAAAGGTATGGATATTTGAAAAAGAAAAGAAAATGGAACTAATGACCTGGACAATTAGGCTCTCTCTCTATACTCTCTCATTGCTTGCACCATCATCATTAGGATGTGACTCGATCCTAGTTTCCGCAATTAGGAGCATTGTGCTATCATGGAGCCCAACTGTACCTTGCATTCATACATCTATCGATTGCACAGATCATTCTAAAGAAGTTCTCTTTTTGAATCACAGCCATCTTGTTGCCATGACAACAAATTATCAAAGATGATATCAATCATGACATTGTAGTATCATGCATTGCTGAACCGACAATAATGCGGAGTCAACAATGTGCACCAATCAAAGTAGTACCCAAGGAGATACAAACAAAATTAAATGCCTGCTTAAAGAAACCTGGTATGGATAGGATTTGCAGCAAGCGTAGTAGATCATCAATACGGGCATGCCTTACTTCCTGTAATGATCAAGGAATTTGCCGCCATGTTTGCTCTTCCAAAAGGGTGTTGAGAGCATGCCAATGTTACTTTGTACCATCCAACGAAGCGTAAATCGCTTGAAATGTAGACCACTCATCCATTCATATTGCGGCTTTCGCAGATTGATTTGATGAGCCAAGAATGTTTTTGAGCTTAAAGCAAACAGTCAATTAATGCCATGCATGCTCTCTATGCCAATGAATGCCTTTGGGAGCCCATCAAGAGGCTCGTAATATCTCGGCCATTCTCCCGGATGATAGCACCTACAGACAGATCTACCAGTTTGAATCAAATTTTCTATAGCCGAAGCTATGCAAACACATTTGCATGCAAAATAACTTTCATCAGATTGAGTTTTTGTTAAAATCAGGTTAGCAGCTTCTTTTATTAGATGTTCTCTTGTTATGGTGTTGTTTGGAGTACTTCAGAGTAGGTATGTACCTGCATTTTGTAGAATAAGGATTGAAACGGAGACAAACCAAGGTCTTGGTTTACTATAAAAATCTAAAAACAGCCGTCGACATCTACGTAGTATGAGGTGTAATAGAGCAGCATTAAATCTATATTAGACTACCTATTAATTTATATGCTTAAATATATACTTTCATTTTTTGCCCCTTTTTCATTTGCATTGTACCAAAATGAGCCCACAGTAAACAATGGTAGCAAATGGGTACCTGCGGCCGTAATTGTTGTTGGCCAGATCAAAGCGGAGACGAGATGGGAACTGTCAAAGACATTTGATCAGTTCAATTGGGCTCATTGTCCAAATAGCCGTTCTATAAACCTTCAACAGATGAAGATATAGCACAATCCTCGCTTTAGTAACCAAAAGGATATGTAATTTGATCTTATTTTTATTAATAAGCTTTGATGAATGACCCAGAAGTTTTTGTCATTTTGATGCCTCCACTCCGATATCAAGTTACTTGCTTTCTTCTGGCATCTTCATTGGGTAAGACTATATAAATAAAACCTAAAAGTGAGCCGATCTTTTTCCTCTCTTCTTCCTCACTTACAATCTTTGTATTCCAACCAGTAATACATGTTTCTTTCTACTAAAGAAAGAGCTTCGAAGAGCTTACGAAGACTGACGAAAGCTAAAATTTCAACACCAGTGGCTCAAGTAAACACATTGGAATTACCAAAGAAAATTATCAAGGCTCTGTATGATTATCAAGCGAAAGCCCCTCACGAAATTTCATTCAAAAAAGGCGACTTTTTTCATGTAACTGGAAGAGAGAATGATGTGGATTGGTTTGAAGCATGCAACCCTGCTTCGAACTTGAAGGGAATCGTTCCTGTTCCTTATTTTCAAATCATTGATAAAACAGAGCGAAGTTTACCTGTCAACCGGCCCACATCATCATCTACCGCTTCATCAACGTTGACCTCAGAGCTTGATTCTGGATTTTCAGACATGTCCATTCATGGTGAGTCTAGTCTCTTTCACTCTTTCTCCCTAAAAAAGTCAAGGGGAGGGCGAGGATCGGGAACCCAGAGAACGCTCTATTAACAATGACATGATATTACATTTATATTTTTAGGTCATAACAAAAAGAAACACCAAATCTATGGAGTTGTAATGTTCGATTTTAAAGCCGAGAGACCTGACGAATTAGAGGCACAAGCGGGAGAAGCTATTGTAGTGATCGCCCAATCAAATCATGAATGGTTTGTTGCAAAACCCATTGGTAGACTAGGTGGGCCGGGCCTCATCCCAGTGTCATTTGTACAAGTGCGCGATGCTTTGACGGGTGAATTGATTGATCCAAGCGAGCAGAATTCGACACATTTACCTGGTGTAGATGACTGGAAGAAAATGACACAAAGCTATGAAGCATCAAGCATCCCGTTGGGCGTTTTTGAAAACAGATTGACAATATCTGGCTCTAAACATGTTTCTGCAGGTACAGTAACCGCATCCAGAGCCTCTGAGTCGTCTTCAGAATCCGCGCAATTTGACATTGTAACTTATACGTCGATCGATTCATACATACTGGAGGGTGATCGGTATTGGTTTGTGGTGTATGCGCGAGTCAATCAAAATTGCCATCGTATTTTATATCGATTGTACGAAGGTAATGTCGAGAATCTGACTACACAGACAAGAAATTAATGCGACATTTGTAGATTTCTATGACTTCCAGATCAACTTGCTACAATCCTATCCAGTAGAGGCAGGAAAGGCCGATCGCGATAGAATCTTACCATTCATGCCAGGACCTTTGACGTACGTGGATGAAGCAATTACAGCAGAGAGACAGGTGGATTTGAATCAGTACTGTAAAGACCTTTTAAATCTTCCTCGATATCTATCAGAGAGCGAGATTGTTCAGAAACAACTATTTGGTATTCATGAAGGAGACATTGAACTTGACTACGATCCTCGGGTAGGAAACGTCAAAGGCAATTTGACTCCTGAACAACCAACAACAACAACAAATAATAGCATGAGTCGTACGCCATCTGTTCAACCTACGTCAACCTTATCACATCCACCTGTTGCAACACAATCAAACGCCACAACAACATCAAATGTCGCACAACAACAAATCAAAATCAAAATTGTTCACAAAGATGACATGTTTGCAATGAAAGTACCTGCTGATTGTTCCTTGGATTACCTCAAATCGAAAGTTTACGAGAGAATTGGTGCCAATGTCACATTAGAATACAGGAGTGAGGCAAGCGATAACAACGAACCTCTGGAATCTGAATTGGATATGGAGGAAGCATTTGTGCAGGCTATTCAAAGAGGGAAACTGACGGTTACTGCCATTCCTAATGCTAGCAATTAATGGATGCAGTTTTTTTATTTATTCCCCACTGTTACATACTAACTACATTATTATCTTATTTTTTTTTCACATATTGTATCATTATTGTTCATATTACCTTTTCTTTTTTTGTCTCAATTGTATGTAGAATTGCAGCATCGTTGATTTTTTCTTGCATATTAAAATGATTGCGTTTTTTCATTTGTGAGTAATATGATTGCAGAAAACCATATTTGTTGCAAGAATTGAAAAATTAATCTTTGCTATGATGGCCAATGCATTGCAATCACTGAATGCAAATTACGGAGCAATCCAGTAGGGTTTTCAATGCAGTCAGATTCAAAGACGTTCACAATTTCTAATTTTTTGATTATGCAGTACGTCCGAAATGTGATTTTAAAATAATAAATGGCTCAAAGCAGTTGAAACTGTATCTAAACCTGTTGATTCTGTCAACTTGCAATCTCTCCGAGTATATTCACACCCGAAATATTACCTGCACTCATAACGTAAGATAAATATTTTGCATTTTGCATTGAAATTCATTTTGGCTGAACAATTTTCAACGATTAAAGTCATCAAATAGAGTCACCAGATATAAAAAAGAGCGTAGCAAAAGCAAAATACAGCATCTTTATTACGCTGCTCTACTTTTTTTTGATTAGAAGCACCTTGCTCATGGACTTCCAACAGCATCAATTACTTTCAAAAGAGGCATAGGAACGCTTTGCCAATTGTTTCGCCAGCCAAAACTAATTGAAACTCAGAGAGATTTTTTTTTTTTTTGTTCGAAATGGCAACTTTTTGGTCTTGCAATACAATTGCCCTACAAAAAAATATATATATTTTTTGCAAAAATAGACTATATAAGTCGCCATGATTATCCCATGCTTCCTTATTCTTTCTTGTAGCACTTTTAAAGCCGCATCCAGTGGTACTAATTGAAACAGGTGTTTTGAATAAAGCTGTTGAGCAAATTTGAAAAATGTAAAATAGCGATTTGGGCGAAAATGTCGAAATTCTACATATAAAGATATTATAAAATGAAGCTTCAGAGGTTGCATTAGATCGAGAGAAACATTTTGGTGTAATGTATATCATAGTAAAAGTCTTCGTTTTGGAGGTCGAAAATGTGATTGTTTGATTTCGATAAAAACTTTTTTTTTTTTTTTGGATGATATTGTTTTATTAGGATAATAATCAGAAAAAGGCAAATGCATCAAAGAGATGGACAAATGTATGTGAGCAAAGTGACTTGCCATATATAAAGCTATTATGATAAATCTAGAAAGAAAGTTGCTTAAGATTTGACAATCTTAACACTTCGGTTCTGATTTGGCGGCTGGTTTGGATTGAATCAAAAGGCATGTGGTTGCAAAGCTGTTGATAATGGTTTCTCCAGATAATACGCATGATGGTGGCAAAGAGGTCAAAGATCGTGATGTGGATATCCAAGTTGTATATGAAATATCGGTCCAGTTTGAAGAGTATGATTGATTTGTAGATAAGATGTGGATCTGCAGATTTGGGGTAACCAAGGAACTCGTTGAATGAGGAGTCCCATACATCAAGTTTGTGGACACAACTGATCAGGAGATGTTTGGCGTCTTCCACTTCATAACAGAGTTCACATCTATCAGATTCAGCATGTTTCAGATGGAGTTGCGACATGGCAAGTTTGTTGGAGCTTTGCTTATGTATCATTCGATACCATAGGTTGCGAGCTGAGTAATGCATGTTATTCTTGTAGGAAGTCTGCCATTGTTGTTTGCTGAGGTGGTTGCTGAAGTTACGACTAACGTCGAGGCTTGCCATGTCCAGCATGACGAAACGGAGATCTCTGTTGGCTAGCTTCAGTACCTGCTGTTGTTGGTATATCAATGAGTCGACAAAGGGCTGGAAATCAGGGCCACCAGTGTTATTGTTGTGTACAAATGGTTGGAGTGTGAGCTGGTGGGCGATGATGGCTCGGTGGAGTCTTGTCAATGTGTAGGGTTTGGAGCATGCTGTGCGTGTTATGAGCTGGAACTGTTGTTGATCTTGGTTGTATTCGAAGAAGTCGCGAACGAAGCTTCCTTTGATCGATTCCTTGTGCATGAAGGCTAGGGCATCCACATTCTCAAAGGCATTGAAGATGGCGAGAAGCGGGAGACTCAGGACGGTGTTGACTGTTGGGCGACTGGACCAGGAGCTGTGAGCACTGCAGGCATCCATGGCATTGAACATAGACAAGAATGGGTGGAGACCATTCAGCGTATTCTTATACCGAGCTGATTTGAACAATAGAGGCAGAACATGGTGAGCAGCGTCGTTTGTAAGACGTAGAGCATTGGTTAACCGTTGATACGTGAAATCAGGTAGTAGACCATGATTGCCAACTAGCAGGACCCGTAGGTAGCGAAACTGTAGGGCTTTCTGTTAAGCACCAATACCGATCAAGCCTAATCTGCCTTGATCACGAGGAAGGAAGAAAGAATTGCCCTTGAGTGGTGGAAACAGGCCAGACATCACAAGTTGGTATATCATTGATCTGAGCTTCTTTAGGACCTCCTGGGGGAGAGACACCACACGAATAACATGCCACAGTTTGGATAGGATGAGAGTATTTGCAATGTTAGCTTTTCCATATAATGAGACGTGTCTAGAGCCAATGATGTCGGTCATAGCATTGATATTGCCAATGAGTTCTGAGACGAAGACATCGCGTTGGTGATTAGCAAACCAAAGTGGGTATCCAAGATACTTGATATAGCCCGTGGAGTGGCTATCATACCATTTCATTTGCAGTTGTGTGGTGACATATTGCTTGATCTGTTGGCCGTCGGTGGACTTCATGGCACTGCCGTGGAGAGGGAAGGCGACGGATTTGCTGTAATTGATCTTGGCGTTGGAAGCTCGATTGTATACTCGTAGACGTTCTTGTAGCTCTACCAATTCAGCTTGCGATTTCACAAACGATAGGACATCGTCGGCGTACGCGAGGACCTTGATTGGAGCAGGAGATATCCATGGGTTCCGTATTTGGTGCGGGAGCTTGACGTGTTGCAGGCTGTATCCTGTGAGGTTCATATTGTTGACTATGGAGAGTAGGAACGGCTCAATGGCCAGGTTGAATAAGACTGGCGAGATACTATCACCTTGACGAATCCCTCGTTGCTGTGAGATTGCACCGGTTAAGAAGCCATTCACATTGACATAGATGGAGTTATGAAAGAACAGGTTGGTAATGCATGTGACAAACGCTTCAGGGAAGCCAAACTTTAACAGTACTTGGGAGAGATACTTTGGGTGGACCTGGTCATAGGCCTTGGCATTATCAAGCATGATGCCAGCTTAGGCAGTAAAGTTGTAGGGGTTCCGCCAGCTAGCAGGCTGAGCATTATCCATAATCACCTGGAGAGACATTCCATGATCCCCAATATAACGGCCGGGCAAGAAACCGCATTGATAAGGGGTGATAATCCTGTTAGCCACTTGGACAACTCTGGAGTTCATGATGCGCGTAAAAGCTTTGCAATCCGCTGAAATCAGTGTGATGGGACGGTAGTTAGCTAGATCACTCTTGTCACCTTTCTTGTGTAAGATAATGATACACGAGGCCTGTCAAGATATTTCCGATAAAAACCATGAGGTACCCCTCATGGCTTTTGGCAATGTTTTTTCAGGTCCTAAAAAAGTTGAGCAAAGGTGTCAATAAGTGCTGGTTGAGATTAATTGTTTCGTGCTATTCTAGCGGCTTAAATACTTCCAAAGTTCGCTGTGATTTGCACGTTTTCCAGTAGTAAGAGGCAATGCAAGTGTGATGTCTGTCAGTATATGAGTTATGCTCAATGATACAGACGCGGAACATCCCAAAGAAGCCGGATCCACAGGTACAAGTCGGCTACGAAGGGCTCTTACGTGGTGATCCTTCAATCTATAATGACATCGCATGTCAAGCAGGAACTTTATGGCACAGTAATTACGCCAATTCTTTCAATTATGGCATAAATTCCTAGTTGAACAGCCCTCAACTAACCAATGATATATATTGCTGAACTAGAATGATCTTGACAACGACATTAGAGACCGGCCAAATGCTGCTAGCAACTCGTTTTATGAAGGTAATCCTCAAATCGGCCTTTCCTATACTAAGCCTTGAGCTCATTAATAATCATCCATAGCAATACCTTCTAGCAATATCGTAATCGCATCAAGATGCTGATCAATCAAGAGACATAGTAGACAGGTCCCAACATTAGCACAACACCAACACTTTAGCCATACAGCACGTGATTCATGACGTTTAATTAAAAAAAAATATTTTATGGGATTTATTTAGTGCAAAATACAAAAACAATTCTATCGCTTTCTCTTCACTTCCCTCTACAGTTAGATAACATGAGTCAAGACACCACCAACTCTTTCTCAAAGATGAGCTTGAACCCTTCAGCTTCTGAGTGGAAGCCCAATTTTGGCGCAAAGGCTTTCGTCCCATCATTTGGCGCACCAGCTGCTGCCGCCGCCGCTCCTGCTGCTGCTCCTGTAGCTCCTGCCGCCGCTGCTCCAGGTAAACTATCGCATCACAGCAAACCATTAGATCAGGAGAGCCGAGATTGGTTGCGATCATTCTGTTCTTCATGTTGATATATGTCATTGACCCTTTGCTAATTGTATTGTCTTTTTGATCTCGCTTAGCTCCTGCTGCACCCAAGGTTGTCAAGCTTCCTGAATCCAAGCCTGCTGGTAATTAGTAGTACACCATTATTCAAAAGACTATTTCTAACTCGATCTCATATTAGCACCTGCTGCCCCCAAGCCTGCCGCTGAAGCTCCCAAGCCCAAACCCGCTACTCCCAAGCCAAAGGCTGCTCCTGCTCCTGCTCCTGCTCCCAAGAAGGCTCCCGAGCCAGTTGTTCAAGATGATGTCGAGGATGTCGATGACGAAGTTGTTGCTGATTTATACGGCAAGGAGCATTTGAACGTTGTCTTTATGGGTCACGTCGGTAAAGTATTTATGATTTGCATTGTGTGGCTTATATTCTGATGATTCATGCTATTCATGTAGATGCTGGTAAGTCAACTATGGGTGGTAACATCCTCTATTTGACTGGTATGGTTGATAAGCGTACCTTGGAAAAGTATGAAAGAGAAGCAAAGGAAGCTGGCAGAGAATCATGGTACCTTTCTTGGGCTTTGGATACCAACACCGAGGAAAGAGCCAAGGTAATAGAGAGTTTTGTTAAATGACAGGAGGGAGGGCGATACATTGACACTGTCGCATCAATTTTAGGGTAAGACCGTTGAAACCGGTAGAGCCTACTTTGAAACCGACAAACGTCGTTATACTATCTTGGATGCTCCTGGCCACAAGAATTTCGTTCCTAGCATGATTCAAGGTGCCTCTCAAGCTGATATTGGTGTCCTTGTTATTTCTGCTCGTAAGGGTGAATTTGAAACTGGTTATGAACGTGGTGGTCAGACCCGTGAACACACCATGTTGGCCAAGACCTCTGGTATTAACAAGATGGTCGTTGCTATCAACAAGATGGATGATCCTACTGTTAACTGGGATAAGGCTAGATACGACGAAATTGTCAGCAAATTGACTCCTTTCATGAAGCAAACTGGCTTCAACCCCAAGACTGATATTCACTTTATGCCTTTGTCTGGTTTCTCTGGCGCCAACATTAAGGACCGCGATACCAAGGTCTGCCCTTGGTACGATGGTCCCTCTCTTCTTGAATTTTTGGATGATTACAAGACTACCGATAGAAAGTTGAATGCTCCCCTCATGATCCCTATCTCTGAAAAGTACAGGGTAATTTATAAGACAACAAGCGCTGATATTAGACATTTATTAACGTTGATCGTTGTGTAGGATATGGGTACTATTGTTGTTGGTAAGATTGAGGCTGGTCATTTGAAGAAGGGTCAACAAGTTGTCATTATGCCTAACAAGGTAAGAATTTGGAGTTTGTTGAAGAACAATGGAACTGTCACATTAATGCAGCGTGAATTTAGCACAACACTGAAGTTACCGCCATTTATGATGAAACCGAAAATGAAATTGAACAAGCCATGTGTGGTGATAATATCAGAATGCGTTTGAAGGGTATTGAAGAAGACGAAATCATGCCCGGTTTTGTTCTCTGTAGCAAGAAGAGCCCCGTCAAGACTACCACCCAATTCGAAGCTCAACTTGCCATTCTCGACCACAAGAATATTATTTGTGCTGGTTATACCGCTGTTTTGCATATTCACGCTGCCGCTGAGGAAGTGCAAATCTCTGCTCTTCTCCATTTGATTGATAAAAAGACTGGTAAGAAGACCAGAAAGCCCCCTCAATTCGTCAAGCAAGGTCAAAAGGCTATTGCTAGAATTGTAACTTCAGGTCCCATCTGTATCGAAACTTTTGAAAAACTTCCTCAACTCGGTCGTTTTACTTTGCGTGATGAAGGAAAGACTGTTGCTATTGGCAAGGTTACCAAGGTCTTGGATCCTGCCGAGTAAATTTGTTATTTTGGGTAGATTAAGTTAATAAAACGTTGACTAATTGTGTAAATGATTTTGATCTGCAAGTTACGGCTAGTCATGCAGTCTTGCATTCAAGAGAGGTCAGGAAATTACTTTTATGAATTGAGATTCAGTGGTACAATGCATAGTAGGTAGTATAGACTGATGCGAACAGGCATCAATTACGTGATTTCAGTCGTACGCTTACGACGCACGCACAGCAAATTGTTTCATTGCGAACGTGCAGATTCGGCATGATATTGATACTCACGCTATTTAAGGGAAAATTCGCCTTTACCATCTCTCCTGAGAAAGTACAATGAATATCTTATCTGTAGATATTTTATCACTGTTCCACCAATTGGCATGTCATGACACTTTAGAAGGTGTATAATAATTATATATGCAAGATCGCTGCTTCAGGTAAAGGTATTAACATCAATTGTGAGGGAACTAAGAAAGACCAAACCATACATGATCAAGACGTAGAAATACCAACTAAAAGCATCCAAGCTATTACTTGGATGACAATAGATCAGAATTTCTGTAACTTTTAACTTCGCGGCCTCCCGTAAACTACAGCTACCATCTGTGTATCTCCAGGGTATGGCTCAAAGACCAGAGCATTCTGCTTATATTCAACTTTTACAAGCAACCTTTTGGGATTCGCAAATCAAAAAAAATGTTCAGTCGGAGCCTCAACAACAGTGCCTGATCGAAATACAGTATAATAAGGTTCAATCTTTACGCTCCAGGGCAACGATCAACAGGATATTACTAATTGAATTAGTGTAATACAAATTAAATATGAAAAAGAACTAAGAATCTATTTTTTTATTCAGTTATTTGATTTTGTGGTGAAGGGGTGATAATGGAGATATTGAGTATGTAAAATGTTGTAAATTTAAAGAGAAGCGCGAGTACGGATAGAGGCCAACTTGTCAGAGATTTGTTGCAAGAAATCTTCAGTGGTAGAATAGTGCTCAGCAGTCATCCTATGTATATCATTAGTAAGCTATGTATTGTAGCCAATGTATAAGCATCAACTTACTTCTTGCCATAGATAATCAAGGCCAAATCCTTGGTCATGTGTGCATCAACTTCAATAGTTTCGATACAAGCCTTTTCCAAATCCTTACAGAATTGGAGCAGATCAGCATTGTCATCCAACTTGGCACGGTGCTCAAGACCACGGGTCCAAGCAAAGATGGAGGCGATAGGGTTAGTGGAAGTCTTGTTACCCTTTTGGTGTTCTCTGTAATGTCTAGTAACAGTACCGTGGGCAGCTTCGGCTTCGACGGTCTTACCATCGGGAGTGTAGAGGACAGAGGTCATAAGACCAAGGGAACCATAGCCTTGAGCAATGATATCAGATTGAACATCACCATCGTAGTTCTTGGTGGCCCAGACAAAGTTACCATCAGACTTGAGAGCTTGAGCAACCATGTCATCAATGAGACGATGTTCATACCAGATACCAGCAGCCTCGAATTGAGACTTGTATTCCTTTTGATAGATTTCCTCAAAGATATCCTTGAAACGACCATCATAAGCCTTAAGAATGGTATTCTTGGTACTCAAGTACAAAGGCATCTTGCGCTCAAGGGCAAGACGGAAACAAGCATGACCGAAACCTTCAATGGAATCATCTGTGTTGTACATGGCCAAACCAACACCACCAGACTTCTCAAAGTTGAAAACCTCAAACTTCTTGGGCTCAGAGCCATCAGCAGGAGTATAGGTGATTTCAAACTTACCAGGACCTGGGGCAACAAAGTCAGTAGCACGGTATTGATCGCCGTGAGCATGTCTGCCAATGATGATGGGGTTGGTCCATCCAGGGACGAGCTTGGGAAGAGTCTTAACGATGATGGGTTCACGGAAGACAGTACCATTTAAGATGTTACGGATGGTACCATTGGGAGACTTCCACATCTTCTTGAGTTTGAATTCTATCATATGGTGATTAATAACTTTGGGTTGGGTGGGAACCGAGGAAGTTATTCTTCCTGGTTTGCATAGCAAAGCGCCCTAATATCTTACCTTCGACACGAGCTTCATCAGGTGTAATGGTGGCACATTTGATACCGACATTGTACTTCTTGATGGCCTCGGCGGCATCAATAGTGACTTGGTCATTGGTCTAACGAAATAGCTTAGCATTGATGCATGTTTGTAGTCTCTAAACAACTTACGGCATCACGGTTTTCAACGCTAAGATCGTAGTACTTGATATCAAGGTCAAGGTAAGGCAAAATGAGCTTCTCCTTGATGAATTGCCAGATGATTCTGGTCATCTCGTCACCATCGAGATCGACAACAGGGTTTTTGACAACAATTTTACCGGGCATAATGAATATGTAACTTTTTGAGAGGAAAAAGAAGGGAAGAAGGGAAAGAAATTTAAGACATTGGAGATAGCATATATATATTCATCTAGAATTTTCGGTGTTTTAACCTCTAGATAGAAAACTAGGGTAAACCAAAGCATTAAAAAGAGGGAATCATGACAAATTGATATTGCACAGAGTGAATAAAAAGACCTGAACAGATTCACAGGGTCATGCAAACGAGCGCAGGAAGCTTACTTACCCCGCATTTTGGTTTGAAGCAGCATATGACGGAATAGGCCGGAGATCTGTTTGAGCTGCCGCCCACTACAGAGGGTGATTTGCCCCACAAAAATGAAAGGCTATTAAAGGTAAAAATGGCTATATATATAAGCGATTCACGCTCGAAGAGTGAAATCAATTGGAGAATCTGAGGCATGTGCTTGTGTTTATACAGTACATGCTGCTGATGTTTTAATGATACCAAATATAGGGCATGCTCGATATACTTGAATGTCGAGAGGTGTCCAATGTTATGTTTCGAGAGGAGCTGTGGGAAGATGTTCAAGGTTCAAGCGTATAATTGTATAGTATATTCCAGCTGTACATGTATCATTTGCTTGAGTAAAAATATAGCATCATATTCCGAGCAGATCAGGTGTTTCTTTGATTGGGTTGAATTCAACATCATCAAATCAGCACTTAATCTAGGTTCAACATTACGCCATATAGAGTAGAACGTTTGGAATTGGCTTGTACAACTGGTATAACGCTACAAAATCACTCACAATACAGTTCTTAAACAGTGACTCTTTAATCACATCCGTATCACCTCTTGCTGCTTCATGTATCGAATATAGGGCTCTTCAATGTGTGTATATATTTCTCACGGAGCAACCACAGTTACACATCGTTTCTGTAGATGATAATCGTATAAATATAGCCAATGTATTGACAAAAAAAAAACAAAAAAAAAGATATCAAACTGCTGGATCTGTCAAAATAACAATTTGATTATCCATGCAATGATGACTACATGGATCCAAAGAGCCTCCATATCTTGGCAAGTGCCAGCACAGAACCACGATATCATCATCATAGTATACTTTAAGAGGAGGCGCCAAACTCGGCATCCCGGGTCCTAAAGGGTGCCAAGTCTGTGCAGCAGTTGCAAATGATACGATTAGACTCATTTATACCTTTTTTGTGCAAGGTTTCTGCTTTTATCTGATTTTTCAGATACACTTTCCACCAGCAAATGTCCAGCAAAATGGGACAACGCACGGGAAATAAGTTTTTTGGGGCACATTGAAAAATCTTCCGCAATTACAACCCACGAAACCTCAATCAAGTCAGCATATTGCGTTTTTCGTATTGATAGAGCTGGCCGCATTACAATACAAGGTAGTTCCAATCCTACCGTTAGTAGGGCACTGTAAATTGCTTGCTTGTTGCATTATGATTGATCCCGACATTGGATCAATAGACATACAAATCCGCACACCATTTGATCTGGGCTTTAGTATCCTTCGTTACGTTATTTTAGCCTTTAATTTGTGTTGGGAAGAATTGTTCAGTAGGCTTATAGGATAACATTCCGCCATCTTAAATTTGCTGACCAACTTTTTTCTACGTACCACTGGTTAAAGCTACAAGCAACACTCAATGTTTCACAATATCTCACACAAATCTTGTTCGGCCTGTTGAAGTGAATGTATCATATATGCATCAACAAACGGTACAAGTTTTGACATTGATAAAGGCTCATATTTTGTGGTTTCATTAGCACGCCTTGGTAAATTACATTTTAACTCTGGGTTTGTGAAGAGAGTTTAACGTGAAATCAAAATAAAGACGATCAGATCAGGTCAAACCAGAGACAAAGATTGAAGACTATAGCTGAAGCTATTATCATTATTGTTTTGTCCCTTGTGATGTTTTGTTATAGCTCTTGTGTATGCTGGCGCTCTTCGACTTTTGTCATCGCTATTGTTGCGATAATGACTACTAACGTGATAGTAATACGCATTGTGTATGAGTACATTGTCAAGAATGAAGAAGGAAGCAATAAAATGCGTATGGCTGTAGTCGATCTCGAATACTTGACATGCATCCAAAGGTTCATGTCGTTTGTTAACACAGCCTCAGTTCAAGACACAACCTAGCCTTTAATATACATTGAGCAAATTTTGGTAGTAGGGCTTTGTGGGATCGTTATCCAATAGACGTATGTGTGCGCAACCTTACATCTATCGCTTTGATATTGATGCTATCACGGATTAAAATGTCAGAATATTTTCATTCATGTAGGGGCTCTGTGATGAACAGCGTATGTCAGCTGTTTGACATACTGTTTGGAATGCATCTTTTCATACGTCTATGTCTCGATTTATGATGGAGGACTAGAGGATGATTGAAGCAGAATCTGTTAAAGCGATTAGCATTATACATTGCATCCCACTTGACTCCAAATAAGATGTATTGTATATATGGCAATCAAATAGAGTATGCGCATAGTAGCTATATTAGAGTAGCTCCGTTATATAGTTGACTTATTAAAGAAGGATAATAGCTGGCCAAATTGTGGCAGCACGGGTAGGTTTGACATATGCCACGCAACATTATATACAACTTTAAATGGGTGTGGCAACTCGAAATTCGCATTATAATCCGCATTTGAATGTGCAATGGGCAGCCATTAGGCCTATCAAATATATAATAAGCTTCAAAATTGAAAGATAATATCAAACCAAACTATCTTACTTTTCAATGCGCAATTTCCCTCTTGATAATTTCGAGATCACCAATCACCTTTTAATGCATGCCTTGAATCTTGAAAGCATAATGTCTGACGTCTCCCACCCATCATCATCTCTAAGATATTTACCAGAAAACTATATAAAAAAGCCGGCGAAGCTGGCATCGGGGAGGTGGGAGACTTAATCTCTCCACCAAGAACATAACGCATCTAATTCAACATTTGGTAACGTTGGTCTATAAAAGGTTTTTACCTTAGCGAAGCGAATATGCAGAACCATAATATCCAAGCAGCAAATTCGGGTTATCATTTCCTTTACTATCAAGCTTACCAACAATGTAACATATCTAAATTTGCATGAATTAGTCTTACCAAAATTAATGTACATCCTATCCGAATTAAAAATTGCTCAAGCTGCAGAACTGCCCTTTCAGAAGATTTCAGCTACCAAAGATGTGATTCATGCCGTGTAAACAAAAGCCATAAAGCAAAAATACAACCAACTTGGACAGTTTTCAGGCCATCATATCTTGACATGTAGACTTTTCTGAGCCACGGGAATGGCGCCAAACAATTGTACCCGAGTAGTAGTAGCTTCCTGACACCTTTGCTCAACCTTTTGGGACAAAAAAAAATATGGCCAAAAATCGACCAAAAAGCATGAGGTACCCCTCATGGTTTTCATCGAAAATCCACAGAACTGTTAAGATTGTCAAATCTTAGGCAACTCTCCCATTAGTTTATTATTCAAGATTTATATATGGCAAGTCACTTTGTCTCCATACACTTGTCCATCTCTTTGATGCATTTGTTTTATTTCTAATTACTATTCTAATAAAATAATATCATCCAAAAAAAAAAAAAAAAAGTTTTCATCGAAAATCAAACGATCGCGTTTTTGACCTTGAAAATGAAGACTTTTACTATGGTATATACTAAATCAAAATGTTTCTCTCGATCCAAAGCAGCCTCTGAAATCACGTCTGTGAAGCTTTGATATACAAAATTTCGACTTTTTGACCAGAAACCTCATTCCATATTTTCGTAAATTGCTCAATAATTTTGTTGAAAACACTTATTACAATTAGCATCATTGAATGCGGCTTGAAAAGTACTCCAGTAAAGCTTAAGAAAGTACGAAAGATTATCACGATCTTATAGTCTAATCTGGCAAAATAGATCAATCGAGTCGAAATTTCGTCAAATCTGGCCAATCTAACATAGATGTGAAGCGGAGCTTTAATCAATATTTCGGCTGTTTGCTGGCAAAATCAATTTCATTCAACATTAAAAGGCGAAAAGTTGAATCTTGCGAGTATAACAATAGCTAGACATCTATCTCGTTACGCTCGATGTTGGCGTTGCCCTGTGGGCTCTCGCAAAATACATTTTTAATCAGATATTATAACATTTTGGTATATCAAGTAGATTTTAGACAATTTATTGTTAGTAAAAAAAAAAAAAAGAAAGGCTATATTAGAGCCACCAGGAGGAGGAGAGGAGGTATCTCCCTCAGCATCCTTTTTGCTTACACCCATATCAAACAAAGCCTATTATTGAGACGCTGTAAAAGAAAATTCAAGTTTTATGCAGCATTTATACATCACAATCTCTATTTTCTGATAGTATAATTGTCATATCATTCGCTGCTGCTGATACTCTTAATCAGGTGGCGACATAAAGCTGGTCATAAGTGAGTACAGAACTTGTGTAAGATCTACAGCGACTTTTTTTTTAGATATTGTCATTGCAAAAGACATCTTTGTTATAGGAAAAAACTTCCAAGAAAGAAAAAAGTATTCGAGCTAAGCAATTGTCCTTTCAATTCTATGAGCCCCATTTAATCAGCATCGCAATCATCATTGTCATCAACAGAAAGGCATTTAGGTCAGCCAGCAGCAAGCCGCCGCCGCCAAAACCAATTCAAACTCAGGCTTTTTTTCTGTTCAAGATTGGGTAGATTTTACCTATTTTCGACTTCATTCTTCTATTTTATGATATTCGACTATATAAATTGTGATGATCACCCTACGCTTCCTAATACTTTCTTGAACTACTTTCCGAGGCGCTTCCAATGATGCTAATTGTAATAAGTGTTTTGAACAAAATTATTGAGCAATTTGCGAAAGTATGGAATGAGGTTTCTGGTCAAAAAGTCGAAATTTTGTATATCAAAGCTTCACAGACGTGATTTCAGAGGCTGCTTTGGATCGAGAGAAACATTTTGATTTAGTATATACCATAGTAAAAGTCTTCATTTTCAAGGTCAAAAACGCGATCGTTTGATTTTCGATGAAAACTATGAAGGGGTACCTCATGCTTTTTGGTCGATTTTTGGCCATATTTTTTTTTGTCCCAAAAGGTTGAGCAAAGGTGTCAGGAAGTAACTACCAGACGAGAGCAATTGTTTGGAGCTATTCTGATGGTCTAAAAAGGCTTCTGACACGAGAAAATACAGCCCAAATGTGCTCAAATTTCGCTGTGTTTTGCATACATTTGAGGAGTAGGAGATAACACTGATATGGTATCCGTTCTTTTATGAAATGTTTCCGTTAATACAGACATGGTGTATCGCGTAAGGTTTAGATCCACACCATGAGACTGTTTGCGGGTCTATTATAGCATCAAATGGTACAAAAGATGCTACAGAACGCATGTTGGATTCTGGATTTCTGATGGATCACGTATTGGGCTACTTTCAGGACTTCATCTGCAGTGTTGTTAGCAATACAGTGGGGTTCAATGCATTCGAACCGATTGTATATCCAGCAGGCAATCGTTTCTTTTAAATGTAGATGTAAATTTCTTCTGGTTCGCCTTTTGATCCACATTTACATGCAAATCTGAAGCAAGTGGAGCATGTAAGATGTAGCAAGAACAGATAGCTTCAAACCAGTCACCAGATTGGAAAAAAATGATGATTGTTTCGCGTAAAGAGATGCCTCTTTTTTCTTTAAACCACAACACATACATCACACTCATCCAATAATACAAATGGTAGCTCTAATGAAAGGAATGATACCCAATCCAAGTTGCTAAATGATTCAATCTTGCTAGTTGTTTTATTCCTTCTTCAAGACACTAGTTGATCAACGAGTTACAGTTGAATTAAAGAATGATCTTGCCATCACAGGTGTATTAAAGTCGGTAGACCAGTTTTTAAATATCAAATTGGACGATATACAAGTTGTGGACGAAGAAAGATATCCTCACATGGTAAAACGAACAATCAAAAAAGCCAAGAGCGATAACCAGAAATAGAACTAAACAATCAAACGTCAGGCATCCGTAAAAAACTGTTTTATTCGTGGTTCAGTTGTTCGTTATGTTCAACTTCCAGCAGAAGCCGTTGATACACATCTCCTTCAAGACGCAGCCAGAAGAGAAGCAGAGCAGCCATCAACAGCACAGCCCGCCAATGTTAAGGTCAAATAAGAAATTACACAAGTTTTTTCTTTTTTTTTTTTTTTGTTATGCAAACTATCTACTTTAATGATGTCAAAGGGAATAATAAAGAAGCAGGTATCTCCACGTGCAAAGCAATCATCATATACAGCTTGTTTTTTTTTTTTTTTTTGTATGAAAATAGATGGTGAGAAAAACATTTTTGTGTGTATAAAATTCTTTTTCTTTGATAATCTCTATTCCTTCCTTCTTTACCCTCATCCTTCCTCTCTTCTTTCCATTGTTCACTCCCTCTTTTTTTTATATATATAATTCTTTCCTACACATTATTTGATCCCCTTAAAAAATGCCACTGTTTGGCTTGAAGAATGCAAGAAAGAAGTTGTCTTCACCTTCTTTGAGCTCTTTAGGATTAAGAAAGACGCAATCTACAGGAAACATTGATGATTCAGTTGTCATTGTGAAAAGACAGCATTACACTCCGTCAAAAGAAAATACTGCAACTGTCAGCATTCTTCGTACAAGTAGTAGTACAACACCAGATCAAAAAAGGCCACCCACGCCGCCATCTCAATCAGACATTGTATTAGCTACCGTCATGGAAAATGACGATGATGATGACGATCAAATGCTGGCCACTAAACTGAGAGATATTACAGCCTGCGACATGGATTTGCTATTGTCTTTGGAGACTCAAGCACGCATGGATGTGCAAGAAGAGAAGGAAAGAAAACTTCAAGAGATCAATTCCTCCATCACATCCAAAAGACCTTCAAGATTAAAGTTTGATATTCCGGTTACTCCACCGAGATCACGATCACCAGATCCCAAGACATTTCATGCAGCCAGACAGAGACGATGGTCTTTACCAGAAGATACCACTCAGCAACAGCAACCAACCGATGTTGTCGCCAAGAAAAAGGGTACTAGTAATCGCTTGTCAAGGTGGAGCCGGCTAATTAAGCAACAGCAGCAAGAGGAAGCTAAGAATAATCAGTTAATTTACCACAGCAATAACAGCAGTAGCAGTGAGGATGACTGCAGCACATCTGACAATAGCAGCGATGTGCAGCTAGATATCGTCATTGGCTCCAAAGTCAAATTGTTTAAGCGTCCATTACCCATCATTGGTACTGTGAAATACATTGGTAAAGTGCATTTTGATACAGGAGAATGGTTGGGAATTGAATTAGACAGCCGAGGTAATTGCATTCTAATTGTATGTACATAATGAAATGCTGTGTATTAATGAGCTTCCTACAGTTGGGAATACGGATGGCAAGGTGGATGATAAGCGTTATTTTCAGACAAATCTTCATTGCGGTATTTTTGTCAAAAAGGAGGATACCATTAAAGTTTAAGCAATTTTATTACCAATTTCTTACATATTTATCATTTAAGTACTAGTTCTAGTATCCAACATGTAAATACAATAAATAAATAAAAAAAGACCCTATTTTAGATATATAGTTCCGTTTTATCAAGAAGGAGGAGGTTGTTGCTGTTCTAAAGGAGTGCTGATTAGGATTGGCGTTATTCTTCTTTTTTTAGTCTTTTCAACCATAACAGGAGTTGCTAATAATGAAGAAGAGGGCGTCACTGTTTGTTGATGTATTGTTGTTGCTGGTGCAGATGTGGTTAATGTTGTCATTGAGGCTGATACCCTGCGCTTTTGTGACATGTTAGTATTTGTTGTGGTTGCGGTTGTAGAGTCTGGAATATCCATCATTTCAATGTCATGCTCGGCTGCGTTGTAATCTGGCAATTTCTCATATTTTGTACCCAATTCACCTTGTGAGAAGACGGCTGCAGAACAGTAGCCATCAGCAGAAGAGAACATGAGAATGGATCCGTCATGAGACCTACATTTCCATGTTAATTTAATTATACATAGTTTAAAGGCACACTCCCTTACCAAGCAAGATCAGTAATAGGAGCAAAGTGCATTCCTGATATGGCACATATAGGACGACATTGCTGGGTATCATAAATATAAACTGAATCTTGTGTAGCTGTAGCGTAAAGCATGCGGTAAGGCAATGCGAATGCTGAGGACGCATCTTTTCTCTTATTGAATAGCATGGGACACCAGCGGATGGCAATAGAGGGCTTTGGGTGGTTGCCAATGAATGCAATGGGATGTCTATTTTTCTATTAGCATAACCATGGCTTGCATGGCATATAATTTAACTCACTTTAGCATGGTGTTTCGAGGATAGATGTATGCACAGTTCAGCAATTCCTCTCCATTTTCATCCATGTCTGCACTAGTCTGTGCATTTGCGTCTGTTGTTGGCTTGTTTAAGCCTGCTGGCGTAATCAATAGTGCTCCGTCAGGACTAAAGGATAGTCTTCTAAAAAACGACACTAAATTCTCGTCATGATACAATCGAAATGACCCTGTTGCTGCCACTGCCAAATCGTCTATGGTTGTGTTGTTGGATGCAATCTTCCCTTTATCGATTCTTGAAAACTTTCTCGAGACGGATCCAAACACCAGTTTTCCATTTGCCGTGTTTTTGTACTTGTAAATAGCCATTGATCTGTCACTGGACTGTGTAGCCACATATTGACCTAGTGGGTCCCACGTAACACCTTGCACATAATGCGTATGATCTGTAAAAATATGAATGCATGCCTCTGTAGTGTGGCTGGTGAATAAAAGGATTCGCTTTCTTTTAGAGTGTCCTTACTTTCTGCCAAGCTCCATACTCGAGCTGTGTTGTCAATCGATGCTGTGATAAAGTAGTTTCCACAAGGCGACCATGCGAGATCATAGATTTCCTTTGTATGGCCACTGATTCTTTGCATTAGACAGATCCATGACGCAATGAGCAACTCTTCTCACTTACTAGAACATGTTTACAACTGACCAGCTCTCCTTTTCGTAATCGTTGTAGTCGCTTCCAAAAGTTGTCTCTTTCACTGCTGATAATCTCCAGATGATAATGGAAGTATCTAGCAAGCACATTAGCATTCCAGTCAGAAAGCAATGCCTATGCTAAGTTTACCATCTCCTGCTGAGGCAATCAAATCCCCCTTTGGTGAAAAACGCACAGCATTCACAGGTGAAGAGTGTCTTTTCAGTTCAGACAAGAAATCAATGTTTACAGGCAGGGAATCCACCAGCTTTTTGCTTTGATGCTGCTGTTTTCTATCTTCGATGGCTATGTTGGAGTTGCTCGAGCTTGAACTGTCGGACCTCTTGTGAATGCTCCAAATCTACACACATGTCTGTTTAGGGTCTTTTTTTGAACTCTCGCGGTGCATGTCTGATTATGCGTGTGTGCCTTACTCTCACTGAATTATCTGCGCCTGCTGTTGCATATCGAGAGCCATCAGGTGAGAAATCAACCGAGTATATAGCTTGCCCATCATGCCAATTGATTTCAAGTGTCTTGGCGAGCATTTCCTTGTTACTATTGTGTAAAGAAAAAGTAGACAATCGCGTCTTTGATGGCGAACCTTCTTTTTTCGTAGAACCGCATTTCGACACGGTCACGTACTGCTTTACTGCCGCGACGAAAGTGCTCGTTGTAAGCAGATGATATTCAGGAACACACATTGGGGATTCTTGTACTTTAGATGTGGGATAAATAGTATCATGTTCAGTGCACAAAGTAATCCATTTGAAGACGTTTGAATTCATGGCAAATCACATTAGGTCTAGCAAATCCAACATTTACGCACACACACACACACACACACACACACACATATCTACCCAACATTTAGTACATGTTAACATATCAAGTACAATCTATTCATGACACTCAAATTTATTTATATGTTAAAGCCAATCTTTACAATTGATCCAAAGAAATGTTGGCTTGCTGGAAATACTTCGGTAAATACTGTGAAGCCTCAGCAGACTGGGATACCAAAGATTTAACGATTTGACGTTTATCAGCAGGCATTGCCATAATTTGTTGAGCGAGATAAACAGGAGGAGCAGGCAAACCACTTGTGGGATCTTGAGGAACAGGATTACTGGTAGCCAATTTAGCAAATGTGGTTTGATATCCACCCTCTTCAATATCCAGTGTGTATAATTCATCCAGGCCCTCAACTTCCACAGCAGGGGGCAGTTCAAACAAGGCCAATACAGCCAACAAGGATTGTCCCCACAGTTGACTAACGTAGGGAGCTTGAAGCATGAGATCAGATCTAGTCAAGAGACGTGCCATACCACAGCCACCAATCTTGCGATCCAGGGGTTTACTCAACTTGCTCAAGTCAGGGAGCACAAATAATGTCATGATTTGACCAAAGAGTCCAGGCTGCAATTGTTCGTATACTTTGATGATGATGTCAGGTCCACCAAATGATTCCAGCAAGAAACAGAGATTCATCCACAATGTAAAATTGCGAGTAAATTTGTCAAATTGTATGGTGTCGCCCTTCTTTTTGCTTTGGAGTCTCTTCAACACAGCTGAAAGCAGAGCAGGGAGATAGTTGCCCAAGACATTGCTATTGAGAGATTTAGTTTCTCATCTGACAAAAGTGTAATCAAAACTTACATGGGCACTCTGGTAGAGACTGTGTTCAACAAGAGCATACCGTAATGGTCGAATTGGCGAGAATAAATCAGCTTTTGCTGGAAAATACCAAGAATTTGCTCCAGCTGATTACCAGCCAAGATGGAATTGACACCCTTATCCAAATAAGCTTGCAGTAAACGGACGAGGGCAGGGATATTACCTTGTTCCCAGAGCACAGGATTCAATAAGGGGCCCAACAGAGCAATGTAGGCTGGCGTCAATTCCACACCTTGATGTTGCTCCAGCAATTGAGCCAACAGTTGGAACACGTAAGGAGTGAATTCTTGGACTTCTTGAGAGAGAATGGTTTGGAATGGGCCAAAGCACATGTTTTCAAATTCGCTCAAAGCAGCCTCTGAAATAGGACAGATGAAACGGATTAGAGCACCAATACTCTCAAAGACATAGTGGTTGAACTTGGGGTTACTGGGATTCTTGCTGACAATGGACAGGATCTTGGTCAACTTGTCCATGATGACATTGACGTAGGGGACCATATCCTGGCGACTGGTAATGATGACACGCATGACAGCTCTCATCAAGTAGTCGTTTTCAGACAGCTTTTCAGGTGTTTGACCTTGTTCAATCAGTCTGAACAGTTGAGATAAAAGCGTTTCGGCATACGGCTTGATATCGACAGCAGTGAACATCATGATCTTTCCTTGACGGATAAACAAGATGCGCTCAATGGCAATAGCAGCATAGGTATAGACCACGTAATCGCTGGATTCGAGGTGTTTGAGCAACAAGGGGAATACCAAGAGGAGCTGTTCCTTGGTGAGTTGGTTTCTAAAGGTATACACGTACTTGATGGCGTCCACTTTCAAGATGGGAATGTCTGTATTGACGTCAGACTGCAAATCACACAAGACATGCTTGGAGAAGAAATCAACGACATCGACAAGTGCGTTAGTTTTGGTGACACCTTGCTGACTGGTGGAGGATCGACTGGCAATGGCTACCAACAAGAAAATAGCCGTGTTTTTATCCTTCCAGTTGGCCTTGGGGTTGGTGCTGTACGTTTGCAAGTAGCGGTTGACGTATTCGGACATGATCTTGGTGACCTGAACTTCAGCACGCTCCATTAAACCACGGATGAAATCAGCAGCGGCACGACGACGCGTGTCCGTGTCTGAGCCTTCCAAATCTCTGCGAATATACTCAATTGGGTTGTCCTCGAACAATTCCTCATCAACAGCTGTAAAAGAAGGTATTAGTGCGCGTGCTTAAACAGGATGCAATACAGCTACTTGCTTCTCATGGAAATATTGGGAAGAGCAATTCTTTCGCACATGGTGTTTAATGCATTGGGATCGGCAAACATGTGAGCGTGGCGTTCAATCTTGACAATGGCTGTCAACACGGCAAAGGCCTTGCAGACCATCTATGTAGCCAGGATATTTAGTAGTCTGGGCGTGGAGGACCCCTTATCAGCTGCTACTTACTGTGTCGTACTTGGGCTCGCTGTTGGTGTTTGTGAGCAAGTTGATGACGATGGGCACGAATGCAGTCAGTTGAGGGAAAGCGTCTTCGTAGCGAGTGGTGTATAATTCGAGAATAAAGCAGATGCCAGTCTTGATTTGCTCCAGAGGACCCTCTTCTTCCTCATCATCAGTGACCAAATGAGGGTTTTGGTAGACGAGGTACTTTTCAAACAAGCCTATGAATGTTGTCAAATTGTCCTCAAAGAACTCGGGCAGATCTTGACAGTTCAAATCGTAATAAATTTTGATCAACAGAGTCAACGAACGTGCCAAAATAGCGAGTGCAGCTGGATTGTTGGCATTCTCCTCGATCAATTTGTCTGTAATCTGCGTTGTTTTGAGGGGAGGGGGGATTAATGATGGCCTATTTTATATATGTTTCGCTTGACACACAATACCTGGAAGAGCTGCATGTAAGGCTCACAAAACATGCTCAAGACGTATTTGATGTTGATAAAAAGTTCGTCTGATCTGAAGGCGGATCTCCATCTAAAACATACAGTTAATACTGCGGATCCTCCACAGGCATCATGTCCTTACCTCTTGAAAATGGAGTGAGCTGTACCAAGAATACCATTGTTGACTCTATAGTCGGTTGGACTCAATTTGCTAATCAATTCCTAGCACGAGATCCCTTCAATATGCAACGTCCATCATTGCCCCCCCTTCCCATGAGCTACTTACTGGTAACAAAGACTCCCAGTGTTCAGGGAAATCTGATTCAGCAATCAAACTAAGCGCATCACTGATTTGCAACTGGAGCTTGTCAGGAACCGTAATCATGAGTTGAACAATCTGGTTCTTGATCTCAAGACGGTCTTGAGGTGCGATTTTATCGGCTTCTTCTTCATTGTCCTACATGAAATGCTGCGTCAATTTTTACATGCAACCTGCTACACTTGTCCAAAGAGGCTTACATTGACCCAATGGCGCTTGATGTAGTTTTTGAAATACACAGCGCCTGCGATACGCAGTGTTTGATCTACTGATTCATCGCTGATGAGCTTGAGCAGAAGAATAGGGAAACCTTGTTGAACCTCGACTTGTGACAAGTTGTGAGCAGCTATAGAATATGTCAGTTTTCTGTTCAATGTGATGCGCATGCTGCCTTAATGTACCGTCTTTTTGAGTGTCTGGGCTCAATGTCTGCAACAAATACTGCTGTAAAGCATTGTAGGTTTGCTCGTTGATCTCCATAGTATGGTAATTTCTTTTCAAGTAATGAGAGGGGAAAAAGAAAAGAGGACACGAAACTGGAAAGAAAGAAATGGAAATTTCAGCAGGCTGAATATCCAAGGTGATCGAAAAAGAGGACCCGAGCGCGCGTTATACTATATCAACGTCACTTTAGAAGCCAAAACTGAATTCAAGTGTGGTTCTTCCCTTTTCCGATTCATGACATTGCCTAAATCACCTACTATCAAGATACCCTTAAACAACAGAGATCCCAATGAGAATACAACTACGTTTAGACGCTTGTTGGAGTCCAATAGAACACTGAGATGCAGATCCAATGTCAAGAAACGGCCACCACTACACAGTGTAAGTGTTGATGTCTGATCCCTTGTCATGCTAACGACTGATCAGCTTGCAGAAGCAGAAGCAAAAGAGCCAGAAAGAGCCATGCCAGTCCTCTTTACCATCCACAGAATTGGAGCAAGCACCCTCACCCAACATTGTGGAGCCCTCCTCTCTATCTCCCATCATGGATCTACCTGGTCATTTCAAGCATTTAGAACAGCAAAAGAAGAAGCAAAGAGAGACAACAGTATCATCCACATGTCATTCATCAACAGCAAAGAAAAGCTCAAACGAGCCAAAACTACAGCTCGCATTGCACCGAGATTTCAACAATTACAGAGGTCGCGAAATCTTCATAGACACAGATACACCCATCTTTACATTGCCAACGGAAAGCATGTGGACCATCTTTGAGCGCTGTGCAACCTTTGAGGATTACCACCAGATTGCTTGCGTTTGTAAAAAGTGGCGCTCTCTGATCAATGCAGCGTCTCTGGTGAGTATCTAGATGCCAAGTCGGTGGTAGTGGATGTGTGCTAACATGTACACGCATTAGTGGAAAGACATGGCTATTCAATGGAGGCATTTACTAGCTGTGATCCATACGCAATCTACAATGCCCTACTATGACTACATCACCACACTGTCAGTGACAGGGGAAGCGAGCAGGCCCATGGTTAATCCAATTGCTGTACGAACCACCAACATGGCGTTCAAACATCTACGGCACATGCGCATTGCCAACATGAACTACACAGACGTTAAATTTATCATGGAGTGGATGAGGCATCTGGAGAGTGTGCATTGTGAGCGCATATCTTGCTCAAGTGGCCAGAACGTGAGCTTGAGGATATTCTCTGATATGCCGTGCCTCAGGAGCCTCAAGCTAGACTTTGCCCAAGAGTACAACCTATCACCCATCCCTTATGATTTTGATACCAATGGCAACATGTTGTCCAAGAAACCCACCCTGCCAAACACACTAGAGACATTCAGCTTGCGAGGCATTTACGACAGGGAAGAGCATACAGCCGGTGTAAATGGTGTGGACAGGCAAGATCGCCTTGTCAGCAGCTGGCACATGCTCGAATCGCAACTGGTGCGCAAGTACAGCATGCTGGCATTGCTCACTCGACTCACATCGCTGACATTGGGAAGGATCAGCGCTTTCACATCCCGAGTGTGGTTGGAATGCCTCAAGCCCTGTGCGTCTCAATTAGAGTATTTGACATTGATGAATTGGCCCGGTGCTGACAAAAGAGAATCACCGCATACAAGAACAAGAATACCCGCCGATGCATCCGAACGAATCACAGATGGCAGTATAGAAGCAGCCATCACCGAATGTTTCTCCAATCTCAAACAGGTCAAAGAGATCTACCTGGATGACTTTGTTTGTGACATTGGGTTCATTGATGGGATATCACAGTTGAACACGCTGTACCAGATACACATTGAAGGCCTGGAGGATCAGCAGCAGCAGCAGCAGCAGCAATACACAGTCAGTGATTTCAAGGCCATCAAAGTGTTTGGATTCAAGATAAGCATGCTTCATACTATACGCGGGGATCCGGCAGCCCACGGATACCGTACCGTGATACAACCAAGAGTGACTCGTTGGGATGGCCAGTTTGGTGGTTAGACACTTTCCATGAAGAAGAGGATCTCTTTTTGCTTTAAAAAAAAAACTATGTGTTGAATGAAAAACCTTCCTGTTTGCTTATCATACTAGTTCAAATGGCTTCTTCAACGCAGACTCGAGAAAACGACAATAAAAGAAAACGATTAACACAAGCTTGTGAACTATGCAGAAGAAAAAAAGTACAAATAGACTTTACTGACCCGCCGCAGCAATCTTTTACTTATTTGACTCGTACATAGATAAAATGCGATGGAGGCAAGCCAACATGTGGAAACTGTACCAGACTCAACAACGCATGCACCTACAGCTCCAGCAATAAGAAGCGAGGCCCTCGACAAGGCTACATTGAAATGCTGGAGCAGAGATTAGCCAAGATGGAGCAAATCTTGCTGTCTGATTCAGCAGCCACACAGGAAGCAGAGTCCTCCAAGCATGAGGAAGACACAGATCCTGTAGATCAAGACACAGACACAAGGCTGGACGAAGAGCCGCACGCATCCAGAGCAGCCACATCTACCACGGCAGACAGCATACCCACCACGCACAGTAGCATCAGAACCAAGAGCACGGCCAGCAAACGCTCCAGCGAAGACACTCTGCACGATGCTGCATCCCCTACCTCATTCTCGAGCCTTTCCTCCAACTTTCCTTCACCACCAGCCATGATGAACCATCACCATCACCACCAGCATCCACCTCGACACTCTGCGCCGCAAGATAACAACAACTCTTACTTGCTGCCTCCCATGAATGTCATTGAACACATGGTAGATCTTTACTTTAAATACCTCTTCTCAGGCACACCCATCTTTGACGAAACAGCACTCAGAAGCGACATTCGAGAGCGGCGCTGTTCCGACTTTTTGCTGCTATCACTGTTTGCAGCCTGTGCTCGATTCTCTGACCGTCCAGACATCAAAGAGATACCCGCTTGGCATGCAGGTGAAAAGTATGCGGAAAAGGCAAGAGCCATGATTTTGAGAGCTGTGGACGAGCCCACAATATCCAATCTGCAAGGCTTGACTCTGCTCTGTCTCCATGAATACGGCTGTGGCAGAGGGCCCAGGAGCTGGATGTATGGTGGCATGGCGATTCGTATGGCCATGGAATTAGGCCTTCATGAGGATCTAGATGAAGACGAAAACGGGAACGATAATCATACATTGGAAAAGCTGATGCAACAAGAGACTCGTCGTCGACTCTTTTGGACTATCTACTCGATCGACAAGTTTTCCAGTGCTGCTACAGGACGACCTTCTAGTTTACAAGATGTCTTTTGTACAGCCTTTTTGCCTGCTAAAGTAGATGACTACAGCAGTGATCAATATTACACAGAGACATTGGACAAGAGTCGATTTGTTCTATTGAATGTGAATGGGCTGAAGGAGACTCAATTGGTTGGCTCTACTTTGGTGAATGGCGCTGCCGCTGGTAGTGGTAGTTTGGACAGCAATGAAGACCCTGCCTCGCCTTCTGCTGCTGCTGTTGCTGCATCGCCTGTAGGTAGAAGGCCTCCCCTGAATTGCTATGCTTACCTCATCCGTGCCACTAGTCTACTTGGCAGGGTCACCGCTTTCATCAACTCTCGAAAAGACCAGCACAACCTTGTACCTCCATGCCATCCTGACTCTGAGTTCTCCAAACTAGATCGTGCTATAGGCGAGTGGTATGACCAGCTACCCATGCAACTCAAGAACACGCCTGCCAATTTTGAAATGTACAGGGAAGTCAACCGCCACAAGAACAGCCGACAGTTCATCTTGGTAATGTCTCGTCTTCTCTGATAAGCATGAAAGCCTCCCCACTAATATTAATCCCACTACAGCTACATGTGCTTTACAATACATTGATTGTATTATTGCACAGACCCTCACTGGTGATTGCTGACACTCTGGATCGAGACGTTGTTCAGCCTGAAATCAAAGCATTCATACAAGGCAGTGTCAACAAGTGCATGGCTGCTGTGGATAATGTCACACTCTTGCTCAAGGAAATTGGCAAATACAAGGAGCTCATGCCACCTTTTATCACCTATCTTGCTTACACAGTTGCCACTGTCGTTGTTAGCTCCTCGTTTTCATCGTCTCAGAAAGAAGCTGAGAAGGCCAAGCAAGCATTGGGTGTCTATTTTCAACTCTTACTGGTAAGTCTATATCTTGGACAGAGATAGTGATCCACTCATCATCCTCTGATATAGTCTGCTCGTAATCTATGGGCCATGGCAGACAAGCTGTACTTTATGATCCGTGATCTGTACGCCATTCATACTAATGTATTGAGACGACAGTTGGAGACCAAGAAGGCTGCTGCTTCCAGCACACAACAGCAAACCCAGATGCAACAACCATCGCAGCAGCAATTGCAGCATATACAGCAACAGCAACAGCAGATGCAGTTTCAACAAGAACAGCACATTCAACATCAAATACAACAGCAACAGCAACTACCACAGCAACAGCAAATGTTACAGATGCAAATGCAACAGTTTGGAAGCGGCCAAACGCCCTCCGCCCTCTCTAATAATGGGTTGGCAGACTGGATGTTGCCATATCACATTGCTGCCATGTCGAGCGATACACCAAATTTGGATATTGCTTCCTCGCAACTCGAGTTGGAATTCCTCACTGCCAACAATGTCTTTCAGATCCCTGAAGGGTACGAACAGCCCTTGATGTTTGGCTCTGTAGGTCTGAATTTCGATAGCACGACTAGTGGTAGCAGCAACACCAACACTAACAGTGGCGATGTTGCGCTTGACGCTAATGCTAATCCAACGACAACAGCTACCTCCAATAACAACATGTAATACTACCTATCTTTCTTGTATACTTTTTTTTTAACTTACATACTACTCCACTTTTTATTACACCTGCACCCTTCTCTTCCTCGATCGTTTTTTTTTTTGGCTTTATGAATGTATCATCATCATCATCATCATCATCACCATCATCATCATGAGAATAAAATCAACCCATTTGATCTTACTGAATGATATCGAAATGCTGGATCCACACCAAACATGGGGCCAACCAGCAATGGTGTCCATTGACGATGCTCTTATGCGAAATAGCAGCCATAAATCAAGCTGCAATGACGATACAATGTCCTGTAGCATGGTACCAACATTTGCCATGGGAGATCCATAGAGGAGGCATTGGCATAGATGGGCCTATATGGCTCACACATCGGGGTTCGCCCTGTGATGACGTTTTTTGAACGCGTTATTCTTCATGAACATGTGTGAGAGGCATAAGGATCTCCTTTTAGAAAGTCATCTCCCTCCAAAAAAAAAAAAAAAAAAAAAAAAAAAAAAAAAAAAGAGAGAGAGAGCACCGAATAATTTCCTCTCTCTTTTTCTCTCCTCTTCTACAACTTTTTTTTTTTTCTCAACTTTATAAAGGCTTGTATATTAACGATATACCCCCCACCTCCTTCCTCGTATACATCTTTTTGGACAAAGCCTATACACCCTTTTATATACGTAATTGCATAACAGCATGCTTATCAGTCTTACAGCATGAGTAGTGAATCAGAATTATCCAACGCTTCTACACCTAGTCCTAAGCAGCAACGAGCCACTACCACCAAACTCCAGAAAGCAAGTCTTGCTCGTATCGTCAAGGCGCAAGTGACCTTGCTCATATCCAACCTCAATAACGACAATTTTACCCGAAAATCCACAGAAATCCACTCTGTAAGCAGCAATTATGTCATGATGGATGTTGTAAGTAGCCTACTAAACGTTTACTCTTGGACTAGTTGATCGAAACGCATGGAGAGGATATCCGTGAACATTTGTTTCGTTACCTACTTTCCGACATCTACAAATTAAACCTGATTAAAGACGAAAGCTCTCCTCATTTCCGATTGTTGAAAGAGAATGCAGTATTTTCTACGCAGGACAATAAGAAATTGGAAGCCATGATCAGCTTTAGCTTGGCTCTGCAGCAGTTTTCCAAGTCGGATGTAGCCTCCAAAGCTGATATTTGCCATTTGTTTGACAGACTTGAACTGGATCCATTTGACAAGATAGTATTCACGTTGCCTCTATTCTCCGGTGTCAAGGGCGAAATCAGTGAACAAGGTGAGTGTATGGGAAGAGAGCAAGGTCCAATGGAGGTGACTGAACAGAATACACGTATAGCCAAAAGTGTCTTTGGAGCCAACCTGCAAAACGCCATTGCTTACATGTCAACCATCGAGTCTATCCCTGACAAAGTGCTGCAATACCTGCTGGACGCGATTGCACATGCATTGAGCGAGGATTCATACCAGTTTGATTATGAGAAGCTTCAGCGCCTCATCACACTAGCTTCAGAACGATTCATGTTGGATACATCCGTGGTGGATCAGCTGCAACGGCTGCTCAGCATCAAGACGAAGCAGCATGGTGGACACCTGTCCAAAGACGATGATCAGCAATTCAAGCAAAGCATAATTGAAATGTACAACAACAATCCTGCCTCGGTTACACGAATTCTAGATTTGACAAAAGAAATCCATGTAAATGAGCCCATCCAGCATGAATTCCAATGAAATTATATACTGACGAATTTATAAATACAGGCTCTTCCCCAGATTTTGGATTCGCTGCCGCCTTATTTAGCGTTGGATTTGGCCTCTCTCGCGGATCATCAAAAGGCGATGCATTTGGAGTCGTGGTTGCAGGAGAAACTGAAGAATCCAGAGCAAAAGGAAGTGTTTGCCAATCAGTGTCTACTGTATCTGAACCAGAAAGTGTCCATTGAAGCTCAACGCCAAGAAGGCTCGCAACAGTATCTGCCGATTCCACTGTCACTGGAAGCCATGAGCACATTTCTCAGAGTCTTATCAGACAGGTAAGTGCGCTATCATGGTTGCTCATTACTGCCAATACTCATGTTCGCGCATTGTGTAGTCCCATCTCTCCTGCATTGATCAATACAACCAAGGAAGTGCAGAATCGCTGTCTCCAGACCTTCCCCAAGCTGATGAATGTGCGCACCCAGGCAGCCCCTGGATCCACTGGATCTGAAGTCTCATTCAAGCCTGACGTGGAGGAAGAAGCCAACCTGTATTACGAGCGAATCTACAACGGAGAGCTTTCAACCGATGTCATGATCGATCTGCTAAAGAAACTCAGCGCCTCCAAAGAGCCTCGCGAACAAGACGTCTTTGCTTGCATGGTCCACAACCTGTTTGACGAATACTCGTTCTTTCCAAAGTACCCAGACAAGGAACTCTCCATCACCAGTATCCTGTTTGGCTCGTTGATTCAGCACCGATTGGTGTCCTATGTTCCTTTGGGCGTTGCGTTGCGCTACGTGTTGGATGCACTGCGAAACCCCATGGGCTCCAAAATGTTCAACTTTGGTGTGCAAGCACTACGCCAATTCCAAAATCGGTTGAGTGAATGGCCACAATACTGCTCTCATTTATTGCAGATTCCTGATCTCGTGCAGTCTCAGCCTGATCTAGCTGCGTTTATACAAAATGCAATGAACCATCAGGAAGTGCAAGTGAAGCCAGGCGAGGATTTGGACCCCAATGCCAACAACAGCAACCGAGCGACTCTTGAGCCATTCACCAGTATACAGGTGCCTCAGGTACCAGCCACTGCGGATGTGGTGTATTCAGAGCCTGCTGACGCGGTGCAGGACAAGATATTGTTCATCATCAACAACGTTGCTCAGAACAACATTGACAGTAAAGTAGCAGACCTGTTGCAGGTATTAAAACCTCCCACCTTCAAGTGGTTCAGCAATTATTTGGTGGTCAAGCGTATCTCTTCAGAGCCCAATTACCACGATCTCTACATCCTAGTCTTGGATTCTGTCAAATCGAAACTTCTCAATGAACATGTTCTTTGCGAAACGTACGCCAACATTTCCATCTTGTTGAACTCTGAAAAGACAGTATCCAATTCATCCGAGCGATCGTTGCTGAAGAATCTAGGTTCCTGGCTGGGTAGAATGACGCTGGCAAAGAACAAGCCTATTTTGCACAAGCATATTGCGTTCAAGGCAAGTCCATGTTTTGGACTTTGTAGCATTTTGTACAATACTAACACCATTGATAGGACTTGTTGCTGGAGGGTTACGATACTCAGCGCTTGATCGTAGTGATTCCATTTGTATGCAAGGTGCTAGAACAGTGTAGTCAGAGCAGCGTCTTTAAGCCGCCCAATCCTTGGTTAGTGGCTATTCTGAGATTGATGGTGGAATTGTACGACTTTGCAGAACTCAAGCTCAACCTCAAGTTTGAAATTGAAGTACTATGCAAAACTCTGTCGTTGGATTTGAAGGGTAGGTACAAGCAAGTAAGAAGCAAATGATCATGTACTAAGCCCTTGTTCTCAGACATCAAGCCCACCTCTGTGCTGAAGAATAGACAGCCTCAGAACCAACCATCCAGAAACACATTCGCAGCACATGGTGCAGGCTATCCAGGACGCGCTGCTGCGGGAGGTAATCCCTTGTTACAGAATGCTGATGTGGACGGACAAGCAGACATTGCAGAGGCTCCTATTCCAGTCCCCAATCTCGCTCCATACATTGCATTCAACCCGCAAATTCCTCTCTATACAAACCAACCTGCAGCAAGACGATTGGTACTTCAAGCATTCACTGAGTCCATACGTGAGATCATCGGCCCAGTGGTTGAACGTGCTGTTGCTATTGCTGTTGTGTCGACTCGTGATTTAGTATCCAAGGATTTCGTTATGGAAGCAGATGAAAACAAGATGCGTAAGGCTGCTCATATGATGGCCCAAAATTTGGCTGCAAGTTTGGCCATGGTCACTAGTAAGGAACCTTTGCGACTGAGCATTGTCAACAATCTACGAACTATCTTTTTGGCGCATGGCATGAATGAAGTAAGTGTGTTGGGCGGTGGAACAGCCGTAGACAATCGACTCATGCTGTGTGTTATGTTGTTTAGAGTATGGCAGAGCAAGCCATCATATTGACAGTAGCTGATAATTTGGATCTGATGTGTGCAGTGATTGAGAAGGCTGCCATGGAAAAAGCTACGCTGGAGATAGATGAAGTACTGGCAATGGCGCTTTTGAATCGTAAGAAGCATCATGAAGTACGACCCAATCAGCCCTATATCGACATGGATACGTATCAAATGTCTGGATTTGCCAACACATTACCAGCCCTTCTTCGCCCTAAACCAAGCGGTTTGCAACCTTCTCAGTTGAGCGTGTACGAAGACTTTATGCGAATTCCACGAGCAGCACCTTCGGCCGCGTCTACAACACCCATGATGGATCGTGCCATGGCACGCGTGGACCCAGGTTTCCACTATGGCAGCAACTCGCCTCTTGCAACCTCTACTGCATTTGACAACAGCTTGGTGGGAAATCAGCAACAACAATTGCCTCAAGCAAGCGCCCATGTGATTTTGGAACGATTTGCTCACTGTATCACAGAACTCGAAAAGCTGACAAGTCAAACCAACATCAACACCGTCAATGCACTTCCACAGCACAGCGATATACGTACGTTGATTCGACAAGTGCCCATGCTTGCATTTTCCAGCTTTGATAAAGCGGAAGCAGCAAGAACTTTTGCCCAAAAGATTGTGCAGTTGTTATACAAGAGTGAGAAACAACTCACCATTGAAGCGTATGTGGTCATTCTGGAGCATCTCTGCGAACTATCTCCCACCGTCGGCTCATTGGTGACCTCCTGGCTTACGCACGCAGATGATGAACGCAAGTACAATGTGCCCGTGACAGTGGCACTCATCAAGGCAGGTTTGATCGACCTCCCAGAGCAAGATCAAGAATTATCTATCTTGATTGAAAGTGGTCGCACCAGTGCAATTGAGTTTACAGCAAGATTGATTCGTGCTTGTTTATTTGGTGAACATCCTCTGGCTACGCGTCATGAATTTATGGCTTCACTAGAGGCTTTGAGCAATTTGCGAGGCAACAAGCTTCCGGAATCTGTATTGGCTTTGATGGAGGATATGCGCACCATACTTAGCTCTCATCATCAGCAACAGCAACAGCAGCACTTGATGCGTGACAATCAAACGCAAGATAACAGTAAAGACGCTGCTCTGCGTGAACAGTTCCAGTTCTTTTTTGCTGAATGGGTCAGATTGTATCAACACCCTGCTACGACAGAGAAGACAATGTTGGCATTTGCAACACAGTTATCTCAGCAAAGCATTCTCAAAATAGACGGCATGCTGGCTTTGTTCTATCGTGTCTGTATTGAGGTGTCTGTGGAGCATGCCATCAAATCCAAAATGATGCCTGGTCAGTCGCCTGCTCTTGGATATCACCCTATTGACGCGCTGTCCAAACTCGTTATGTGCTTTGTTCGAATGCCACCTACTTCACCCGAAAATGACCAAGCAGATGCATTAGCTTACTTCACAAATGCTCTGTCTGTTGTCGTGCTGTGTATATCTCAGCATCACGAAGTGCGTGGTCAACATTTCGACCAGCGTCCCTTCCTTCGCCTTTTTACATGTCTCTTGTCAGACCTCCATTCTGCTGAACAACACATTCAACCTCTCTATATTCCTCTGTTAACTGCTTTCAGTAACACTTTGTATACTTTGCAACCAACACACTATACAGGCTTCACATTTGCCTGGCTCCAACTCGTGTCACATAGATTTTTCATGCCTCAATTATTGTTGGCAGAAAACCAAAAGGTAAGCTGATTTCTCGCATGTCACGACGAAATGCAAGATGTGCTAAGCACTCATTGTAGGGATGGCCCACCTTTCAGAGACTGTTGGTTTGCTTATTCCAATTCCTTGTACCATACTTACGCAACGTAGAGCTCCATGATACCACTCGCATGTTGTACAGAGGCACACTACGTGTACTGCTGGTCTTATTGCATGACTTTCCTGAGTTCCTTTGTGATTATCACTATAGCTTCTGTGATGTTATTCCCGCAACCTGTATTCAAATGCGCAACTTGATTCTTAGTGCCTTCCCTCGTAACATGCGCTTACCGGATCCCTTCACTCCCAACCTCAAGATTGATTTATTGCCTGAAATTCACCAATCGCCTCGCATACTATCCGACTTTGCTGCAATTATTGACAATTGCGGGCTCAAAAAAGACCTGGATCAATACTTTAACACATCAAGGGCGCCATCAAGTCGATTCTTGAACGATCTGCCTGGCCGCCTGTTAAATGAAAGCAAAGACTACAATGTTCCGTTGATGAATGCTGTGGTGTTCTATTTGGGCATCAGCACTATATCCAAAAAGACGACGTTTCATCAAGGTCCTGCTATGGAAATCTATCAATATTTGTTGTCGGAATTAGGCTCTGAAGGTAAAGGAAATACAACATTCGGCATGCAATGGATTAACATCTCGTTCAAATTACAAGGTCGCTACTTATTCCTGAGTGCTATCGCAAATCAATTGCGCTATCCTAATAGCCATACACATTACTTTAGTTGTGTCTTGCTCTATTTGTTTGTCGAAAGCAAGAAGGATATCGCAAAGGAACAAATCACTCGTGTGCTGTTGGAACGTTTGATTGTCAATAGACCACATCCTTGGGGTTTGCTGATCACGTTTATTGAACTAATCAAAAACCCACATTACAGCTTTTGGAGTCATTCGTTCACTCGTTGCGCCACAGATATCGAACGTTTATTTGAAAGTGTTTCAAGGTAAGAAAACGGATAAGAGTTGCTCAAGCAAAACATTCAATTACTTAATGCTACCTCTTTTATGACAGGTCTATCAATCAAAACTAATTAGGATTATCATGCTTGCTTAACAATGCACCATTATACCTTTATTTTCCTCTTTATCAAAACGTGGAAGCTGTACAATAATTCTTATCAACATTTATTCATAAACAATGTATATTTTTTTAATAAACAAAAATCAATCTAATCAGATGGCATATACAGTATAATAGCTGAATCCATTCATGTAGAGACCCTTAACATTGGAAATACTATCGACTTTCTCTGTAATCTTCAAAGCTGTACCTTTTTTTTTGGCGGGAGGTTTTATCACATCGCAGTGTTGATAGATTGAACAAGATCGAAGCCTTCTAATTATTTGTTGTTGGAATCGAATTCATATATATATATATATATATATGTACGGTATTATACTGTATATATACTATATTCCAATGGTACTAACCGTTTAACTTTGTTACAATTAATGATAGTGTTACCTTTCTGAAGGATCCTAATGTTGTCTCAAAACACACCCGCCTTATAATATAATTGAAATTTTTGTTTAAATGGGCGGCTCTACTTTATTACTACAGGAAATTTGAGCATTACAAATCCAATGCTGGAAGGAGTGAGAATACATAATTAAAGAGCTAATTTCCTTAAATAGTGAAAGGCGCTCATTGTTAATTTAGAAGCCCAGTTATAGTCCCGCGCCCAAATTGGAAAATTCGATTGTGCCCCGAGGATAGTGGTGTAAACCAAATATGCGTAGATATCATGGTTGTTGAAAAATTTAGGATTTTCGATGCTGATTGTTCTAATTCCACATCAATTGGCTTGCATCTATACTATCCTGAGTCAAAGTGCAGGGTCAAATACACTGTTCTAAATAGTAATCATTGGAATATCAGCTCGCAATCCCATTCAGATCCATGACTGATCCTTGATTTAATAACGCTAGCCCCAAATATTGAATGGAAAATCGGCCACTTAACTTAATGTGAGAGCACCAACGAGTAAACAGATAACCGGCTACACCTGAATCAGAGATAGCACCGACTTGAACTAACGCCAAATATCAATTGACAATGCACAATGTGAGATAAAACAGCTTGTAGCAACACCAAATGTCTATAGCAATGCACAAAAAAGTCCACAACAAAAAATAATCCTTTTTGAATAAACCATAGCAGATAATAATATACAGATTAACATCTCAAATCCATAACCTTACATATTTCTTTATATAGGATATTGTCTTTTAGGAAATTGAGAATAACCAAGTAACCAAGAGAAAGATAAATACATATCAGGTTGTCGTGCCCAGAATTAGATAGCTTTTTTAAACCAAAAAATGCGAAGAAAGCGACTAAAAGGCGCTAGCGTAAGCTCGAAGGTTCTGGAAACTGATATCAGATATCGTTCTGATTACCAGTAGCTGCAATATCGAGCATTATGACTACTCGAAAGCTCCATGAATTAGTAGAAATGGACCTTATTGTTATATCAAATGTCATAGCAAGGTCTCACACTAAAGGTTTTAGGCTATTCTTAGGTCCTTTGGGTAAATCATGCTAATCATGATTTACAAATCAATTGTTGGGTAGATAGTAAACCTATTTGTATTATAGTTCATCATCATGCTGTAAACCCTAGCATAATGAAAAGTATATAAATGCATCCTTGGGATGCATTCTCAATAAAAGTGTAATTCTTTGGCAGATTCAATTTTACATTGTATTTTGACATAACACTTATATTTACACTGTTTCTATATTTTAGTTACACTCTATAGTTTTTTTTGGCAAGGTTATTGAATTGATATAGTTATAAAAGTAGTTCAAAAAAAAATGATAAATATCAAGCTCTCTATAATGATTACCTTGGTAGTTGGTAATCAAGATATAAGTATTGTTGTGTGGAAAGGAAGACTGTAAGAACTATCCCAATAATTATGAGAGATGAATTTAAGGGTTCTTTAGGTTTGTTCGTACTAGATTGGCACTAGTAACTAAACTCCAGATTAGAATAACAAGAAAAAAATGGATAATGTTTATTAGATGCAATTCAAAATACTATTTATATATGCTATTGTTCTATTGTAATTCTCCTGTCAGACTCAATTCAGATCCGAATGTCAGTGCCCTGATCAAATGTAACCCCAAATTGGATTGTCTTCAATTTAATGTCAATTTCATGTACCCACGTTCTTGAGTCGATCCCATTGTTTAAAATAGTAACACCCCAATTCCATTGTTGTAATTCCACTTGAATCTTGCATCGATTCGACATCAATTGGTTTGCATCTATCCTGAGTCAAAGTCCAGAGTCAAATCCACATTTCAAAATAGTAATACTTGGCTATTAGCGCGCAATCTCATTTAGATCCCTGACTAATTCATCGATTCAACATTATCGGCTCCAAATATTGATTAGATTTTCAGCTAAACTTGACAAGAAGCACCACGATTAAACGAATATGTAACAACAACAAAATAGAAGCGACACCAATTGAGTAAGCACCAACATTGATTAGCAATACACCAAATAGAGTCCACATCGACTAGAATAACAGTATCAACGCACCATCAAGAGATAATATACAGTTTTACAACAATTATATGAGTGTGTCAATGCACCAGAACACCGCACCAACGAGGAGTAACCCTTCAAGTAAGACATAGTAGATAAGTTAGAGAATTATACCTTGAATCCACCACCTTGCGCCTTTCCCATATACGGTATATTGCCTTTTTAGGAAATCGAGATAGAGCCAAGTAACCAAGAGAAAGATACACACGTATCAAAATGACAGGGTTGAAGGGTATTCTGACAGTGATTTAGATCTGCAGGATATCATTGACAGACTAAACACAAACAAGAATAAGAAGCGCAGGTTTAAACCTAGAGCGCCAGCTACCAGGAACATTAAACAGCGATTAACCTGGATAGCGCACAACATTACACAAACTATATTGGATAAAATCAATGTTCAAATCTAATATTAATAAAGCACCTTTTTATCCATTCAACTAAAAGGTTATAACACCTTCCTGAACAGTGTCTATATCTACTTCCATTTATATCTCGATCAGATCTCAGATTGCATATACTATCTTTACGTATTAGCATCAGACAAAAAACATTCAGGTTTCTTGGTGTAGTCGGTTATCACATCTGCTTAACACGCAGAAGGCCGCCAGTTCAAGTCTGGCAGAAATCATTTTTTGTACAATATTTGACTTAAAACGTCTTGCGAAAACGTTTTGCTTTTTAAAGATTTGGAATAGAATAGAGTATTGTTGCGAATTGGTAGTAGTATGTATAGTTTTAGTAAAAGGGGGTGTAAAAGAGATAGTAAGTTAGCCAAACCAAATCTACCTTTCAAATGAGAATTAGGTTTATAGTTATCCAACTAGAGTAAACAAAAAATAAACAGCAGCAGTAACGAAAGATATAATAGATAATATAAAAGAGTATGTGATACAATGAATCAATTATAATATGGAAAGGGTATATAAAAGACTCAAGGGGTCTTATAAATGACAGATGTATCGTACAGTATAAGAAAAGAAGTGAATATAACAATTAATGAGCTCTACTAAGTAAGATAGGCATTGAAATAATGTTAATGTGGAATATATCCACTATGATCTGCATTCCGGCAGTTCATCCAGTTACCAGATTTAGATATAAACTCTGGATTATATGTACGATATCGATTTATACTATAAGAAGATATGAACTTCAAATACGCTAGTACTATAAGATTCATACTACAGTGCGCGAAAAAAACGTTCCAGTGTTTTGCCAATTCGTAGTTTTACATTTACAGCTCTGTCAATTTTTCTTCAGTTTTAAAACTAAAGTAACACTACGAAAGCTTGGGTTTTTAGCCACAAAATGAGCAACTAAAATAATTGATAAGTAGATATTGAGCTAGTGCAACTGACGTAAGGTAAAAAATTTCGATTTTGTAAAACTGGAAATATCGCTTGATGACCTTATTGTTTGTATACATTCCACGAAAATAATCCGAGAGCCGTAATTTTTTATATCAGTTATGTTTAAAATGTTAGTTATCCGAGGAATGCTTAAAAAAGTATAAAGAAGCCTGAGATTTTGGTCTTTTCCCTTATTATATTTTACCATCTTTACTTCATCACTTATTTTAACATGACACGTCCCATTCCTCAGGAGGTTCAAGGATCTGTCAAGGCTCTTTTCAACCAAGGCTGTTCCCTCCGTGCCATTCAAAAAATCTCCCCAGATTTGTCCGTCAGTGTACTTTCTCGCTACAGGAAGAAGTTTCTTGGTCATTCAAAACATGCCAAACCCGGAAGACGCAGCAAAATCACTACGCAGAATATGAACTATATTGAGAGGAATCTCCGCAATGGTAATTTAGACGGCCCCAGGGGTGTGCAGTACTACCTTGCTTATATGGGAGTTTAGATGACTTCGAGGAATATACAGTATATACTCAAGCGCAAAGGGTTCAAGGCTAAAAGAAAGGCAAAGACCAATTTCGTGTCTGCGGAGAACCGGAAAAAGCGTCTTGTGTAAACCAAGAGACATCGACATTTGACTGCGGACGATTGGCGTAGATGGGGATTTTCCAATGAAACCATGGTCAACATGTGGGGATCTGACGGCGAATCTTTCTACTGGACTGACAGGCCCACTGAGTTGATGCCTCATCAAACTGAGGCTCAAGTTCAGGGAGATGGTGGTGGCGTTGTTTTCTGGGGCATGATAACAGCGGAGGAACCCAGCTATGGCTCCACCGCTAACGAAGGAACTGTTAGCTCAGAAGTTTATGCTGAAATTCTGGATTCATCTTTGCTAGATACTATCGAGTACTATGGGCTGGACAAGAAAACGTTTAGATTCCAGCAAGATAACGCAAGACCACATACTTCTGGTCCCATTAAAAAATGGTTCACGCATCACGGATTCTCTGTGCAAAGTGTCCTTGATTGGCCCCCCCAAAGCCCTAACCTAAACCTCATTGAACATGTCTGGCATCAACTAAACGTCGTTTGAACAAGTACCCTACTAGGGCCACCAGCCTTTCTGAGCTAAAAGACAGAATTGAACAGGAATGGTATAAATTCACAAAAAAAGACTGTCTTGAATACATAGGCAGCATGCCACGCCGAATCAAAGCGGTTATCAAGAGTAAAGGTGGTCCAACTAAATATTGAGCTTTTTTATAAAATTTAATAAATTCGACTTTTCACTTTTCATGAGGCTACCATTCTTTTTCTAATTACGTGAAAAAAGTGCATAATATATCATCTGATAGCCAACTATTTAGGCTATTTATGAAACTAAGTAAACCCCAGTAGCTTTGATATTTGCAGAGAAAACTGGCAATAGGTGCAATTTGGCAAAACACTGGAACGTTTTTTTCGTGCACTGTATTTACTCTGTCTATATTGTGGAATTTGAGGCTTGATAGACTAAAATTCACGGAAAAAAAAAGAATAAAAAAAACAGTAATGTCAACTTGATAAAGGTATATTTTATTATCAAACTGACAGGTGTAAAGTAAACTGAAGTCTCTCTACTGGCCAGGTAGATGATCCTTCTTATATACTATAACAATGGATAAAAGTTCTATTAATTAGATTGACAAATAAGTCAACTCAGATCAACTAATGTCTAATCATGCTAAAAGACAACTCCAGCAAGCTAATCATGATTTAGCTCTGTCTGGATGAATAATTAGACTCTCATCCGAAGTACCCTGATCTATCCTTTCCATAAGGATAATTAATATCGATCTAGTAGCATGTATCCGATAGGTACAGTCTTCTTAGTCTATATTAATAGTACATATCTGAGTGTATATCGCTAAGCATACATCTTTAGCATGTATCTGGATATATGGCATGTCTATAGCATATCGTAAGCATGTCTATAGCATGTCTCATATATAGTACAAGTCTGTAGTACATAAAGTATCTGTAGCTAGTATCACGGATATAAGCATGTGTCTTATAGCGTGGATCATGAAGTGCACATCTGAAGCAACAAGCTCATATTGCATTAATCTTGGTGCCTATCCAGATATGGTAAACATCCGTAGTCAATGTCGGAATACAAGTATAAGTCTATAGTGCCATCCATGTCCGTGGTGCCATCTATAGCCTATATCTTATATAGTATGAATCTTATAGTACTAGCGTATCTGAAGTCCATATCTTCTCATGATCATAGTATAAATCGATATCGTACATCTAATCCAGTGTACATACAGTTTATATCTAAATCTGGTAACTGGATGAACTGTCGGAATGCAGATCATAGTGGATGTATTCCACATATATTTCGTTATTCTAAACATATACTATTTTGCTTTTCAAGATCTCTGGGGTAATATCCTGGTTAACAAGGACTGAATTGGGATATGAAACTATTCTTGTACCACAGCAATATACTACATCAACGAACGAAGGATAGCTTACTTAATTCACAAGGGGGTTAATGCACCGTGACCCACAAAACTGTCGCAACGTTTAGCAATTTTTACTTTCAGACCTTACCAGCGGACGGAAATTTATTCAATAATTATGAATTTAGTATTTTCTGGAAGTTAAAACTAACGCCTCTTCAACAATGTATAGATAGTTGATATTAAGCAACGTGGACATATGCCGTATTTGGTTAAAAACATTATGTTTATTGGGGCAGTATTGTGAGATCTTTTGAAAAATCACAAATTCGGTGATTACTCAAACCCACAATTTGGAATAACTTTCAGAACGTCGTATAGAAGAGTCTCACCTAGTGCAGTTAGTCTCCATTACCCAACCCGGAGTTCTAAATATCAAGTAAGTCGATTATCAAGCCATGAAAGCCATTGCTGTCTCCAAGGTTAATTCCATAATCACTTTAAAATTTGAGGCTCTATAGACTAAAATGTACGAAAAAAAAGAATAAAAGACAATAAAGTCAACCTGATAAAGGTATATTTATTATCAAAATGACAATTGAAAAGTAAACTGAAGTATCTCTACTGGCCAGGTAGATGATCCTTCTTATATACTATAACAATGGATAAAAGTTCTATTAATTAGATTGACAAATAAGTCAACTCAGATCAACTAATGTCTAATCATGCTAAAAGACAACTCCAGCAAACTAATCATGATTTAGCTTTGCCTGGATGGATAATTAGACTCTCTTCCGAAGTACCCTGATCTATCCTTTCCATAAGGATAATTAATATCGATCTAGTAGCATGTATCCGATAGGTACAGTCTTCTTAGTCTATATTAATAGTACATATCTGAGTGTATATCGCTAAGCATACATCTTTAGCATGTATCTGGATATATGGTATGTCTATAGCATATCGTATGCATGTCTATAGCATGTCTCATATATAGTACAAGTCTGTAGTACATAAAGTATCTGTAGCTAGTATCACGGATATAAGCATGTGTCTTATAGCGTGGATCATGAAGTGCCCATCTGAAGCAACAAGCTCATATTGCATTAATCTTGGTGCTTATCCAGATATGGCAAACGTATGTAGTCAATGTCGGAATACAAGTATAAGTCTATAGCGCCATCCATGTCTGTCGTGCTGTTAAGCACAAAGAATAAAAGGATTATTATTTGTAGCTTATAAAAAATGCTCGATATTATAAAAACAAGAAAAGACTTATTTGAATAAGGTCAGACACAAAAACTAAAGATTTATTGATGAAGACAAGAGTTATTCTATCTATACTAAGTTCTGAATGCCAAAGTAGCAATTTATCTTGTACAAAGCTTATCACATCTGGTGAACCTCAGTATTTAGATAGCTGAGATGCACTTCAATTATCATAGCTTGTCCATGTTGTTGCACAACACAGACATATCTACCCATCAAGAATACCTTAATCTTTATAGACAGTTGTAGCCCTTCCGGCACAACAGGTGCCATCGATAGCCAATATCTTACACTACCGCGAAAAACTTAGCGGAAATGCTCTAAAATAGGTGTTTTTGTTGGTGCTTTTTTACAGCCAAAGTATTTGGAAAAGTTGGTGCTTTCGGTACAGGCTTCAAAATTAAAACACTCTAAATTTGGCGTCAATGCGCTAAGTGGTACAAATTGAAAATATTCCATCAACATTGCAGCACAAAAGTAAACCTTATTGAAAATAGAAACTGTTGTATAGCCGATGATATTTACTGCATTACACAACAGTTGAATCCTATACCGTGCAACGTTGTTCAGTTAAAAGACCAATAGTTGCTCATGGGGATTATGACATTGGAATGATATGGTTGGTGGATCTTTATTAATAGAATGCGCTATATATTACTCTTGGGGCAATTGTTGGGGCAGCAATCGTGCGATTATTGGATAGAATGATATGGAAAGCAGGATTATTGATGGATAAAATTGTCTTTTATTGATGGAAATATAGCAGAATATAGAATCATTGCTTTCAAATACATGCAGCGTGCTATACACATGGTAATGGGACGTTGCTCCGTTGGGTAGGCAATTCTTTTGACTCGTTATACAGCAGTTAGCTAGCTACCCTGTCATTCAAGAGCCTCCTGATTGTATTAAAGATAAAGCGGCAGTAGCTATACATGTTTACCCATTACGAAGAGTTCCATACAAGAGTAACAGAGATGAGGATTGACATGGAGATAAGCAGCCAGATTAGAGTTGATTGGCACCCACCACACGAGTATCTAAATGCAAAACTAATGTTAGTCATAGAGTTCAATCCTGAAAAATATTTAACAGCATACCACATTTGCCACGTACCATCATCGTAAACTTGACACACAAGCAGAACAACAACAACAGGATAGGAGGCGGTCATGAGAAACTATAAGAGATGATAGGAAATGTGAGCAACGATGGTACGGCACGATGTAAGATGCACAGAGTGATTGACAACTTACAAATATACTTTAGTATATGCTGGTTAGCGAAGATCTTCCAGCAGCAGCACCAGGGGAGGATGTTCTATTCTATATTCAATGTTTAGTCACTGCCATACTTCTCAGATGATGCTCCTTACCTACCGTTATTCCCACAGAGATGATTAAAACGGTGTGATACTAATAGGCAACAGCCACATTCGAGGAGAACCTACTGCGTTATCATCTGGCGTATGCTGCCGATAATATGTTTTTAATAAGAAAGCCACCAACAGAAACATTTGGTCAGATAAATTACTTACTTTGTACCAGAAAATGAATCGAAATTACGGAAAGAAAAGAAAAGAAAAAGGATTTAAAATAATTCACGAAAAAAAATACTCTTTTTATAGACAAAATTTAAAGTTTTATTACAGCATGTCATAACCATCAGAGTAGTAATAGTCATCAGCATCATCATTCAAAGCCCACTCTCCCCAAACATACGTTATCCAACGATCCGAAAGCTTTTGAAAGTCATCAACGTGTTCCCCCTCCATTGTAAAGCACATTGCTACTATAAGAGAAGAATAGACACACTGCATCATTGTATAATTGACTTTGCTTTTTCCTTCCAGACTGGCATCATTCAAACGCTTCGTTAGCACTCTTTCATAATCACAAGCTCGTGCGTAGTACATGAAATGATAGCTTGGATTATTTTCAATATCAAGCGCAGGTCCAAAGCGATACTTGTAATATTCAACGAAGCGCTTTACAGTGCTACAAACAGATGTGCAATGATAATTAATACTTTATTCAAAGAATTTGCATGACATATTATTTTTATTCTAACCTCATCAAATCTGAAGAGGAACAGGAACTCCAGCTATAGTCTAGGTAAGATTCACTAGGGTCTCTTGGAACCATTGGGGTTGCATGTACGCTTCTTGATGCAGTTAAGCGACCAGCAGTAGAGTTGCGGAAATCTTCATTATCATCGTCATCTTCACCCTCATCTGGGCCATCATCACCACCAGGACAATTGCCAGTAGCTCCATTACCAGAAAGAGAAACAGAAGACGAGAAACCATCAAAAGAGCTACTGTCAGAAGTACTACCAATAGCTCTTGTTGCAGAACGGCGGCGAGTCTTGTGGACAGAAGCCAACAGAGCCGTGGCACCCCAGCTGTTGGTACAACGATGCAAGATGAACCCATACTTCTGCGCATGTGCTTCAAAATACAGAGCATGCTTCAGGATTAATGCCTCATCCACACGACTCCAAGCTGGAACGACCTTGTCATCTACGGCCAAATCGTTGACATAATAGTATTCATCAAGAAGACGTTGGTGATAAACTAGACACATCTTGCGAAGGGCTTTGTATTGAGCAACGACAATCGGATGATTGAAAGTGTAACCCCTTTCATTGACGTCCCCACTTGACTTCATACTAAAGTTAATGAGGCCAAGCAAACGAGTTCTGGCATCAGGGTAAATGGCATTTCCTTGGGAGTTAACCTTGCCAGAGTTGATCCAGTACTCCAAAATCTCAGGGACAACTGGATTTATATCGCGAGGGCCACGCAAATTAGGGTTTCCTACAGGAGCAGGAGCCAAGTTACGCGCTAAAATAAATAACAATGTCAATGTCTATTTCAATTCAATGCACATCAGTGTTTACCTGTAGCAATCACTCTTCCGACATCAGTTTTATTGCCAAAAACACCATCATTCGTGGGTTGAACGGGAGGAAAGGTAGGAGACAACTGCTTGATGAGTTCCAATAAAAGATCACGATTAAGCTTAGACTCTTCCTTGAGTTCACCAACAAAAGCCTTGAGCTCCAGCATCTCTGTCTTGATAGCATCGAGGGGAGAAACTTGAGTGCGAATGGTTCTGTAGTTATTGTCCATTTTAGTGCAAAAAAAATAAATTTAACTTATAAATAATAGTTGATACTTTCCTGAAAACCAAAACACATGTTGCCCTTTTATACGTTCCATCCTGCTCTTGGATTCTATCTTTGCCATTCCAAGTGTCTTAATGACTCACTAGTTGTCTTTATTACTTGGACTTGATAGAGTCTTCATGAGTCATTAAGTCAGTTCAAAGTGAGCACCCTCTGTAATAACGCGACTGTAAGTTCGTGTAATGTCAACTGTCAATCATCTTTAAACTCACAGTAGCAAAACATCCAAACATTGAGACACAACCGACACCTTTGTGCAACTTGAAGAGTCAAAAATCACTATTAGTCATAGGTGCTACTATGTACCACAGAGACGATCAAACTACTATTTAAGCTTCACTACACATCACTTTGGTCTTGTTGTCATTCATTTGTACATCACCTTATCCTCTCAAAATGCCTGCACGACGAGTTTCAGGAAACTGCGAAAAGTGCCACATGCCTTACAATTCTGCTAGAGCATTGAGGACCCACTATGCAAACTCGACTTTTTGCGAGCCCAAGAAAGCAAGAACAGAAGACACTCCCTTACCGAATAGTCAAGAACGATCCCAGGCAAGCATGCATTCACAAGACGATACTCCAACGGCTACCACAAGTAATCAAGGAAATCAGTCATTACAGCAGCATGTTGCAGAGCAAAGAATAGAACGTGAGTTGTGTGAACTATAAGCAATGCATGACGTACCGTTCTAACTCCCATCTAAGTGCCATCAATTGAGTCCTTTTCATACTACAGTAGCTTCACTCTTGAACAAAAGGAAGGCCTTCGACATGTATATGATCTTGACACCCTCTCTTACGCCACTGATTTTAATGAAAGTGAATTACTTTCATTGAAGCTCCGTGACATATTCGACAAGTATCCAGCATCGAGAGAAATGAGTCGTGAAAGTATATACTTTACAAATACAATCATTAAGAATATAGCAGAGGCAGGAGGTGGCACTGAAAGAGGTAAGCATATGAATACCACTATGCATTGTATCTTCAAACGCACTCACCATATTGACATCTCCCTTTAATGCACAAAGGCATTGTGTTTCCAAAGCTGATTCAGTTCGATACTCTAGAGGCGCGCATGAGAAAGAAGACTGGCGTACAAGCATTCATCTACAAGGTCTGTCCTCAAGGCTGCAAAGTTTATCCCAAGAACGATACATCAGTCCAAGGAGTGTGCAATCACTGTGGAACTCCCAAAAGCGAAGCACAAAATATGAATGTCTTGAGCATCGGTGATCAGCTAGCAAGAGTCTTGAGTGACAAGTCCAAACGAGATGAGCTCATGTCGTATCGACGTAACTACCAACATGATCCACATTTTTACCGAGACTACTTTGACGGTCAAGAGTACATTAACTTTCAACAAAGACGGGAAAGACATGGCACCAACGTAGATGAGGAACCTATTCTGCTTGCCTTGTATGTCGACGGCTTCAAACCCCAAAGCAACTCTTTTGCTGGCGATACGTTAACGCTATTCCACGTTGTAATTTTGTCAGCCCCTCCACACCTCAGGTGAGTTATCTCTATTTGTATGGGTATAATATCCAATTAGTACCGGATTCTAACCACCAACGATATTGCATTTATGTCTACCAACCCACAGATACTTGGATGACTGGACTGTTCAGACAATGATTGCACCCGGCAAGAAGGCTCCAGTGGATCTTGAAAGCTACTTGGCTATTTTTGTGGACGAAATTCGTGATCTTAGTGAACATGGCATGCTGGTTCGAGTGAATGGTGGTGAAGTTGCCCGAGTAAGCGTTCATTTGGCAATGGCGACAGGCGATCTTGTAGAAGTATCACATTTGATGTTGCATGGAGGAGTCTCCAGTCAGTTTGGCTGTATGAAGTGCCTCATAGACACACAAGGAGGTCAATGCTTTACTCGCACAATCAGAAATTTCCAATACAGAACTCTCGAACAACTGAAAGCACCACTGCCTGTTGGCGTAAAACATGTGTTTGTAAGTGAAGCGATTTCATTAAACAATCATGTATAGTTCTTGTACCAACCATCATCTCTTCTATAGAACATCAAAGGACCATCCATATTTACCACTCTCAAGTCTTTTCCTGCCAACCCATCGTTCTACGGTCTCGACACACTTCACCTACTGAGCATTGGATTAGCTAAGCATTTGTACGAGCTCTTGTCTTCTCCATTGCATCCATCCAAGTTTGATAACCGATACAAGCCCTCTATCGAAGAACTGAAAGAAGCAAAGCTTGATAAAGCAAGTGCCTGGCCTTACACCTTTGATTTAGATCCCAAAGTTCTGGCAAAGATCGGTCAGTATGTGGCTCAGTCAAAGAAGACCATTCCAACTACCTTCAATGCACCATTCAACGACATTTTTGCACCAGGAGGAGTTACCAACTACCGAGCAGTTGACTATGAAGAGTTCATGATTTTCATTGTTCCAGCCCTGATAGCACCACACTATCCTGACTCAATCAGAAAACCTCTTCTGGGTATCGTTAAAGTGGCAGCTTTGGTATTGCAGAAGAATGAATTGCATGCTTCAGACTTACAATTCATAGAAGCGTAAGTATTGGCATCTTGAATAACAAAACCCGTTTTATCCACAGACTAACAACTTGCTTCTTTCTATCTCTGCACAGTAAGGTTAACGATTGGCACAAACTGCTGATCACTGAAATCAAAGCCAAACGCCTTCCTATCAAGACCTTTCGACCAAACGCCCATTATTTAGGACACTTGACTTACATGATCAAAGCGCAAGGTTTACCGGCTTCGACTTCCAGTCGATCTATCGAAAGATCCATCGGCAGGTACAAACGCTTGATAAGTGCTCGCACAAATGTTGGTATAAATGCCGGAAACATCATTGATCGTTTGGCAATTATGCGAGCCATCAAGGCATCTACAACTGGTGATGGTACAGGCGATGGTGAAGACAAACTGAATGATCTGGATGCTCGAATCAATCTCTTAGTGCCTCGACGATACGATCCAACTACCTTCGTAAATCTAAAGAATGACAATGGCAACGGAAGTCAGCTCTGGTATCCAGTCATCCACACAACGGTTTCAAGTATTCCAACCTCCATCAACGTCAACACGCCTCTTTTTGTCAAGGCTATACAGTCCTACTACGACCGGCAATACTCGACTAATGTTCTGCAGAATGTCCATATCAATGATCAACTGGATATTGTCGTCTCTGGAAGTGCCTGGGCTTACAACTGCACTTATCGTTCAGAATACTATCGCGATCTCACCGGTGCTAATTCTAGAGGAAGCCACTACATCATGGTATGGGCAGAACACTTGAGGTATGTCAATTCACAGGTTCATTATTGCCTTTATCGTTACTCATCAAAACCCACATTGACGTCTGAATTTCCTACAGTAACTCTCGTCGCAAGGTCAAAGCTTTCTTTGTAGGGGCTGTTATTTTCATGTTCAAGCTCGAAATTGAGGGGATTGGCGATGAGTTGTTCTTGCTTATTCGATTGGGAAAGACTCATGCTGTTGACGACAAAGACAAGACGATGCCCATAATGGAGCTGGATGATGACCAGGATTCATCCGCATATCTGGTGTGCACATTTGAGCAGGTCATTTGCCAAGTTGGTCTGATGCGTTTTAGCGAGAATGACAAGAGATATAAAGTGATAACGAAGGAAAAGGTTTTCCGGGCCTCGATAGAGACTTATAAACCTGGAAAAAACTCATTTGTGCTACCTCAATAATAAAGATAAATATAGAATTTATCATCGTATTATTACTCCCAACAAGTTAACAGACATTCAGCTTCATGATGTCGTTCTCCTCTTCTTCGTTTCTTCCCTTTTAGCTTCTGACATCAAAGACATCCCATTCATCTCACTACACAACGCTCAGTTCCTTTAGTATGTGCCGAAAAGCACCATTAATTGCGGAGTAGGTGCCCCAACCTTAACTTGAGTAAAACACTAGTGCGAATAGCACTGTTACCAGACAATGGCATCTTAAAATTGTATGAAATTCCTATTTTTCCTTCATTCAATTGCCAATGCTTTTATGTCTCACCCTTGCTATTAAAACCTAAGCGTGTATACAAAACAGATTCCGACAAATGTCTTCTTTTTTGCCGTCTCCCTCACCTTCCATTCTTTATTGAATTCTTCCTTCTGTTTTCCCCTCGTCCTACTATTACTTAAGGCTTTGAACACTGATTTTTTGCAAATATCAACGAAACACAAGAGCCACGATGGTTAAAGTTCCGCCCACAACAATCTTTTTGCTCTTGTAAACCGGAAAGGTTCTATTGAGCTGTTTCTCCCGTATCTCTAAGATGATTTTTACCACTTTTAGCATCAAATAGGTGTTTCCTACTGCTTTTAGCGCTGAATACGCTGCTAGCTCCTACTTTGAAGCGGTATTTTAAATACAAAAGACTTTCAAGATCCAACGCAAATATGATTCTGATAAATTTCAGTTTTCCCCTTTCCTTCATGGTTTATACGGTATTCTTCAATGGATGTTTACTTGATCTCTCTTAGATTTGATAGAATAGTGATAGATCTGCCATTCAATTGTACACATAGGAAGGTATTACGAAAAAACCGAGAAAACTTTAGATATTGATATTGTGCTTAATTTCCTGCCTAAACATGCAGAACAAAAAAGCTATATAAGAACTAGACACTTTGATAAATCCAAAAAAAAACTATCCTGAACACCGCATGTGCAACAATCAATTTTCAACTGCGAGATAAAGTGTTTAGAGGCCATTCTCTTTAGATTTGTTCCGGAAACGTATATAACAAACTAGATGTATAAGAAGAGGAAACATTGGGCAATCGTATTATTATTCTTGAGCACCCGATGACCCTTTGGGAATTCATAAATTGACATTTACTCGAAAAATATGCCTAATTTGCTTCTTTTTACATATGTTTATAGATAGATTTTGAAACCTTCGTTAGGCTATAACAAACTATACGTGCTGCAATCTTTATTTCAAAGTTTTATATACTCGAAAAATGTGTTTTTGTGTAATATATTTTGTCCTTACTTCCTCAAATGGTTAAGCACTTGATGTACCTCCATTTTTTGTGATACCACTGATAATTCTTTATTGAAAAAAAAATCCAATGCACCTTCAAAACCCCAATTTTGGTGCAAATGATCTAAGTCTTGGTGCTTTTGCTCTAAACTTGGTGTATTTGCACCAAGGGTTTCGCCGTAGTGTTATATATAGTATGAATCTTATAGTACTAGCGTATTTGAAGTTCATATCTTCTTATAGTATAAATCGATATCGTACATATAATCCAGAGTTTATATCTAAATCTGGTAACTGGATGAACTGCCGGAATGCAGATCATAGTGGATATATTCCACATTAACATTATTTCAATGCCTATCTTACTTAGTAGAGCTCATTAATTGTTATATTCACTTCTTTTCTTATACTGTACGATACATCTGTCATTTATAAGACCCCTTGAGTCTTTTATATACCCTTTCCATATTATAATTGATTCATTGTATCACATACTCTTTTATATTATCTATTATATCTTTCGTTACTGCTGCTGTTTATTTTTTGTTTACTCTAGTTGGATAACTATAAACCTAATTCTCATTTGAAAGGTAGATTTGGTTTGGCTAACTTACTATCTCTTTTACACCCCCTTTTACTAAAACTATACATACTACTACCAATTCGCAACAATACTCTATTCTATTCCAAATCTTTAAAAAGCAAAACGTTTTCGCAAGACGTTTTAAGTCAAATATTGTACAAAAAATGATTTCTGCCAGACTTGAACTGGCGGCCTTCTGCGTGTTAAGCAGATGTGATAACCGACTACACCAAGAAACCACCTTTTCTTTCGCTTCTCCATCACTTTTATTAGGGCAAATTTTTTTCCGCGAGGATAAACGTTCTCCCGAGCTACACGTGACAGTTACAGAAGACCTTTACAAGTACACACATACAAACAATAGCACCAACAATTAGCAAACCCATAGCAAACAAAGCGAACAGCTCAACAGCACCTACCTTTGAATTTCTCCCTCAAACAGAAGTCTTCAAGTCCACAACTCCTGCAGCAAAGTCGCACGACGAATTAGACCATCCAGTCTCAACTGAACCGTCCACCGACACCACCTCGCTCGATCCATTCACTCAGGACACCCTAACTGACAACCCAGTTACCAGATCCTGCAAGCGTAAACACAGCCTAACCACTACGGATAGCTTACCATCGAAAGTTATCAAAATGAGAAACCCAAAGGACAAAATCCCTGAAAAGGACATCTTGAAAAAGCGAATCACAACCACAACAACCACCCCCAGCTCGGTTAAGAAATCAGCAAGTGGTACGTCACTGTTGCCCAAACCAACTGCACGTAACACAGCCACCGACAAGCTGCAACGCACGGTCGAGGAAGCAAACAACAATGCAGGAAGATCAGCATAGCACTCCTTCAGTCAACGATGATCCAGCACCATCTGCGACAGCACTCGACAATACTGGTGCACCTTTGGTCAGCCAAATGTCTTTCTCCCCTTCTGCCAACACGCCAGAGTGGGTGTTTCATTTCCAGAGGGAATTCAGAGCTCACGAGCAACGCATTGCCTCCTTGGAGTACGCTATGGCCGAAATAATCATAGTAATAAAGGAAAGAAGAAAAGAACATACTACTGTACTATAGAAGTATAGAAGTATGTAGGCAAAAAAGGAAGACCCACACAAAGTGAATCAAAGAAAAGCATAACCAACATAACATAAAGGTGTTCAAAAAAGCTCGTTGTTGTTGCAATAACAATATATACATGAGCAACGTGCATGGTAGTAATAGTCGGATGTAAAGCAACAAGGCACAAATACACAAAACTGCAAAAGCAACAGTGGTATTATAAGTTTGCAATACAACATAATGACTACTGTTGTTTCATGAAAAACTACAGAGGAAACACTACCAACAAAAGAAAAAGAAGAAGAAAAAAAGCGCAACAAGGCAAACATTATGAATGCATTATCACGAGAAAAGAAGCAATAATATAAACGTTCAAAGAAGGTTTATATTATTGCCACCAGAAGAAAGAAGATACTTACCACTTACCACAGCCACAGATACACCATAGAATACGCAATTACCAGAGACAGACCAGACAATACGCAATCACCACAGATGGACCATATAATAAGAAATCGCGACAGATAGACCAGAGATGGACCAAAAAAATAACCACCACAGTTGATAAACCAAAGGAGCAGACATCATTAACGATAGTAGAGGAGTCATGGCAGCAGCACCCACGTCAAACAGGCAAAAGAATAATATTATCCAAAAGCTAACAATAAACAAATACAATTATTAGTGTCAATTCTACGCCTTCCAGTGCTCGTTATCGAATGGTACCTAATATATTCCACTTCAAAGAAGCAGTATCAAGTCTTTCTAACAGTAAAAGATAGTGTTATCAGTAGCTAGAGTGTTATTATCAATTGAACGGTTTCCAAAACGACCATGGTTTGATGTTAAACGCTTTTTGCAAAAAGGAGGGTATGGAAAAATGAGAGGGCACCCTATCCGACGCCACCGCCTGTAGATTTAGTCTCAGTATTGTACCGTAGCAGCGGTAATTGCGGCAATTTAATTTGAAATTGTGCAGTGGTATTTTCATGTTCAAACTTGAATTGATTTCACACCCTTCAAACATTTTTGCTAAATTTGACTATGAAAACAGTCGTTATAAAACTCAGCTTTCTAATACATCTCTAGAGAACTAAAAAAGCCGCATTGAATGGTGCTGATTACTTTTAGCTTTCAGACCAAAAATAATGAGCAATTTCCAAAAATATGAAAACAGGTTTTCTGTGATTATGTCAAAATTTAGCATAAGTAAGTCTCATAGAAAGAGTTTCCAATGTTGCATTTCATCTTTACGATCAACTTGATCTAATATATACCATAGAAAAAGTCTTCATCTTTGGGGTGAAAAACGCGATCATTTGATTTTCGAGAATTTTCCCTTGCTAATACTCATAGAAAAACGATGATTTTCATGGATTTGCAACGACCCAAAAAAAATTGAGATAAAGCACCAGGAAGTAAAGCGTGGCCAAGAGGAGGCGTGTGGTGCTATTCCAAGCGCTCAAAACGCTTTGTGGCATGAGTTATTCGTGCTTGAAAATGGCTATATTTGAACAAAATTCGACCTAAAACGACGGCGTAGTGAGTTGCGTTGCCAGAAAAGTCAGTAAATTACACTTCTGTCTGATGGCCCAGATGTTCTGCATTGTACAGAGCTCAGTTTTCAGGTAATAGGCGCTTTTATTCTAGTTCTAGTAGGGCGCGGGTTGTTCTTTCTGAATTGAGCGATTACCATAATTTCAAAGCTTGGCCATCAATGATATCATGCAAATTTGAATCCAACGTCTTTTTCGGATTAAACAAGCTTCTCATCAGGTGAGCAGGACACTTTTGATGGTAGTCCACAACGAAGCAAAATATACTACAAAACCCAATGTATGTAGGAAAAAGCATACACATACAACTTTCCGCATCAAAATATTTGGTGCAACCTGTAGCTCTTCTTGTTGCTTCTGATGCTTTATCACATATTGCCAAATGAGTCTATCTACAAGTATTTCAATCAAGGCATTTGCATTTATGTCTTAATCAGCCGGGTATCAAATCGTGAACACAAGCCTGCACAGATGTTGGTTGGTAAACATGACTCTGATCAAGGCTCCCAGTATACAAGAGCGCTTTCATAACGAGGAAGCTTGGCAATAAATTAAATACCTTTCTCACTAGACATGGAATTACATGATTGATTAAACCCTTCTTCATGGCTACGTATACAAGTTGTATTATCCAGCTTATTTTGCAGGTGCGCTTTCATTTGTTGATTGAGTCAATCCTCAAATTGTACAATAATCAAGGAAAAAATGCATTACGTTTATAGTAAGTGTCTCGAATACAGAGAACAACAGGCTATATACATCGCCCCTCATTCAGTTACATCAGCTTCGACAGTGGAGTAACGTTGGTTTAGTATAATAAAGTTGCAAATGTCTAATAAGGGAAAACTTGCGTAGCTCGATATATAATTATTTTTACAGTAGGTGTTTGCACTATTATCCTGGTCGTTATTACTCCTCCTTGCAAGCCTCTTTTATGCCACCGTTCGTTGCCTCTTTTTTGCTTTGCTGGTTGATGGTACCTTGCGTTTTGATTTCAAAGTACTAGGCTCAGACACATTGGCATCTTGTTTCTTCATTGAGGTTTTAGCTTGCTTCTGAACTGGTTGCAAAGCGTATCCGGACTCTGTATTAGCATCCTCTAATCGACTAATTAAATGGCTTGTGTCTTCGCTTTCTGGAGATCTAACAGGAATAGGCTATGAAAATGATAATTTAGCAACTTGCGCTCATACAGATATCCACATGGTGTTAACTTACATTTCCTAGTTTTCTAATGCGGCGCTTGGGGCGTATTGGCTTTACGAGAGAGACGGCGTCTTCCTCTTCTTCAAGACTTGGCAGCATAGGCGTTGTTTCTCTTGTGGGGTGTGTGTCGGATTCTATTGAAGCCAGTGGTAGGACAGGTGAAGCAAAGTCATCGTCGTCAGAGGGTTTTTGTGCTGAAGAAGGTACGGAAGCCGTTCCCTTGGGTGCTGCCTTCTTGCCCTTTGATTTTTGAGCTGCAGTTTCTTTGTTCTTCGCTTGCTTTAATTTGGAGGATGTGGGTTTAGGTTGATCATCGTTTTCAGTCGCATCAAGATCCATAACGTAAGCTGCAGCATCATTCAAATCGTCAGAATACTCATCTCTTTTTGCTTTAGCCTTCTTGCTGGAGGTGGTAGCTTCGTCTTGACCACCATCAGACTCGTCTACTTTAGTGATGGGGTTGCTATCGCCAAATCTGGATGGTTTTTTGACTGAAAGAATGAAATCATCGTCGCTATTGCCGCCATCTGATGCTGGAGCGATAATTTTACGAGAGGATTTGGCTGATGATGCTCTTGTTTTTTTGATAGCCGAAGGTGGTGAAGCAGGAGTAGGCATGATCATCTCTTCGCCCTTCTTGATAGCCACTGCTTTCTTTAATGCCACACGAAGGTCTTTGATAATTTGCTGTAGTTACTTGTGAGTTACAAGTTGACAGGCAGAGGCTTATACAGAGTGTACTTACGTTCGATTCAGTGCATCTCTCATTCAGTCCTTTGATGTCAGCACGAATATGCTTGCTCTCTTTGATATATTTGGCCCGTTCCTCCTCCTTGATCATTCGAAAATAATGAGCTATTCAACATTTGACTCATCTTTTTTTTTTCTTTTTTTTTTTACCTACCCTTACGAGGTCCAAATCTTCTGCATGGTTCTGCTTCAATCTCGCAATCATGTCTTTGTAGGATCCTTTGAGACTCTCTAGCTTCTTTTTAAACGCAGCATGCAATTCATTGTATTTCTCATCAAAGCTTGCTGTCAGTCTTGCTTCAACATCTTTCTCTAGCTTCTCGGTATCTATATCTGCTCGCATGTCCATCTCGGCAGCCAAGGATTGACATTTATCATATGACTCGTTCAAATTTTGCTCTAATTGCTGTACTTTTTCATCTGATTGCTGTAGCGCCTGCTGCAGTTTTTGAGCTTCTTGATTGGCTGTTTTCAAGGATTCCTGCAGTTTTGGTATATCAATATGAGTGTATCTTTTGCATTGTATTTCCAGGAGTTTATGCTCAAATTGAAGGTCATTGTTTGCGTGCCTCTGTAAAACTAGTAGGAAGAGGATTCATTAGCAACTTTGGAATATTAAACTTCAGAGAGTGTTACCAAGTGCAGATTGTAGCTTCATAACTTGCATATTGGGTCTATTGGAAACGTTGTCGTAGAGAGCTTCGAGGTAAGCCACTTGCTTTTCTCTCACAGCTTCCATGTCCATTATAAACTCAATCTTCTTTTCTTTCTTGAGTAGCTCGGCCTCGAGAGAAGCAATCTTGGACTCCTGTGTGGTGGTCAGCTTGTTTAACTATCAGGGTTAAAGCGTTGGTATTAGCTCTGTCTGGTCATGACCAACAACAATTTATTTTACCTGTTGCTCGTGGGCCTTAAATTCAGCATTAATATGAGCAATCTGATGCAGTAGTCTCTTGTATTCGATTGTTTGAGAGACTGGACGAACGGGTAATGTGCGTGTGTGCAAGGTTTTTAGTGTGCTTGCAAAGTCAAGAAGAGAAACGGTGTCTTTTAGCTTTCGATCTGTCACACGATCCTATATAGTTGATGCTGAATATCACAGCTCACATTCTGCTCCTATAAATCACTTACATTTAGATAGAGAAATACACTGAACTTCTCGTGTCCACAAAGAGGATGTGCTAGCAGATATGTGAGCACAAACTGGTCGTATGGAAGGTGATCAATGTAAGATGTGGATGATGCTTTCGTCAGGTTCACTAGGTGCATCAATTAGTATCGCCATCCATGGTGTTCATCCTTCCTTCTTCGTACCCAAATGGCTGAATGACTGATAGATGGTTCGACCCGTATTAGGCGTTGGTGGTGAAAATGGTGGCAAGAGTAAGTCAAATAGCTGAATTCGACCCTGCTTTTGTGTATCTGTGTGTGTGATTTTAATGTTTAAAACCAGTGGTAAAATTGATCCTTGACTTGCACGGGTCCAAACAACATCCAGGTCGCTCATCTCCCTCATCACTGAATCCAATCCCTTTTGCAATATCCTTTCATCTAACCAAGTACAGTCAATATCCACATTCAAGTCAGAGGCATGAAGATCGCATTACTTGGTCGCTCTACATCTTTTATGAAATCATAGGAAAAAGTGTCATCCAATCCAATGTACGCACACTCTAATCGAACTTGAGAATTGGAGCTTTTGATTGCTGCTTTCAGGATTTGTATTGTTGATTCGAGATCGTTTCGACGTTGCTCGTATGTACTGTTGCGTTCTCTACAAGTGTGGATGGATCATTATATACAAATCCCGCTGCATTGCAAGTATCCTTACCCTTGACTCATTGATAGTGCAGTTACATTGTATCCTACCGAAATGCATTAGAACATAATCACGCATTATAATCCTAGTATTAAATTACCTTGCAGCGCGAGGTCAATGAGCTGCTTTCTTTCTTGTATGGATGGCTCGCGAGCATCTGGATTAGTGACATTTGTTACATCCCATGTACATCTAGCTGTAGTTAGTATGTGCAAACTGCCCGGAAAGTCTATACTCACTCTTGATCATTTGAGTCTATTGAATCAAAGTTTAAAAGAGCATTCCTTACAGAAAGTTAGACAAATTACCATTCAGTATCAACTTGAACTCTTTGTCGTTCGGGCTCACTAATATTTGCTGACTCTTGGTTTTATCGATTGGAGCTTGCGGTTTTATTAGGCACACAATTGTGTTTACAGGGCAAATTTCCATAGTATCTATTTATCAACTGAGTGAAGAAACAACAGTAGGAAAAAAAAAATGCTTGCTATCCAAAACAAGACAAAAGCAATTGGGACCGCGCAATTGTCGCGCAAACATCGAGCCATTCTATGTGTTTACAAGAATGGCAGCAGTGTTCAATTTGGCAAGGCTGAATTGAGTAGTTCCACTAGAGACATGGAGCCTGATTTCATTAATTTAGCAAAGGCGCATTGTACACAAGCACATAAAGGCAGGGTGCTCAGTATTTGCTTGTCCTTGCAGAGCAGTGCTTTATTCATTTTTCATTTTTGAGGATTAAGGAAATACTGGAAACCTTCCAGAGGAATGCCATGACTCTGTCTTCTTTTAACCTCGTTTTTGGCTTTGTCTTTTAATTGAGTTGGTTTATGTGAGCCGAGCACATCCTTGAACATCTTGTGAATGCTTGACCATGCATTTCTCTTGTAATATCTCAGCCCTTCCTCCAAAGCCTGAACCTCCTCTTCCGTCCATCTCTGTGCCTTCTCTCTTATCTTGGGAACAGGGGGGACCACTCTGGCTCTGCCATCATCGCATATATGAAATTTAAGAGGAGGAGGAGGAAGAGGAGGAGTCTCTTCTTGTTCTACGTGTTCATTCACGGATGTATCGTCTGTACTGCCGCCTGACACTGGTGATATATGACCTCTGTCTGCAAGAGCTCTTCTCTTCCTTAAGCTTTGTTCACTTGAGTGAGGTAATCGTCGTCGACGTCGAGATTTAGTGGTATTGCTGTAACTTGTAGAGGCATTAGAAGAGCGCCTTGATGGACCAACGCCTGTGTCATCTGTAGTAAGCAAAGTTGAGTACATGCACTTTCAAACATGTCCATGCTCTACCTGAAAAGTCTGCTTCTTGGGCAGTTACTGCACGAGCACCTGGCTGTTCATCAGTGATGCGATGACGAGAGGTGGTTGCTCTGCTCTTACTAGTACTTTCTTCCTCCTCCTCGTCTGGTAGCTCGTCTTCCTCACCATCTTCGTTTACTGGTAAATTCGCAGGAATTTCGGTGTCGCTATCATTATTCGTGGATAATGTAGATGAGCTCTTGTCAGATTCACTCTCACTGTCGCCATTTTCTGAATCACTGTCCTCCTCATCCACCTCGCTATCCTCTTCAGCAGCATATGGCTCTGCATCGCTATTGTTTGTAGACATTTCATCATTGAGCTTGTCGATAAAATCTTCGTTGAATATCTCGTACACCAGAGCCTTCATCTCATCCTCGGTTTCCGGGAATTCCTGCTCGATCTCTCGATCTGGCTCACAGTCAAAGTTCTCATCCTATACAACAAAGCATGTAAGCACGCTTTTCCTTCTATCTGCACACTTGGGGCTACTTGCTTACCATTCTATACTGAATATACTCATGCAAAAACTTCTCGACCATCACAACAGCGCCAAATCTGACCTCCTTGTCCAAATCACTTGCTTTACTGCAGAGCTAAAGGAAAACCAACAATAAATACAACGATGGCTGACTGCACTGACCTCCACTTACAAAATCTGAGACTATATTGACAGCCATTATGATTTGACGTCTTCCTGCTTCCTTCTCGCTGAATTCATCATTAAAAAAGTAAGTCTTGGGCTTCTTGGGAAAGTGCTTGTTGATAAGATCTGTTCTGTTGGCATCCGGGTCCCCATTCATATCTCGTCGCAAAAGAAACAGACGTAGGCACAAAAACAACTGGATCTCATTCTTGGTGTATTTATTGAAAGAAGGTACGGCTCGTTGAAAGTAAGCATTGACGCATGTTTGATACTCTTTGTTTCGCGAAATATGGTATGCAAATGATGCCAGGTCGATTTGGGCCACTAGTCTTTTTACAAAGGCCTTTTCTTCTTCGCTAGCCGGCTCATCTTCTGATGTGCTTAGCAATGAACTTGTATTTCGAAACAAGCTGTTGTCATAAACAGGATGTTTGCTTGCTAAGACAAATGTTGGTAACATGGATTGTTTAGTAGTCTACTAAATTTACCCTTCAGTTCCTCGTAGGAGTCGTCAATGTTGGCATCAGCATCCTTCTCGACGATTGAAGACAAGACGCTTACAGCCTGCACGGCACAATTTTCCAGAGTCTTGATGACGGACTCCTTTGATTTCATTATTGAAAAATATGTAGTTGAGTAACGTCAAGAAGAATACTTGTCAAGAATTTTGATTGAATTTAAACAATGGGACTTGAAATTTTGGTGAGCTCTTGTACTCCTGCAAATATGCCTCAAGCCATTGTCTGATGAAAATGAGTTGAATCCAAATCAAGTGCTCATTTTGTAACGCATATTACTTTCTGCTTGATTCGCTAGCAATTGCGCCTGAATGAGTATAGATCCGAGTATGTTTCCATTATGAAGGCGTGCTGATTGGAAGTAGCTCAACATCAAAACAAGTTCATCAATCATTGCAATGCGCTGCATTGATAGGATCATCAAGAGATGTCTGCCTTTTACTGCTCACAGCTGCTTGAGGAGTAAATGTCTTAAAGATGTCTGTATCCAATGATTTAGGTATTGCTTTTTGTAGCCTGATTTTGAATTGACGGTTCCAAATAATGAATTCAGATGTTGATTTTGCTGTACCTGTAGCCTATTGAAATGAAATGTTACACTCAAAGGATTTGAAATATAAAAAGGAAGACTCCAAGAGAATGGCGCTAGCAAAGAGTATGGAATAAGCTACAAGCTACTACCAAATGACAAGTACGTGCGAGAAGATACTTTTTCCAACGAAGCTCTTGGTCACAGCGTGGTTGAATGACACATTTCATGGTTTCTTTGTCCGTTCTGAGAACCAAATGAATCCAAAATCCGCGTATTTCCATATGAAAAATAATAAATGAACCTTTGCTTTTCTTTCTTGTTGTTTTTACATTGATTATGATGAACAACAACCCACCTTACAATGTCACTCCACAATACCAGCATCCACAGACCCGTGTGGCATCGCCGTTAGGCACTCCTCAGCAGCAACATGCTTCTCCACCTCTCCAGTTCGAGGCAAGAAGACAAAAGAGACACTATCCTCGTATTCAATCACCAGATGTCCCCACTGCAAACTATCCGCATCAGCCGCAACCAAATCCTCACTCTAGAACAGCTTCTCCGTTCCAACAGCAACAGCAGCAGCAGCAGCCATTTCAGCACCAACAGCAGCCTCCAACATTTCAACAACCTCAGCAGTTTCAGCAACCACCAAACTACCAGCAACCTGTCTATGCTTCTCCAACGCCTCCTCCTCAGCCAAATGGATACACTCAGAGCTACGATCAAGCTCTAAATAGTATGGCGAATATGAGTCTCCATCAACAATCTTCGAGGCAGGATGTTGCTCTTGTTGGTCAGCCTGCCCTGATTGAAGATTTGCGACATGAAACAAGTACACCCGAGATTCCTCCCAATGTAATTTGGATAAAAACTGTCTGCTAATTCTTCATGACAACTGACCCTCTTTCTAAACTCTAGTATACAGCCACTGGCTCACCTTATGCTCAAGTGAATGGCTGCTTTAATCACTCTACTGTCAATGCATTTCCCTTTAACAATGCTTTATTAAAGAAATCCAAGCTCGCATTAGGTCTCGTTTTACAGCCTTATCTCAGTGATAAAGTGCAAAAGGTAAGCTTGAGCGAATGGGCATCATCATCATGGCAGAAAAGACTAATGTTGTTGTTTTTTTAGATGGAGGTTCCCGTTGTTCCTGATACTGTTGTTACACGCTGCTCTCGCTGTAAGACATACATCAATCCTTTTGTTCAATTTACAGCCGGTGCTTTACAGTGGAAATGTAATATGTGCGGTATGGAGAACGATGTGCCTCAAGCATTTGATTGGGATGTTGTCAGTCAACAGCATGCGGATCGCTATGCTCGACCTGAACTCAACTATGGATGTGTGGATTTCATTGCACCAGCTGAATATACCATACGTCCACCCCAACCACCCGTATACGTGTTTGTCCTAGATACGTCTTACCAAGCAATCCAAACAGGTATGCTAGCTGTCGTGGCCGATGCCATTCTCGCCTCACTGGACAAGATTCCCAATGAAGATGGCCGCACAAAGGTTGCATTCATTACAGCTGACAATGCTGTTGGATTTCATACTTTGTCAGGCAATGAAGCCGAGATTTTGGTAGTGGGAGATCTAGCAGACATGTATCTGCCTCGTTCTGCTTCAGAATTGATGGTCAATTTGGTGGAAAGTAGAGCTGCTGTCGAAGATCTGCTGCAGAAAATGAAGACCATGTATGCAAACACACACACGCCAACGAATTGCTTGGGTGCTGCATTGCAAGCCGCTCGTAAACTATTGGTAAGTGCTTGATCTGCATGTTACAAATGCCTGATTTCACTCAACTCAACCAAATCAGTCTCCTACAGGTGGCAAGATTGTCTGCTTCCAAGCCAGTATACCAAATGTGGGCGATGGCGCCATCAAGACCAAACCAGACACCGGCAACAAGTCTGTATTGGATCTACCTCTCATGTCAGCTGCTGTTCCATTTTATAAGAACTTTGCTGCCGAATGTACAAAATCTCAAGTGTGTGCTGACATGTTCATTTTGGGTGATGCTGTGGATGTAGCTACATTGAATGTCATTCCTCGCTTTACTGGTGGACAAACTCATGTTTTCCCGGGATTCAGTGCCTCTGCTAAACCTGCTGAATGTCTGCGACTCAAGGAAGAGATCGTTTCGCTCTTGTCTGAGCAAATTGGCCTGGAAGCTGTCATGCGGACACGTTGTTCTCAGGGCATTGTATGTCATGCTTTCTTTGGCAATTGTACGACTCGTATCCCGGATATTATGGCTTTACCTAATGTACCCCGTGATCAATCTTACTGTATTGAACTGGCTATTGAGGAGGAAATCAAGACCCAGTTTGTGCATTTCCAAACTGCATTGCTGTATACTACATGTTTCGGTGAGCGTCGTATTCGTGTCATGAATTTGTGTCTTCCAGTGACCAAGAGCATCTCGGAGATGTTTGCATCTGTGGATCAAGTGGCTATGGCAAGGCTTCTTTGCCATCAAGGTAAGTTATGTGCGCATAGATGCGAGTTTTGGATTCTGTTTTAACCTTCGTGCTATCTCAGCAACTGACAAGGGGGCCAATGGTAAGCTGCGTGATGGAAGAGATCATTTGTCCAAGCGAACAGTGGATATTTGTGGTGCTTATGGCAAGGAAGTGCTGGGAATCAGCTCAACAAATGCACAATTGAGTGTGTGTCGACCAATGAGCCTTTTACCTCTGTTGGTTTTGGGTGTTTTGAAGTCTCCTGCCTTCCAAGACGCACCAGTTCCAATTGATCTGCGATCTCAGTCTGCCATTTTGCTTCGTACATTGCCTACAGCAGCCTGGCTCAATTTTGTTCATCCCAGCTTTTATTCAATCCATAACATGCCTCAATTGGCTGGCACCTTAGACGCCACCACAAAGCAATGTATCATGCCGCCACCAATTCGTCTATCCAGTGAAAAGATTGAAGCGCACGGCTGCTATTTGCTGGAAGATGGACAAAACATTTACATCTGGATTGGAAAGCACGCTGTGCCTCAACTTTGCAGGGATTTATTGGGTGTGTCATCCATCAATGAAGTGACATCCGGACAGGTGCCTATGTTGCCACATGTGAAGTCGCCCATTTCAGAGAGATTAGAAAAGATGGTGAAGCATTTGCAAACAGATCGTCAAGTAACATATTATCCTACAATCTATATCATTAGAGAAGACGGCGATCCCATGCTTCGTAGTCGATTTTTGAGCCATCTTATAGAGGATCGTCAGCCTACTGGTCCAACCACAGCTGGCGCAAATCAACAGAATGTTAGCTCAGGTATGAGCTACTTTCAATGGCTGGGTTATATTAGATCAAAGTGTCAGTAATAAGCATTGAAACAAATAGTGTTTCTACTTCATAGCCCTAATAGTACGCATAACATAATAAATTTACGGTCCCTAGACACTTTCAAAGCCTCAAAAAGAAAAGAAATTGACCCAACAAGTATTTTGATAGACTGGCGTTATTGAATATAGAGTGCAAGAAAAATAACATGGCTAGCAACAGTGCTATGTAATTTGCCACCTACTTTTCATACGCTTCAAGAACATCTGTTGCTGTATTGCCTTTATAATGAAAAGGGCATTGAGTTTGCCAACCTGCCCCTCCAGCCAAAATTAATCCAAACCCAGACTCATATTTTGTTCCAGATTGGCCATATCTTAATGGGTTTCGACTCAATTGAACTATTCTAGCAGATTCGACTAAGTAAAATATGATTATCATCATATGCTTCTTTAAGCTGTCCCTGGTGGTAGGGCGAAGTGGTAGAACTCCCGTATGCCAACGGGAGGATCCCGGTTCAAATCCTGGTGAACGCAAGTTGTTTTGATTTTTTTTGACGTAGTACTGATGTCCTCGTTTGGTGTTTTTGTACTCTATCCATTATCTATATTTTGACGATTTCCGCAAGACTGTATTGGCTCTAGGTGTCGCACCTTATTAGTAGTAGATTTCTTTCCCAACTTAGTTCAAAAATTTCTTATTCCCCTTCTTTGCAGACATTGGGTCCACCAACAGTCTTTTCTTTCCCTCAGTATGACATTTTAAGGACTTTAAATAAAACCTGGAGCTCGACTCCCCTACAAAAAAAAAAAAAAAATGCTTCTTTAAGCTTTTCTGGAGTACTTTTCAAGGCGCTTCCAATGGTACCAAGTTATAAAGATGTTTTGAATACACTTATTGAATGATTTGTAAAAATATGAAAAGAGGTTTCTGCCCAAAATGTCGAAATTTTATATATCAAAGTCCCACAAAGATGATTTCAGAGGTTGCTTTGGATCGATAGAAACGTTTTGATTCAAGATATACCATAGTAAAAGTCTCTATTTTCAAGGTGAAAAACACGATCGTTTGATTTTCGATGAAAATCATGAGGGGTACCTCATGCTTTTTGGTCGAATTTTGTTCATGTTTTTTTGATCCCCAAAAAGTTGAGCAAAGGTGTCAGAAAGTAACTGCCAGATGAGAGCAAGTGTTTGGTCCTATTATGACAATCCAAAACGGCCTTGGAAGCGAGAAAACGCAGCTCAAATGCATTCAAATTTTGCTGTATTATGGATACTAAGGACTAAAAAGTGGAAATACCAGTATGCTACTTGCCCGTATATGAAGTAGCTACGAGTATATGGATGTAGAGCATCATATAAGAAGCAGATCCACAGATAATATGAAGGTTTTTCATGTGTGAGTAGAGGGCCAACATCAACGTAGTAGTATTATGATAAGATACGCAAGGGTAACCGGTAGCTCGAGCTGTCGCTGTGCAGGATGGTTCTCTACCTTCGCTACGCTTCGGTGAGAACCATCCGAAGCATAAACACTCATATGATTAGTGATTATATATCAATCAACAATCAGGGCTCTTCTTCTAACATTTTAGCTATATTAATTTTAAGATATTAGCCAAAGGCCCGCGGCAGCGCGAGCCGTTTGAACGTAGGTTGGTTTCCACCGAAGCGAAGCGTAGGTCAGGAAACCACCCGAAGTGCTGAAAGGCTCGTATGCTATAGTAAAAGTCTTCGTTATCAAGACCAAAAACGAGATCGTTTGATTTTCAGTGGAAACCATGTGGGGTACCTCATGCTTTTTGGTCGATTTTTGTCCATATTTTTTTAGTCCCCAAAAAGTCAAGCAATAATGGCAATAAGTAACTGCCAGACGAATAGAACTGTTTGGAGCTATTCTGGCGATCTAAAACATCCTTGAGCGCAAGAAAACGTACCTTAAATACGCTCAGCTTTTGCTGTATCAGGGACACTAAAGACTGAAAAGGGGAAATACCAGTATGCTGCTTGCCCGTATATGAAGTAGCTATGTGTATATAATTATGGAACACCACATAAGAGTCATATCACAGATGATATAAATGGTTTTTATGTGTAAGTGGAGGGCTAAAATGAAAGGAGCAGTATTTTTGATAAAATGAGCAAGGGCAATCGGTAGCGCGAGCTGCCGCTGCGCAAGGTGGTTCTCACCGAAGCCAAGTGAAAGTACAGAGCCATGTGAAGCATAAACACACTCTTAAATAATAAAAGAACAACTTATTGTCATCTTGATTTGTTTGTTAACACCTGAGCATATTATTTGATATATATATTTTAAAGCTTTTTTAAAATTAATGGTTCTTGTAAAAGCGCGAAAACTACTGAACTCTGTCAACTTCATCGCCTTCTCAGGCACACACAGATTTTATGTGCAACTCTTTAATTAGTAAAAATGCTCAATCAGTTTGCAAAAACAATAAAGGTCCCCTTTCATGTCTGACAAGGTTTTTCGTATACATTTAGGTACACATAGAATTTGTGCATAACCTTTTAGTTGGTATAAATATCAAATCACTTTGCAAAATAATAAAGATCATCTTTTACCCCAATTATATTCTATAAGCCACATCACTCTTTGCAACATATGTATCTGTCTAAATCTATTTCATAACCTATGTTTATAAACACAACACAAGCATAAAATAAAATAAATAAAATAAATAAAATAAAAAAGGGGAAAAGTGAGACGTTTTTCTTTAAGAAAATTGTAAAAATGTAAGCCCAACGGGGGGGTCGAACCCCCAACCTTGAGATTAAGAGTCTCACGCTCTACCGATTGAGCTAGCTAGGCAACTGGATGTTTTTGAATTCCTTTATATTTACTATATACCAATAAGCTTTTGTGGCGCGCACGCGTAACGTCTACCGAACTTTTCGATGCGCTACCCATCGAAAAGTTCGGTAGACGAGAAACCCTGAATATAAAAGTGAAAAATCAGTAGTTTTTGAGTTCAAATAAACGAGGAGATTATCGTATTCTCTATCAAATTGAGCACAATGCGCTGTATGTACTGTTATATCAAGTGTTATAGCAAGGTCTCACACTAAAGGTTTTAGGCTATTCTTAGGTCCTTTGTGAAGTGAACTAGACTAGATTCCCATCATAAACAAAGCCCAAAATAAATGTCATCTCAATCAAACCATGCTACCATCAGAAGATAGGCATGCATAATAATTGTATTAGCATGATGATAGCAAGGGTTAAATGCTTTAAAATAAGAGATGACAGATACTAAAGTAAATGTCAAGGGTATTGTAATGTGTTGTAACATAAATATACCTAAAAAGGATACAGGCTCAACAATAAAGAGCTATTCTTTACGCATGATTCAAAAACCATATATTGAAATACCGTTCTTGATCCATCAGATCAACAACTAAATGACCCAACAAAAATATATAAAGTAATGGAATCACTGGCAACTACTAAACTGCTGCCAGATAAGAGATATAAACCAAATAATATAAATAGAGACGTAGAATATACATTTTATTGCACATTATCCTAATTTCGAATAAAGAAGGATTTTAACAGTATTCTACCTGCTTTTTTAACCCCCTTTTTACTGCACTTTGGTTAAATCATGATTTACAAATCAATTGTTGGGTAGATAGTAAGCCTATTTGTATTATAGTTCATCATCATGCTGTAAACCCTAGCATAATGAAAAAGTATATAAATGCATCTCAAGGATGCATTCTCAATAAAAGTGTAATTCTTTGGCAGATTCAATTTTAAATTGTATTTTAACATAACACGTACCATTAAATTCTGGACACTTTCTAACTTGTCTCAAAAGGCTGCCATAGAATTTGGTTCATATTGAATACATCTACGACAAAAATACTAATAGAGATCTAGTAAAAACAAAGCGACAGCCTTGGAAAATATATGAGGTGTTGAAAAACGTTGTATTGAAAACCGCTTGGCCATATCTTGCTTTGTTGTAGTGTGACAAAAGATTTAAAGCTGTGCTGCGCATTTTACGAGAAAGGAGAAACAGCTATTCCAAACTCTATATTGATTCTAGAGGCTTTATATCAAGAACATTATATACCCGCCTTGAGGGGTTGCTATACATATAAACGGATTTCCAGTTGCTACACCAGTTGTCAAATAATCAAGTGAGGAAAGTGTAAAGTAACCAATATAAAGAACAGTGTTTGGGCGCTATTCCTTGATCAACTGTCAACTCTACATGACTTCTCCACTAATTAAATTTTGTTTCTCTTTGTTTACTCTACAATCTGCGATCTCGTTTGGTCAATTATGATGCTTTGTTATAAAAATCAATTTTTCTACCCCTAGATTGGAGCATACAGTGGCAAAAAGAGTTTTTTTTAATAACATCACGGAACTGTCTATGTGGTGTTAGTAAAACTTTTTAAATTACTATATGAATGTGGAATGTATCTGTAGTAAAAGTTGTAGAGGGTACTTTTTTGACTAGGGCATATTTGATGTGGGGTTATTGAGGACGGTGTCAATGAGTAATGACTAAAAATGTTCCAAATGACCGATTTTCAAAGGGCCATACCGCTAGATTTTACAAAGTCAACGAGAGCTTCAAGCTTAATAGCTTCTGTTTCTTTTTCAATTCTCTATACGATGGTATGGTTATTATATATAGATATATAAAAAAGTTGAATATCCCCTGCTTGTAGCTCATAAAATATATGATTTTGAGCAAATTTATGAAGGGAACGTACACCTGGTACTTAAATTTTTTATATTATAGTGAATATAACATAGAGCTATCGAATGGTCTTTGTTTTGTGCGAATCCAGTGAGTATTTGTCGAGATATAGTCAAAAAAGTGTATCAAGCATGCAAAATCGTCGATTTTTCTTCGAAGTCTGCCTGTGATAGCAAGCGAAAAATTTGGGTCACAATTTTTTTTGGAGGTATAGAATTGTTATTATATCAAGTTAGAGTCATGCTATAGCTTTGCTTTAAGGCTCATTCAATAGGATTTCGTTTGCTGTACACTGATAAATACTACAAGTAGACTTCTTTTGATGACAGAAGCTTGGTAATCTGTCCAAAAAAAAAAAAAAAATCGCAAAAGTTATCCTATCAAAAATCAGTCTAATAGCTTAAACCAATGCACTTGAAATTGGTATCATTGGATTCTGCTTTAAATTCTACCCTAGGTTTGATTTAGCTGGAAAGCTGCGTTATAATCTTCCATATTTCTCGCTTTAAGCCTCTCAAACCCGTTCACACTCGATGCTTTTGTGAACTGCAATTACCTGTAGTGAAAGTTATATAATATGTACAACAGTACACTAGATACAAGGTCCTCCCAGCAACACATGCCCCCATCAAACGAATGCCGTTTGTCATTGATTTCCAACTTGTCCAATTTCATGGGTTGTTATCTTTCATATCAGAAATTTATGGCCATTTAAAATGAAGTTTTGAAATATTGATGCTGGAGATTTGAAAGTAGGATGTTCTTGTAGCAAAATTTTGTGAGGAAAACGATGATGTAGTTGAGCTTTAGATTGGATGTTGGGTTGTTGTTTAGAAACGAATAACTCTCGAAATAAGACAATTCCGAGTAATGGTCCTCATATGAGAGGACCTATGATCCAACATGTCTACCCAGTGATATACATCCCAGATCCGAGTGCTGCACAGTTCACTCAAAAAAACCCACATTAATTGCATTCCAAAGGTTGCTAAAGTCGAAATTGAAGTACAAAAAATACCAGCAATGCATGCTGTACAAGTCAGTGTAACAGAGTATTCCTACCATAACTGAAATCTATGTTTGAAGCTATACATGCATTGAATAGCCGATAATCTCGCTTATTGAAAAAATGGCCAAACACAGATGATTTACCAAACTTTTTCTTCACCGTTAAAATCATAAACTAACCGCTGTAGATGCGCTTCCGGGTACTTGTAGCTTTGTTCCTTTTCCTCATACTCATGGGAATCTTGGGCTTTGCGCCTATTCATCTACATGAGCAAGTCAATGACAAAATACTACATTTCTCTATCTTTTTCATATTGGCAGTTTTCCTCTACTTTTTATGGAATCTCTCAGTGAAGCGAAATCTGATATTAGCTACCAGTATCTTACTCGTGCTAGCAATAGGCAGTGAATTCATACAAGGACTACTACCAGTAAGTGTTTTAGAGCAGGCTATCCCAAATATAAGACATCTGATATACGTGTATTTGATAAGTATCGCAGTTTTGATGGCTATGATATCCTTGCTAACTTAGTGGGTGGTACATCTGGAATTGCAATTTCTTCGTTGATCGATTGTTTGATTGATAGACACCGAGAAAACAAGAGACGATTTGGTGGAAAACGAGAAGCAGAATATCAAAGCGCTTTGATGGAATTCACTGATGAGGATGACGATGATGAAGAATATGGCAACAGCTACAAACTAGCAAGTCGAGCTTAACACATCAGCATGAGCACTGTAACATATGTATATAAGATATATCGCAATCTAGACGCAATCCGCCCCTCAACCCACTACTATACACCACCATTGTTTGAATAATATCCCCACTTTCCCCTATATAAACTCTTAATGAATATTTCGTTTATTAACTATTTATAACAAATCTACAGGGATTTTGAATGTTAGATGATTAGAATATATAAGGTATGGGCGAATTTTAAAACACAATATGTGAGGCAACAATACGTTGTAGTTCCTAGACATCGTGGATTCAATTAGTACCAATGTTTATGGATTGTATAAATAAGAACAAACCTCATCATCCACAGATTGATGCTGTTGAGGCACAGCGACAGGCTGTGCGCTGGGTGATGGGATTTCTACTTTAGCCCCCAAAATACGTTTAGCCATTGATAGAGGCGACTCTTGTTGCTGTGGTTGTTGTACATGTTCCTCTTGAGGATTTTCTTGCAATGGCTGTTGTGGTAAAGGGGTCAAGGGAGGTGAAATTGGCTTATTTTGCTTCTGCTGCTGTTGTTGTTGTTGTTCCTCAGAAGCAGCAGGGGATAGTAATAGGGACCGTGCCATGGTCAATGCTGCACTTGTATTATCTGCAGCAGTCTCATGGTTGCCATTCATGCTTGCTGACGAACCTGAGATTGACCCATTGGAGCCATCTTGGCTCTGATTTCGCTGGCTGGTATAATCTACAGGAAGTGGTGGAACATCCTTGTTTCTCTGTTGCTGCTGTTGTTCCTGTTGGCGTACAGCAAACGAGCTTTGAGGCCTATTCCATGGATGGAAATCATACCCCCCTTCTTCTTCCCATTTTGTGTTTTCTCTTATGGTCAAGAAATCAACGCCATGTGCTACGAGTAGGAATAAATCGTCTAGATCTTGTCCGTTGTTCGATGGCATCGGGTGGAGTGGTTCCAGCTGTTGTTGCTGCTGCTGCTTTTGCTGTGGTTGATGTGGTGGCTGCTGCTGTTGCTGCTGATGAATGGATGAGGCATCTTCCTCAATCTCTGTTTTTGTATTTGCCGAGGCAATAGAAGGAGTAGCAGTTGTAGCACAAGTCGACTGTGCTGGTGTTGTGGCAACAACTGAGGGTGCCATGTTAGCTGTTGCAGTGGTAGCATTTGAAATGTTGGATGATTTGCTTCTCAGTGGACTTTTAGCTGGTTGGTGTGGAGTGACAGGGGGAAGTGCTTTGGTCAGGATTGCCGAACTAGATACCGTAATAATTGAAGAAGCAGGGCTCTTAGCAGGTAGAATAGGGGCTGCACTTGCTTCCTCTTCTGGGATATTCACATTCGTTTGGCTATTCATCCACATGGCATACTGTACTTGAATGTCATTTGGTTCCTCTACAGCAGCGTTTCTAGGTGTTGTTACTTCAGCTTGCATTGCTTGTTGTGGTGATAGATCGACCGACTGTTCCAAAGAGCCCTTGTCCTTCTTTTTCGCGTCATTGCTATTCCCGTTGCTTACCGATGTTGGTCTCTCTTGCTGATCTTCGTCATCCGAGCTATCATCGTCATTGGTGTCAGCCATCATGAGTCCTTGATGGGCAGCAGCAGCAATTTCTTCCGAGGTAACAGAGGAGGCCGTTGAAGAGGACACAGAGGACACGGTAGACAGTCTCTTGTTGGCTGCTGTCACGGCTGCTGCGGCTGCCATGGCTGCTGCAGATGGGTCATTGAGAGCGGTAGCCTCGCTGGGTCTTCGTGACATTATGGGGGTGCTTACTTCTAGCGGATGGCTGGCACTACCTTGGCGAGATTTTGGATTAGCTGGCAAAAAGGATCTTGGTGTGCCAGGTGTGGGTGGAAGCGGCGTGGATGGAGCAGAGACAAAGCTGATCTCAGAGGGAGACTGAAGGTCGCTTTGAGTAGAAAAGGGCGTTGTCAATGGAGGCGGTATGTTGGCTTGTTTCTTTGTGGATGCAGAGGAGGAAGATCCCCAACCGACAAAGCGCTTAAATTGCTGCTTGAAGGATTCCTTCTTTCTGCTGTCTGTGCTGTTAGTGTTGGATGGGCGCATGATAGATGATGAGGATGTAGGTGTCACTTCTAAATGGTCTATAATAAGGGTAGAGTCCGAATTTACAAGTTGCTGTTCGTCGATAGAAGAGCTGGATAGAACAGAAGATGATTGAGCAGAAGAGCGTCTGTTGAAACCAAGAATGGAGTTGGGTGATTTTGTACTTGTAGGAAAAGAAGAGGAAGAAGAGGACGAAGGTGAAGCTTGCTGGATGTATTGCTGTTGATGTGATTTGCGTTCCTGATTGATATTATTTAGACCAGATGGTCTCCTGTTATCCTCCGTTAAACGTGGTGGGGGTTCAAGTAGACTGCTCATGACACTCGGTCTTCTTTCACCCATTTTAGGAGCAGCATCCATTAGAATATCAAGGATACTTGGCCTTCTGGTGTACTCGTCACTTTGCTGCTGCTGCTGCTGCTGCTGCTGCGATATGGACAGGGGTGGCAGTGGGTTTACTTGGTTCGACTTTTGCATGCCCAAGTGTCGTTCCTTTTGATATGGCTTCTTGACGGCTGATCCTGCTTTGCGTAGTACAAAGAGCAAATCACTTGTAATGGGGCCTGAGTGATTAGGAGACGAGGACTTCTGCTGTAGAAGCACATTTGACATGAGTTCATTTGGATTTAATTCAGTTTCTAATAATGAGGATACTATTAATACACTCTTGCTCCTTGACCATCAAGCCCCTGATATTTTACCTTGACCGTGACCCCGTACCGACATTTTGTACTTGCCTAGTTGCCTGGAATCCTGTAATTGCTCAGGATTGCCGGCCTGATAATCGTCTGCTACAGCATCAGGCACATGAAACTTTTCCAGTGCAAGGTTAATCACTGCGCCAATAAGAGACTCTTGACGCACAGAGATAATCTTGTCAATGCGATCGATTTCAGAGCGTATCTGCTGTTGCTGCTGCTGTCTCTTTTTGGACATTTTGGAGGATTTGGGCACAGTGGGATTCTTGGTGAATGCAGGCTGGGGACCCGCCATAGTAGAGGTGATAATTGAAGTTTCATCTGGATAGAGAGACACTTTAATGTAGAGTAATCCTTCTCGTTCATGTGCTCGTTTGATACGACGGTGCAGATAAAATCGAATGACTGAATCTTCGTCATAATTCGTCTGTTCATAGTTGCTGAAGCTGCTGGATCTGGGTCGTCTTGATGTGCTGTTGCGTGATTGAAGTGAGCTCAATAACTGCTGCGAAATACGCTTGATATGTGAGAATGAAGGCATAGGTGTTGTGAGTGAGTCTGTTAAGGTTTTGAAGATGGAAAATGGCTTGTCCTGAGCAGAAAGCACGTACTCGTCGCCATCCATTCCCTGCACAGCCAAATAATACTCGATAGTTGTGTTTTCAGATGGCTCCATGTTGATGTTCATGCCAAACTTTTGAACGGATGTCTTGACCAACTCATCTGCCGTAGTGGATAACGAGATGTAGAATGTGTGGAATAATGGGCCTTGTCCTATATTGCCGGCAAACACACGAAGCTCCATGGTCTGTGGCTGCTGTTCCTCTTCGCTGTTCTGCTCCAGCGTAGAACATGTGGTGCTGGTGGACGGTATCTCTGTTGGCTGTTGTGTGTCTTCTATGTCCCAGCTCTTCTCCTGCCACTCTTGCTTTGTCTCCACCGGTTGCTCTTCTGGATCCATAATCATTTCGTGAAACTCTTCTTGGTGCTGCTGGGTCTCGCTGGCATGGTCATTGTCAGTATGTGTCTGATCATGGTTCTCTTCGCTCAAATCATCTTCATCCATTTCCTCATAGCGCTCCTGATCTTCATCCTCGTCGATTTCTGACTCTACTTCGTAGTGGAATATCTTTGACATGGATTCATCGCCAATAGTCACTCTGCGAGTTGGGTTCAGTGGATGTTGAGCCACGAGAGGCAAAGGTGTTGTGTCGTGGATCGAAGGTGAGGTAATTTCCACATTGCGGTGCTTGTTGAGTCGAGCCAATCTTTCGTATGGTGTCTATGTACACGCTATACGCTCAGTATACCTAGCCAGCAGTACTCTCAGAAGACAGCTTACCTCAATGTTCTCTGCCGGGATATAACCGACTTCACGTGTCTTTAATACTTCCACCAACCACCAGTATATGTTGGTGTCCTCCATCAAGATGAGTGCGTCTCCTTTAACCACCGATGCCTGGCCTTCCACAGTTGCAACAAATGTATGTAGCGCGTACACAAGATCAAAATTAATGTTCTCATCTGGGATACTAGGGGAAGATGACATGGAGGAGGCATCTTCAATCATCAACTCATCCTCCTCGCTGTCATCGTCTTCGTCTTCTTCTGGAATGTGATGGTGATGGTGGTGGTGATGATGATGAGCCGCCGCATGCTCAGATTGCCACATGAGTTGTTCTTCATCAATTTCTTCCAACTTCTCAGAGGCAGCTGAAGACGAGTAATACTGAGTTGCCATGTTTGAAATGAGGGGCTGAATTTCTTTGTTTTTGTTGTTCTTCTAAAGGGGAAGTGGTGATGAGGAGGGGTTAATTGTAGGGGCAGAAATAGAAAGCCTAAAGGGGGATACTAACAGAGTATATCAAAGAGAAAGGTAAATGTAAGAGAAAAAGAAAGAAAGAAAGAAAGAAAGAAAGAGAGAGAGAGAACAAAGAAAGGGCTAAATGATCCTTAGTATAAATCTAGTCTTTTCTGTTTGCTGATAATCCCCCTTCTTCTTGCGCTCTCCACCCGATAATAAAAGGGGATAGACTCCACACCAGTAAAGTGTTTTATAGGAGACAGCACCTAGTTACTGAAAACGTTACTTTTGCTATACCAACATGCTCCTTAAAAAACGTATAATATTTCAATTTTAATGGCATCAATTGAGCTACTCTCAACCTGCTAGTTTTTACTGCAACTATTTTTTCGATGTTGAAGAGGTTGCTCCGTAAGATCGACTCAGTAGGTTCTTGGAATGGCGTCTCTCAGGATGATGGTAGTAGGTGCCAGTGTTGTCTTGCTCTTCTTCCTCGTCAGTTTGGCCACCTTCTTCTAGCTCTTGTTCTAGTTGAGTCTTTTTCTTCTTTTTGATTGGTATGTTATTGTTCGTAGTGTTATTAATTGAACGCGCGGGTATAGTAGTAGTAGTGGTAGCATTGTCCAGCAGGGGCTGATTCTCATCCGCTTGGTCTATGATGTACCAGCATGGTGAATATCCATTCATAAAACACACACAAATCGCTCTTACCTGGTGAGCTCGTTTTTTGCTGTTTCCTCAAAATAGACAAGGATGAACTCGATGAAAATGACGCCGAAGAAGATTCATTGCTTGCATTCGTGTTATTAAGCACAGCGCGGTCCTCATATCCAGCTTTGGTGGGAAGCCAAAGCTGAGGCAAGACACCTAATAGCGCTGGATGACCATATTGCTTCATACCCGTATTCAAAATGCCATTCAATAGCGTCATGGGTGGCTCTCTGAAATCTGTAAATTTTCTCGGATCAGCTTCATAGTCGTCTTCATCCAGCACAGTACGTCTCTTTCTGTTCTTCTTCATGGCTACTTCAGCCGCATTACTACCACTGCTTGTCTCTGCATTGGCTGTCTCTGCTGAGTCGGTTGTAGTGGCTGTCGGCGTGCTCTTCATCAATGGATGAACATTGATGTCGTCTACAGTGGTGGTGCCGCCTCTAGGCTGATTTTGCTGCAAAGCAATGGTTGTCATGGGCCCAAGTTTTTCGGACAATAGCTGCAGGGGCAAAAATTGCGTACTCCTTTGATATGCCTTGTCCATCATGAATTTGTACGCCACTGTAAAGAAAATAAGTGGAATACAGAGTGCAGCCAGCGGATAGGATTTGTTCAGTGTGAATAGCCCGGCCGATGTCAGTTCAAAGATCAAGAGACCGATAATGATACGTGAAAAGACCAATGGCCACATTCTGCCTGCCACTTCATACGAATGAAAGTAGACTACAACAATGCAATTAGGACTAGCCTCATCACTCTATCATACTTTTTCCTTACCGTAGAGCAGTTGATATTTGCACACAAGATATGACATGGCAAAATAAATAACACCAAACACCAAAATTAAAGGAGAAATGGTGGAATACACCAGAATCACGACAAACATGAAGACAGGGACAGGATATCCCCATCCAAAGTTATACATACGAGGAGCAAAGACTTCAGCATAATCACGAGGGGTTTTGCACAGAAACGTACGGTAGAATTGCTGGACAATGATAGGGCCAATTTGCAGCAGTTGGATAGGACATCTAGTAACATACTGTATGAGTCTATACGCCATTACCAAAAAAAAAAAAAAAAATGCGACTGTCATGATACACTTACAGCATAATCCCCTGAAGCACTGTATAGTTAATATAAAAGGGTGCTACTTCAGGCAGTTTAGAGGCAAAGATATTGGCAATTTTGGTGGGATCTTCAAATATATCCTTTTGTGATTTGAACAGAGTACTGGCCACTGTGATGAACAAGAGTACGTTGGAGAATAAAAAGAAGAATTGTCTACAAAACCGATTTAGCATTCCCCTACTTATTGCATCAACCCACCAGCCACTTACTTTGCAAAACATGATTCCTCAGACTCACTCCTTGTAGTAAAGCCTTCAATTACACTCAGGCTGTTGAATACAATAGGCAACACGGAGAAAAAGATGACAACACCCAATGTAGGGATGAAACCCGCCACAATCTGCTTGAGAACCTTGTTCTTTTCAGCCAACTTCAATAGCCAAGGGAAATACGCCTTGAGTGATTTGGTGGATGTCAGTGCAGAGAGATAGTTGCAAGGAATGGTCCATGAAAACACCAGGAATAGCAAGATGAACATGATCAACGCTTTGCGAATCACTCTCTCTCTTCCGTGCATGGAAATGTTCTCCCACAACACATCTCTGGGCTCAGGTGCAAGTTGAGCGCGAAGTCGGAATGGCGTAGAATCAATCAGCACTTGAGAGGCAACATACTGTATATACCACATCCAGTCAATATCTGGTAAGAGCATCCCTTTGATCCAAGAGTACTTACTGCGCTGATTGTCTCTTCAAACGTAACAAACCCTACGCTGGTAGGCAGGAATTTGCCCACTTTTCTGGCTTTTACCACCAATTCATCGATTTCATCAAACTTCTCAGTGTAATAATCAATGGCGTCCACTTTGGGTCCACAGCATATGCCTTGTCGTATTGTTGGTCTCTGCCTTTGCTTCTGGTGTGTCGGTAAGCCATCCAGGCCTGTGCTGGAGCATGTTTCATGCAGTGCCACTTGACGGGATTCTTCCTCGTTCAAAATCTCGTCTGGATCATAGTTGGGATCTTGGCAGGGATTACCAAGATAGTTTGTGTATGCAGTCTCCAGCTGTCTCAGATGCTGCGTTCTCTCCTTGATAAACTCTAGCAGTCTGCCCACATGGCGAATGGTGTGCACTGATTCCACTACGCCAATGCCGAGCTTTTCAAAGTAATCTGCCAATTTGCGATCTGATCTCAGATAAGGTGGAATGCCTGTGATCAGCAAGGTGCGAGCTGACAGTGTCTTTGCCTTTCGAAGCAGGAATTCTCGGCGGATGCGAACATAGTCTCTGTAGTTGAGGAACGTAAAGTAAAATGTGGCGAATACAAACAAGTAGGTGAAGAACAAATAAACCCACAAGAAGGAAACTGAGTGTGATACAAAACTGATGTTGGTACCAGTCGCTGCTGCTGAGGTACCCGCAAAAAAGTGCTCCTGTTGTGTAAACAAAAGCGTCGATGTGGTTTGGTTGCTGTCGGTGCCGTTGCTTGGATTCTCTGGATAAGTGCCGTTGGCTATGTCTCCGCCCATTTTGCTGATGGGGTATAATACAACTGTGCCAAAGAATCCACAAAAACTGAACAACTTGACGCTCATCAGCAGAAATTGAAGCATCTGATACACACACGCACGATTATTATCCATCCCATCATGACAATGATCCCCAAATACGACTTACCACCACAGCGTCAAGTCCAACCTTATCCATGATGACTGAATTTGGTGTCTTTAATAAGGGTAGGATCCAGCCAAAGAAAGTGGTTGGCAGTTGATCTGGAGCATGTCTGCATAAAGTAGGGTTTAGTCATTTTGCTTGAATAATGCACAAGATCCACTTTACTTTCTCATCCTTAATCTTGGAGAGTAGATGGCACTCCACCTAGTTGTTTAGGCTCATATGTTGGTCGTCGTGGTGATTGGCATGCGATAGATCCTTACCTTACTCTGAGAAAGCAAAACAACAAAAAGCATAGCAAACCTACAGATGTACATAGGATGAGTTGTGTTGTAAAACCAGTAGGCGACTTGGATGTTTGCGCTGGCGACCCAGGCAACGGCTCTTCGTCTTCGCAAAGAAAACGAAAAATCCAAATACATGGAAATCCAGCTAATGTCTGCGTTGAGGACATGTTACTAGAATGTTTCATTTATAAAGAAGACGAGAAAAAAAGAGAGAGAGAGGAAAAAAAAAAAAAAAAAAAGAATTCAAGCTTTGCATTTTAAAGAAGCGAGGTTGTACTGACTCAAGGATGCTGTCATAGACGACTGATCAGAAATGGAGGGGGGGGGGGGCTTTAAAATGCTGTGGGTTGCTGTGTTGTGGCCCTTCTTGATTCCATTATACCTGATGTATTCCAAATGGTCGTTTTCACATGAATGCCTGTCTTATATGCTATGTCTTTTTGGCTTTGCATATAAGCAATGTGTTCATCTGATGCCATCTCATCACGTTAAAGTTAAGCTATTTACTGGCATCTTCTCCGGTTGAAAGAGAACATGTTACAGTAGCACAGACCGGAATATAAGCTACAGCCAAGTGTCAGCATCTACTGCCATTGATTGCTCTTTACTGCATAAAAAATCGACTTTCAAGTTAAATATCTTGATTTGCACATTGAAACTATCTTGAAACGTTCCCACTTGAACAACTTTAGCATCTTGCACATAGCATGCAGATTGGATCTTGTATAAAACAAGGACTGATACTTAGCATGTATGTCTCAGGGCACTCCTCTTGTTAGTTTCAGCTAGTTAGCTTCATGGCTAGCTCTTGTATTCTATTTCAGCGTATAATCCTTCGATGGTAGGATTACAGTTGCGCCTTAGTTGTACGGTGCTAGGGATTTGATAATAAATGCGATGCAATTTCATCCTTAAAAGAGTTGCGAAAACGTATTCCACTTGGTGAGATAACACGCTATGAGAGACACGCTGTTTAGCTACTTTTGATATATTTAGAGTAACAGAAGCTTGAAGCGATGTGCTTCCTTCCAATTAGTTTGGACGTCGAATTGAGTGGATGTGCCTCTGATGCATTTTCTTTTATGCAGAAAACTGTGTAGCCCAAATGTTCAATAACGTATCAACGATATACTTTTTTTTTTCATTAATGTATGTCATGAATCTATTTGATATACATATACTCTTATTCATTGGATTGCTCAATTTTATAATATGATTTTTCAATATCGACTCGACAACAAATTTGAATTTTATGATCTGCATGAAAATTACCAAATCGATTTCAACGCCAGCATTCAATATGAATGTGGTTATTGAACAATACATGGTGGCTTCTATACATCAATCAACTTGCCTTGCCTTGCCATTCTGCTGGCTATACTGTTTCTCTTTTTCTCCCTTTTCAACGTTTCTTATCTTACCTTGCAAACCCTTTTTCTCGTGTCTACGGTAAAGTTACTAACAACACACTCTCATACTCAACAAAGATATGCTAACGAGCATTTGTGAATAGAATTACCTGATATACATATAAAAAAAATACTCTTATTTGACTACTTGATTATCTCAAAATCTTTGACAACCAATTGAGCTGCTATTCACCTCTTGCAGCTGTCTACAATACTCTTGTTGTAGTGAAATCTGCTTTCCAACAATTTGATGCTCACAAGCCATCTTGCTCCTCCGAATCCACGCATCAAATTGAACCTATTCAAGTTGCCTTTGTCTATAATCATTATGCGGGTATCGACCAAGAAAACTTATATACTAGTGGTTCTCAAGAAGATGGCTTCACGCTTGTTGATCAATGTATGGAAGTTGGCGTGGATACTGATTACTGCCTTGTTGAAACTGATTCATCTGGTGGAAAATCTACTGCTACTGCTCATCCCGAGATTAAACGCGTTGGTATCGATGTTAATACAAAGATTGGTATCAATACTATTACACCTTCTTCTGCTGCTACTGCTACTTGTATTGCTCAAACTGAAAACAAAGGCTTTGGTGCTCAAACGGTCAAGAATCTCAATGCTGAATTACCCTTCTCTGCCTCTGCTACAAACCCTGATTCTCCTAAAACTGCTGCCAGAGCCTATGATGCTAATGTTGGTGTCAAATTTGCCATTAATTCAACTGCCTTTGGCCTGATTTAAAATATGATGTTGCACAACCTGGAATCCAAGATCTTGGTATCGATATTGGCGTGGATATGGATATAAATAACACGGGCTCTGATGCCTCCTCTTATTCGGGTCAAATTAAGGCAAAACGCCTGGGCGTTGATTTCGACATGACATTAGCCGTGAATATTGCTACATCTGCTTCCAACTTGAAATCTGAGCTGGCTCAAAAAGAAATGAAAGGCTTTGGTACTGATGTTGGTATGGCCCTGGGACTCAATACCAGTACGTTTACTACTGACCAGCCATTTGATTCTGCTCACTATCGCACGAAACGCTTTGGTGCGAATTTTGGTATCAACTTTGGCCTCAATACAACTGCCTCTATTCCTAGTCAGCCTAAAAAGAGACGCTTTGGTGCTGATTTTTGCGTCCAATTTGGCTTCAGTACTACCACTTTCACTCCTGCCCAACTCAAAACGAGACGTATTGGTGCTGATTTTGGTCTCAAGCTTGGCTTTACTGTTCTCAAAAGATACATTACATCAAGTGCCAATGTCACCAGCCATCCTACGGATACAAACTGCTCAGGTAAGATTGGATTGACTACAAAGATGCGTCGTTGGGCCTGTAAAGATCTGATTTGTATTGCTAATTTCTATAGATGACACTTGGGAAATGGTGGAACAAGACTGTAACCATGACCCCATTTCTATCTAGCTATTTCAAACAACCAAATATTCATCAGACCAAATCATCCAGCGCTCCTCATCGATTAAAAGTGGTCTTCTTTCACAATCTCTCACAGCCACATCTTTTGTAAATGCAACACTCTATATACTGTACAGCTTCATTTCAGAAGCAAAAATTATGACCATTCCTTATATGATATCCCAATAAACAGTTCAAGTACTACAAATTAAGCCTATATGAACACCTAAACTGACTTGATGCCATCAAGAAGAGCTACTTTCTTGCGATCCATGGTTGCTTTGAGAATCCGGACATTCAATGTGACCATGTAGATAAAGATTCGTAGATTGCACCACACTTTGCTGATTCACCTTCAAGCGATAAATCAAGTTTATCTCTCTTTCCCAAAATTTAAAATGTCCACCAATTCTGGAGTTACTGCTGATGCTTTGAAAGCTGTTATTATTGAAAAGTTGGGCGCACAACATGTTGTAAGGGCAACTTGGTAGCAAGAAATTGAGGCCACATGTTGATGAAAAAATGTGAAATAGGAAGTAGAGGATTTATCAGCAGGTTGTGGTCAAATGTTTGAGGTGGTTATCGTCTCTCCCATCTTTGAAGGAAAGCGTCTTTTGGCCAGACACAAGCTTGTAAACGAAGCTCTCAAGGAAGAGATTAGTAAAGTGCACGCTTTTACTCAAGTAAGTCCCATGGATGTGATGGTTGAAATGACGCACTGACTCATACGACAACCCACACCTGTAGAAATCATATACACCCGAGGAATGGGAGAAGAAGAAGGCAGAGTAAAAAGCATAATTCACAATTGAATCAAAGAATAAAAACCACACAAGAGAATCCCAGAGAACACAAGACTTCATGCTTGATTAGACTTTTGCTCTACCATTTGTAGATGATTCGAGACGACTAGATGATAAATACAGGGATTCAAAATATACCTACATGACATGCGTCGCAGAGTTTGAAATGTTAGTTATCGTTTGGCAAAGGGCAGAGCATGCAGTTGTTACTACGTTCTGACATGCTTTGATTAGTCAAATGTGCAAAGAGAGAAAAGTGTTTAAACACCATAAAACAGGTTGATCGCTCATCTAGTTACCATGATCGTTTCTATCGAGTCACACAAGTTACAGCACCTCTTGCAACATGGAACCAACTTTTGAATGATAAAAGCCAAGAATTGCTTTGTCTATATTCATCTCGTGGTTGTGTAAGTCTATTTCCTGCTATAGCCTATATAAAATTACGTCAATTTCTAGCCGACCCTCTCTCTTTCTCCTCTCCATCACAACAATATATGGCTCGGTGGACATTAACAGGCCTTCAAGAAGGCATGACCTACGCTATTCAGGGTATCGCTATCGTGCTTCAGAACCCCAACATCAGAAAAGAACGCTTTCTCAAGATTTTCATATACCTGTCGATGGTGTCATTCATATTACTGGGACTCACCAATGTCCTGATAGCCATCCCCATCCATGTAGTAAGATTCATACTGTGGTTTTCCACCAGTGACAAGGCATCGCAGGCAGACGGAGCACTGGAGTCAGCCAATCGTTTTGTACGCGAAATAGTTGCATCAGTGCCCCTGTTAGCACTGCTATTTATGCGCTACGTCTATCCCAAGCCATTGGATGATTTGTTTATGGAATCGTTGCGATATCTGGATTCTATTCACCCTGATCGGGCACCCTATGCCAGCATTCTTGGGCAACAAAAGTTCAAGAGACGATATTGGGCAGATATGAAGGATTACATGCTCAGAACATGGAAAAAGGTGAGATTGGGCTTGTTGCTGCTGCTGCTCTCCATGATACCCTTTGTCGGTCGATTTGTATTTCCTGCTGCTGGTAACGTATATGTTGTTGATGTGAACGATCCAATTGGAAAGCTCATGCTATTTCAATAGGTGCTTATACTACCTATAAGGCGCTGGGCAAGACACAAGGCATTGTTGTCGGTATTTGCTTCTTCTTCCTTCCAAGATGGGCCACCATGAAGCTTGTGCGTGCTTTGATTGGAATGAGATCACTCATGCGCGAACTATTAGCTCCTTATTTTGTAAGAATGCGTATGTCTCACAGGGAGAAACGTAGATGGTTTAGTGGGCGTAAGGATGTTCTGTTTGGCTTCTCCGGTATTGCATATATTATCATTCGCTTGCCTATAGTTGGTATCATTGGATATGGTATAGCTCAAGCTGCTGCTGCCTACATGCTGACTGTTGTCACAGAACCACCCTCCAAGGACATTTTTACCAAGAAATTAGATGAGCACGAAAACAGTGTTGATAATCTCAAGTTGCCAGATCAGCTTACAGAAATCAATCCTAATAAAAAGATGGATTAGCATCAGAGAACGAATAATGAAAGGCGGCAGGCACTGACATTCTTACATGAAAAATTCATGCAGTGCTACACTGGTGTATCGCCTTGGATTCTTTTTCAGATGTGTGCGTGTATATACATGGGCCTCCTTATTTTATGCATAAGAGTAAACATCTTGTACAAACTAACGCTTACTGTGAGTATGCATACAACACTGCTACCACTGTTTTGGAGTATATGTGATATGATAGATTGGATTTTATTGTAATCGAGTGAATATACTACTTTACTGTTAAATATTATGGATATCGTTACACGCATCAACTCGTTTGTTTATCACAAACAATGATCGACTATTACAGAATAGAGAGAAGGAATGGATTACATACATATCCACAGGAACGCGTACATATGTATATATAATTATGACTCAACGACTACAGTCAGCACGCGAGGCAACAACACAGCGCCTTAAACTAGCACTGAATAATGTGCCACTTTGACAGTATTGAATGCTGGGATCTCTGTTGCCAGCTGTGCAATAAAAGTAGCGTTCACAGTTGCCAGGATCAGAGTATGATCCAGCGCCACCAGCACCAGAAGGGCAATTCATGCTATCATCTCTTTCTATATAGCACAACAGCGTTAGTCTTCTTTTTTGATGTGTCTATGAAAAGCTTTAAATTTACTTTTGATAAGACTGGCAGCATCAACGCTGAATGAAACGACACCAAGCACGAGTAGAATGGAAGCAAGTGAGATTTGCATTTTTGTATGTGCGTATAATCAAGTGGAGCAAGAAGAGAGAAGAAAAAAGTACAGATCAGAGACCCTTTTTATATTTATGATAAAGATTGATTTTCCATGCGAGCTGTCGCTATTAGTCATAAGGGAATTCCCGTTTGAATTGATTGCATTGCAACTTAATATTAGCCTAGCTTGGGTGCCTAGAAGCTCTGTATATGTGAATTTATACATGTGCACTCTTTTTGCTTAACAGGACTATATGAGTTAGAGCAAGGCCCATGTATATATACATGGAATGCATCGGTAAAACGGTATACCATGTATATATATATATATATATATATCCAGGAACCCAAGTGTGTATTTGATGTATAGAGGCAGCACATTATTGCTGCGCAACGATGCCATTTCCAGCGGTCCAATGTGAAGTCAATCCAGACACTGCCTTTCTACACATTGCACATCGACAGTTTATACAGTCAGAAATGAAAGAACAATAGCTGCATGATACAACAATTCGCTAAACTGATTAACAAATGCAGGGTGAATCATCTAAAAAAGATACCATGTGGTCTCTATGTAATATTCAAACAAATAAGAGACCCTTAATATACCATGAGCTGAAATTGTATGCTCTTTTTATTGCTTTACAACATGTTGCATGAAGATGAATCTAACTGTCCATTATTTGGTAACAGGGACATTATGGTCAACATAATCGTCAATCTTCAAAAGGGCTTTGGCATTGGATCTTCCAGTCTTGATCTTGTCGCCTAGACCAAGTTGTGTATGATCGTCAAACCAAGTAAAGCCATCGCAATACGTCTCGTAAGGAGAGTACACGCTGAAGAGAATACGATCTGCACCCAGCTGATCGATACAGTAGTTGAGAGTTGCGCTGGAAAATGGCCAGAAGTGGTAACCCAGATGTGTTCGTCAAAGTACTCGGCAAGCGTCTTTTTGGCGACCATGCCGTTAGGCTTCTTAATGTCCCCAAACCAGTGATTGATACGCCAGAAATCAAAGGGAATGTGCTCGCCAAGATGACCGACAATCACTTTGAGCTTGGGGAAACGATCAGATACACTGTTACTGATCATACCAAGCAGATAAAGAGACACGCCGTTAGAAAAGATAAGGGAGGGCCGATAAGGTACATCTTTCCTTGAATTGCTTTCAAAGATGTAGTCAGCAGGAGCTGCAGGATGAAGGTAGACAAGAACATCCAGTTCCTGAACTACTTGCCAGAAGAGGTCAAAGACAGACTGACCATAGTAAAGATAGTCAGAGCCATCCTTCCCAGCATGTTGAAAATCGGTCAAAAGAGCACCATGAAAGTCATACTTTGTAATGCATCGTCTCGGATCCTCACCTTTTTGCTTGGCATCATGCATAAATAAGCAAGCAAAAGCAGCCAGCTTGTCACGACGGCCGTTGATCTCGTTAGCAATCCAGTCATTAGTCTTGGTAGCCTCAGCTTCAGCCTTCTTTTGGTCATGGATATTTTGGATTTTGGGTACTATGAATCAAACATGCACGAGTATAGCTACACTATTGATTCGGAACGAAATCGTACCTGTCAAGCTCAATACAGTGTAGCTACATCCGTACTTTTCCATCGTCTTGAGCTCTTCGCCAGCAATGTCAACTATGCACTTGTCCCATTTCTTGCTATAGGTAGGACTTGCATGCAATCCTTCGTTGCTGTCGGCTTCACAAGCAAACATGTCGGGGGCCATACAAGCTTCTTCGAGAGTAATCTTTCCTTTCATCTTGTGTTAGTTTGACGTTGTTGTGAGATGATGGACTAATAGTTCTACATTGCCCTATTTATACAAAATACGTAGTGTATGGGTGTGCCTTGTTTCTATATAATAAATGAATTATTTGGCTTAATTCCAAGTTATTGATTCATGTTGTGCTAATAAGCAGATCCAAAACTTTAGCTTGTGGATGAAAATTTAAGGCGGTATCAAATACGTTGAGAAAGAGACATTATACGTTCCTGAAGAGAAAAATGTTGATTAATATGTGATTTCCGCAAACTAATTTTATAATATCTACACAATTTTAATGTGACCTTGCACAAAAATACGTTTTAAAGGATATGGATATGATAGTATTTGAGGCGAAAAAACACTGCCGGAAATGCATGAATACGTATTCATATTCCGTAGCGGCAACGATGCATCTCTGATGCCGCTCTATATCATGCTGAAATGATGTTTCTGGTTTACATGTCGTGCAATATAAGCCCTTAGAAAAAGATAAGGATGCCATTTTAATTCGAAATCTGAGACTATGCAAAAACACATGGTCAAACAGTTTATCGCATTAGAATCAACTGCAAGAAACGCGGATAATCGATGAGTTTTATCCGCCGTTGTTGTTTTAGCGCATCATCATGTAATCATCATTTCTTCATGTACAAGAGTAATAGCCGCTACGCTCGAAGACGGCGTCACCCTGCGGGCTCTCGCTGAAGACATTCCAAATCAGAGATAACAAAAAACTGGCATAAAAGTAGATTTTAAGCAATCAATTAATAGTAAAAGAAAGGTTATATCAGAATCCATTAGGGGAGGTGTTCCCCCCTTACACCCCCCTTTGCTTATAAACTGACATCAAACGACAGCTATTATTCAGACGATGTGAAAGAGAGTTCAAATTTTATGCAGCATTTGTATACGGCGTTCTTCTTTCGTGTCACGTTTTCTGGTAATAGGATTGTCATGCCATTTGCTGGTGTTGCTCTTGAGATGGCGACATAAAGCTGGCCATGCGTAAATACAGGACTTCCATTAGATCTTCAGCGACTTTTTTTTTGAGATACTGTCATTGCAAAAGACATCTTTATGAGGCAAAACTCCCCAAATAAGTGTTCGGGCTAATGAATTGTCCGTTGAAATTCATGGCCTCATTTAATCAGTATCGCAATCATCATTGTCATCATCAGAAACGCATTTGGGACAGCCAGCAGCAGGTGCCCACCACCAAAATCTATTCAAACTCAGTCAGTTTTTTCTATTCAAGATTGGACAAATTTTGTCTTTCGTCCCTCGTCCAGTCATCCACCACATCGACCTCTCTACCATCACCAGCTATACCGAAAGTATCACCCATATCTCTACTCTTCTCATTTCCTTAATGTCATCCTCATTTTCCTTTGAGTCCCATTCCTTCCTTATGTCTCTCCCTACTAACCACGGGTATAAATCCCTTCCTCTACATACTAACATGTCCTCTTTCTCGTCTCCTTTAGGTGTTGCCAAATGGAAGCAGTTTTGGGCCCTCCAGATACCTTTGAATGCTCGCAATACTTGGTTTCGGATACTTCATGAAAAAGTTACTACTAGGCAGCTACTCCACCAACGCATGCGCGACCAATTTCCGCCGTACTGCCTTCATTGTCAGTCTTCATCCTCCACCACACCACCTGCCATCGAAGACACAGAGCACTTCCTTTTCTCCTGTCCCCTCAAATTGGAAGTTTGGCGCCATTCTCTCTCTCTCTACATCTCCCCTCGCTTCGCCCACTTCGCCTACGAGGAATATTTAGCTATCCTTCACCTGCGCCTTACTCTTGACCGATCTTCTCATGAACTTTTTCCTGATCTATCCGTTTTCCAAGTCTTTGCTTGCATTCAACAGGCCATATGGTCTGCTCATTACTGCCAAGTTTTCCAACACTCTCCTTTCATTCCGTCAATAATCATCCACTCCATTCATCGTGCACTGCACCATCTCGACTCACAACTTTCCTTTGATACTATCATTTAAGCTTCCCTTTATATCCCACAGTCTTTACCTCCTCTCCTTTATATCTAGTGACGATTTAAGGACTTTAAATAAAAACAGAAGAGATAAACTCTTCCTTACAAAAAAAAAAAAAATTTTGTCTTTTTCGACTTTTTTAATCTATTTTATCATAATCAATTTTGGGTATTTTTACAATCTATTTTGTATCAATGACATCGCAACACCCACTTCCTGAGTTGTGGACTCATGTCGTTCGCAACAACAAGAAGGGCAAACTACGACAACAACAGCAAAATGTTTCATTCAACCCTACGTTGATCACCCCTCCTGCCGACTCGATCCAGAACGCGTCTGCAGCTAACACCACTCCTCCCAAACCTATTGCAATGGTTCGACCATTCATGAATGGTATAGAAGAGGACTCGGTATTCATAGACTTGACTACAGTTAAAGATAGAACTCTTCTGGACAAGGCACTTGTCAAGTTCAATGAAGAGGCAGAAAGAGATGATCTGTATGAGGATTTTCTAGGATATCGAAAACAAACTAGACACTACCTTGGTCACCAATTCTTGGAAACTCTTTGGCTACCAAATGCAGCTGGCCGAAAAACTCTCATCGAACAGGGAATTACCTTGGAGGATGGGACCTACCTGAAGGGCTTTCCCTCTTTTACCGAAGATGCCAACATTGTGCGTATCACTATGGAGAAGCTACCTTTTCTTCCTGCTGTCCAGCTGAAGAAAGAAATGGCGGAGCGCTTCTCTTGTTTTGGAGACGTATTGGATCATGGTATTTTCAAGACAGAGACTGGTATCTTTCAAGGTGAAGGATATGTCACCCTCAATCTCACCTTATCCAATGTTCCTGGTAATGAATGTATGGATTCACATGAAGCTGGAGTTGAATGTAGTGGACAGCGACACTTGGAACCTCTCAAGAGAGTTATCATTTGGGACACCCGCTCGAAGGAAGATGACCAGCGACAAATCCTATTACAATGGGATCAAATGCCAGCCTTTTGCCGCCAGTGTCAGAAACCTGATCACTGTCGTGCTGACTGCCCAGACTACCACAAATGGGCAATATGCTACCACTGCAACAAACGTGGACATGTATCGAAGAATTGTGATAGAAACAACGCAGAATCGGTACCTGCAAAGGTTCGTGCTGTTGACAGAACTTCTGCTAAGCCCAAGGAACGAAAGGGAGCCAAGCCTACTCTTCCAAAGAGGGCCGATTCTGAACGTCGAAGCAAACCAGTAGAAGACAAGGATCATATCATGCAGGATGCTCCTCAACCTAATGCTGATGCACCCTCCCCTGAAGCTTCTCAACAACAAACCAAAATAACTGGAGATACCATTATGGAAGAGAACAACACGAATACAAAGTTTTCTGATGCGGATGCATTAAACAGTGTTTCCAAGGATGTGCGCAGATCTCATCCTGAATTTGATCCCTCGAAAGCAGCGAAGAAGTTAACCCGCCAGGAAGGATCTTTAGATATCGGTTATGCCAGATATCAACACGCTGAAACCTCTAACCCCCACAGTGATGCCAGGCGCATGTCTGGTGATGATACGGATACGATTGATAGGAATTTGACACCACCTGCACCTTCAGGTACACCACCTTCCACCAATCTTTAAATATGAATAATATCCACTATCAACTCAAAATAGCCACCCTCAATTGCCGTGGCTTAATCAAATCAGAAAATCCCAAAAAAAGACAACAATTCATTCGATATCTTCGAACACTAGAATATGATATACTGGTGTTACAAGAAACACATGCTACAAACTCAACATCAATTGACATACTCAATAATCATTTTATCAGCAAATCAAGTCTCTGGACACAACATTGTGGCATCATAGCCCTCAACAAACATTTAACAATTAATCTTATATCGGAAGGCATCGATGAGGGACGCTATATACTAGCTTCTGTTCACCTAACTCGCGATATACAGGAATCTACAACTACAACACCAATTGCAACTATTCTAAACATATATGGTCGATCATCGCTTCCATCAGCTCGATCAGCCTTTTATACAGAACTCCTTGACATACCCATTGTTAAGGATACTATTACCAACACACTACACAACACTTTTATTATGGGGGACTTTAATTATCAATACAAGGATCGAAGGATGGACGGAACATTGTCTAGCGCCCCTAAGGAATGGACGGATCTGTTAGATGACTACTACATTGACATTTTTGGAGATGACAAACAGATAACATGGCATAGTGGGAGAAACTCGGCCATCTTGGATTATGTGTTTTGCAGTACGAATGCTCATCATCAAATTCCTAGTATCCATCAACAGTATCTCTCTCCAGAATGGACGGATCATGAATTATTAGGCTTCACTTTCAAGTATCAAGACAACAATGGACGAGGACCTGGCAGCTGGAAGGCTAACCCATTTTTGGCTCGCAATCGACAGTTTCGCAAGGCATTAGCCGAATTTCTCTTGGCTAATGAAGAGCAATTTACACTAATCAAATCCTTTTCTACTCCTCAACAACAGTGGGATTGGGTAAAAGCTGAAGTCAAGATTTTCATCAAGTCATTTCAATTAGAAGATCTGAATTGGAGGAAGAAACAACTGCATCAGTTACTGTCCAAGCGAAACAAGATGATGAGACAACACAAGCATAGAGGTTTGGTTTTCCAAGGCCTAGATCATGTCAATACTCAAATCAAACTACTGCAACACACTATAGCGGAAATTGAGATTCTCAAAGCCGGCAAGTTTTGGAGGGAAAATGGTGAGAAGTCTGCTGGTTTCCTGAAGAGGAGAGCTTTGGCCAGAGAGAATCAGCGCTCTATCACTGAATTGAGGGACCCCACTACTGATGAACTCTGTCGCGATCAACAGGGTATCTCCACCATAGCGACTAACTTCTACTCTACTCTATTTACTCCCGACCCAACTGATTCAGTAGCTCTTAGTACTTTGATACGATCCATCCCTGGTCATTTGAAAATCTCT